TGCTGATCTCATTGCAGCCGGCAAGGTGGCAGTCTACCTAGATGACATCCTTATCTTCAGTAACGATCTCGAGGAACACCGACGAATGGTACGGGAAGTATTAACCCGGTTAGAAAAGCACGACCTCTACCTACGACCAGAAAAATGCGAATTTGAACAACAACAGATTGAATACCTCGGACTCATCATCTCAGAAGGGGAGGTGAGAATGGATCCAGTAAAAGTAGCGGCTGTTCGCGACTGGCCAGTCCCTACTAATCTTCGGGAACTACGAGGGTTCTTGGGATTTGCAAACTTCTACCGACGCTTTATCCGGAATTTTGCCAAAATAGCACGACCTCTGAACGACCTGACGAAGAAAGACACCAGCTTTACCTGGACCGACACTCGACAGAAAGCATTTGATACCCTTCGAGAAGCCTTCATCTCCGCACCGATCCTTGCTCTATGGACACCAGACAGGCCTACTCGAATCGAGGTAGACGCATCAGGCTTTGCCACGGGAGGCGCCCTTATGCAGAAGCAAGACGATGGCCAATGGCATCCGGTAGCCTTCAGATCGGCATCCATGCAGCCAGCGGAACGGAACTACAAAATCTACGATCGAGAAATGCTTGCTATCATTGAAGCACTGAAGGATTGGAGGAACTTTCTAGAAGGACTCCCTCAACCATTCGACATCATTACGGACCATTCGAACCTCGAATTCTGGCGCACTGCACAAGACCTCACCCGCCGACAAGCCCGATGGGCCCTCTACCTGTCACGGTTTGACTTTCATATGATCCACCGTCCTGGTAGAGTAAACACCCAAGCTGATGCTCTCTCCCGCATGGCAGTTCATCATGTATCGGACAGCGATGATAACCGACAACAGACAGTCCTTAAACCTGGCCACTTCGTAAAAATTGCAGCTTCGATCCTACAGAACCCCTTAGAGGATCGTATCCGGAAAGCCTCAGAACGGGAGGCACAGGTATTGGAGGGTCTCAAAACAGTCAAAGAGCACGGACTACAGCGCTTGGCCAATGGGATAGCCGAATGGGAAGAAGACAATGGGTTGGTCTACTACCGAGGTCGAGTATACGTACCAGCAAACGACGACCTACGCACTGAGGTACTCCGTCAATGCCACAACCATCCAACTGCAGGACACCCCGGACTACACGGGACACTCGACTTGGTCAGTACCCATTTCTGGTGGCCTACGTTGCGCTCTTTCGTGGAAAAATACGTTGAGGGATGCGAGGTTTGTGCCCGTAAGAAGATCCAGCGACACCCACGGGCCGTAACTCAACCATTAGATGTACCATCCGGTCTATGGGAAGAGGTAGGGGTTGACCTGATAACACAGCTACCTAACTCCCAAGGCTACGATGCTGTCTTGGTTTGCACAGACCTGTATGGAAAACAAATTCACGCCATTCCTTGCACCAGCTCCATCACAGCCGAAGGTGTTGCCGATATTTACTACCGAGAGATCTTCCGTCTCCATGGTCTTCCTCTTCACTTTAAATCCGACCGCGGACCCCAGTTTGCAGCTAAACTCATGCGATCCCTTCTCGCTAGGCTAGGAATTAAATCAGATCTAACCTCCGGATACCGTCCTCAGTCTAATGGCCAAACCGAACGAGCAAATCAGGAAGTAGAGAAATACATCCGCCTCTATGTAGGACGACGACAAGATGACTGGGCAGAGCACCTTCCCATGGCGGAGTTTGTGATTAACTCACGGACTCATTCTGCGCTAGGCATGTCCCCGTTCGAGCTAACCTACGGCTATCTTCCCCTGTTCAATATCCCAGTGGGCCAACGCAGCGGTATTCCAGCTGTGGATGACCGTATACGGATTCTCCGAGAAGCGCGACAAGATGCCGGAGCTGCCTTACACCTAGGAAAGAAACAACAGAAGGAGGGATACGAACGCGGGAAGCGGAAAGCTCATCAATTTAAAGTTGGAGACCTAGTCTGGCTCAGTGCAGAGGACATTAACCTTCAACTTTCCAGTGAAAAGTTAGGAGATCGACAGCTTGGCCCTTATCGCATTCTGGAGAAAATTGGCCCTTTAGACTACCGCCTTGACCTTCCCCTATCCCTAGGTCGCCTCCATCCCGTCTTCCATGTCGATAAACTATACCCCTGGAAAGGTAACTCCATTAATGGCGAAATACCAACACCACCAGAGCCGGTATACTTAGAGGATGAAGACGAACCGGAATATGAAGTAGAGGAGATCTTAGACAGCCGGGTTCGATGGAAGAAGTTGGAATATTTGGTTAAGTGGAAAGGTTATGACGCAGGGCACAACTCTTGGGAACCCGCAGCCAACCTCAGTCGAGCACCAAAAATTGTTCGGGCCTTTCATAAAAAACACCCAACAGCGGCAAAGCCTTGACCATCGAGGGCAATGGTCATAAGGAGGGGGGTAATGTCATAAAGTACGCAGCCCCTATCATTTTCCTTTTCTCACCGTCTCGACGCCTTTACTTGTACGATACATCATCCCATCACTGTCAAACCCCCATCGATTACTGATCCATCGATTACTGATCCACCTGACCCATCTTCTCCTTCTATTGGCTTCCGCCACCTTCCTTGTTCCTAAACTGTACAGTATTACATCGTTGTTTCTCGCAGACCGGATTATGTATATATAGCCAACCCTCCACAGCCTGGTCCCTTATCTTGACCTCTCTGTCATTATCTGGGACCAGGTATGTGCTTACTTATTATTACCTATGACTACGATACTCAATATATCTCTGTCATTATCTGGGACCAGCTTGCCGCCGTTCTGCTTAGTCGCTCCGCCTTGTTGCCTTGTCCAGTTGCTCCGCCTCACCGTTCTGCTTAGTCGCTCCGCTTTCTCGCTCCGTTAGTCACTCCGCCTCTGCCGCTTCGTGACAGCCTCACAGCGCTCCAGTACTCTTCATTCCCAAGAAGGATGGGAAGCTTTGCCTTTGCATGGACTTCTGCGGTCTTAACCACATCACCAAGAAGGACTGCTATCCTCTGCCGTTGATCTCGAACCTCCTCGACGCTTCAAAACAAGCTAAAATCTACACCAAATTGGATTTTGCTCATGCTTATCATCTAGTCAGAATTGCAGAAGGTGATGGATGGAAAACCACCTTTTGGACCCAATACGGCTTTTACGGATGGAAGGTTATGCCTTTTAGTTTCACTAACACACCTCCTGTTTTCCAATGTTTCCTTAATGACATCTTCTCTGACATGCTAGATGCTTGTGTCACCGTCTACCTCGACAACATTCTGACTTACTCCGATATGCCGGAGGAACACCGAGAACATGTGAAGGAAGTTCTTTGGCAGTTACAGAAGCATTGGCTTTACGCCAATCCTGATGTCTATCCCAAAGAGGGGGATATTGGCTACGCGCAAGTCAATGCTCACAGCTTCTGACCTATCTTCACTAACAAGCATGAAACCTCTGCCGGTTCTGGTCTGACCATGGGATTCGATCTCCATGGACTTCATTGAGCAACTGCCAACATCGGATGGTTACACAGCTATTCTCGCTGTCCTGGATAGATCATCCAAGCAAGCAATGTTTATTTCAACTTTCGACACTATTACTTCTGAACAACTAACTGAGCTTTTGATCATTCATGTTTTTTCTAAGCATGTTTTGGCATTTTTCCGGGCTTTTGGTAAAGCCATGGAACTTCATTATATCTTTGGATATTATGCAGAAGCCGGTAGGCAGACCTGTCATGAAGTACGTAGCCCCTATCATTTTCCTTTTCTCACCGTCTCGACGCCCTTACTTGTATGATTACATCACTGTCAAACCCCATCGATTACTGATCCACCTGACCCCCATCATCGATTACTGATCCACCTGTTACCCTTCTCCTTCTACTGGCTTCCACCACCTTCCTTGTTCCTAAACTGTACAGTATTACATTGTCATTTCTCGCAGATCGGATTATGTATATAAAGCCAATCCCTCACAGCCTGGTCCCTTATCTTGACCTCTCTGTCATTATCTGGGACCAGGTATGTGCTTACTTATTGTTACCTATGACTACAATACTCAATATATCTCTGTCATTATCTGGGACCAGTTTGCCTCCGCTCCGCTTAGTCGCTCTGCCTCATCGCCTTGCTTCGTCACTCCGCTTCCCTGCTCCGCTAGTCACTCCGCCTCTGCTTCGTGACAAGACCGAGCATGTCAATCAAACTGTCGAGCAGTACATCAGGATCTATTGCTCCTACCAACAAGATGACTGGTCACACTTACTCCCGCCCTCATAGCCCACAGAGGCATTCATCATGGCTGCTTGTGCAGGATTCATGTTTGCCATGGATTGAGCGGGATAACCACAAGGAGTTTGATAGCCAGCATAAGGGGGTTGTGAAGGTGGAGCGCCATAATTTGGACCTGGCGTGGTACCTCCGTATGGGTTAGGCATCCGTGAAGGCTGCACAGAAGGGGTGGCATATCCAGGACGTGCAGGCGTACACTGCCCAGCGCCATATGGCATTTTCCCTCCCCCATTTCCTAAATTTTGTGATTCGTGCAAATGCCTGGACGGCGTAGATAAGATTATGGGAACATATGAAGAGACCTAATGATGCTTACCAAACTTTGAAAGCATCACATAATTTTGGGATGCCTACTACAGGGGTGTACTACAGGGGCCTCAAACAGATAGTATGCCTCAGGGGTGACCCGAACAGGCTAGTAATGGATCATTTACTTATGGGTGTAAAAGAATAACAGACCACATACCCATGTTTGAACAGTAGAGTCTTTATTTGCCAAAAAACACAAGTTAAAGTGTCCTGGTCTCTTGCGATTCAGGGTGAAACTGCATATACTGTTCACTGGATTGGCGAGAAGTTGATTTTTCAAGAAGAGATCTGGAATACGGAATATCATTTGAGGATGAAACCCATCATCAAAGGAGCTACTTACGCAATTTGTCCTCGGAACCAGGTTTGAAACGGTCATGCGCCATGAGATCTTCAACACGTCAACTCATTGCATTTACGTGTCTGACAATTAATTCATCAAGATCGATATAGGTATGGCTAGCATCGACGACAAACTGAGTGTCCAAACTCTGTCCGGTAGGACCGTAGCCCTTTTCAGTTATATCTTTCAATGGAGTTAGTCACAAGTAATGATCAAAAATTGTCTCCTACGCACCAATATGCTGGTACAACTTGTCATCCACTTTCCAGGTTACTGCTAGGTGGTCGATGCCCTTGGAAGACGGTTGTATGACAACATCCCCACGCTGTTGACCATCCAGATACTGTTCTGCCTGAGAGGTGTTGAAGTTGTGGAAATTAGGATGCTTGATGATACGACGTGTTTTTGTGACTTCAGCTCTCTGTTTCCAAGCCAGGATGTCCAAATCCTTCTCGTGCTGAGCGCGATTCCAATATACATCAGGCTGTTTCCTTCCGAACTCCGTGTCGTTTTCTACAACATCACTCCAATGTGAAGACAATTCAACTTCATAAATGTTGTTTTCATGATCAATTCTGACATCAATGATGACTCCTTGTGTCATTTTGCCCTTGACGGGCTTCTCGGCACCGGGTGTATCATCAACCAGATATTCTTGCTTGATAATGCCCTCCAACCCAGAGTCTAGACAAACATGAATGCTATCAGGCGGTGTTCGGAAGACCAGAACTGATACAATGAGACCAATACAAAGTGTTTTCTGTGTCTCGCCACCCAACATAGTCAAAACATTCCAGCCATTGATGGGTGGAAATGGTGACCGCTGCTCTGAGAAGGGTTTGAGTAGCTCATCTCGGATCACGTTGAGAGTATGACGCTTCAGTTCTTAGTTTGCATTGAACAAACTAATGGCAAATTCGTCCAGGTTGAGTTCTGAGAGCTTCTTGTTTCTTCACGGTCCTGCATAATGAGTCCCACTATGTGCGAAGGGTGCTTGTTGTGAATATCTTCTTCGTCCAATTCCAGGGTGTCAATCGTCATTTTTCTTTGAACGGAAATCCTCTTAGCTTAATCTTGTTACAAGAAACAAGCTGACAGGAAAAGAATCTCGCAGCCGGAGTTCCCAATTGGCTCTGAAGTATTTCTTCTGGCTAAGCATATCTGATCTACTCGTCCTACTGAAAAACATCTTGGTCCTTTCAAGGTCATCAGTCAACCTCGTACTTTATCTTACGAGCTCAAGCTCCCAATCTAGTGCTGTAACCCATTGGCATTTCCTCCCGCTCATCATTATGATTGCTTCAGGGAACGCCTTATTAAGATTTACATTGACTGGAAAGCCGCATATTATGCATATGATACCATATTTGCCTGCAGATTCATCCTTGAATACGAGGCTCTGAAGAGCTTGTCTTCTGCTCCAAACTGAGGTCTTTCTGGAGATTGGCAGCTGTCTCTTGCCGAATGACTGTTCTGCAATGGACATCAGACATTGACCAGCTACCACTGTGATGGCAGTAGAACTGGCAGCCTGTTTCGGCTTTTGAGCTTGTGTTGTGTTTCCACAGGATAAGGCACTCTTTTGTTTTTTTTGATTTTAGTTTGGAACTGGAAGGCTGTTCTGTTGATGTCACAGACATTTTGTTGCAATGAGTCCATTTGGTGACGGGAAAGCTTGGTATAATGTAAGATCTGGGTTAGTAATGGTCTTAAGGGTGGGTTTGGTATGAGAGGTCTATGTTGTACTGTGCTAGGTGCAAGCTGGAGCTTGAAGGGAGCTACGGGAACTCCGACCGAGGATAGGAATGACATAGTGATAGTTCTGGTTGTGAGACATGGCCCTTGAAGGGGTTCCTAGAAGGTCCGGAGAGGTTCCTAGAATATTAACTGAGGAAGGTGGAGGTAAGTGGAACTAGGAGATGTAAGAGCATTGCATACTACAGACTGTAGTAGCTAGGAATGTCAATGTATGATTCTTATAGCTAGTAGACAAAGGGAGGTTCAGATGTGAGAGCTCCTGATAGAGTATGAGCCCAGGAAAGAGGTCCCAGGGGGTGGGGGTGATGGTTCATGTCCCTAAGCAGTGGAGGTGGTAAGGGAGGAGCGGCACTTGGTTGGGCATGAGGGGAAGCTCTGACATTACCTAGATCAAGGTCCTAGAGCTCTTGAAGAGATTTTCCTCAATCATCTTCCTTTGCATCCTGTGTACATTGTTGAGGAGGCGGCTGCGTGATGGCATTGTGAAGGTCCCATCTGTGAATGGGTATGCATAGCCTGCAGGCATTTCAGATGGTTCATCTCCTCATTTGTTGGTTCTAAGTCAAGGGGGAAGGGCTGATTCTTAAAATTGTGAATTTTACATGATATAGTTCTCAAAGTACAATCATATTCTCAACATCGAGTACAATGCATGATTACTATTGTAGTTTAATCCATGAAACAATTGATACTTCACAATGCAGTATACTTTCTAGTTATATAACTTTGTTACACAGAATATACTATAGTCCAAGCTCTGGATGAGCTTCCAAAAACTCTTTACAACACACAAGTATGTCCAATTCTGTAAACTTCAAATTCCAATTCAAAACTGTCAAAAATTGTGCTTGTATATCATATACATCTTCACAATTGAAGATAGTGCACATTGACCAACAGTGATTAACAATGCCATGTTTATCAATGAACTAGATATACTCATGCTGAACAATGTAACATATAATATCTGATAATGACTCACTTTAGAACTGAGAATGAGTGCACCAAGCAAGATCCGTTCCTCAACCCAGAGCTTGGTTTGTATTTGAATAACAGATTTTGCACGCCGAAGATATACAACAGCAACTAGTATCATTATCATTGATACTTGTGTGTGTTCAAGTACTCTTTTTATAAAAACACTGAACATCTTGCGTTCTGATTGAGATCGGGTGATGGACTGATTCAATGCATAGTCAACAATGTCGTAAACATAGTTCTTCAAGTAGTCTGTGTATTTAAGTATTGCAAAAAATGCCTACAAAGTGTTAACCTCACCTATGATATCACCAGTAATTCCTATGTGAATTACGTGCAGTACTTCAGGATGTTTTGTTGCAACACGGAAAACTTTGTCACTATAGTTAGTTGTGGGCATAATGCAAAACAATGATCATAATGATTTGTGCATTGCACTTTATAGATAGATAGATATCTACAGATAGATAAGTAGTCAATCTGACAATACACAACACGGTCCCTTAAACTTTTGACTCAAATACACTCAAGCTGTTACTGAAGAACCCCAAACTAAGTTTGTTACCATATATTAGTCAATCAGATTTTAGAATGATAGATTTGTTCATTCTATATGGGAATTTCATACACTTATCTAAATAGAGAGATACAGATTTCGGAACTTAATTTTCGCAGTCAAAGTTTATGACTGATTCATATTTCTATTAACTCTTCAAATAATTTCGAAACTGTCAATGATTCCACGCTCTAGGCTATGTCAATGACTCCACCTCTCAAGGCTACATCAATGAGTCCACACTTGAGGCTATGTCAATGACTTGATCTTTGAGGCTATGTCAATGACTCTACTAATGCTGTGTCAATGACTCCACCTCTCAAGGCTATATTAATGAGTCCACACTTGAGGCTGTGTCAATGACTTGATCTTTGAGGCTATGTCAATGACTCCACTCTTAATGCTGTCAATGACTCTACTCTCAATACTATGTCAATGAATTCCTCCTTGAGGCTACGTCAATGACTCCACTCTCAATGTTATGTCAGTGACTCTACTCCTTGAAGCTATGTCAATGACTTCACTTCCGACGTTGTACTAATGACTGCATGCACCAAATTTGGCACCATCAACATGAGGTTTAATTACATTGCCCATATTCAGTATTACTATAAACAGCAATGAATTTATCCGAATATATATATATATATTTGCAGTAACTAAGTCTTCATTGTCACTGTTCCACAGTCTACAATGAACTTGCTCAACAATGAACTTGAAATGCTGGAAGATGTAATCCTACTTGCAGTCATGGAGGAGAGCATCCATTGGGACCACAGTGTTGAATCTAACCAAATAACTCAAGATGTATCAGGTATGTTCTATTATAGCAGTATATGACAATATTGATCACCGGGTCTAGATACTGAGCGATGTTTACCTGTACATATGACTATGCCAGAAAGAGTGAGATCAACATTTGCATGTGTGTAATTTTTCATGGATAATTATAGCCAGATGCTAATTGAAACATATAGCTGAATTTGTTGAAGGTTCATCATCTCATCCACTAGAGCCTGGCAACAATTGCATTGGAAGGCCAAATACTCCAGAGAGCTGTTACTTCCCCGATGATGATGACTTTATGGATGATAAATTCTTACAAGAGCTTCAAACTATTGAATCTGCAACTTTTGAACAATCTGGTAAGTATATTTTCTCACTTGTGATTCATTTATGTTTATCATCAGTTACATTTAGATAGATTATCTTCAACACTGAAACATAAGTGCAATGAATCTTATGATGAAAATCCTTCTCCAAAGAAAAAAGGCAAAAAAGCAAAACACCTTTCAATGGATAATCAAACAACAGAACAGGATCCAACTACAGAGAATAGTCATGATCAAGAAATCAACAATCAGCCAATGTCTGAACTCTATGAAGATGATCTGATGTGTCCAATGTAGTTATAACTTGTTATTCATATATCTTGTCTGACATCAATGTTCTTTGAATAGATGTTGTGATATATTGTAAACAGTTTGAATATTCATGTCATATCACAATAACTGACATTACACAGCATAGATGCACATATAGTCAATCCATGTGGACATACAATTTGTGCCCCTTGTGGTTTTAAATGGCTCTACATTGAGGTATGGTCATTTTGAGATTGTCATCACTTTACTGTATTGAACATCATGAAGGGATCTGATGTTTGTCCTATCTGCCGAAAAAGGACCAATGTACTGCGGCCTTTTATCAGGAATTATACTGTCGATCACTTTGTTGAAAGATATATTCAAATATGTGCACTCAGTGGTGATATTGACTGGCAAGTAGATGGAAAAAAATATCAGCAATGGAATGATAGGAACAGGTTTATAATCATGATTATTGAAAGCTGTTATTGATTGTTTTCTTCTTATAGACAATGGCAGAATGATGAATCTGACGTTGACCAAAGTCCTTGAATGGCCATACACATGTGATTGCGAAACTAATCATTGCTTACTTGTTACCAGTCATTGTATTCATAAATTTTCTATAATGCTGCATGAGCAAGACATGTATTTTTTGCCAATTACTTGAGAAACTGAGAATACCATTTACCAGCTGAAGTATTTGTGATTGTGCTCTTCTATATATAATACCAAAATGATTAGCATGATGTAGACTGGCAACTGTAATAATTGTTGAATGCATATACACATCTCATTACATAAAAAACATGACTGATCATTGCAAATTACTTTATATACACAAAGAAAAACAAGACACCGAGCACACCCATATGGGAATACAATAACCCTTATGAATACTTATATTCCTAGGGGCATTTTGTCACAGCAGAATATAACTTGTGCAAGTCTCATACATATATTGACAGTAAGGAGTACAAGCAATGCAAATCAGTAACAAAGAAAAAAAAGTAAACACTGAAAATTTAATCCATCCATACAGAAACTTGCAACAGATATGTGTAAATTACATTATCAGGTTAAAACACATTAGCAGCTCTGCAGAAGTACTCCCAATATTAAATTGCATATCCATCATTCTGTTGCTCTTTTTCAATGCACTTTTTGCTGCTTCCTTATGGACAAACACATATTCATCACTTACATCTCCAAGCCACATTACCACTCTTTGCATACAACATGAACCTTCGAAAATGACTTCATACATAGCTGTGAACTTCTGCAATGCTTCCTAACATTCTTTTATCTCCCTGCAAGGTAACACCACAATCAAACTCACCTCTGGGTTAGTCTCTAGTGGTACCAATACACATCCAAAATATGTCAAAAATGTGCATGTGTTTACAAATTTCTGAATAATATCCAATGGATGCTCTTGTTGAATGTTTAGTATCAACTTCTTAATGGGATGTGATTTTTGCAGAACATTCAACAATTTGTCAATGTATATATCCTGGTCATCAATGATTTCTATACAAATCATTGATATAGGGCGCATTTGTGATCCACACAAGATACTTGAACTTGAAGCTGAACCAGTAAATGTTGACAGATTATGAAGAATAGTTGGGGACAGTAAATCTGTACTTTCTGAAGAATGATACTCTGCAACACGATAAGTGAAGCATTCCACTGTGTCATGTCTCTGAAGGAAGTTTCCTATCTTTAGACATCCTTTTCGGCTATGATAACTAAAGTACTGAAGTGCAGGGAAATAGAATGCAGGATTATCAAAGACCACTTGTAGATTGGACTTTGGATGTACAGAGATGCGCAAAAGTGAAAGACATGGACTGTTAAATGCCAATCTCAATAATGCATTCTGAATTGGTGCATCTTCATCTAAAACAATGATTATGCATGCCCTATATCATTGAATACAACAATCTCACCAGGGTATGAATGACAAAAACTGAGATCAATTTCAAGTGTTTTCAGGTGTCCCTTTGTGAGCTTATTCTACATACAATCAACACTGATTTAATTCCAAACATTTAACACTTACTAAACAACCACCATACATTCTCATGTTGGGAAAAGGACATTGAACAATTAAACTGTCAATATTCTCCACTGCTTTAGGCAAACGATGTGGAAATATATCATTGATAGAGAAAAATGGTGACACAATCCGGAGCAACCGCAATGATTTTCTGGGTGAATGCACTGCTATTTTCTCCAATGCACAAGGCAGATGCTTCAGAATGAACCTTCTTGTAACGCGTCGGTTCCCCGGGATAAAATCCATTTCAGAAATAGTGAGTGACCTCACAAAATATGCTGGATGATGCTGAGACCAAAACATTCTCCGGGCATATTTTATTCCAATGGAAACCAATGAACGACTAGGAACAGATTTGTACAGTTCACTATACACCAACATCCGGATCCTTTTTGAAACCAAAGCTATTACTGGAAGATATTGCCTGTTAAGAAATCCCAATATCTCCAGAAATAGCTCTGGTAATAAGGCAACTTGATGAGCAGACATTGCCTGTAAATCTCTAACTGAGGACATTATTGCAAATACTGTTGTATAATAATTCACACTATGAGCCTATATATACCGCCTTTATCAGCATCAAATTGACTCAACATGTGCAATATCAGTATCAAGCATATCAGTAAGAATGACTTGCAACAAAATTGTACATATAACTCAAGATGTATTACTGTTGACTTCATATGACTCAAATATGATAGTGACAGTTACAGAGCCATACTTGATTACATACTTTACAACACCAAAACTCCACTAATGACTCACTCATAAATCTACTCACTTCACTAACAAAATGTGATGAAAACTTCCACAATTTAAAAGCTCTTCTGATCAACTTAGGGCAATGGACTGACATATTGAAAACCAGTGCTACTGGCTGGCTTGTATTATAAGGAATAGGGAACAAATCCTTTACAGATAGATACAATTGCTGGATGCATTAAACTACTCTTCTCAGTATGTGGTGTATATAATGTACCATTAGGTTCACCTCAGTTGGTAGTTAGACAACTAACTTGTTTGCATAGTATGAGCTGTATAATATATAGCAATAATGCCATTATGGATTAGGAAAGTTAGACTGTTTCTACCATGGGTGTACTGAGCACAGAGTATTCCTTAACACCCCCCCCCCCCTACTCCATGTGATGTAATGTAAGGAGTGAATAGTGCCATTCAACACCTTTGTAAACATGTTTGCAATGTTGTCATTGGAGCATGGTAGGAGGAAGCTGGAGCTCAAAGCGAGCTGCAGGATGCATGACCGAGGACTGAAACAGCGTAGTAGTAGTAGTATCAAAGTGTAAGTAATGACCCTTGGGGGAGGTTGCTGAGGTCCAGGGAGGTCTGTAGGATGGTAATTGAAGTACATTGACAACATCAATAGCTGGGAATGTTGCAAGAGCTATGCATTGTAAGTCATGGGAGGTGAGAAAGTCAACATAGAGCCTTAAAAGCTTGTAAGAAATGTAGGTTGTAGGAGCAGGAGCTCTTAGATGGAAGTGGAAGCCGGGGAAGGAGGTGCCAGGACAAGGTTATATTGGTTGATGTTCCCTAGCAGTGCAGGTGGTAATGGAAAAACAATATGAGAGTGGATGCCATAGGGAGCTTTAGATGGTGCATTTGGTGGAGGAGGCATGGAAGGAACAGTGTGGTGATTAGACAATTGGGTGGCAGGACCGGAAGTAGCATATAGGGAGGTTGGCGCATGGAGGGTTTGTGGGTGGGGCATGACAGATTGCTGGCATTGTATGCACTTACAATAGCCAATCAAGAACTGTATTTAATTGCCACTTATCATTAATAAATACAAAAAGCTGCAAATATTTATCACTATATGTCATGGGTCTTGATTAAGTTTTGTATGCAATACAACGGGATGTGAGACTCATCTTTATTTCATCATTTGCAAATCCTGGTGAATAATTGTTTTCCATAACAAACCTGACACTAGTGATATTTTCATACAAGCTCAGAGCTCCAAAAATACCAACAGATACATTATTGACAGTGAGATCTTTGTGCTGATATAGAATTTGATGCAGGGCATGTAGACCATGTTTAATAAGATCTTCCAATCAGCGTAATATATATCATATCATTAAGGTAATATTCAATAAATGACTAATTAGTGCTTACTCTCTGTTTCCTTACTTTCCATCTGTGTGCTTCTGTTTCTCATTTCTATGTTCCAATTTACACTTTTACATCATGTTCAAGCATCTTGAGTGAGTACCTAAATTCCCTTCACCAATTTTAAATCTGCACAAACATCTACTATTTGGGTGAACCAACCTCCCCAATACCTCCCTTAAGCTCCCTACTTGCTCCCTAAGTACTGGGAACTTAACTCCAAGCAACATTGAAGCTCTCCATGACATCCACCCTTGTATTGCTTCTCTGTTGTTGTCTCTACTGCTTGGCAACACCAACCTCGACTCTCTCTCACCCCAGGACCTCCTCCCGGGATCCTACTCCTATAATTCATGTTCCCTGCTGGTTCTAACGGTCCTGTGTTGATGTTCTGGCTTATGTTCCAAACTTAAGTTGTCAATATAAATCAAGAAAAAATTATGTTACATTTGTGTTGCAGTAAGTAGCATCATGAACATATGTTCAGATGGGAGATTCAATTTTCACCTCTTTATTATGAAAATAAAGATCACCCCAATATGATTGTTTTCTTATGCTGTTATTGTCATAGCGATACTGCTGGTGAGCAGCATGACTCATCATTCTGGATTGCTCGGAACTATGATTATTCTTATGTCGAAAATGACAACTTTTGACTCATTTAATCAATAACAAAAGGCTATGCTCCAACTATTTAAGTTGCATTTATGCTGAGACTCATTGGACATCATTGTGACTCAAAATGGATCAAAAACCATGTGGTGATTCCAGTGGCTTTTACTTATAAACAACAAAAGCCACTTTGAAATCTCGGAATTGATAAGACCCACCATTCATTCCTTTGTTACTATGTCTTTCCTATCTAATCAAAGTCTACCATTTGAGCTTATAGCTAGAATTGCATTCTTCGCAAAAGAAGATAGGAATGCTGTCCATGCACTGCCTCTAGTATCCAGACAGTTTTATGCGGCTACTTTCAAAAACCTATATAGTATTGTGAATGGGAATGCATTAGAAACCCTTGCTCAAAGTAGTCCCATTTTTTCAGACTGTAAACATCCCGCAGCATGTGTTGAGGAGGTTTTAATTGATGGGAAATTCAATTCTGAGAAAGTCACAACGTTTTTTCAATCTGGAATGGAAAACATAGTGCGCTTTGCAAAGCATTCGAAACCTCTTCGTCTGTTCAAGTTTTCATCTTCAAATTTGGATTTCCCTCTGGCCTTTGAGGTGGCACCAATTGGTTTTGTAGGATTCATGACAGTATCACTCAGAGCACCATGTCCTCCTGAAAAGGAACATCATCTGATGAATATAATTGTAAGTGGTAGATGATGATTGCATAAATTGTTCTGATTGTTACCAGAATACTCTTTGTACCATTCACACCAAAGAATTTGAATTCAATGTTACTAGCATTCATGGATATGGTGCTGTATTGATAGATTTTAGCAGTGATTCTCTCTACTTACATTGTAGTCAGTGACTTTCAAAGCACTGGTCAATGTCATCCGGCTATTACATAAGAATGCCCCACATATTCAATCTCTCAGATTGATTCTTTCATCTCCTCATGTGGAAGGAGAACACATCATGTTACAAGAACTTTTCAATGATATCAAAATCACTTTTCTTTGCCTGCAGGAGTTTGTTATTGAAGATGCTCCAGTGGATATTGATGATTTCTTGCAACGGCATCCGAATATAATAAGAATGACATTTATGCCTTCATGGCAAGTCTATAATGCTGAGAGTGTGTTGCGGGACATCAAAATCATTCCAAATCTACAATCCTTCACGGGGACTGGCAATGTTGCTGCATCTGCATGCAATTCACATAGACCACTTGTTTACTTAGGTCTTCGTGAACACAGACCTTCTGATGTAAAAATGATCCAGCTTCTCAATGGCATTCATCATACACCCACATTAATAAACATATCACTTATGGTCAACTGGGAGAGTGGTTATGAACTGAATGAATTGCGCAACTTCATTACTGCATGTCCTCAACTGAGAATACTCAAATGTTGTATTCAACAGACAGGGGAAAATGTGAGTACCATTACTTCTAATTAAGCACTTCTTATGACCATTGGTTAGCAATCACTCATTACAGATATCTATGATGTGATACTTTCAAACACCCCAAATCTATCCTATCTGTGTATCTATATTTCTGAAGATGTAAATGATTATCGGGACATTTTGAGCTATCACAACTTAGCAATCAATGACATAATCAGTCATACACAGTATAACAGATCACTGGATGTGGAGATATATTCTCGATATTATGGAAAAGAATGCCTTCTCAAATTGACATTTCATGTCTGAGGTTATACTCAGTTGTTGTGGATCTATCAGCATTAGATAATATATAATGTACAGTCATGATAGTGGGCAAAAATTCTGATCTCAAGATTTGGTGTATATGTTAGTACTCAAGTTCCAAAGACTTCACTGTACCACCATTCCTATCCATATATGCTGTCCCCATATGCCTTGTACTGGACAGTAGATATAACTTACACATTACACTATTTTGAATCCATCAGTTGCTTTACCATCAAATGTTGTTGCCAACTTCAAATGATGCGTGCCGCTGCATCTACCCAAGCCCAGAAAGCGCAATCTGCAAGAACAGCAGCAGATTATACCACCTCCGTGCTCTGCCATCCCAGGGTTAGGCCCTGGTAGTGTGTCTCTTTCAGTACCATCCTCTGGGATGAATAATTCGAAGTTAACCAATTACGTTAGTAGATTGAGAGCTTTCTCTGCACCAGGTTCATTTACCCCGCTCTCTCAGAGCGTAGCTTCAGGGGGCTGGATATCGATTTACTCTCGCACTTCGTCTCTGCCTCTTACTGTACCTTTGGAGCCACATCACATGCCACATTCAGCTCACTGACATCATCCTCTCTCTCCATCTGAAGACTATCGTACCTCTTCCTTGTACAACTATCCATCACAAGCAGAATCATTGATGCATCATAACTACAGTTACCAAAATACATCTGGTAGCCAGTGGTTCCCTTCCAACGGGAATTTATTGACTTCTCACAATAGTAGCTTGTCGTCCTTTCTTAACCCTTCTAATGGCTCTAATGCCTACAACCAGAACACTTGTCCTACGCTGACCATCAATACTGCTTTTCATTCAGGCAGCAGCTATAGCTCGCCCTTTTCCTCAATCCCTCTACACTTCTCAGAGCAACCGCACTCGGCATCCTTGTTGTCACCCGAAGAGCACTCTTGTTCACAGTCTGGATATCCGATAACATACGATGAGTATGCGACTTCTTCTAGACCTAATTCGAGTCACAGACAAATTTTTCCCCCAGCCCAAGGCTTTCCCGGTTACCTTATCACTCGACTAACACCTCTACTATGATGGTAAGGCATCATCGCAGACATTCACAAGTCATGAGCCCTTATCCATCTCCTTATGATGGCGGTGGCTCGTCTTCTAGTGGGTCATTGACTGAACACCAACATCCTTCTAGCTCTCCACAACCTGAGATGCATCATGGGCACCCAAACACCCATAATGGCCAATATCAGACTCATCATAACAAAATGCCATCATCTCTTTCTTGTGCTCGAAGCATGATGCAGCTTTCTTCTGATATTCATACCATAACGTACCGTCAGAATTCGCATCGATCTCAGTATCCTCTCTCACAAGTGTGCCATCTTCATCGTCAATCTCATCTATGGCATCTATCGACGATACATACAGTAGGCATAGCACGAGCAGCCTCATCAATGAGTGTTGCAAGTTCCTTGTCTCAAGTGAATACCCCCTCCCCCCCCAAAGGATGACGGGGCAAGCACCTATGAAGTTAGTATCTCAGGTGCAGGGATGGGCGGAGACACTGCCATAGTAAGAGGCTACAATCAGAACTACAGCTTTGTTTCAATGGACAATCATGAACTTCAATCAGGATACGGAAAAAAGACGTAATACCGCTGTTTCTAATGCAACTTCGTGCATGCCATGCTAATTTTTGTTTGTCGATGAGGATTTCTATCCTGAAGACGGTTCTGAAAACTTTTCTCAAATTTAGAACATCATGTTGAGGTACAGCGTCTTTTGCATTTGAACCTCATTGTTGGTGTTTTCCCTGATTATACGTGCCCTGCTATTGTGCTCCATATCTTGTTTTTGCTATCACTTAATGGACTTTCTGCCTACCTAAGCTGCTTAACTTACCTCCCTGTATGCGTTTGCCAGTATACATACCGTACGTGCTCAAAATTGTTCTTGTATTTTTATCACCATTTGTTGCCATTTTCGAGACTCATCGAGTTTGTGCGTTATTGATCAATCGTCTGTTGGAAATGTTCCATGGAAACAATCTGCTATCTCGCTGGGAAGTTCTGTGATGAGCTCATACTCAAGTTCAGCATTCAATATCATGTGTGATGAGCTCATACTCAAGTTCAGCATTCAATATCATGTGTGATGAGCTCATACTCAAGTTCAGCATTCAATATCATGGCAGCTATCGCAGCACATTATAGCTGAGTTTGAGGTGAACTCGAGTATGTTGTGCACCTCATTTATTCACCAACCATACAGTAGATGAATTTTACCACAACATTTACCTCTGTTTAGTTGGTTCACCATCAACAGTTTGCTGGGAGAGAAAGACAATCAGCGAGCCAGTGCTGTTCTACCTACTCCTATTCCATAATTGATCGGTTATCATCCTTCCCATTTATTGATAAACAGAACTCTCATGAAGAAAAACCTTAACCAGCATGGACACAGAAAAAATGATGGTGAGGTAGATCATTATTTTGCATCATTCAGCAAAAAGAGAATGAGAAAGCGTCATATTCTAGCTTATCAACCAGCGTTCAGCATTGTCTTTACCCGAGCTACATTTTTTCGGATTATCTTGACTTGGTTTAATTCTGAATTATTCAACTTTAAAGAAATCATTTGAAAATATTCAGCTACATCATTTCATTATTACACTGCTTCTCCATTTCTTAGCCTTAGGCTTGTCCAATGAACACTGTTGATGTTCCTGATAGCAACGTGCACAGCACATCTTGTTGTTCAAACGAAAACATTTCGAGTTGACTTGTGAACAAGATGAACACGAAGGCGCTGAATAACAAACAAAGAATATTCTTCAATCAGACACATAGAACTGTATCTGAGAACATACAATTAGTTTGACCAGTTCCAATCAAAGTCCCGCCTTCACATCTCACAAAATCATCGAATGCTTCATCGTCGTTGTCAATTGCTCTTTTCTTGGGTCGTGCCTTTGATTGCAACATTGGGGATGGCATTTGAATATCATCAATCTAGTGTATAAGTATAATGTCTAGTTGAGACCAATAAACATAACTCAAAGAATGAAAATACCAATGTCTGAGGCTGCGAAAGTAGTTGCCTGCAACAACTGCGGCTGCTATAAGTGAATGAATACAGTGTTATCTGCTTCAAAGGAGTGATCACCAACTTTCTTATTTGACGAAGTCTTCCCTGACAAATCGGGATCGACCATAGTGCTTTTAGTAGTGGGAAGCGTGGTGCGTTTCGTAGTGACCAGCCCAGTGCGTTTCATAGTGGAAGTCGTAGTGCGTTTGGCGGTGAGAGACGAAGTGCGTCTGGAAGTAGGAGACCTAGCGCGTTTGGAAGCGGGAGACCTAGCGCGTCTGGAAGTAGGAGACGTAGCGCGTCTGGAAGTAGGAGACATAGCCCGTTTGGTAGTGGGAAGCGTAGCCGGTTTTGTAACGGAACGCGTCACCGGTTTTGCAGCGGAAGGAGTAGCTTGTTTCATAACGGGAAGTGTAGCCCGTTTTGTAGGAGATCGGATGACTATATCAGCGTTATCAGAAGCTTGCCAAGAGGTGCATTCTGACGTCGTGGAAGGTCGAGGTTCAGGAATATCTGTAGAATCCATCATTTTGGGTATCCCTGTTGAATTAAAAGCTCCTTAATGACGAAGAGAAGAAAGACTACCGATTCTCATACCGGTAAATGATGATGGAAAATTTCGCACTGAACCAAATGAAGACTTGGAGATAATATCGAAAGTCGGATCGAACAAAGTGATGGGAGCAGGGTCTTCCTGTAGCGGAGGCTGATTGCGAAGTTTTTGCCACTCTTCTTCAGTAGGATAGTCGAACACAAGCAGCTCAGTATTGAGGAATGTATGAGCTTCTGCAAGCATGATACGGTTCTCCTCCTCCTCCCTCAGCTTTCTGCGATGCTCTTCCTCGGCTTGCCATATCTTCTTACGTTCCAATGCAGCGCGTTTCCATCGTGGATCAAGCCAAGCCTGGTCCCAAGTCCAATGTGTTTTCTCGAGCATAAAGTTATCCGCTGTAATCAGAGCATCCTTTAGATAGACTGATTCAATGTACAACGATGTATCGCGCTCTTTGCTCAATATACGATGGATACCTCTATAACGTGCCTGAAAAGATAGAATATAATGAGTGATAATTATTTGTATGTTGTACCTAAATTTCTTACAACAGCAATAGCAAACTCTTTTGCCCATGATTGTAATGCGAGATCGTTTAACTGGTCAAGTTCCTGAATCTTGGCCACCACGGCAATAACCGTTGATCCAGTGTCTGTGATGAGCTTGATCATGGCTTCAGAGAGAGGACGCATTGTTGATCAATGGTGGGTGGACACAGAAGAGTTTCAGATTCACTCGACATTAAATAACAATCCATGGTGATAAGTTGGTTTCCGCGATTACGGCAAAATGGTACATGCACTAGTGCGATCTGCGAGCATTACGTGAAATCAATCCATTGTGGAATCATTCGAAGATCATTGGAGGGATCACGACAGGCCTCGTTCTTGCAACAGGTTTCCGAGTCAGGCTATGTCAATGGAAGCTTATTATGACTGCATGGTATACAGACCGAGTTCCGCGGCAGTAGACGCAATGTCTTGAGGGAAAGGTCAAGTAAAACTGCTTTGTGGACGTGCGACTCGACACAGAATTCACATTATGCTGTGACATTTTGTCCTTGAAGTATCTTGGTTATATACGGCTGTCACTGCACTAATGTTGATGAGAACTAACTCTGAGTCTCCACTCTTTCCGGACACTTTTTCAACATAACGAAAGTAGATCTGTAAGTTAGAGCAAATTGTGAAGACGTCGAAAGCAATTGGAGATGATACAAGTTCAAGAATTAGAGCACACTATCATCCCTCCATATCGTCGTCAGTATCAGACAAAACTTCTTTGCTTTTACTACAAATGTCGTCAGCAACCGAAAAAAAGTTCCACTCCAGCAACTACTTACAACTGCTTTTTACGTTGAGGACCTGTCTGCACTTCGTCTTCATTATGGTCTCCGACAACCCGTTTTTTCGTGGGCTTTGCAAAAAAAAAGTCAATAAACGCGGTCCGTTCTTAGATGGCAAATACACACCTTCTTTGTAGGCCTCTCAGCCTCATCCTCGCCTAAAAATACGGTTGCGGGCTTTTCACCTTCCTCAGTAGGTTCGCCATTGGCTTTCCTGATTTTACCTCTTCGTTGGTGCATCACCCTCGTCACCGCTACCGGTTCCATCACCTGTGGACTTTTTAGCCTTCTTCGGGCTTTTCTCCTTCTCCTCCTCACTTTCGTTCATTCGTGCCTCACGCGTCCATTCAAGAGCCTGTTCCCTAGCCAATCGCCGTTCTTGTGCCAACTTCTCGGCTTCCTTCCGAAGAGCTTCCATTTTTTCTTTCTAAGTAGAGTTGAAGTTGCGTTGTCAAAGGTTAGTTCTCAAAACTTACCGCCACCGCTTCCTGTCACTGCCTCTCTTCGAAACGAATTTGCCTGGCAGAGTCCACTCTAGCTGATTTGCAGCTAGATGCATATTCATATGTTCGCTAATCATGCGTGAGGGTTCGCTCAGTCCACTACCATTAAGCTTGCCGTCTTCGATCTCGAGCGTTTTACTGATTCTGTCAAACAGTTTCACGGGCACGCGCGCGCTCTTGGATCATCTCGCTGCTGGATATTCGGGGCCTAGGTGAGCCGCGAAGCGAAGCAAGCACCATAGTAGCTTCGAGCGACTCCTGAGGATTCGGAGCCTGCAAAACGTTGTTTAGAGTTTTGATAGCACCACCCGGCTCGTCTAGATCAATCTTAATCAGTCTGAAGAAACGAAGAAATTGCGGATTCCTACCATTGTTCATCGGCATTTGAGCAAGCCCAATTGCAGCAAGTACGTGCTTCAATTGACCTTCAGTTGCTGAGGAATAGTACGGTGTAGCAGCTAGGAAGTTGCCTTCAGCATGCAAAACCCGTCCTGCGCGTAAATGACCTTCTGTGAGAAGGGGCAAGGTATGAGCGAATTGAATGGTCCTTTCAGCAAGTTTGAGCGCCTAAAACTGAGATAAGACATTGTATATGGTAAAAATCATGCGATGGAACTCACTCGTTTCAACTCTCCTTTCTGAACGAAAGTTTCGCAGAGAGCATTTGCCGCGGACGTTTTTCTGATTGGCATTGAATGCCTTCTCGATCAATTGAGTCCCACTGAGAAATAAGCGTGCCTGCTCTTCTTCCTTGAGATGGCCGTCTTTGCTGGAATTCAGTGACTCCCAGTCAAGTAGTAGTTGTGCAGTCCAATCCGAAGGAATCTGAAAGCATTTCAGCAGATCCCACCTACGGCTAGAAATGAACGAACAAGTTCCAAGCTGCGTTCCCAGGCCACCTTGGCTTTAGCTTGATAGCGCAGAAGCATAATGCAATCCTGAGACGAGGATCTGGATGGCAATGTGGATTATATCTCAAGACTTGCTGAAAAAAAGCGCCTGAGGATAATTTCTACGCATATAGAGAATTCGGCCCTGCATAGTATTTCATTGAGGAAATTGATTCATACAGTGACTCGAAGGGAGGGACCTTACCAAGTAGCGCAACGAGTTTGGTAGGTTTCGTTGCGAGCACGTCTTTGAACGAACACAATTCCTTGTTCATGTGACCCGTGGCAAGTTGTTGGATACCTATATTGATTCTATGTGAGTAGTGTAAGCTTTAATGACCACTGGAAAACGTGCCGCGAGTTAGGAATGCGAGTTCCGTGCTGATTGCTGGTTCTCCTGACTGGCTCGCCTCCGATGCAGAAGTAGATGCAGCATTGATCAGAGACGCAGCTTCTCTATGGTATTCTTCGTTGGATTTTTGGTTGGTCATTATGTCCTCACCTGTCCTTGCAGTGAGACACAGAAAAATCTCAGGGAAAAGGTCCACAGACGAGCATTAGGTAGAATTAGCTTCGGAGCTCTCCGAGAATGATCAATTTGAATGTTTGCAAGCAAGGAGTAGATTGGAGGCAGCAATGCCGCCTTTCCGTTCATTTTGAACGCTAAGAACATGGGTCAATGACTTGTAAACCATCAAAGAAAACGACAACATACAGGCAATAGCGTTTTATGCAATCTGCTGCGCGGCCTCACAAAATCCACTTCTCCAATATTCACCAGTCAGCTTTGTCCAGACCCACACTCTACATTGGCCATCCCTCAGGAGTTCAAGAACGTCTTCTGGATTAGAATCAAGGTTGTCGAGGTCGATGGTAATAACTTCGTGACTGCCAAGTTCAATGTCGATAGATCGACCAATTGAAACGAATTCATCGTCGATGTCCATGGTTTTTTGTCATTGACAGGGCGAAAAATACGAGAGTCAGCATGTGTAGACCGTGTTTTGTGATGGTGGTTGTCTTCAAAATATTCGGGTACTAACTTCTCGACAGCCGTCGTTTAACCGGCAGGCAGGTAGCTTATCTAATCCTTTTCAAACCACTGTCTTTTACCACTAGTACCGTCTACCGCAGGGGTTACTGTCTAAACGTCTTATTTTCTTCGCCATTTACCTTCAGGTCGGCACGTCGATGAGGCTATCAAGTCCGAGGAAGATCGTGCGGCTTTCACTCAATTTGGCCACGACTGGGACAGCTAGTGTATGACTATGGATGAAACCCTGTATTCCGTCGCCGAGAAAGTACAGAACTTTGGTGTAATCTATCTATGTCATATTACAGAGGTCCCACCCTTTAACAAGGTTTGACTAATAGAAAAGCTCTGCTGATATTCTTTCTCATTCTAATGTGATACATGTATGAATTATATGATCCATGCACTGTGATGTTTTTCTATCGGTAAGCCATATCTCTCATATTTTATCGCGACTCTAGTTAGGCTGTGCTAACTTCCTGTACGCTCAGAAACAAACATATCATGATTGATTTCGGTACCGGTAACATCAATAAAATGTACGTTTCCGCCGACCTCTCAGCGGTGGTAGTGTTTGATGCTGAAGACTTGACGTAGAAATTGGGCCATGGATAATAAACAAGAAGTACGATGTTGTTAACAGCTGATTGATAATTCAACTTACGCTTTCTTCAGTTATTTAGCATTATTGAAACAGTGTATGGTGGCGCTTCGAAAGGACGAGGTTTAGTTGTTTCTCCCAAACATTCGCCTATTTCCTGTGACTACTTGCCTTTTCATTTACTGAAAATGTTTTTTTGCAGATTAATCAACTCGTTACAGATATTAATCCTACACCTCGCCCTCTACCTGCAGAACTTGCCGAAAACTTGTCCAGCCGAGTAGGTTCCTGCAGATTCCTTCTATTTGGGACTTTCTGGTTATACCACTTTCTTCCTTTCCACTTCGAACGTCGGCCATCCTTAATTCGGAAGATGGTTGGTGTTCACAAGATCTCGCCCCATATAGTCAAGGCTGAACTCTTCAAGTTACCATTCAGCTGTCATTCAAGACGATTATGAAAGATTTCAAAGAAGTACTTATAGGGCATCAACCACGATCCTGCCGCCTATGCCGCCTTCTCGTCATCTACAATCCCGTCTATGCTGCACATAGACTTTCGGTTTACAATTACTACCGTCACTACAGTCTAGATCTTATTCAAATATCTTCGCGGAAGTTTTTCCCGAAACGATGCTACCTGACCCGCATCAGATTGTCATTTGTCAAGTTCCCAATCGAACTCAGCGCAAAACATTGCAGAGTAGTATGTCCCATCTGTCAGCAACAGCGTCTTTGATGTTCATCTTACCCGATTCTTTTCCAATAAACAACTTCAAAGAGCCCGAATCATCTTTCTGATCGACAGAACATATTTTTGAAATACGTTAAGAATTGTTGGTTGTAAGTAGTTCGGTCGTTCGATTTATACAACATGTTACACTACTCTCGACGAGATCTAGTTATAAATAAATTAGCATTGATCAGTGTAGTCAACAAAGTGAATGGATATAGAGATACTCACATTAACCGAAAACTATCCAATCATTGGATTCTTCTGCATCAACTACCTTGAATTCTGCAAACGATGGTATGACAGGCATAGGAAGTGTATACGAAGGAATTCGATGCATAGGATTGGTTGGTTTCAACACAGAGCAACCCAGCAATTCCGGAACAACGTCGACAAGTTCACAGCAATTTGTCATGATTTCTTCCGGAGTAAACCACAACTGCCAATTAAGCATTATAAGGAATTCTTGTTCAATTTGATTTATGTCGTAGACATTGAACAAGCCTCCAGTCGACAACATCCAGTTCAGATTTGTCCAAGTATTCTCTTCTATAAACTACAATATAATATGAGTTTAGAATTCACCACTGATAAGACATATGAATGAAAGATACCTTTGTGCTAGTTATTGCCACTCCAATAAATATTTTGTGTTCTACCCAACGCAACCGCGGTCGAATACAAACATAACGCCTGACTCTCCGCAAATAGAGCAAAAGAAGTAACACAACAGACATTGAGAGATGTCCTTGTCGCACGATTGATTCGATGAAGTAGAAGAAAGAGATGGACGGCGCATGAGGATAGGAGTCACAAGCTTCATGTATGATTTCGTATATCACTGTTGCTATATATTCTGGAAAATATTCTGACATTAATCGCCACACAAAATTGGCATTCAGATAATGTTCGACGTACTGATGACTTTGCGTGACACTCCAACACTGATAACCCGCAGCAACAGGTCATTTGGTGCTGTTAGTTTCAACAAATTGTAACCAAAGACGTTCGACGACATCTGAGGAAAGGAATGGAATTAAAATCTTCTACACTCGCAGTGCTATGTATATGTATTATTTGAACTTGACTGGTTCGTAGAATAATTACAGTAGATAAGGAGCAATTGGAAGCTCAATTAGAAGCAACCACTCAAAGCTTAAATTACATTACCCCTGAACATTCCATTGCATTACACATTGTGTGCGTTCTGAGTATCCACACAGCACAGCTCCGAAATACATTCTGAACACCTGCTTTCGACCGCAGCATAAACGTGTGAACACCAATTGATACTCCTAAAGCCTATTAGTATATATCCTTAGCGCCAAATCACTGCCAAGCAGTTGGTAACTTATGAATTAGGGTATATCTTCACCATAATGACTCATGAGCATTGTATCAATGCTGTATATTATGACATGGCAATCGAGACTCAGTGGCTAGGCTGAATCCTGAGGCCTGATGAAACACTTTGCAACACTTGTCCGACACCTTCTGATTCTGTTTGAGCCGATGCGATTGACCATCTATTTTTTTTCACTTCCTCAAACTGGGTCTGGATTGTAGTATTACCTCTGAAACTTCAAACAAAGTCCGACTTGTACTGCATAACCTGATATAGAACACTTAGAACGTCACGGTTCTGGAAATGCACTCCGAAAAAACCGGTGGACAACAACCAGGAGTATAACCGATATTCTAAGGAAGTACAAAGGAGAAAGTGAAGCCAAAGGGACAACCGTGTGACGATGCGATACAAGACGAGTGTTTAGGCCATCGGTTGAAGGAGGGAGGAGAGATTGTGTTGCGAGTTGCCGTTGAAGTTGTCGGACTAGTTGTCGAAGGACTCTCAGCAGTGTGACCTTGGAACTTATGAAATACAGCGAGTTTCGGAGGGAAGGCTTGACGACATCGACCACATCACGCGCAACAGATCTTCGGGTGAGCAACATTATACTGTCAATATACCAAGATTCAGAGATTGGACTACTTCATTTTTTGGGTACGATGCACAATCAAACTGCACACTATTTTTTGTTTTGGGACAAGTTTGGGACATGTTGAACGATTCCGAATAGCATGAAAGCAGGGTTTGAAGTAGTACGGAGACAACTTGAATCATTTGGAAGCCGGATTGAGATAGTAGGGAGGCGTGTCGAAAACTTGTGAGTCTCATCAAAGCACGGTTGAGTTGGGCAGAAGTACAGTGAGGAAGGCGTGTCGAAAACTACTGAATCCTGTGAAAATGGGGTTTGAGATGTATTAAAGACCTGGAGTATTGGAATATGTGTGGGACAAGCATGCGATGCGTTGAAAGACACAGGATATATATTGGAAGTCAAAACTTGTAACAAGGACCTGAGGAATAACAGCACCTCGTAGAATGAGACAGGAACAAAAAGGAAATAGAAACCATACCGATCGAGAATATCTATTCAGGATAAGAGGAAAGACAGGGACCAATCCCAATCCACACACCATAGTTAGGCCACTTAGTGGGCAATATAGACCTGAAGTCCACAGGACGACGGGACCTAACAGGTGGAAGATCGGGATTGACCAAAAAGAAAGAGAGGAAAAGGAATGCGTTTTATAGTCCAGCAAAGTTTGGACTCATCAACAAAACAACGCGAACGCGAACGTGATCTGTTACTACTCGTGCTTGTCATGTGGTCGGTGGTCCGGTACCCGCACTGCCCTCTCTCTTGTCTGCCAAGTCGTCTCGGTGGGAGACGGTAGCACACCCTGCTCCACATTGAGCACCTGGGTCTGATCTTCATCTGATCTCCGAACCTCCAGCTTCAAGCTCACAACACTACTTGTAAGTCTGAAAATTTTGTCCCTTTTACCACGACGCTGCAAATGACAATGAATACAGATTGTTTTCTTTTACCATTGCTATCAATGAAGGCGGTGACAGCAATGACAAGCAGATTAGGAAGCTCTGGCTCATCTCTTTCAATCCCTCCAAAGACAACTCCACCTTGAGGAGTTCTCTACCACAACACCTTCAACGCCACGCCAAGTCCCACGATGAATACACCATAACCTTCATCGTCTCCATCTTTCCGTCGCTCCAACCCCCTCTCCAAACTACTACGAAAGTAGTTACCGATCGATGGCTTTGCGCAGAAACACGATTCCTCATATTTGATATCGCTGTAAAACTTTCGGGACATAACAAGGGTTCACCTGGTTCTCATTCATGTCAACATGTATATTCCTGCTGAAGAGATAACCTTCGTCGTCGTCGCTTCGGGCTCCAGAATATTTTCTGTGACCGGCATCATCTCTGGGCTGTACAAATAACTGCAACGAAGGTAGCAGTGGCGAAGTTCTACTCGACAAACAAAATCTTCCCTGACGGCAATGGATCCGTTGGCAGACTGTCACAGGACGATGCTAGTATTTAGCGTAGTGGCGGCCACAAGCAACAATTTCCACTTGCTCGTGCACAGCTATCTGTTATCGCTGGCGGAATCGCACCATTCATGACGATCGTCATTGATCAAAACTTCAACGCTTTCGCTCAGTTTCCTCAGACTCCGAATCCTTCAGAATCCGCAAAGCACCAGCTGCTACACGACGTCGGCATTGCTGCACTCGAACTTCTTGGTCTCGCAGTCGGCAGCTTTCTCCTCAGCGCCATCACCAGTAGCTTGTGGATATGGACTGGAGAACACAACGTGCGCGAAGTACGCCGAAGAGTTTTCGGGAGTGTCCTCAGTCAGGAAATGAAGTGGTTCGATATGAAAACACAGGGCGATAGTGTCGGCTCTGCGGGACTTATGGCACAGTTCAATCAGTGAGTAGCACCTTCTCTCGAGCTGAATACTCTAAACTCACGAACCCGAAGGGATACCGATTCCATTCACCTAGCTTCTTCGTTAGCTTCTGGTTTACTACTCCAGCACCTTGTTACAACCATCACTGCCCTCGTCCTTGCTTTCGTCGGTTCTCCGCTATTGGCGCTCCTCACTCTATCTACTGTCCCCATCCTATCAATTGTTCAAGCAATCTCCCAGCGTCTTGCCGGTCCTTTACTCATGAATGAACGCAAGGATGGAGGGCAGTTGGCTACACTCCTTGAACGTACCTTCACCTTCATCTCTACTGTAAAAGCCTTCACCGCTGTGCCCTTTCACAAGGCCAAGCTTCACAATCTGCTCACCGGACGTATGCGCTCTAACGAAATCTCTTTCAACGCCATATGGGGTCCTTCGAGTGGCTCTTCACAATTCGTCATGATCAGCATGTTTGTCCAGGCATTCTGGTTTGGCTCCAAGCTTGTGCGCGAAGGCACTATCCAGCCGGGCGCCGTCATGAGCGTATTCTGGGCTTGCTTAATCGCGACGAGCAACCTTCAAATGTGTGTCCCTCAGCTGGTTACCGTCGGCAAGGGCAAGGTCGCAATGGCAGCTTTGATGGCTCTAGTAAAGGAGAACCCCGACTATCAACCAGATGTAGAAGTCTTGCCACCTTCGCACCCTTACAACACACCGTCTACTCCTATATCAGCGACTTTTCCTCCCCACTCCCCTGCGTCGTCTGCGACGTTGACCACCTACTCTGCACGTCCCGGCTGTTCCATACATCACTCTAGTACCACCAAATCCCGCGTTCTTCGCAAAATCCGTCCTTCCAGGTTCAAAGGGGACATCAATCTGAACCAAGTTTGCTTTGCTTATCCTTCACGGCCGAATCATCCGGTTCTCATTGATGTCGACATGTACATTCCCGCTGGAGAGATAACCTTCATCGTCGGCTCCTCGGGCTCCGGGAAATCTTCTCTGACCGGCATCATCGTTGGGCTGTACAAACTCAACCGCAAGGAAGGTAGCAGTGGCGAAGTTCTACTCGACGAACAAAATCTGGAGTATCTCGACCCAGTCTTTGTCGCAGCAAACGTAGGAATCGTCAGTCAAGCTCCTCCGGTTCTCCTTGGTGGCCAATCCGTTCAGGACAACGTCGCAGTTGCTCTTGCTGCACATCCAGAACGCACAATGGAGAGTGCCACAGAAGCGGAAGTTGTGAACGCGTGCACACTTGCTATGCTCCACGAGTTCATTCGTGACCTTCCAGAAGGATACAATACTGTCCTTGGTGGCGATGGATCCGTTGGCAGACAGTCGGAGGACGATGCTGGTATTCAGCTTAGTGGCGGCCAGAAGCAACGACTTGCACTTGCTCGTGCACGGCTACGAAACCCTTCCTTGTTGATTCCTGGTGAGTCCTGTGCGGTATCTCTTTTTGTTTCGTTGATAATTCAAATGCTGCCTTCAATGAACCCACCTCTGTTCTCGATCCTACCTCTCGCTCCATCGTTAATGCTGCATTGCGTCGCTGGCGTGCAACAACCTCATCTCGTTCGTCACCTAAAACCACAGTCGTTATTACTCACGATCTTTCCTACCAACGCATTCATGAAGATGATTTCGTCTACGTCCTGAAAGATGGTTGAAGCTGGTTATAGCTACGATTTGGAGCATAGTATGGATGAGTCTGGCGAAGAGGATGACCTCATGAGGCATGCCGAGCTGCGCAAACGCTTCAACGACTAGTCAAATGTGGAAGCTGCTCGAACAAAAGCAGAAGCAAAAACCGAACAACTGGAACAGAAGGTGCGTGTCAGCGCGTATTCTCTCTACTACTATCGTTCATGATCCTTCAAGATGGAAGAGATAATCCAAGAACGCATAAAGCAGAAGGAGAATGAATTCAACGCCACTCATGACGAGAAATTGCGAAATTATGAAGATCGGTACAAAATTCTAGAAATTCATCGCGTATACTCGCTAGGAATCAAGAGATTTTCTCTGGAGACGATGAAGATGAATGTTCTCCACGGTCGCCTGAATTTGATATCGAATTGGATATCGAGTTCGCTCCAGAGGGCTTTGAATCTGAAGCTTTCAATGCGGCTTCCTTGGAAGTCCATCAACCTTTGTCTGGGTGGCTGAATGTTCGACGTTGTCGCCGATCTCACCAAAGTTGGCTCTGCAAATTCAACCCAAGCGTCTAAATACACCTCGAGAAATTCCCGTGCCCTCTCCCCGAGCCGCTTCAGTCGCGCGCTCTCTCCTGTTCCTAAAAACCGCAACACGACTCTCTCTCCTCTTCCTTGTGCGTTTTTCCCTCTCTCCATCAGCATCCAGACTCGCCCTCGCCGTCGTTCTTCCGTCTCTATCCCATCGCTGCTTCATTTGGGTCACAATGTCTCCCTTCAACGATGCTGCTGCAATTCGTGAGCAATCCAAAGCCCCTCGTCAGCGCAGATGAAGTTTGCAGTTTGAACCCGCAACTCCTACTGGCTTGACTTTTGCAGATTTGCAAAAGCAAGGCTTGGACGAAAAGCGAGCGTTGGAATGTAGTACCCAATCTGTCAGCATCCGCCATCAACAAATTCGTCGCAAAGTTCTAGGTCTCGATGCGAAGAAGCTTCAAATAGTCACTCCCATTGCCTCGGAAGCTACTCCCATTGTGAACGAGATTGGATTTTAGCAAGTCGTTTAGGCTTTGTACCCTTCAATACCTTCCTCCTCTTCGTAGATCTCTCGATCTGTGTCATCTTTAGTGCCATGACCTCAATCTTTTCATTTCTTCTGACCCGGCCTTCCTTCGAGATCTCCACTAGTATCTAGGACGTTCACACCGTAAATGAGTGCCGATGGCTGCTCTCGACGGATTTCTCATGGGCTTTAAGTTCTTCTTGATGCAGAGCTTACGATAGATAGTGAATCCCTGAAACTGCTTTTGCGAGACTCGTCTCGATGCCAAAGAGTTTCTTTGATACCGGTGTTTTCGGCAAAGAAAAGCCTTCGCCCAATTCGGCCGCTCGTACTTCCCCTATCGCAATCACTCAGATCCTTACGAAGTCTGCTAAAGACGCAAAGAACCTCCTTGCTGTCGTTGCAGATCAAGGACTTGTTGTTTTTTCAATACCCGCCGTTGGACTTATTTCCGCATTTGTCTTTTGACTGGCAGTTCACCCTCTTCGGACACGCTATCGCCCAAGTATTTGTCGATGTGATGAGTATTCAAAGCAAGTTCGTCCCTGATACTGAGAGGAAGAACTCCTATACTGGATTGACACCAGTTTTTCAGCAGTGTCTCGACCTCTCCCTGGACTGTGCTATGTCGGTTGGAGTCAAGGGCACCATGGTTAAGGGATCCACATATCGTGTGGCGTCTGGTCTCATATATGTGGCAGAAGCGCTCCTCTTTTACGTGGAATCGTTCTAGTCGCAAAAGGTACCTACATCTATTTAGATGGTCGAGGTTCTCAATTTAGTTGTGTTCACTGTGACAATCAGTAGTCAGTTAGTGGCATTCAGTGAGTTTTTCTTTTCGTTGAGTTTATATCTTTACTGACAAGTAACTTTTTCAGTTAATCGCATTGCAAGATCAGTACAGGCTGCTCGAGATTTGCATGCCGTGCTTGAACTGCCTACTGACACATCTGAAACCCAAGTATTCCTGCGCTCTATTCCGACTGTGTTCCACGACATCGATTTTCCTTACCCGTCACGGCCTGATGTTCCCTCCATTGCTACTGGTGAAACTGTTGCATTAGTCAGCGCTTCCAGCTGCGGAAAGTCCACTATTGCTCGAGTTCTCCAACGTCTCTGCGAATCCTCCTCCGGTTTTGTCGAAGTTGCAGATATCGATACTGGCGCAATGAATATCCAACAGCTATGCCAATGCGTTTCCATCATCTCCCAGCCGGCTGACCTTTTCGATGCTTCGGTAGCTGAGAATATCGGTTATGGGAAATCCTTAATATCAGAAGTTGATATCCGTAAAGCTATAAAGACTGCAGATATCCATGATCAGGTCATGTCCCTGGAAAAGGACTGGACACGAACATCTGCGAGAACGCTAGCCAGTTTTCGGGTCGACGAGCACAAAGACTGCAAATTGCCAGGGCGATTGCTAGATCGTGTCGGATTTGAATGGTTGAAGCAGGCATTGCGACACAGAGCGGGGTATTATCACACAAGGTCTTGAGTAAACCAAATGAAAGTCGTGCAGAAGTTGTTCAAGAGGGGTGCGGTGCATGACGCAATGGTGGTTTTGCCTTCGGGTTTTTGTTTGTTACTCTTTTTCTTGTGTTTGCTCATGCAGTTTTAGCATATCTCGAGGTGAACGTCCTTTTATTGTCGAATGACGCAGAGCCTGAACTATTATAATCCGCATAATGTCGCCACGAGCATCTCTCTGAGTGTTTGTTGGAGTTCGTGGAAACAATATCATGAATTGAAAATGTATTCCTGTTGGTGAGTAGTTCTTTGCTCGTGCTACTGTAATCTTGTTGTGATTGTTTTACCGAGGATAAGTCGAACGAAGTGAGCCTGCTCATCTTAGGAATGATCAGCGCATACTATAATATCTCCTGTGAGTGTTGTTCATGTTTGAAATAAGATATGTAAAGTCAAGGTAACATCCAGACGTTACAGTTGAAGTCTACACTGTCTCCCTCAAACACCTCTTTGAAGCTGAATTCAAAGTCATCCACATCACGCAAGTACTCCTTCATCTGCATCATGAGAATTTCTATGATGATGATCTGCTGGCGATGGATGAGCATCAGAGATACACTAGCCTATCCGATGCCATGAAGACGTCCTCCTCTGATGCCTCTAAGTTATGCATTTGGAGGAAGTTTCGTAGGGTTAGCACGTGAAATGTTTACTATATAATACAAATTGACGTTGTTATCGATCCATCTCTCTTGCTGTTACTGTCATGTCCTACATCTTATTGCCATATCCCATTTTACCGAAGACTCCTTCAACACTTCTTGAGGACATCGGCCTATGCCATGAGCTTCATCTGCAACTTCATTCTCAATATGGTGAAGAAGGTAGAAGAACTCGCCAGAGTACCAAGCTCATATCAGAGGAGATACTCAAACCTTGGAGAACAATATGGTTAGAGCGTTGGTCAAAAGATGAGGCCAAGGTATATAGATTCATTTCTTTTGATGCTCTATTGTCTACACCTTTGCTCAGTTGGCAGCAATATTTGATTGGTTATCTACTGCAACTTTTATCGAAGTGATCCACAACATTCCTGTACTTGATGCTCTCAATGTGTTTCTGAGCATCCAAGTTTTGGTATCCTACGGTAAATTGGACCTTGCATATCAGGAACTGGCTGTACTGCAGCGCTTCATTGCATTACAGGTGAAGATTTATTTGTATTGTCATATAGCATATTGTTTTACTACCATCTTCAGTCATCTGATCACCAGCACAATCTTGCATTGGATATGATCAACAGCGTAGATGATGAACTCAATAATGCTGATTCCGACACTAATTCTGACACTGATTCCAACACTGATTCCAACACTGATTCCAACACTGATTCCAAGTATACTGATTCCGAGTATACTGATTCTGAAAATGGAAATGAATCAGATAGTGATTCAGACTATCAACATCTCCGTTTCACCCAGCAAAAAAACAAGCAAAAACCAACCCCATCTCCTGGCATAAGTCATAAACTCTCACATCTAGAACAATGCCAAGCCTGGCATCAAGTTTTGAGAGATAATTTACTTGTGGTAGGTCTTGTTCAAGATTTTTTAGGATGTAATATAATCTTTGCATAGCTCTCAAATGATTCTCCTGCACTTGAGGCCATGTCAGCATCAAACTTCGAAGTCAGCCAGCGTCAGGTTGCAATAACAATTCAGTCAATGAAAAAGACTCGACGATCGACTTATCGCCAACATAACTTCATTCAAGCTGTGATTGTAGGTCTCAATATCCTTCACTTTCGAAGTTCTAATTAGTCCATAGCAATCTGGCTTATCTGCCACAATAGTAAAATTATCAAATCCACAATACATATTTCTTCATTCTCAAAACCCACATCATCATCGCCTTTTGAGACTGTATGGTTTCAATTTGGTGTTGGGAAATTTACTGGACCAGTGGACTCCCGCCAGTTGGCTAACTGAAGCTGAGAATCATTTGGAGCAGAATCCCCCAGCCATTTTCAACAAGGTAATGAGCTCAAACCTTCCATGATCATTTATAATAGATTAATACAGGGAAATGAAATGGAAATGAAGACGGGAAAGGATCTTTTCCAAGCACTGCAACATAATCCAAGGCTCATTCCAAATATATCAAATCCTGCAGCAATTTTCTTCCTCTGTTCATTGGAAAATTTTGAGTTTGCATGGGAGAGATGGTTGGCATGCTCATTAGATGCTGCTGGCTACAACGTGAGTATATGATTGTTGTTGTTCAGTTGCTATTTCACTGGTAAATATCTCCAGGTCTCAAATACAGATGTAAAAATGCTTTACCGCAGAAGCATTGAGTATCTTGTGCGCCTCAACCACAATGATCATAATTGGTCAAGAGTGAGGGAGAGCTGGGATGGGATTCTCATTTTAATCATTGAACGGACTCTCAATCTACGTTCACTCTTGAACCAGATTGATAACGAGACTCACATTCCCTCAATACACCATTGTACAAGTTGCAAAGATCAACCTCCAGAATGCAGATGTGTCCAGCGGGTAGATGTTGCTTTGAATGAATCCCCGGAATTTATAGAAGAATGGGAGGGGGTAGGTATTACTATGGTTCCAGAAGGGGATCGCATGAAACCACGCCAGGTATGTATTTTTTGATAATTTATTAAATATTGCTGTAATCCTTCTTTTATCAGGGGCGTAAGGCTAGCTGTGCTAACCATATCACTCACCCCAATAACATAGGTCCAAAAGGTCTACGTCGGATTGCTGCTGATAACAAGGTGCTTCATCGATGTGGTAAACAGATCTATCTGTTCTATGCAAGTGGAAAATTGGTATGTTTCTCCACACTACTGTCATATGAGATATAATTCATTTTTATCAGTGTGACTTTGTATGGTATGAAGCCTTTTCACGAGGCAAAGATAAAGTATGGGAACGGCTTGTCAAATACTCACAAACTCCATTGGGAGTGCAGCCTGTTATCCGAGGAGCAAAGTTTGGATATTGGACCAGTGGACAAATGATTCCTTTTGGTGCTCGCGAGCCATCGGGCGGTCGACGTGCAGATCACTACACCCTTTACAAGGGAATTACTGGGGAAACATATGAAGGAGTTTGCATCATGTTTGAACAAGCTGAGGTATGAGTTTATTCAATTTATCTGCATTTTGATTTATTCTTTGTATGTAGATGTCTGCTATCATGCTCCAAACTGCTCGTGCTGTTCATCCTGATATTGTTAGAGAGATCAAATCACAGTCAGCTCTCTGTGAAAAAGTTGGGCTTTCTGGCCTCAACCTTTTCAACTGTAGTGGTTACACAGCTCCTCAGCATAGAGACAATGACTGTACACCCTCGCTGTGTGCCCAGTTTGTGCTGAATGCTGAAACAAAATGGTCTGAATTTTCTTTCTGCGCTATTCAATATGGATATTATATTGAATCACGGGACAATACACTATGGCAACTACCTAATCTTTATTCTTCCGCTTAATATCACTGAAAATTATTTATAGGAGCTTTAATTCAGGTCTCCTCCATGGCACTATGTTACCATCAGAGCGGACTATCATGCGACTCAGGGGGGGCGCTGATAGTGTCGGTGCTCATGTCACCACAAGAAGCCGGGACCAAAGGCGGGCTCGGCGTAATGAACGCACTCGGCTTAATTACAATCTACGTCAGCATGCATGAGCTCATAATTAGTGCTACAACTGATTAAGTATTTGATAGTACTAGCTATTGTTTGCTGATTGTTTATATCACAAAAAGTGACTTCATACATTTCAGCTTGAAGAGCAGCTGCAGAAGCCTGAATAACCAATCATTTGATTTCATTAACAGCTTGTGCAACGTGGATGAACAGACACATTGACTATGTGCAGGAATGGAATGCATACATTGTGTGCTTACTCTATATTCTTGGTTTGACTTGACCACTAGACGGAGTTTGGGAAGACTGTCGAGGGGAAGCTTTTTGCCTCGATGATAGTAGATGCGGTTGTTCCTGATAAAACCACCAGTCATGTCAATGAGCTATGCGAACAATAGTTCAGTATTAGAACTAAGCACTGAACATCGACCAATTGCAGCTCACATGAACCATCATCTCCTTATTTGTAACACTCTACCTCACCTTCTGCGGATAGTCATTAATCAATATTATTGCATCAAAGTCTATTGAATCATGACTGTTCTTCTTGTGCACTACACCACCCTGCTACTCAAACACTAACTGCAATTGCAAGACCAACTTGGACACCTTGTGTTGAATTTGCGACCACACTGAAAGCTTGTTTATGTGCAGTAGATCCCTTGCCGGTGCTAGCGGCGGCTTCTTCAGCAGCACATATTTGATCTTGTATTTTCTGTTCCTCCTTGGCATATGCGAGTTTATGTGCAGCGGTAGCAGTGCTTGCAAGTCCCAATAAACCCTTGGAAGAATCCGGTGCTGGACGACATTTAATTTTGACTTTGAGGTTTCCGAAAATCATATTGTCCTACGGCGGCATTGGCGGTGGTGCCGCCTGGAGCAGCTTCCTCCATAACAGCAGGCTCTTCTTCCTCTGGTACACCATAAGCTTTACGTTCAGCCTTTTGTTTGGCGTCACGCTTGTTGTTGAGCCGGTCAACACCTTTACCATCAAAACCAGAGCCTGCGGCTTGTGCTTTCCCAGTTCTGAGTTTGTCCAGGAAACCTGAAAGTATAGTTAAGATAGTACATGGAATCTGAAGGGGAACGCGTAGCCAACTCCTCAAGGTCGTTGGGAACAGTCACATTACCAGCTTTAAGGACACAGTATATATTCACAGAATACCTCTCCTGCTCTGGTGTAATAAATGTCACACACATCCCCTTGTTCCCTCCTCTTCCAATACATCCCGCGCAGTGCACATAGTCCTCCAAATGATTCGGGGCATGATAGTTAACGACGAGTTTCAACTGCTTCGGATCCAACCCTCTTGCAGCAACTGAAGGAGCAATAACAATCGTTACCACACCAGCCTTGAAATGTGGTATCGTTGAATCACAATTAACCTGGTCCTTTCCTCCATGCAACAACGTATAGAGATATCCCTGACGTATAAGCTCACGAAGTAGGTTATGTGCGGCTTCTTGTCTATCGACAAAGACCAGCGTACAACACTCGGGACTCTCGTTATACATTTGCCCCAGAATCTCTAACAGCCTGGTCAACTTGGTATGTTATGCCCGAATTTCGATGATCTGCTCAATCTCGGCTGTGACCACAGACCAACGTTCGATAGTGATCTCAAGCGGCTTTTGAAGAATCTTCTCTGAGAGACCGTCCATCTGTTTAGGGAATGTTACACAGAAGAACACACTTTAACAGTCAGGATGCATGTCGTTGATGGTTTTCATGATTGAGGCTCTAAAACCTATATTGAATATATGATCCGCTTCGTCCACAACGACATAAGTCACTCGCTTGAGGTTCGTGGCATGAACAGAATTGACGGTAAGGAGGTTAATCATCTCGCCGGGGGTACAGATGATGATTTCGCAGGGATCGTTCTTCTCCTGTCAACCCCCCAAAGTAAACCTCCTCGCATTCATCACAATAATCGTCCAAGCAACCCGGGCACTCCCAAACCAATGGGTGCTTATTCCAGAACGCGCATATGTCACAAATCCATTTGTGCGAACAATCTAGTCCGCCCTCTGGTGAACATTTGGGACAGACGAGCCCCAGCGTCCGTTTGCCCTCTAGCTGGACGCGAGAAGGATCGAAAGGCATAGTAGGTCTGAACATAGACCCTCTGAAAAAGGAATCAATGTGATCATCTTCCGAAAAATCCCCGTCTGAGGTTGGTTTCATCGTAAAGGCATCTTCTCTTCGCGACCAGCATTTTGGGCTGTCGCATCTACCCCATGTTGCTCCTTCCTCTTCAAGATTATCGAGACAGGCATGGCACGCAGCGAGCGCCGTCTTATGTGCAGTCTGTGTCTCCGTCCGCTTCCGTTTCCATGGATTTGTCCCACTCTGCCCTATGAGGAGAGGAAATTCTGATACAGGTGCACCTATGCATCCACCGAAATCCCTCTCAGGAAAGAAACTGAAACACGTGGGACATTGAAGTTTGGTAGCGTTAGTCACGATGTTACTAGCTATATTGTTGAGATGTGTTGCATGGATATTTATAGCACCGTCGTCGACTACTATGGTGGGAGATATCCACGATTCTTCAAACATAACGTCGTCTTCTCCTATGGGCATAATTGACCGCTACTCTAAAGGTAGGGAAATGAATTGCAGAAGGTAGGGTCAGTGGATAGGAAATGCCACGGGTAGGAAGACATACTTACTGACGAGTGGTATAGTTGTAGCGGACGAACAAAAATAACAATAACCGCCAAACTGCAGGTATTTAGATTGACAGACACATCCATACATAGACCGTTGGTGTTTTGAGTTCGATGACTTGATAAATGATCTGCAAGATGTATTAATTACCTTGTTCCTCGAAGGAAAATCACGCACCTTCTTGCACGAGCGCGGGAGAAGATGATAAGGAGGTGAACGGGAGCTCAATTTGGCGGGACCGAATGAATCCTCAGATGATCACTGGGCTAACGACGATTGGGAACAAAGTGGAATCAAGGCTCACTTTTACTGCCTATGTTGGCGTTTCTGCTAACCTTTGCACGACAATCGCCTCACAACGATATGTTCGACGGAGCATTACTCAACTCAGTCGAGTTCGAACAGTGCTCAACGGACGGTTTTATTGATACAACTGTCATCAAAGAACATCAGAGATCTATGGGAATAACAGGATAGGGCACAGTAAATGCTCGCTCCGCATCGAATGGCGCAGCAAAATTTACCGACGTTGGACTAGTGTAAAAAAAATGTCGAAAAATAGTCTATTTTTGTTGAGCATCCCTCTCGGAATTCTGCTCGAATTCTCTCATGAGAAGACACATAATAGCACCTTTGGTTTTTGCTTTACGCCGGATATTCTGCAAACTTTCATCGTGGATTATATTTCCAGAGAAGCCGATGGCCCAAAGGCTGAGTCCAACAGAGAATGACGGCCGAACGTGTGAGATATGTGCGAATGCCGCTGGAGAGGAGATATACGTTCCCATTAGCGATCCGTTCAAGACATTGAACAGTACTCCAGCGATTGCAACTATGATCTGAGATTGGGACCGTGACGGTGTACGGAGAGGCGAAATGATGGCGCGATTGGAATAATGAACCAGATAGGCCCCTATTAAGATAGACTGAGCGAGAGAAGGTTCAAATGACACTGCCTCTCCCCGAGAGAGTGGTGATTTCAAGAAAAAAAGGCTGAACATTAGAGGAGCCACTATTTCCATCGCTATCCATGACTTTCTACCTGTCGACTAGTAAGGCGAGCATTACAATGTAGGTTTTTGTAGCACACACCATCAAGTAGAAGAATACTTTTTCCATTGAGAGCAGAACGTCCGAAAGGAGTGTTGATGATGAAAAGAGCTGGGGCGACTATTATACTGATGATTGTGAACTATTTTCGACACGCTACTGAGATATTTGAGAAACAGTTGAAAGGCTGCAATATGAATTTACCATCGTATAGTATTTGTACTTTGTGTGGAGATAATTTGATCATCCTTGAACGTTCTAGCAGAGTAGTATGTGAACAGGAGACAATGTAACGGTCAAGAACGGTCACCAGTGACGTTCTAACCAGTGACGTTCTAACACGTGACCAAACGCTCCAATTTGATACAGAGAACAGAGCCATTTGCAACGTTGAACATTTTGAGCAGCGCTGTTGTTTCCATGTGATCAATGTGAACTTCACCATTGTAAAGACCGGTGAGCACCGAAGGTCTGGCGGGGTTAAAGCCAATGCTTTTGACATGGTCAGAACAGGAAAAGAGTTTGCGTTAAGGCGGGAGTTAGATGTATGTCAGTGTAGGTCAGTGTACAATATGTTTATATGCACTTTTACTTTTACTTCGAATAACATCATGGGCGTATGGTGAAAAGGGACGTCTCAAAGGAGCCAAATTTGGTGCATTAGCGCCGTCAGATGATTTCTCAACGCCCTTGAATAATATTCACCATCGTTATATGTTCTGTATCAAATCACTACACTGCATGCAGCTCAGGATCGAGGCCAGAATGCCAACGGCATTTGGGCATTGAGGAGAGTTACGAGCAGAGATGGATGTAACATTCATCATATGCATAATACAAGGGCTATGTGATTATAGACGTTTGACATAGTAAGTCATGATGATGGATATAATATCTATGTCAACTACTATCATCACATTGGTTAGATTCATCGCTTGGATTACTATGATCAACACGTGTCCTTTGTGTACCACAATTATCGAATCCTACCTGTATATGTGGAGAACATGACAGGAGTTGAGGAACCTCTTCAACTAGTGACATACATTCTATCAAAAGTTCAGATTGCGTGAAATTCAAGTTCCAATCGAGGATATCGAGGAACTCTCTCTCAATTGTGTTGATAGATTTCACAGTGAATATTCCTGCACATGCTGACCACTGCCAGTTGCGCATTACAACATCGTTCAAGAACTAGAAACAGTTTTTGAGATAGAAATTATCGAGACGATTTTGATGCATACCTTGGAAGCAACAATAATAGCACCCAAAAAGATTCGCAGATCTACATCCACGGAATCTGTTGTAACATTGATAGCACCCTTTGCTCTTCGGATATAGAGCAAAGATAGCAGAGCAGCGGATGTGGTAACTTCTCCTCGCTGAATGACTGTCTCAATGAAGACACAAAACCAATCTGCACATACATGTGAGTATGTACTGCATGCATGGTCAATGATGTCAAATGTATGTGATTGTATATACGCTGAACTAACATCAGAAATTATTTCAATGATATTGGTTGATTGATTATAGCTACCAGCAAATTCGTGTGTCACTTCACAATTAATGAGATGAATGAGCAAAGGTTCAGGTTTAGCAGCATAGACCACGCTGGGATTATGAATGATCATCGACATGGCGAGCTCTAACAAATGAAGTATGCAATTGCGTGAGAGGGTGGAGTTTCTGAGAGGATTCAAGACGCTGTTATATACGTGAAATATATTATAGATATTCACTACAGAGTATCTTCGAGATAATACTGATATTGAAGATTCTTTGTCCGAATGGGCTAACAAATGAACACAGCATGGACGATGCCGGGTACATGGCTATGGTTGCACTAACCAATAATACTGCAGAAAAGTCAATCAGAAAGAAGGAAGGAAGGAACACTGCGTGTTTACAGCAACCATGCCCCACTGTCCTTATATGATCAGTGACTCATTTTGAAACGCGAGGCAAGAAAAGGTGATATATTCTATGAGTACATAAAGGCAGAAAAATCCCTTTTCAGTCCACAACACTTTCTCATTCAAATCATGGTCAGAGGTACCACTGGTCGTAAAGCACCCAAGCGATACAGTAGTCCTGGTCTTTTGCCTTGTTCTGATACGACACCATCTGTTGACACTGTTCCAAATGGTAATTTTATTCTCATTGCCATATGCACATATCCGATCTCTTTTCTCATAGCTGCACCGAGGGATGCAGTTCAAGCAGTGACTGTGAACACAGTTCACATTGATTCCAACATTACACAGAACACAAATCAAATTGCTATAAATCTTCAAGATGTTTTGCAGTTCATTGTTGTTGAATCAAAAGGGATATGCACTTTGTGTCGGTATGTGTCAAAGTCAACATCGTTTGCTTCTTATATGAATTCTTTACCAGTGCGAACATCGAAACAGCTACCGAAACTTATTTCGATATGAGTGTGCCATTCAATTTTGTCGTTTACCACATGAGGGAAGTTCATGGAATTGACTTTGGCAAAGAACAATTACACTGTGTCCAGAATTAGAGATGAAACATGTATAATAGTGTGAATGCTGAAGGAATGTGGAGGAGGATCGAGGATTGAAGAATGATGAACAAGTTCGATAACTTTACTTGCTGTTCAATTGAATGTAATCACATGTTGTAGGTCACTTCCGCATTGGTACCACTTAGGAACACTTACGCAGACTTATGCTCGCAGATTCTTAGATAGAACGTAACAACTTAGGGTTTCGGCGATCATTTTATAGCTCTTATAACGGAAACGAATCAAAATGACCGGTGCGGTATCAGAATCTTGGCTTGTAGGCGCTTTTCGAAGGCCACAATCGGACATTGATGATGGCCAATACAATAAAATGCTGTAATTTGGCAGCACTTAGGAACACTTAGCTCGCGAATTCTTAGATAGAACGTAGGAACTGAATTCATAATTTGATTTCAGCAATCATTTTATAGCCTTTATAACCAAAAGGAGGTAGTCTTCGCTTGTAGGCGGGGTTTCGAACCCCACAATCTGTCACATTTGGAGAGAACTCCGTCTTTGCAGGACGGATTTAGGAATTAGAAACCAAAAATACTCTGAATGCTTACTTTACCAAACCAGTTTCAGTTAGGCCACTTAAGTCAGTTTGAACTTCTAATTCAATCTACATCGGGACCGTTGATCTGTCTTCGAACACGTTGTCATCCAAAACACGGGAATGCAAAAGAAGCTTTACCGCAGTATCAGAGACTGTTACATGAGGAGATACATCTAAAATCCGAGAAGTCTATCTCTGGATTGAATATAAACAATATGCTGAATAAATTTGGCTGACCACAAATAATGGCTCTACATCGTTCTGAAACTGGAAATACGTCGAACATCGAATTCTTCATACCTGTCGGAGAAGTCCCTCCTGCTTGTTTTGAAGCAGTGAAATGTCAAAGAGGATACAACGAGCTGATTGTGTACAGCTCAGTTGCACAAAATGTCGTGCGGATGGCATAGTAAGTGGCAGTTCTTCAGTTGGTCAGTCTGATTTTATGTTTCGAGTAGTCCGTTAGATCAGTTCGGTCTGAAGATTTTCCCCAGTACACTGAAACAGTATTTCGAAGACAAAGGAAGATATATTGCTTGTTTCTGTGGACTCCAAAATATTCACCCTCCACCAGCTGCACGATTTGTCACTGGAAATCATCCAAGCGTGATATATGCAGTATGTCATTTTGCGAGCTCTGATTTCAACAACACCAATCGCTGCGGTTTCTTCTGTGAGCTTTTCTTTGGTTGGTACAAGATTCTTACTAATACTGCAACTAGTGAACTTTAGCGCAATCTATTTCTTAGGTTCGCTCACCAGTGATTTTAGTAATTTACCAAGTCCCAATGTCAGTGGATTTCATTCATATCTATATGAGACTAAAAAATATTGATACCAGATCGCAAATTTTGAAAGCTTTGCTTCACTTGCCATGGAACAGTTGAAGAATGACTATCATGCACCTTCATCTTTTGTTGTAGCTCCTGTGCTTGTGGGATATGGTGGAGAGTTTGTAGTTCTAAATTCTGGAATGAGGCAGGTTGAAACTTTGAATGCATGTATGTTATTTTTGTTTCAGTTGATGTGTATTTTTTAACATAATATCGACACAAATCCTCAAGATAGATGCTCGCATGGGCATGAGTCGTTTCATAAACAAGATATCCCTGAACTCGCACCGCTTTCATCTGCACTCTCTGGGATTCGTTCGCATGCTCGTGCAAATGCTCGTGTGTACGCGCAGGAACAAGAAATATTCCTCATTCATATGCAGTTATTACAGCAAGAGACTAGCATATTGGCTCGACTTTCACAAGGTTTCTCGGTAACCCCAACTGAGTACAACCTTATCGGGTTGGAATGTCATTGCCGACTAGTATTTATGAGCCGCACTTGTCTTGAAAGACACCGACAAAGATGTAACTTCTTTGATCTAACCGATGATGAAGTTGTTACACCGGTAAAGTTAAGGCAGTTTCAAGAAATAGATGCGGATATTTGTGCAGACATAGGGGTAAGCCGTGCGGAATGGAATGCTTGGGGTCTAAAGTATGTTTTGTGCGAAAAGATATTTGTCAAACCATTTATGGAAAAACATCTTGCTATTTGTTGTAGCTGAACATAGATTCGAAGAAGTACAATTTGTTCTGTATTACATCTAATAACCTCTGTTGGAACATACCATGATTAGTCTTTGCGTGACAAACAACAAAAGGCTCAACGAAGGCTAGCAACGTACGAGGCGGGTGCTGGCATTGACAGGAAAGCCTGCTTGTTTGGTTGATAACAGGCAATATCTACAAAAAATGATCCTTGCTGATGGAGAGTCATCAAACATATTGTGGGAAGAAATTGAATCTTGATGTTGACCGTCAATAATTTGAACGGCAGAATCTTATTTCTCCTGTTCAGTGTTTTCCCTCGTCATGCGTAAACCCGACCTTCGGATACTCATTCTTGTCAACAACAATGTCACCAAAAACCATCACATGCTTGTATTGCATGATAGCCAAGGGTAGCGCCCCCGGTGGACGGAACGCCACCCAGCCAGCCAGCACCGCGAACGGATACCAAGGAACAGGGAGAACTTTGAGTTTGAAGTTGATTCAGCAGTCGAGAAACAATTCGACCTCCGGGCCACCAACCAAGGGCATCAGTGGCAAGGATAACTCTAGCAGTAGAAACCGCACATCAAACGAGGTTCAATTATTTACCCCATTCGATATGCTCCTGGAGACAAAGTAGAACAGTGCCTGAATACTTTGCTACCTTTCGATGTCTCTTCATGATCTGGTAAAATCTTAATTGTCCCGAGTATCTATGAAGCTGACGCTGTTTTGTAGCAAGTTCGCTGTTCTTCGCGCTCCCTCATCCTACCGTGTGCTCGCTGTACCACATCAACTGCGACACTTCTTCCATCCCGCTTCTGAAGCTTTCATTCAGTGCCGTATGACCCTCTATGTTGCCAGTCACTACAAAAATCATCCTAACAACCACCAGCTAATGAGCGACGCCCCTGGACACGAGTCATACGTGCTACTTCCTCCTATCGACACCGAAAACAAGAAGGAGGCTGACATTCTGCCTCATCCACTTCTACTGATTCAAGTCGCTTTCGAGGACCATATCTCACGGGAATCCATCGTCTTGTCTCTTTCACGAGGACTTCGCGCCGATGGCTACCGGACGCCATGGCTCATAACGCAGCAATATCAGAAACAAAGTTCGCGGAACGAAAGCAACTCTGTAGATGGAAAAAATCACTGTTCGAGCCCCAAACGCTGTGTCTCCACTTCTACAGCGCTTATCCGAACAACGTCGAGAACAATCGGACTAGCTCCAATACCGCCAATGGAGCTGTTTTGACTGCTTACACGTCGACGCAGGAGCGTTCTCTGATGGCTCTTGCGCTTTCACATCTTCCTCCCGCAACAGCCTCAAGTAGCCTTATGATCCAAGTTCCTAACGTCACACCTGCTGGTGAGACTTATACAGTGCCTCCTACTCTGCCAAATTTTGCTACTGTCCTTCCGATTCTCCCGGAAAATATTGTGGTCTTGGCTTCTGCTACTTCTGAAGAAACAGTGCACTTGAGTCAGTCATTATACCAACTTTCTGCTTCTCATGTCATTCACGTCTTCAACCATTTTAGCTCGTCTGGCGACTGGACTCCACTAACCCACCAACTATCCACTCTCACCGTACCACACCTTCGCAGACTCAGATGTATATTTCTCAATAAGACTCCTTCAAGGAGTTTTGTCGCCACCCTTATTCCCGAGGTCGAAGATCTGGTACCTGCTATAATGAAGAAGCCGAGGCCTTTTACCACACCTAGCACGATGCTTCCGAACCTCCCCGTACTTGTCGAACGCGCTCTTTCCATGAGCTGGGCCCTCTGTTAGCGTCTCTAGAGACCACGATATCTCTTCCAAGCGCGGAGGGATCACTGCCAGTCGTATTCTCTTGGGTCCTCGGAGTGCATTGAACTTTGAGGATTTTCCCATCTCCTTGGTCCTACCATATGATACCCAGACTAGTGGAGAAGTTGACTTCGTTGCCACAATGAATCAGACAATGAGACGATCCTGAAGACCCATTCAGATCTCAAGTATGCTAAACCCCGTTCCACAATTTTCCTTGTCAGTACATGCTCAGCAGAAGAGTTATTCTCAAATCTCCCGGGCCAGGTTACCACGCTTATCGTAGAGAGGGAACTTCGTCCCTTCATAATCAACGTCCCAGATGTCACGGACAACTTGACAAGCGCCATTGGTCAAGTCCAGGATGTCATCTCAAACGTTGTTTCTTATCTGGCTTTTATGAAGATGTACTTCGGCGCAGCCCCTACAGAGGAGAATGTGTCCACGTTTGCAGCCGGATCCTACGGTGAGACCGTTGAAGGTGTAGAATTGACCAAACTGAACTCGCACACTTAGGACGCATTGGAACAGGCGCTTTTTATCAAAGCACCCGCAGAAAAGAAACCTGTTGAACTGAAGGAATTTGAATCCAATCCGATTACAGTGAAACACCATGAAAGTGATACCGTAGTCAATGCAGCTCGTTTGGGCACATGGCACGATGCGGCTAAACATTTGCTCTTCCCACCCATCTTCGCTGCTCCCACTAAGTCTACAGACGAAGAGTTCCCGCAGTACCCTTCGCTGCGTCTTGAATTTCCTGAGCGTACTTTCCTTGTCACGTGCATCGTCAACCGTTGTTGAACTCGAAAGGAGTACGATCGAAACGTCTTTCACCTCGAATTCAATATCAGCGGTACAACACTCAAGTATGCTATTGAGGAAGCGCTGAGTGTTCATCGAAGGAATGACAATCTGTCATATGCATGCAATTCACCCAATATGCTTCCCGGCCCGGCCCGGAGCGGCCGGACTTCGGATTAATAACCTTGTGACCTACATTCTATTTATTTATTATTCCGAGCTTTCATCGAGGTCTTCTGACTGTATCTGGGATGTATATAAGCTAGAATACTTTGTACGTTGTAGTCAAGCTTGAAATCAAGTGTACCATCCTATCCCAGTCTTTAATATCTTCTTTACCCTTTGCTTCCGGACTCCCGGATCATCAGGAACCCCATTTAGGCTGCTCATACCAATCTTGCACTCTTGCCATTATATTCCCGGGGACACCAACAGTGTGTGAAGGGTGTTGCTAATAGCTTCACCGACGTCCCACTCCCAGTGTGTACTACAGGCCAGTACTCGAGCTCCGGACCTCGGAGTTATCCCGGGCCATTTCCGGCCCATATCGGACCTCAGACCCGCTATAGTTATTGACCTGTAGGCACGGTCTTGTCAGTATTTCAAGCTTACACTTCATTACACTGTTCCTTCACCGAAATACCCCTCCATTATGTCCTTTGGCTCTGATTCAGGATCCTTCCTCGAGTATGCCTTATCTTTACCTGATCCGGTCGGCCCGGACCCGGAAACTTCGGATTCGTCGGACCAATCTAGCCCATCTGACCACAATTCTGAACAAGAATCAGTTCAGTCCGGTACTATTTCCGATCCTGACCAGTCAAGTTATGACTCGGAATTTCCTGGCCCATTTGATTATGATTATCTTCATGAATCCTCTGACTTTGACTCGGATCACCCCGGCCCTTATGATCTCCGTTACCTACATTCCTATCCTTCATCCTCAGCCTCAGACTCGGTTGAGTCTTTCCACTCGTTTGCCTCTGATAACTCCGAAGCGCCGGAACTCCGGCCCGGTGATGACAGATCTGGTCATCCTCACCTCGGACCCGATGGCAGGCTTTTGGACTCTGAGAGGGAAAGGCGCAAGGTGCTCGGGTTGTGCTTTTATTGTGGAGGAGGACATATGAAGGTAGATTGTCTCAAACTGCAGGCCCGTACAGGACAGAACTACGATGCAGATAACTCTGAATCGGATGTTCCGGGCTCCGATGATGGTTCCGAGTAATTCCTCATTTTTTCTACATTTTAATTCCGAATTTTCCGACCATTCCCGAGTCCTAGACCGAGTTTCCTTTCCTTTCATGATTTTCACTTATTTGACCTTACAAATTCCTTTCTTTCCGAACTTCGGCCCAATTTTGATGCCTTTCATGATTATTGATTGTTTGACATCATGATTTACTTCATTTCCGAGTTTCGGCCCGACTTTTTGCCATTACTACTCCAAATATTCATTTTCTTTATGCTAGAACGCATTTCCGCTTTTTCCGAATTTCGGCCCGAGATTTTGCACCTTTCCATGATCAATTTTTGTTGACAGTATAATTTACTTTGTTTCTAAGCTTCGGACCGCTTTTTTTCCATATGTTCCACTTCTGTTTCAAGTTTTTGAATATTCAGGTAATGTTTCATTGTAATAACTATTATTGCTTCATTCCGGCCCGATTTGGCCGATGTTTTTGCTTATTATTGATTACTAATTATTCCATTCCATGTTTCCGACCTTGCTCCGATTTTTCCGTCATTTTATTGGCATTATCTCAAGCTTGCTCATTAGCACTTCCATTCACTTATCTGTTATCATTTCTATTTATGTTGATTCCTTGCTTCACCCACAAGCTGCTCCTCTGTTTTAGTAGGATTTCATTGATTATTTGTTAGGATACAGTTTCTACTCCCACTTAGATCCGTTGATCTCCCGGGTAGACTGAAACACTTTTTTCCAACTCATTTTTTATGATTATCCTTATAGCGCTTTCCGGCTTTGCTTCCCTTGGAACTTCCGGTCTCGGGATGGTTCTACCATCATTCTGGACACTTTGTGTCAATTTCGGCCTTTTTAGGCATCGCTCTTGTGTGGATATCAGCTCAGGTTATCATTTTTGGCAGCACTTTGTGTTGATTGGTATGCCGGACTTTTCCGCAGTTTCCGACAAATTTTCCGGCCCAATCCCGCCCCTCGGCTCGGATTTTATTCCGAAATTTTCCCTACTCCATTACCCTATCCTCCTACATCACCATTTACTCCAACTTCGGCTCTTGATTCATGGCTTTCGAGGGCTCAAGCGTACTTGGGGGATACTGATGTATTCCAGTCCTGTATTCCAATTTTCGGACCGGCTGCTCCTGATTTTTCCGAATTTCGGAACTTGTTTTAGTCTTTTGAGACTTCAGAACACTTTCCGGCCGGCCCGGACTTCGGAAGTTACGTGGTCATCCATTCTTTTGTTGATTATTTTGTTACGAGTTTACTTTGTTTCAATCTGGTTTTTGTTTGCTTTATTAAGTTTCTTTGACCCCCTACATCGGCAGGCCGATCCTTTCCAGTTTCTCCGAAACTTCCACTTTTAATTTATTCTTCACTACTGGATCTAATCCAATCCCTTTGCTTTACTATACTTTACTATTTCACTGCACACATATTCACAGAGGCCTTCGTGGGCTCAGGCCTAACGGGGGGATACTGTCATATGCATGCAATTCACCCAATATGCTTCCCGGCCCGGCCCGGAGCGGCCGGACTTCGGATTAATAACCTTGTGACCTACATTCTATTTATTTATTATTCCGAGCTTTCATCGAGGTCTTCTGACTGTATCTGGGATGTATATAAGCTAGAATACTTTGTACGTTGTAGTCAAGCTTGAAATCAAGTGTACCATCCTATCCCAGTCTTTAATATCTTCTTTACCCTTTGCTTCCGGACTCCCGGATCATCAGGAACCCCATTTAGGCTGCTCATACCAATCTTGCACTCTTGCCATTATATTCCCGGGGACACCAACAGTGTGTGAAGGGTGTTGCTAATAGCTTCACCGACGTCCCACTCCCAGTGTGTACTACAGGCCAGTACTCGAGCTCCGGACCTCGGAGTTATCCCGGGCCATTTCCGGCCCATATCGGACCTCAGACCCGCTATAGTTATTGACCTGTAGGCACGGTCTTGTCACAATCAGCAAATAACAAAGTTCTGTGAATCGTATGGCGTCGATCCGAATCGATTAATGACAATCGCCGTTCCCGGAAACGAGGACAAACATCATACTCGGACTGTTTTTCAAGCCTTACGAAAACACATCGATCTATTCGGACATCCTGCAAAATCCTTCTACCCCGATCTTGCAGCGTAGGCGACTTTACAAGCCGACAAGTATTCTCTGCAGTTGATAGGCTCGGCTGAAGGAAGTTCGACGTTTAAGCGATCAGGTGCATTTGTTGGTGGTTGCTGTTCATTGAGTCATTCCAAGTGGTAAGTGTCGATGTCCATGTATCATCATTTCATCTCATGAAGCGTCGATCTATAGACTCACCGCGATACCGACAGTGCACCTCGCAGGCCTTCAAATTCGACAGAATGTAACTGTGTCCATCAAGCCTAGTGTCATCAAGGTATTTTCCTTATTATCACCTTGGCATCCATTCAGTTCAATGACATGTACTTTTCACTAGCTCCCTCTAAATGACATTCGCTCACTAATTATGGCTGGTCTGGGTACCAGAGCAACTCCATTCATTGTATTTTTGCAACACAAAGCGCTTCTTCCATCTCAAAGAAGGCGATCCGTCCAGTGTATTATTACTTTAGATCTTGACCCAATGCTAAGAATACCTTTACGAAGAAGAGATCCAGCCATTCATCCTTGACGATTACTCGTGCTGGAGTAGCCTTCTCTGGTGGACCCATGTCAGTAATGCGACCCATCTTCATGTCTAATTTCGATACAAAAGCCAAACCTGATAGAAATCCACCGCATCATTCGCTGCCTACGGTGACATGATAATATACGTACTTACTTAAATGACCGCGAGTAAAACATCCACCGAAAAATCGATACCAACGTCAGGTTCTGAATTATGAACACTGAGCATCCTTATCTGATCGCAATTGTAAACGTCCGTATCTTTAAATATGAAAAAGTGCTATAGGGATTCCTGTTGCCTCAAGCGTAACAAACTTGTAATGCTAGCAACGCTGGCAAGTATGACCTATCATCTTCAATCGACTCCTCTGAGACAAGATACAGTATCAGAACGTAGGCGACTGGAAAGACTGTCAGACCTATCTTGGCGTTCCTACTGACTCCTGATCGTGCAATTTCAATTCAAGGACATCGCGAGTCTCTGACATCCCACCAATCCCTTCGACAGATGTGTTGAAATCACACAATAACCTCAACATACAACGACCTCAATACACAAGAACCTCAACACACAACACAAGTAATCTGAACAATCTATCATCAGTAACACAAACATATTCAGACAACGATCCTCACCTCAGACCCACTTTCCGCTGTTTTCCACATGATCAACCCTCCATGTACAAGCGACCGGTGGGAACAACGACTGGCGTTGTAAGTCGTTCACATAGTCTCAGACACTTGTTTTGAACGGAATGCCAGATCAATATGTTGCTTTCTTTTGCTCTCGCATAACAATAAATACTGAGGCTCAGACAACTATAAAAAACTTCGCACCCAAGAGATGGGGTCAGCAGCGGGCTTGCCATTCGTAACAGACTCAGCAGTGACCAAAACGTCGGCTTTGCGGACGCCAGCGGCAGGGAGAGCTTGTGATGCGTAGAAGTGGGTCGCTACAATGCCCGTTTACATTTTGTGAGGACACTTGAAATGGGGAAGCTTACAGGACGTGCAAACGGACCAGTCTTGACTATGCCCGTTGTTTGTTGATGCCTCTATGTCGTCGAGAAGCTGAGCAACACCCGGAAGGGCAATAATACCTCCTCCTGAACCACCTTTGGCTTGGGCATTACTGAGAATCGCGTTTTCGAAACGGACAACTTCTTTCTTCAAGAGTTCCTCTTCTGTGATCTTACACCATTTGCGGAGGGCATCGATAGTTCTGTAGCCATGGGCTGATTTAAGTATGTGGTCGACATCGAGGAACTCGTAGCCTGTCTCTTTGAGGAGTTTCCAAGCGGCAGCCACAGCAGGCGAAGAATCAATCAGAGTGCCGTCCATATCAAAACTGGATGTAAAATATTAGTCTATTGACGGAAATTGAACGAACATTAGTTCTTACAGAACAGCCTTGACCGTGGGGTTCACGATTGTAGTAGGGACTTCGGTAGTTGGGGTGGTCATCATGAAAGTCGAGGATAACAGTGCGAATTCGCTGATACGAGATATGGGAGTTGAGTACGAATTCACTGAAGGCTTGGCCGAGATATTTAAGTCCGTCCTTCACTGCCTAGGTGCCCCTGGAAAAATTCCTATCTAGTGTTAGCTATGACCATACGCAAACGGGATTAAAAAGATGGTTCACCTGGGATGACTGCAATGCTCACTGCCCCAAGAGAACTCGAACCATGGTCAGCTTAAGAAACGACGTAGATGTCGCATACCAACCGAGCAAGAAGAGATATTGTTGTTTTCTGGTCGCGGCACCCATAATCAACATAAGAATGACCTTGTATTTTTGAAACATCAACCACACATTCTAATCTTCAGCGCCGCCAGAATTAAGACTGGATACGAAGTACAGAACCCTCAACATAGACAAAGGCCATGTTGATGAATTCATGCAGATGTAAAGTTGAATGATGATCTCGACCAAATACGACCACAACCAATCCACGACCTATCATCTGAAAATCGTGGGACGACATATTTGTCTCCTCAACATCACCCATAAGCAACACAAATCAGGTCGGACAACAATGAACGATTTCGTTCAGTACATATGTATAAGAGGAAAAAGGTGAATCGTCGAATGACTCAAAAATCAATATGATTCTCACCGAATTGCCAGCGCCAAAACACATCTTGCAAACTTACCAGACTACATTCACCTGTTTAAACGACATGCCTTTCTACCATCACCTCCAAAAACTCTCCTATTGCTGCGAAACCAACACAGACTTCATCAAGTATCATACAACCGAAACAATAAAAGTACCACTGGCAATCATCATTCGAAACTGGCTACTGCAACCGTAGTTTTCATTCGTAATCGCACTTCGAAGTGCTCCGAATTTCTCTCTAGTTGTTGCGTTAAAAGTATTTTGTCACCTATTTGCAGCCATGAGTAAATCGTCCTATCTTTCGTACGATGTTAACTCACTTATCATCTTGACATTTAGTATTCACTTGGCCTGGTGTTGTTGTCAATGTACGTCTGCTCGACAACATACGTTCAATGTAGCCCCAATACCAACAATCGACCTACTCCACTTCAACTTCAACAACCCCAAATATAAGACATTGACGAATTGTTTTTCATACCATGAGACATCGACAAGTTGTCTTCCTTACCGCGTAAGACATCGACGACTTACCTTCCCTACCACATTAGGCATTAACGAATTGTCTTTCCTACCACAATAGACATCAACGAGTTCTCTTCCCTACCACATAAAACATGGACGAACTGTCTTCCCTACACATGAGGCATCGACAAATTATCTTCCCTACCACATGACGCATCGGCGAAGTCTCCTCGCTATCACACAACATATCGACGATAACGAACCCTGTTTCCTACCACATAACACATCAGCAACCCGTCTCCTCTACCACATGAAACATCGGCGAGTTGTCCTCCGTACCATATGAGACTTCGCCGAGAGGTCTCTTCGCTATCACATAACGTATTGACGCACCGCTTCCTACCAGATAACAAATCGGCAACCTGTCTCCTCTACCACGTAAAACATTGGCAAATTGTCCTACCTACCATATCAAACGTCGGCGAGTTGTCTCCCCTACCCCATCAGACATTGATGAAGTGTTCTCCCTACATAGATAAGCGGAAGCCAGTCTCCACACTACCTATGACTTCAGAATATGTGCGTTTGACATACTTCTTCATATCTTGCTCACTTGTTGATCACCACCCGAACAGCGATATACAATTGTCAATAAATTATTGACCTCGATATCACGGGTGTTCGACTTACCTTGTTTTCTCTGTATATTTTTGACTGTGCCATTATGAAATTCTTGTATACCCTGTACAATCACAGTCCGGATGCCCGACAAACCCTGTTTCGTACCACACAAGACATTCGCAATTCGTCTCCCCTACTACGTGAAACATCGGCGAGTTGTCCTCCCTATCATATGAGACTTCGGTGAGATGTTTCTTCGCTATCATATAACATATCGACGAACCCTTCTTCCTTCTAGATAAAACATCGGCGACCCGTTTCCTCCACCACGGGAAACATTGGCAAGCTGTCCTCCCTACCATATGAAACGTCGGCGAGTTGTCCCCCCTACCCAATCAGACATTGATGAAGTGTTTTCCCTATCTAGATAAGCGGAAGCCAGTCTCGACACTTATATCTACAACCTCACCGTACGTGCGTTTGGCATACTTCTTTATATCTCGCTACAATTGTCAATAAATTATTGACCACATAAGACATTGACGAATTGTTTTTCATACCATGAGACATCGACAAGTTGTCTTCCTTACCGCGTAAGACATCGACGACTTACCTTCCCTACCACATTAGGCATTAACGAATTGTCTTTCCTACCACAATAGACATCAACGAGTTCTCTTCCCTACCACATAAAACATGGATGAATTGTCTTTCCTACACATGAGGCATCGACAAATCATCTTCCCTACCACATAACTTCGGCGAGAGGTCTCTTCCCTATCACATAACGTATTGACGCACCGCTTCCTACCAGATAACACATCGGCAACCTGTCTCCTCTACCACGTAAAACATTGCCAAATTGTCCTACCTACCATATCAAACGTCGGCGAGTTGCCATCTCCCCTACCCCATCAGACATTGATGAAGTGTTTTCCCTACGTAGATAAGCGGAAGCCAGTTTGCACACTACCTATGAATTCAGAATACGTGCGTTTGACATACTTCTTCATATCTTGCTCACTTGTTGATCACCACCCGAACAGCGATATACAATTGTCAATAAATCATTGACCTCAATATCAGGTGTGTTCTACTTACACAGTCCGGATGCCCGACAAACCCTGTTTCGTACCACACAAGACATTGGCAACTCGTCCCCCCAACTATGTGAAACATCGGCGAGTTGTCCTCCCTATCATATGAGACTTCAGTGAGAGGTTTCTTTGCTATCACATAACATATCGACGAACCCTGTTTCCTTCTAGATAAAACATCGGCAACCCATCTCCTCTACCACAGGGAACATTGGCAAGTTGTCCTCCCTACCATATGAAACGTCGGCGAGTTGTCTCCCCTACCCAATCAGACATTGACGAAGTGTTTTTCCTACCTAGATAAGCGGAAGCCAGTCTCCACACTCATATCTACCACTCACCGTACGTGCGCTTGACATACTTCTTTATATCTTTCTGGCTCGTTGATCACCGCCTGAACAGCGATGTACAATTGTCGATAAACCATTGACCTTCCTATCAGGTATGTTTTACTTACCTTGTTGTCTCTGTATATTCGTTGCCTGTGCCCTCGTGAAATTCAACCTCTTTGTACACTCTGTACAATCACAGTCCCAGTGTCACGAAATCTGTTCAATTCAAGAACATAACGACATTCCTAGACCTAGACTGAGAAATAGCCATCGTGTACCAATTTTTGGATTCCAGCTACATGATTGCAGTGTTAACAATTGGTTAACCACAACTGAACTGGTTACAATATTGAATGATGGTGTTCATGTTCAGCGAGAAGCAAAGAGGCGTTACGATGTCACTACGTGTGGTTCTCATGTTGACTCAACTTCGAATGATAAATTCAGATCCGGCGTCCTTATCTTTCTTTGTCCTTTACTTCCACCATCTCTATCCAACGTTCACATTATTGCGTGAACCTATGAACTGAGCTTCTTCCAACATCACCACGGCTTTTTAAGCAAAAATGCAAGGTATGCTACCGATAAATTCAAAACTTCTGACTCTTATATATTTTGTTTCCCAAAGGACAATTTTCTACTACTCCTCAAAGATCTCAACGTATGAACTTCACCCCAGAGCAGCGCGCTCTCCTCATTACAGCTATAGAAGAAGTACATTATAGAACAGTGCCTTCTTCATATCCTCAACAACTTCACACAGAAATATTATCCAACCGACGACACAATTCAACAGTTAGCAAACGACTTTCACATAAGCTGTCATCAAATCAGAGTACGCATCCATACAACTGCTTTAGCATTGATCTAACACCATCGTATTCAGATCTGGTTTTGTGTCAGTTACTCTTATTTTATAACGAACTTATGCCCTGAACATATCACAAATTAGAATCGACGGCAACAAATGCGAAGGAATAAAATTCGCGCAAAATTTCAAGACTTAAAATCACCCAAGTACATTCGTGCATAGCTATATCCTCCTCAATTCATTGATTTTGTCACAGAGACTCAACACTTTCCCTGCCTCCGGAAAACTTGAACCCCAACCTCGAACATTCACATCCCACACTCGAAGAACCGACATTTCTTCCTTCTCCGGAACACCTGAACCAAAGAATCAGTCAATCGAATCCTCCCTTACAGCGACACAAGCCCGACGATCCATCTGACGATGACATCCTTCCCTCTATATCATCTATTTTTCCCGACATTATTAACAAAAACGATATTAGTGCTACACCTTTTGTATCTTCCTCTGTCCAGACTTCCACACGTCGACCAAAACAAATGCCATATTCTTTACCACCCATCACATCTTTATTACAATCCATTCCTCTTACTCCACCAACCAAGAACTATAACTACAGCTTTCCTATGCCCAAATAAAATTCTTTTCCTCCTCTGTACCTAAATGAACCAAATTGTAACACAAATCTGTTGCAAATATTTTCGAATTGATTTGTCCTTCACTCTCGAAACTATCCAAATCGCGATGAACCCTTTCAGAGTCGGGGATTGCCGCGCTCGCGGCGCTAAAGGATCACCATAAGGACGAATCGTACATTTCATTTCGGACTCGTAACATAAGCCTCCAAGCAACTTGGAACAATGGAAGCGCCAATGGAAGTTTAGCGCGCGAAAATGTGGCGTGGGCGCTCTCTGTTCAAATTCGTTGGTTTTCTTCGTTCTGAATGACATCTACGAACTACAGAGCTCATCCAGACCCAGATTCTCCAGCAGCTGGCCAATCTGTATATCCTCTTCCGCTGGCATCTCCCTGAAGATAGAATGTCGACCGGTCATATGGCGTCAACGGCAAATTTTTGAATAATCGTCTGGGAAGGTCAGGCTGCAGGAACATTATCAGCGACGATCTCGAATCTGACCGTGAACATACATACATTCGAAATGTATCTTCTTCCGAAAGCTATCAAATCCCCTGTTGAATCAGCCCTTTCAATCGCCGTCGCGCGGTCGAATCCTCCAGCGACGATAAGCGGCTTCGGTGTCCATATATCACGGATAAAGTCGTTGGAATCGGTCGATGTAATGGGTGTATCCCGTGTAGTGCTGCCCTCAACTCGTGGCTCACATACGGAGACGTAGGCGAAGTCGGGATACAGCGTTTTGATGTTTTTGACTATGTATGAGTAGGTCGGGATCGGATCTTGCATTCTCATGTCTGACAGTAGAACGTTAAATCTTGGAGCAACAGGGAAGATCAAACAAGATTTACCTTGAAAAGTGCTCCATGGACTGAACCTCACCCCTACTTTCTCTTGCCCAACTTCCTTCGTTACGGCCTCAATTATTTCCAATCCTAGTCTTGCTCGATTTTCAATGCTTCCCCCGTATTCGTCTGTACGGTTGTTGGACACGTCTTCCAGAAACTGGTTAAGCAAGTATCCGTTGGCCATGTGAATTTCGACTCCGTCAAAGCCTGCTTTGTTTATTGCATTCGAGGCGGCTCTCACGTATGACTGTATTAGCGATTTGATTTCGTCGACTTCCAGAGCGCGAGGGACGTCATGCCCTTCCATCGGTATTGCAGACGGTGCAATTGGAGTGTATGATGGATCCTCGGCAGCAAGGAGTTTGGGATCTGCATCTCGGCCTGCAGTCCACAGTTGTAGGAAGATATAACTGCCATTTTTGTGAACCGCATATGTGATCTGCAGGTACATAACGTGTTCAGGACCTTCGTCTCTTCAATATACCTGTGCTATCTAATGCTTACTTCCTTCCAAGCGGCAGCTTGCTTGTCATTCCATATGCCAGGGACATTGGGATATCCTCCCGCCTTCGGGTCTACTAGGGTGCCCTCAGCGATAAGGAGCGTACCAGGACTCCTCGATCTTTGCGAGTAATATTCCCGCATAACAGGGAGCTGAGGGACATGCTGATCGTCGCATCTCATACGCGTCAAGGGCGCAAGAACGACGCGATGTTTCAAGGAGAGATTCCCCACTTCTATGGGCTTGAAGAGTTTGGTCGAGGACATATTTAGGACGATTCTGCAACATTGGGTGTTTTCTTCAACCTTTTTATACCTTCTTACATCCGCGAAGTTCGAACTTGAAGAGGATGAGTAAGGCTCTGCTTACAAACCCCATATTTAATCAGTAAGATAGTCATGATGCAACGCCGGTGGAACACGAATTCCCTGCGCTCCTGGACCCTTCGAATGGCAGAAAAGTAAACGGACACCGCAGAAACGCGAGGTAGTTTCTTCGTTGATACTGAAACCCAGACCGAAAATTGAACGACATTTGTACTCAATGTCAGCTGCTCTCACTGTGCTATTATATATATTTGGTCTGACCAGGTCCGAAAACCTTTTCCTGAAAATTTTCAGCCCTAGCTTATATAACTTCCAATGGTCAAGGAGCTTGATTATGATGTTGGTATTTCGGCAACTGAGCTTTATCTTGAATTGGTCTGGCGCTTCTTGACTTGCCCAATATTCAGTGGAGATGCGTTAGGCCTGTCGTTGGAGAGCAGTATGGCTATCCTGAACTATCTAGACATAAACATCGCATGCGAAAAAAATCATAGTATATAGATTTGTGTACCAAGGATATTCAACGCCAAGCAGGAAGTGCTTTTGGCGATTTCGATTTTGGAGAAGCTCTTCTGAATGAATTATCTGCTTGAGATTTTTCCTTCGTCCTATCGAATGCGTCCCATCCTTCAGGCAAGCTCTTCGCTGCAACTAAAGGATACTTGATACGAGAGCATTGAGGTCGTCGGATAGGATTCTTTGGTTTAGCTGTAACGTGAGTGGGGACTGCAACACTTTGCTGTGCTTCAAACTGAAAGCATCGTACAGCAGCGACGAGAATAGCAAGGATTCTTAAGAAACAACAAGATATGGATCTTGGTATCCGAGGGATGCCCTTTAGCCGACCTTATAATGATTTTGGTGGTCATGATCACGAGAATGTTGTTCAAGGCGACAAAGTTTGTTCTCGGTACAAGTATTATACAAGTTTAAGGTATATGCATCGAATGCAATACACCATTGATACGAAAGCTACAAAAGAACGAGAACAGCGGTTCAAAGGATGAAACCAAAACACAAAACAGACCAGTATTTTCATAATGGGCAAACGGTGCATTGATCCAATCACGTATTGAAAGGTTGAGGCGGCCAAACTATTGCTAGACCCTCCGGCTGAAGACGTGTCCAAGGACACGTAATCAATGAGCTGGGTAACCAAGGTCCTTTCGTTTGAGAAGCTTCATTCAGCTGGGTCATGAGATTTATCAAAGATGCAGAATTTATCGGAGATGATGGACGTTTCCACCCTTCAGCAAGAGGGAGGCGCTCCTCACGGAAAAATATCTGGACAAATCTATGCATCAAGAAGCGAACGTGAGCTTGTTACTCCAAACGAAACAGCACACAATGTGTAACCTTTTCGGCGCGACCCCAGTCCTCGGATCACCCATGACAGAGAGGAACAGACTTGCTTCCAGTAGTTGCGATTGGCGTTCCTTGATGGTGTTGACCAATTCTGCGTTTTCTTTCTTCGCAAGCGCGAGCCGTTCTTCTAAGACTTGACCAACAGAGGTAGTATTGTACACGTCGAAACCTGGATTTGATTCGGAAAGGGTGCTGAAGACAGTGGAGTTGAAATGCAGATTGTCCCCGAGAGCGTAATCTAAGCGAGATATGGATGCGTCGTGTTCAATAGTGCCATGCCTGTGTAGCATATATGAGGAAAAGGTGAAGAAATGACAAGGAAACAAACAATTTGAGGTCGTCGAGCGTAAAACTATCAGGAGCATCGGTGGTCAGAAGGGCTAGTTTGAGAGCCAAATTCATGACTGGGTCGGCCGGATTGTTATAAACGACTTCCAAGTGTAATCAATCATTGTGGCTCTGTGGGATTTCGGGAAGACGCGACTCGTACCATCGGCAGCTTTGAGAACCATCGGAATGGTGATGTTTTTGCCGTCTCTAGAGATAAATCCATGGTTTGCGAGCCTCTAAAACGTTTTACTCGAGCTCACTGAGAAGCATAGAGGGACAAACGTGTTCATTCCCGGACAGGGCGAACGTAAATCGCCTTCACCAGGAGCGATCCAGCGATGATAATTCCAGTCGATGTTGTCAAATGCGTCAGTATGTTGAAGCATCTGGGAGGTGAGCATGACTTGGGTCGAGCAACTCAACAGCACTAGAGCAAGATTAACAAGAAGTAGAGAGAGCAGCATATTGATGATGGTGGATTAACGAGATTGTGCCATGAATCAAGCGCCCACATAATTAATGATTGACTTTCACACCAGAAGGAGAAAAATTCTGCTCGATGGAAAAGACAAAAGAACCAAAATGATTCAGTAGATGATTCAGTCACCACTGAATTATCACAATTTTGTTGAGCTGAACGGGAATGTATGCGCGTTTCAGTCGCTCTGAAATACAATGATTCATGGCATCATTCAGTGGCCAGTGTTATTCCATGATTCCACATGTCATTCTGTCGAGCGAAATGTTTTCTACTTCAGGTGTGTTTACACAAGGATTTGAAGAAAATCATATTTTCCTGACGGTATAACACTATTAAATCAACAATTGTCATATATAATACGGAATACAGAATTGTTTATTGTGATACACTTTCTTCAAACAAATAGACCCCAGTTTCTTCAATTTCCCGATTCAGCTCAAGGTATTCTGACCGCCAACTCCACCGAGGTGACGATTTTCAGGATGAGCGCCTACACATGTCAGAAATCAGATCATGATTAAGTGCGAGAGTGGTTTATAACTCACCGTGCGCGACTGCTCGTTCCCGACGGAGCAAAGCTTCCCTCTCCAAACGTTCCGCCTCAGCTAATTCAGAACTTTGGGTCTTCAGGGCGTTTGCTTCCCTATCAAATGACAGAAGAAGTCAGCAATCAATCACGACCTGCAGAAGCCTGCAGATTGATGAATAACCAACATTTCTTTCTGCATTCCTTTGGCCTTCAGCGCGTTGCTGCCAACCGCCGCACCAAGAGCTTTCTCGACTTTACCAGTCGTTGAGTGACCGGCTCCGCCTGAGGCATTCAGGTTCGAAGACGGAGGAATATTCCCTTGATTGCCTCCGTAGTCATTGTAGCGGTCGTTCTCCGGTCTACCCATGCCTGATGGATTGTTCATGCCAGGATTCCCATACTGCAGACAAGGATTATGTTGAGAATTACTAGAGGCGAACGAAGGCGGGAGACGTACATCATTGGCAATGGGATAATCTTGTTGCTGGTCATGCATGCCTTGGTGATGATGTCCTCGCCCACCAGCAGATGGATCGTTGGAATCAGCAGCATAGGCACGACCTCCCGCCATCAAATCATTATTTGGACCGCCAGTAGCGCCGGTGCCGGTAGCCCTCTGTTCATCTTTGTGCAAAGTGTTTTGTTTCTGGCAAAGATAGTGAATGAGTACACAGACTCGGTCATGAATTTTGACTTTATGTTCACCTTGTCGTGTTTGTGTCCACCGAAGAGAGGCATTATGTATGAGTAACAAATTCAGTAGAAAATAGAAGTAATTTCAAGTTGTGGGTTATGAGAGATATGGATGGAATTATGGGAAGATGGGGCTAATACTCTTACTCGGACTCTTATAGGGTGCAATACTGCGTCGGGTGGAGCACATTTCTGCGGAATTGTTGGGGAATATGACGCGCCAAGTAGGTCATTGTTGGTCATATTCCAATCATGAGTGTGGCGTTCTTTCTGACGTAGCGACCATGTGAGTCGGTCAAAGCGTAGTGTATTGACCCATTTAAGGTAAAGTATTAACTGAGCAGCCGGCCCGGCACTAAGATTCGTAGCTGCATCGGAAAACAGAAATTGAATGAGATAGGTTCGCTAATAGCCAAGGACGCATGTACATTTCACCCAATAAACTCCGGTTCTAACCACTGGTCAACATCGTCCTGACTATCAAAGTTGATTTCGTTGTCAACCACCAGACCAAAACTTTTTGCCCCACTCCACCATTCCCTCGCATCGAGGAGCGCTCTCCCTTCTTGCTTGACCTTAAGTACGGATAGGACAGAGTTATCAGCACAACGTATCAACATTGCCTTGTCTGGTTTAGAATAACACGCTCGCCCAGGAACGGCAGGTGTATAGGGTGGAGGGGAAGCGTGTACTGAGGGCGAATGCATTTGTAGGGTTTTGATGGTAGGCAGATATACAGTGAGAGGTCGCTATAGGTGAGGGAGAGGTTTCAGAATATGCATTTGATGTTTACCAGGAAAACGATTACCTGATGTCCTATAGCTCGATACGTTCGGACGATGGCTTCTGCAGACATTGTAGTAAAGTCGAGCGTAGCATCTTTGAATGATATTGTCGGTGCGAAGGAAATATTCGTTTGCGCCTGAGCTTTAGAGACAGCTTTTCCAGCCATCATGTCGCGAAGGACAGAGACGAGAAGCTGTCCACCTTTGATCGCGAGTTTGTCGCGTAGGTCTGAGAATATTGCATTTTCCGGCAAGGACTGCGGGATGGGATGAGTCCTGTAGTAGTTAAGAGACAAAGTAGCACGTATTCACCAATGTTTGAGTCCCCCAAATTGGACCAGCATCTATGCCTTCTGATCTCTTTAGCATATTCACTATACACACGCCTGTCTCCTTTTCGTCATTCATAATAGCGTGTTGAATCGGAGCAGCACCCCGATAGGCGGGAAGAAGGGAAGGATGAACATTGAGTCGACGATCTGAAGCAAATAACTTGAGCATTTTCAAGGGTAGTATGCGGCCAAAAGAGGCTGTAATGATAACGTGTTGAGCAGAAGGATTGACGTCGGAAAATGGTGGTGGAATCTACAGACGAACAGGGTAAGGATCCATGCAGTAACAGAGGCGAACGCACTTGCCGTCCAGTTCTTGAATTCTGTTTTGGTGGGTATCGTGTGAACAGGTAATGCAAGCGAATGACCCAAGATTTTCAAGGGAGCTGGAGAAGATTCGGTTTTGTTATCCATGTCCTGTTAATAACACTCACAGACCGAAAGCCGCGAGCCGCGGTCAACTTTCTCATCGGGATTTGTGGCAATGTGTATTTCTTGCCATACGTCTGAGCGCTAACCCGCAAATAATGAGTTCCCAGCATGGGATTGGAAGAAGGAAAGTCTCTTTACATGTAATTCCTGCAAAACAAGGCACGAAAACTCGTCGCGTCCCATGAAAAGAATCTTGAGCTGGTTCCTCCATGTTGATGAGGTAGTAAGTGGCCTTCTGTTGTCATGAAGATTGTGCTTGACTCTGAGAGGAGATTGATGTAAGCATTTGAACAGCCTGAGCCAGTACATAGACGTCGTGAGCAAAATCCTGAAAAGTTCAAAAAGTTCCCACGACGCGTCTTCCATCGATATCATAGCACCAACCTCCCGCGTACGATTGACATGACCTCCTTCCCTAAAGGTTTCGAATACAGGTCTCATCCGATGCAAAGTCAGGCAACAGACTCATCTAACTCTCAGGGCTCCAGCGCATTTCGAAGGATGCAGGTGCTCCAAACTTTACCTCCTTGCCTACAACACATTGTGGCCACCCTTTGTTATATCTCACAATGCTTAGCTTGCTTTGGAAGGCCTCAAGAAATATCGTTAGCTTATTTGAATTCTACGATACCACATCAACTCCACAGAGCACTGAAGCTCCAACACTCCGCCAGATTTCAGTAGAGGTCAAATTTTCGTGACGCCAATCTCACTTGATCTGTGAACTCACTACACGAACACGCTCTCATTGCGAGATCAGAACAAAATAACGTCTCCAATATTCCGAATTTCTCAACAAGTCATGGATCCTACGCGTCTCGTCGCCGATACGGTTGTATATGGCGCACTGAGTCGTTCACAAACTCGTTCAAGGCATCCTTGCTACAGTGTAGTGTCAAGTCGTAGTGCTGAATTTCTCAGACGTTATCGGCGAAGTAATGTTCCTTTGCGATGCACTGTCGTTTTGTTTTCCTACCCAAATTCCGACAGGTTCTCCAGCAAATGAAAATCCCTCGAGAAAATCATCCGGAAGGGGTTCTGGGTTTGTACTGATTAACAGACTCAGAGCTGCTCGCTAGGTTAGTGACAATTCCCTTTGTCCAATGATTCTAACCAAAAAAAAAAAGATCTGAGGAGGATCTCTACGTGTGATAACTATTTATAGAGTATCTATGTGTTGAACAACGACAAACGAGACTGGGAGGAGGTCGGAATCACGTTCCGGTATTCCTATCTGCAATTCACTTCTTGCCGTCCGTAGGGCCGACTCAGGCCGACCCCCACATCATTGGATTCCCTGGTAACGGTCTTAACGGAAGTGTTTTGTGTTGGAACAGCCACATCCCCAACACCCGGAGTGTTCTTTTTTGACCTTGTCTTGTCCTTCTATCATACGCGTCGTCTAGAAGCGTTGAGGCTAATACGTCGCGCAATGGACTTCCCTCCGGAATTGGAACGTCTCATCTTCCTTTTCGCCATGAGGACCGATCCTTCTATTGTGCCAACGTTGAAACTTGTGGCTCACCGTGTACAAACTTGGTGAGTGCCAGGTAATCTCCGAAGAGTTTTATCTAAAATGAAAGCATAATGTCTGTTCCAGGACTAATGAGATATTGCATGAATACGTTCTTTTGGATGATTGGAATAGATCCGAGGGGGATTTGAAACACGGGTTGGGTCCAGTTCCTGGCAAAAATCAACTTTATGCTGGACACGTTTCCTCAGCATTCGCTAAAAACGTCTCCAGCCTTTGCCTCACGTACAACCACGAACTTTCAGTGGAACAGTTGAGGTTTCTTGCCAGCTGCAATTCGCTCTCTAGACTGGCTCTATGGGTAGATTTTTCTGAACGGACCGAGTTGGCGGCGGTGTTAGTCTCCCTTTCCCTGCAGATGCTATCCATTGAAGTCGGGCACTTCATGCGGCTTCTTAGATTCCCTTCCGTACCTCACGTCTGGACGTCGCGGCTCACTCATTTGGAGCTCGTATTCTGGACCGCAGACGTTAATCTTGATACCCTATCTTTTGCTCATCTTCCTTTACTCCAGCACATTTGTTTCGTCTGGGGCAGGCGAACCTATCCTTCAACTGTCAAGCTAGCCCTCGAATCTTGTGTTTGTCTTTGTACACTGGTCATTCTGACTGCTTCTGGTCAGTGGGCGGATTTCGACAAATATAGAAACCTACCGGAAGCAAAAGGCGTCAATATTGCCTTACTTCCAAGTGTCAGACAGGCCACGTACGAATGGGTACCAGGCGGTCCTACGGTCTGGCATCGCGTACAAGAATCTCTCAACTCACAGCGCAGCACCCCTCTCATTACGGCCAACGGCCAGGCTAATACGTTGCTTTAACTATCATGAATACAACAGCTACATAGCTTGGCTGACTGATCGTATAAGTTTCATTTATCTATTTTAGACTTCTCATAGATCTTCTCTTCGATGAGAATAATGTAATTCTGTCATTGGGTTTTCGAGGGTCATTACACAGGCTTTGGTATTTGCGCGTCTCTCAAACACCCTACGTTGCGCAATTTGTAGATCGAGACAATAGCTATACCAATTGGAGGATTTTTTGTATCATTCGTGAGCTTTAGTGAGAGATCTTGAGAGGCTGAGACAAATGGTGAGTTCCCCTTCATTGTTGCATGCTATGATTTCCTCACTGCAAATATGACCATGATCGTTTGTTGTCTTCATGGAGCTACAATCTGCAAGGTACATGCAGTGCGCCAGTCTCCATTCGAGGCATTAAGCGAGGTCCTCATCAGATTTTCAGGTCGCATTAAACATTGTCCGACGTTTGTACCTGTGCGATGGTGTGCCTTCAGTTCATTTCTTGATAATCTGATCTTTACTAGTACTCCAAATTTCAAAAATGACTTTCAGGGTGCTTACACGTGCAGAGACCCACATTGCAACCTTCTTGTCAGCGACAAGTCAATTGTAGGAGCTTGTCCAGATGGTGGGTCCTTGTTTGGCCTGAAAAAGTTACACGTCAACTGTAACTTGGTACCCTAGCTGATTCTCTCGATAAGATACAATGGAATCATATACTCTCCTCGCGCAGCTTGAATTTTTAACGGCCTGCCATGCATGTGATGTAAATAATGAATTCTTGTCCATTGACTGATTCGAAACGACAAGGAACCTTCGGAGTTGGCGGGCCATCTGCAGGCATCGATCGTCTGCCAGTCCCCCGTACATAAACTAGAGAAACATCTTTACGGTTCTTTTTTTTCTTCCCCGATTCACCACGCCTATCACTAGAGAGGGATGCAAGCGTTTCGTCTTCAAGATCTCCCAGTAGAGTTGGAACGCTCTATCTTTGAGATTGCAGCTCGCTTGGAGCTCAAGACCGCGATGAACTTGTCGTTAGTCTGTCGTCAGCTGAAGGAATGGTGAGTGAAATTTTGCGCCCGATATTTTTGATAGTAGCACATTATACCCTTACAGGATCCAACCTTTGATTTATGAGATGGTGACATTAGGCACCGGAGATACCGCATTATTTCTGCGTACCATGGAGATGCTTCCCGCCGATTTCTTTGCTCGTTCTGTCAAGAGACTATGCTTGACGGTGTCCGTCAACCCAAATGACGCTCAGAGGATATTACGAATTTGTACTGGCATCTCAAACTTAGCTTGTTGGGTCGATTTCATTGGCCGGTTTCCTTTGACCCCTTCGACCCCATTTCGAGAACTTCTGCATCCACTTCCCCTTCGGCGTCTCTCTATAGAAGCTGCGCATTTTCAAACGCTTTCATTTCCTGACTGTGCCTGGATTCATTCTCTCACTTATCTTGACCTCGTCTTCTGGAAGGAGGACTCGCTGTTAATACGGGAGCTGCGTTTCTTACCAGGACTTACCCATGTTGCGCTTCTACTGCAGCATTCGTCAATCGAAACTAGCGCGTTGGCTTACATCCTATCCATATCACCATCCTTACAAATTTTGTGTCTTGTTACCGACGAAGATGACCTCGAACGGTATGAGCAGGGCACTAAACTCGTGGATCCCCGCGTTGTCTGCCTACCGCATCCAGAGAGTGTCCTTGACTGGGAGGCACCGTATCGAGGCCGTCCGGATATGTGGTCACAGGCCGAGGAAATCATAGAACAACGACAACTTGCGGCTAATCAGGTGAGGAATCGTTTTTTAGGGTTAAAACTTCGAGTACTCAATGTTACAATAGATGGAGGAATAACGGTATACTGTATACAAATTGGTTATATCGGACTTATAATCATTTTGACCTGTGAAGGGGCTCGAAAGGTCAGTAACACACAAAGTAGTGAAAATGTAATGTAATGATACCTTTGCTAAAAACCTTAGTAGATGATTGACAACGGCCTCACTTTGCTCCTGCTGCGCCCAGTGCCCTGTGTCAGGGAGCAGAACGACATCTTCTTTGTCCATGTTTTCGCATACGTAGTCTTTCATTCTTTCCAAAGAACCAGGACTTTGGTACACACCCCAATCCTTGTCTCCAGAGAGAAACATCGCTGGCACCGTTACGCGTTTCCCAGTGAAGGCTTGCATATCCGCAGTCCACTTCGCGTCCGTCATGCAGCGGTACCAATTCAAACCGCCTTGGAAGCCAGTCCTGGAGTACTCTGAGACGTAGAAAGAGAGGTCCTCGTCTGGCAACCACTCCTGTAATGGACGGGTACCTTCACTTGCAGCCCCCATAACCGCCATGGGCATGGTATGCTCGAGAAGCATGATATAGTAATGGGGTACCGTGGCCAGGTTCGATGCAGAAGCAGATGGCAGTGGGTGAGGGTTATTCTTGGGCCAGTCCGCACTCTTCGCGTAAAAGTAATCGCTTAAGAAGTTGCGGAGGCCCTGTGGCGGTTGAAGCATATCTGGGTTCGCATTAGGTGTACATCAGGAAACCCACCCATGGGAAATAGGGCATAAATTTGGTAAAATTGCTGAAATTTGATGGATTAGTTATTTCTTGAAATTAGCCAGATTATTTAGCCCCCCATATATTTTAGGTGAAATCAGCACTAAACAGTCGGATTTCTTCAAATTAATGCCTAGTTGCGAGCAGATTTCGAGCGTGAATTTGTTCAAATTTCCCTTTATGATTCAATAACCACATATGAAGCAAATAGTGAATGCATTTGGTATGTGTACAATAAATACAACATAGATATAGTATTTAAAACTAGACTACTCGAAACTCCTCAGCACAGTAATCACCAACAGTACCAATCTGCAAACGTCACAGCAAAAAAATTGGAACACGGCACTTGTTGAGAATCTAGTGTGAGGAACTCAGTATGAGAGATGAGCAAACAGAAATATATGACAACACACCTTTGAAATATTTTTGTGGGTATTGAAGAGTCACACTGAAGAGTCGAGACTTTGTTTAACTCTACCAAGCAAAGCAAAAATACATAGCTCACCTATTAACCCTTAGCCACCCATTGTTTCTTACTTGCTCGACACCAGCCTGTATCTCCATAAGATGTGTTGGAAGCTGAATGCCTAGCAGGAAAAGTTTAGTGACTGGAGAAAATTAGAGAAAGACTGACTGAAGCAATGATGATGGGGGGAAGAAAGCACAAGAGAACGACTCGGAGCGATAACGGGGATTTGCAGGGATCGAGTAAATTTAAACTCCGACTATTGACTGAGACGGCGACCTGCAACCGAGGTAATATACAATTCAACACTCAAGTCACCGTCTATATGAATTGGACTTGCTCGAATTTTTCTACTACTTAGGCCTTTAAGATTCTTTTGCTTCAAGTTGCTCACTCCAGGCTTGCTCTATGCTCACTGGTGGTATATTACACACTAAGTCACATCAACTGAGTATTGCTCTGGGCATACAAATTATTCACATACTATGCTACCATAAAAGACTTTCCATGCACTCGCAGAGGGCTCAAATTCACGATATTATGGTAGCTTGTAGTATCACAAACTTCTGTAATTTGGCAAAACTTTTGTCAAATTTAAAAGCCATCATTTTAATCTTTCCAATTTGGCAAAATATATGTCAAATTTAGAAGCCGTGATTTTGATCTCATTAATTTGGTGAATTTCGGCTAATTGATAGGATTAGGAAGATTTCGACCATGAGAGGAAAATTAGTGCCCGATTTTCCGGAGGTGGTTTTCCTGATGTAGAGAAGTACATTGTATAATGCTTGCGCGATGGGTTCAGTTCCGCAAGCTGCTTTGTGAACAGAGAGGCCGCTGGCCCTACAAGGGACGACCCAGCTTTACTGCTCAAAGAAGAGCGAAATGGTGGTGCTCCCGGAAATGGCGCACTCATCACCACTAAGGACCTGAAGAGATCGGGCCTTATAAGCGCACAATATCCTGCGACCATAGAGCCAAAGTCGTGACCCACGACTGCAGCAACACTTTGATAACTAATTACACTGACGAACGAAACAATATCGGTTACCAAGTTGAACATACGAAAAGGTGCCAGATCATTGCTGAAATTGATAGGTCCTGAAGGAGCACCAGATGAACCAAGCATCACTGTACGACCATACCCTCTTTGGTCTAGTGCCACGACATTGTATCCTGCCTCGGATAGAGGCACCATAACCTTCCGCCAGGAGTAAGCCAGCTCTGGAAATCCGTGAAGAAGAATTACCAGAGGTGGCTGCGGAATGGAAGGATTTGGCGGAGGCAAAGCTTGAAGAAAATGAACATCCAAATCTCTCACGCGAATGGTGTTGGATGTAATGGCAGGAGGTAGCGGAATGTTTCCGTTCACTGTGGTAGCCATTATTGTCCGACCGTCGACGCGATCGAGAAATGCGAGGAAATTTGGGATTAGCGCTTTAGCGCCGAGACCAGTGACATTACGTCATTCACCGAAACACGACGGGAGCGAGGTGCAGTGCTCAGCGGTGCTTTATGTTCGTGTACTTTCATGTTTTAAATTTTACTCGTTTTCCTCTAAAACATTTTTCAGTTTCCTCCTTCCCCCTTCATGCATATCCTTAAACAATTGCAACCAAAGCATGCTCTTACCGAAGCTCAGAAGCAGATGTATGCTTCTGAGAAATTAATGAACTTTCGCTGGGTAGCCAAAGTCGCAGCCACATATTCCTCTTACATCTTATCCGTCAAAGATCTTGCAGACCAAAAGTTATTTTCAGAACTAGCTGAAATAGGTACGTCGTATACTTGGATTGCTTTTCCAGCTCGATCTCACCTTCTCTCAACTCTAGGTCAATTCACGGAGCTCGCATACACTAATGCTGTTCCAGTTCAATTCCTTTTCGAGCATCTAAACCTTTTAATGAATCCAAAGTTCCCCCTCGAAGGGTATAATGCACTTGAAGGCTCTGTGCTTGTATCCGAGTTCTTTGGCAAAGTGGCGCACCTCCATGGTTATGTTGCCTATCGGCCTAAGACGAAACAACTCGTTGTGGCTACTTCCGGGACCTCAACTGCCATTCAAGCAATACAGGATTTGCGAACCCTTTGGCATCGACACAAATCACGCAAGGGTCTGGTTCACTCGGGATTTTGGCAACTGTACAAAGGGATCCGGCCGTTTATATTAGAAGGTATCCGTAAAGGCTTCGAAGAACATAAAGAAATCCAGGAGTTGGTCATAACAGGACACAGTATGGGTGCTGCAGTGTCTTACATTCTCCTCCTTGACCAAATCCTTGTCTCAAATGATCTCATACCCGCTGACCTTTCGATCAAACTTGTCGCTTTTGGCGCCCCTAGACCAGGAGACGCCAACCTGTCGATGTATTACCAGGAGCTCATTAGCTCGTATCGGAGGAAGAACGGCGACGATGCTTTCTCTGAATATCTCGTCAAAGCCTACAATGACGGTGAGTTCAATTCATATATACTATTCGACGGCAATATTCATGTTCATCTTACAATGCCCAGGAGTCCCTGCCCTCCCCCCGCTTTTCTTGGGATATCGACATTTTACCCTTTCTCCATTATACTATGACCATATGCGCTTGTACCATATACCTCCGCGGTACTCTGAGTATACATCCTTCCATGTTGATGCAGAAAAATCTCCACAATATCCACGAGGTGGTCATAACTATTACAATGGAAGAGATCAGGAGAAGCTCCTGCGGAGGCTGGGATGGCTGGAGAAGTCGTTAGCAAAAGATGATTCATGTTGGGAAGAGGCATATTTGCAACGCGTCAGAAAACATTCCCGGTAGCTCCACTTTACGACCATGATTTTATTTCATTCAACCGTACCTATTTCCTACTATATAATATTACCATTGTATCCATACACACATCCATGGACTAGGAGGAAAAATCATTACCAATTGCTTTTCATCGAACAAATGAATACTCGTCCTTCGCTTTATTTCTAGCTACAGCAGAGCTCTGCAATCGTCGAAAATACATAGGCGCAAAAAGTAAGAAAACAATATTCAATTTCTCTCGAAGAGAAAGAAGCCCAAAGATTAGAAATGTACCATTATGCGTACAACCAACACGGAATCCCCTAGTAAAAGGCGAGGGGATTGTTAAGTTGTTGGTTGCACTGGTACATTGTTTACTTACGTATGAACCCAGGTCGTGGACTGTTTTTGAATTGTAGACAGTGTACGGGGCTGGCTGAGTCAGCGCCATGTTAAGAAAATGGTTTGCTAACCCTAACCTGTTCCCTAACCTTGCTCTACACCTCACACAATGGACGGTCGTGCTCCTCGGTAAGACCACAAAGTATCACACAGGAAGCTAGATACTTACTCTCTTCAGCATTAAAAACCGCGCGCCCGCCGCGATCCAGGTATCTTTAAACGCCATTGTCTTTGAAATCGTAGTAGATTTGACTAGTTTCGTAGATCACTGCCGAGCAACTTCTTCGAGAGGTACAATTTGTTGCTATCTATCTCGGAGGACGATAGCTAATAGTGCTTCGCGCTACTAGGCTCAAGAGCGACAAGAGAGTGCATTTCGGGCACCCAAGCAACGAGTAGAAGATTTTGAAGAACTTAATGAATATCGAGGAAGGAAACGAAAGGAATTCGAGGAACGTATCAGGAGAACACGAGGGAGCATGTACGTTCTTGCTTCCATTTAATCCTACAAAGCAACTCACGCAAATATCAGAAAAGAATGGTTACAATACGCCAATTGGGAGGTATGCACGAAAAGAACTTGTGTGTTTTTTTTCGGGTCAGATAACAACCAACATCTTCACAGGCTTCACAAAACGAATTTGCTCGCTCTCGCTCGGTATATGAACGCGCACTGGATGTCGATCCCCGGAGCATACAACTATGGCTGAGCTACACAGAAATGGAACTCAAAAACCGAAACGTGCAACATTCCCGCAATCTTTTCGATCGAGCTGTGACACTACTTCCTCGAGTTGACCAGCTATGGTACAAATACGTCTATCTCGAAGAATTGTTGCAGAATGTAGCTGGTGCGCGGCAGGTGTTTGAGCGGTGGATGAAATGGGAGCCTGATGACAAGGCGTGGCAGGCGTTCATCAAAATGGAAGAGCGGTATGGGGAGCTGGACAGAGCAAGCACTATATACGAGAGGTGGGTTGCTGTGCGTCCAGAACCGAGGGTATGGGTCAAGTGGGGAAAATTTGAAGAAGAGAGGCAGAGACTGGACAAGGCGCGGGAAGTGTTCCAGACTGCGTTGGACTTCTTTGGTGATGACGAGGAGCAGGTGGAGAAAGCACAAGCTGTGTTCAGTGCGTTTGCTAAAATGGAAACACGCTTGAAAGAGTTTGAGCGTGCAAGAGTTATTTACAAAGTGCGTCGTACCTTCTTTCTGAGATCAGAACCCTCATATATTTCCTGGTAGTTTGCCTTGGCCCGTATACCTCGATCCAAATCTGCCGGGTTGTATGCATCATATACCAAATTCGAAAAACAATTCGGTACTCGGACGACGCTAGAGTCAACTGTCTTGGGAAAGCGGAGAATACAATACGAGGAAGAACTTTCACATGACGGTAGAAACTATGATGTGTGGTTTGACTATGCGCGATTGGAAGAGGGAGCTTTCAGGGATCTTCGAGGTGAGGGCGCCACAACGGACGAAGAGGAAACTGCAATGGGACGTGTCAGGGAGGTCTACGAGCGGGCTGTAGCACAGGTGCCTCCTGGAGGAGAAAAACGACATTGGAGGAGATATATCTATCTGTGGTTAGACTATGCTCTTTTCGAGGAGATCGAGACTAAGGTACGCCCGCGCTGATCTCGTTTCAATTCTACAACCAACAATTGCCTAATAGGATTATGCTCGTGCTCGCCAAATTTATCAAACCGCAATAAGTCTCGTTCCTCATAAAATATTCACCTTCGCCAAGCTCTGGATTATGTTCGCCAAGTTCGAGATAAGAAGACTGGATCTTCCCGCGGCTCGGAAGATAATGGGCACGGCGATTGGCATGTGCCCTAAAGAGAAGTTGTTCAAAGGCTATATCGAACTTGAGACCGATGTGCGCGTCTCCATCAATAGTTGGAAAAATCGTTGACCTTTCTTCTTAGCTCCGGGAGTTTGACCGCGTTAGGAAACTCTATGAGAAGTACCTGGAGGTTCGTTTCTCTTCGCCCTTTGGTTTTCCCAATACTCACATTCGTTCAGTTTGACCCCGCCAACTCTTCTGCATGGATCAGATACGCCGAGATTGAATCACAACTTGAAGACTTTGCCCGTACTCGTGCGATTTTCGAGCTTGGAATCTCACAGTCGCCTCTGTCGATGCCAGAACTACTCTGGAAGGCGTACGTTGATTTCGAGATTGAAGAAGGGGAACGGGAAACAGCCCGATCATTATATGAACGACTCATCTCTCTCAGTGGACACGTCAAGGTCTGGATATCATATGCCTTGTTCGAGGCGGAGCCAATTGCACTTCCTCGAGCTATGCGGGAAGATGATGAAGAGGACGAGGATGTTGAACAGAAGATGGTTCCTGGGGACCCCGACCGCGCCAGACAGGTGTTCGATCGAGCGTACAAGGAAATGAAGAGCAAGGGATTGAAGGATGAGGTATTATTTCACTGTTCCATGGTTTGTATGTAGTATTCATCATTTTTGTACTTTAGCGCGTTGCTCTTCTCGAAGTTTGGAAGACGTTCGAGGAGACTCATGGTACTGCAGACGACGTGGCCAAAGTCCAGGGTATGATGCCGATCGTCAGCAAGAAGAGGCACGTAGACCAAGAAACCGGCCAAATGGTCGAAGGTTCGTTGGCATTTGCTTCTTACTACCGGCCATTGCTCACGATTTAACGTGTTCCAGATTGGGAACTCGTATTTGCTGACGATGAGCGAGAAAACAACCCGACTTCTTTCAAGTTCCTTCAAATGGCTCACGCCTGGAAAACCAATCAAAACAAGGGTGGGAATGACGCCAAACCAATCTCTTTCGCTCCAGCATCTAACCGTAAGGATGATGATGCTACCAGCGACATGGCTAGTTCAGACGGAGAACATTGATCTATGCTATCATTAATGCTAATGTATTGTTAAATTCAGTATTGTTGTATTCAGTATCTGTTCTTATTATTGCACTCCTGCTTTGCGAAAGCCTGGATTCATAGTCCTATTGGAATACAGATTAAGTTACAAGACTAGGTATATACGTATAATTGAAGGTGATTGAAAACAGTTCACGACAAAGCAAAGATTATAATACAAATACCGCCCTCAAGAACAGTCCAAGTGCACCAATTGATCCTACTCTAAGAAGTAAACCCGCTATAGATTCTCTGAAAACAACACCACCATTCGCGCTCCCTTTACTTGAACTACCCAACGGTGAGTTCCCATTACGCCCATTTGACGTCGCCAAAACCGAAGCATCTACAGTAGCCGTGTTTCCTGTATTCGTCACCGTCGTTGTTGCAAACGTGGTCGAAGGAGCACCCTCCGTCTCGGTCAACTCGTTCGTGAGGAAGACCAAGGCAGCACCGGGAGCTGGTACGCTGACCGAACATACTTGAGCGGATTGATCGCAAGGAATCGTTTGGATAGATTCCGTTCCTTCGAGTCGGCCGTCAGAGTCAAAATTCCCACCGAACGTCTGAGGGAGATACATAAGTATGTTAGAGGGAAACATAACGGCGCCCCAAGCAAAAATAACGCAGAGACGAACCTGACCCGCCCATGAATAATCTCCTTTCTGGGATACCGATGAGGCAGTAAGGTATCTACAAATAGGTTAGTCGCGCGCACTTTTTCTCGAAACACCGCAGAAAAATCCAGTGCTCACTTGACCGTAACTTGCGACGGGGTGGTATTCGATTGCCCTGTTTGACCTCCCCCGATGGCGATATTGGCAGTGTAGTTGCTGTTCCCCGATGAATCCGATAAGAAATTGATAAGAACCATCCGTACGGGTTGGCCATTTTCGTATATGACATAATTGGGCGTGTACGTGCTTTGATTTTCGGCGCCGACCTCTAGAACCTGCGATTGGTTGGAAGGACCAAGGGCTTCAGCGATTACAAGGGAGGAGTAGAATACAGGTCCAACAGTCCATTCCCTATAGGAAGATTGATTGGTCGGAGGGGCTAATATCAAATTGAATTTGAGCGGACAGAGAAGACTGGTGATATAACTGTCCACGTACAGATGAAAGGCTAAAACTGGATGGTCAATTACAGCATGATAGATGGAGAAGATTGACACCTACGTTGTAATATACACTTTCACCACCAACATGGAACATACCACCCGAGAAGTTCGATGCGGCCATGAGAAGGCCATAATCAAGTCCCCACAAAGCCGCTCCAAATACATCACTTATTCCAGGGAAGCCACCTAAGTGATCAATTAGTGGTAAAATATTGACAATTCGGATGGGGACTTACCACAAGATGCTGTGTTTGTTTCGAACATGATAAACGGCTTGCCTTTCGTTTGAGCATAGGATGTGGAATTTAGGTAGGGCTGTACAAGACTTTGAGCGGAGGAGTGCATCAGGTACGTTGGCCATAATTCAGTGGCGTTTCTTGGGGTCCCTGTACCAAATTGGGCATAACAATTGTCGGTTGGATAGCTGGAAAGAACGAGTAACGTGAGTTCAGATGTTGGAAAGTTGGTTGTGAAAACTCACTGCTCCACGCTCATCCATGCTATATTCGAGCTATACGTATCCATGACACCGGTGTCCCATACTTCTTCTGGTGTCCAAGTTCCAGCTGTACCATCAATTTTTGTCAGCTACAGAAAACATTTGTAGTGGACGGGTGTCATGGGACTGACAGACGCTGGGAATGAGGAGAAGATTTTGGGCGATAGAAAGGTTTGAATATTGTGACATATCGTCGATAAGACTCCCGAGCTCCCCCACGTAGTCATATTGCGAATAGCTTGAGGAACGGTGACCGTGTGCAGCTGATAGACAATTCAGATGTAGATTATGGATTTGTGTATATGCTTCAATAATGGGACGTACCGTAGAGGTCCGGCTCATTGCCTGTGTAACTCAGGATATCAGTTTCCAACTTCAATGAATTTCCTACTCAGACTCGCCTGCCTGCACACCCATCAGGTAATCACCCAGAATTTCTTGAGCGGACTGTGCAATCTCAAGCCGGAAATTCGAAGAGTCATTAAACGGTATACCTTTATCATTGATGAGCAACGAAAATGTATCCTCAGTGAAACGCTCACCAACGAACCAGCGAACATTCACGAAATCCGAAATATTTCTCATCATGTACAGTAAATCTGGGGTAAACACCAAGGGCGGGGTTTCGGTCTAACAAAAGCGGATCAGCGACTGAAGTTGTTTCGATTACATTGCAGAACCTACGGGATTCGTGACGCCACTCAAGTCTTTTTCCAGAACCTTGCCATCATCCAGAGTAGCCACTTCTGAGGCTGTATCCTGCGAATTACCTCCTACACGGACGCGAACAGCTCCCGCTCTTTGTGCAATGGTCGCCAAGAGGTTCAAGAATGGGACTTGAAGAATGGATCTGACGTTTATTTGTTAATGCCGAAATAGCCTACATGAGAGAAGCAGACGCGCCACGTACGAATTTTTTCCCACTGAAAGAAGCGAAAACCGTACTCAGAACAAAAAAGTCGCTCATGCGCAGAGGAGCGATACTCACAAATTTGATTCGCCACGGACATTTCAACCGAAAAACCCATGAACGCGCCAGATTGAGTTATTGAAAGTCCAGTAGGGTTAGACTGTATATTGAAATCGAGAGAAAGCGAGGGCAGAGGATCAGGCAAAGCGGGCGGGTCAATGGTTGTGGGATTATAAGCCGCAGCACCAGTGTACGAGGAGGCGTCGGCCGAGGTCGTGGAGAAGGGATTTTGGCCAGGTACATAGTATATTGTCACTGCCGCAGAAATTCCAAGTAGGCCATGAAAAAGAAAAAGTGGAAAGAGGGCGATATTGCCCATGGTGTCGCGTAAAAATTGCAAGGTGAAGGACAAAAGCAAAAACGTTGACGGCTTGACTGTTGCATTTTCTTCGATGAGCTAATAAGAGGTTCCAGTGACGTTCGATCGAATTCGGAAAAGTACCACGCGATTTTTGCTCCCGATCATCTTGATATCATTGCGCAGCGCCAAAAGAAGAATTGGCCGCATATCATCAAGTGGATAGAAAACCGCGATGCCCAGGATTTTGAGTTGAAAGAATAGCATTTATTGCAGCGATACAGACAGAAAGCCCGAGCTCTCAGTTTGGGCGGCTGCGAGGATTGCACTAGGCAATATCCATCCGTAGTAGCCAACCGAAGGGCCTCGGCGCTCAATCGATTGACGAACACGACCGTTGACCACTCGCAAATTCTCAGCTCGGTACTGCATGTACAAGAGCCCCAATGGATGATCTATTCTTCTTGATAGAGATTGAGCGCAAAGGCATCATTTCCTGAGGGTGGGCCTCGTAACTTTTTTGCTCGACCCAGGATGCTGCACAGTGCATACATATCACCCCCGAATGGATTCAGTCATGACAAGAGCCAATACTCACCAGAATCGAGGTATGGCCCACATGTACAACTTTCAGTCTCCTCGGGCTTTGCCTCCTCGTTCAAATTTGATGTATCGACGATGTTCAGTTCGACGCCCTTGTCCATGTCCTGAGAGTTGTTGTTCTAGAAGAAGCCAATAACCACAGATGGCTTGCAAAACGCAGGGAAAACGTATGAATACAAAGTCAAGGCCTGTGACATTGGCCCGGGCCGGGTAATGTTCTATCAGACTCATAGTTTACGCCTTACTCTTCCCATCCCTCAATATCGCACAGCAGAATCCTGTAAAACGCTACTCGCAACCACCTATCTTGGCTTGCCTCGTTGCACCCTACAGCATGATTGTGACGGAACAAATATGTGCTTGGGCTTTAATCGGAGCACCCCAAAACCAAAGCTTCCTTGTGGATTCAGACAATGACAATGTGAAAACTTAGATGGATCCATCCTCTTCTATTAGACCGAACATAGCGCGAAAGGCCATCAGCTTATCCTCGACGTCTGCCATTCCTGCTGCTTCTCGTTCATTAAACAGCCAAACAGAGCCAGACACCCAAGTGTCTCATCTATCTTCCTAGATCTTCCCTCATATACAACATCTGTCCTATCCCAATTGCACCGCACCCTTTATCTACTCTCAATTGAACCGAAGAATACGTGGTTCTTTTGAAGACGTCTTGTGCTCAGTCCTAGTGATCTGTTTGTCCTACAAACTTTCTTGGGGTTCAGAGAGAACTCGAAATAACCACAGCTCGGACAAGATGCGGGGGTCCTCTGTCATATGAGTGGAGACCAGTGGTCAGAAGCTTCAGGAATGAGGGTCTTGAGACCGCAACGTTTGATAATGGACCAGATTGGACACCTTCCCGATCTGGGAACGCGAGCAGTACTTAACAGACACAAGAGAGGGACTCAAAATCTACAGTGTGCTCCCATCAACTACTTTTTCAATAACCACCAACTCAAGTCTCTTCCCAAGATGTGTCGATGGATCGTCTATGTCGGCGAGTGCGTCTGCTCTTTCTCTCATCGTCAATCTATGTCTTAGAGTAATTTCTTGCAGGCAGTCTCTAATGCTCGAAGATCTGCTCATCAGGCCAGACCATTCTGTATGCTTCATATTTCTCATTGCATATTTGTATAGCATTGAGATTTTTGCCCTATAAGATTGTCAAACAGTACGCTAAATTTTCCTTGAGTCTCTACCCAATGCTGACGCCGAGTTTCCAGAGTCAGTAACCGCTTCCTTCCTGGGTTATACTATGGATTGGAAGAAAGCGACAAAGAAGAGTTGGAAAAACGTCTGTAGTCTTTTCTTTGTACCTTTTTGCACCTATTCATGTCGCAAGAACGATACAGAGGCTACGTGGATCAATGTCCATGGTTTCGGAGTGGGCTGGTACACCGACACTCTCGCAGAATTTGACCCCTCCGTCAAAGGCATGCAGCCCGCACAGTACAGGACTATCGCCCCGATTTCGACCGATCTTGCGTTCAAACAGCTCTGCACGCATACGGCATCGAGCTGCACCCTGGCGCACATCAGAGATGCTAGTTTTCCGCCCGCTGTCGAAGTAAACAATCACCCGTTCATTTACGGGAAATACGCCTTCATGCATAACGGTAGTGTCGACAGCTTCCGCGTCATTGTCAGTGGGGTCATCTTACGCTTCCTCGATTGTGATTAAAAAATAACGTATCTCATCCAGCGATACGACGTCATGACAAGAATTTTCGATCTACAAACCAAAGTGCAACAGTACCAGTACAAGTCCTCTGTTCAAGATTCCAACTATATTTTCGGCATCCTAGGAAACACCGACACTGAACATTTAGCTACCCTCTATTTTGCTCACCTCGACATTATCAATGCTGAAAAGCCCTATTCCGGCGCTGACTCGACTGATGCGCTGCTCCTCGCTCTTATCCTCACCATTGCTGATATTCACGCAATTCAATTCAAACACAAAGTTGGCCCCTTCACGCCCGGTCCTGGCTCGGAACGTGTTGGAAATGCGCTGAATTTATGCATCAGTACGTTTTCGTACTCTTGTTGAAGACCAGAGCTAATAATCTTGTATTTCTAGCTGACGGTGGAGTACAAATGGTCGTAAGTCGTTGGAGAGACGCGAAGGAAGGTTACCCTCGTAGCCTTTACCTTTCGCTCACCGCTGGCGAGAAACTCAACAGGAAATACTTCCCTGAACTTCCTGCTCCAACTGAGTCAGAGGATGTCGACAATACCGACGTCAAGATTGACTCGGTTAGGGAGCTGGTAGCTCGATACGAGCCCACTCAACAAGGTTTGTATATTGTCTGTACTATGTACAAACTCATTACTCATTTGAATGGTATACTGTCAGGACGCCATGTCATCGTTGGTTCCGAACCTTGCAGTAAGCATATAATGACCGAATAGACTCCAACTCCTACTGAACGTTTTCAGCGCACTATGTCCAGGACTGGGGTCTCTTCGATCAGAACCAGTGTGTGACGGTCAATAAAGAACGCAAGTTGAGGATCATCAACTTGGCCAAATTCTTCCGACCTGGGCGCGAGCACGAGTTCAAACGATACCACTTCACGGAAGTCTTGAACGAAATTGCCAAGAAGGAGAAACTTACCACCTCTCCGAAAATTGGAATACCGGAGCATATTATTGATCTTCCGGAATCCAAGTCTGATGCTTTCGAGACTGAGCTGGACTTGGACGCGCCCCAGAAGTAATGGTGTGACAATATAGCACATGCACGTCCAAGCTGAGTATTCATGGGTGTACAATAAACAGTACTTGTATCGACCGTAAGCATACATCTGGAGAGTTTTTTGAATCAGAATACTGCTTTTCTTACAACAATTTTCAATGTATATGAAGACGAATAAACTATATACAGGGAGTCCATGCAAGATACCCTTGTTAGAAATACAAATGATACAGCTGGAAGATTTAAGATACAGAGGAGTCCCGAAACCACAATGGCTCCATTCAGTCTATGTATATTCGACCTCGAGCGTCAGGATCAGGATCAGTTTGGCGGTAAGGCGGTAGTGAGTTCACCGAGGGATTACTCGAAAGCAAAGCTCTGTCTCCTTCGAGTTCCCCTTGCTGCTGTATAACAGAATACAGCCCCGACTGGAATGGTGGAGACACTCGAATAAACAAGCCAGGTGATCTGACCCCTTGACTTGCCAAGTTGTGGGTCAAATGTGACTGCGTCGAGGATCGATAAGTACTCCGTGTCGGCGTTGCGACAGGAAGATTGACGACATTGAAGACTTGAGCATCTGGAGTAGTAGCTGCACTGCGTTTGCTCGACCTGTTCGCTGCAGCTAGTGCCTCACTATTATCATTCACAACCCCGGAGCCAGTAGGAGCGAGAAGATAATGGGGTAGCCAGTTTGGAGGAGAGGTCGGGGGTTGTGGTCTTGGGATCAATTCAGATGCCTCGAGGGAAAAGGAGTTTGTCGAGGGAGACCGAGATCCATATTGGAAAGGAGTGACTCGTGGCATCGATTTGAGCTTGCGACGGCGTCTCCAACGAAGGAAAAGTATGACTGCAATTACGATCATGATGAGAAATGCCAAACTTCCCAACACAACTCCAGCTATAGATGCTGCGTTCAAAGAAGATGAGGTAGATTTTCTATTAGCAAAGCCGAAGGAGCTGCTTGAGCTGGAACCTTGAAATATCCTGAAAGGCGTGTTCGTCAGCAGTGAATCTACATGGACAAGTACGACGAACATACTCACATGTATAGGTTGGATATCAGGCTAGCGCCCAAAATGTATTCTGTAACATTGTCAGACGCCCATTCTTGAAGGACGCCTAGACATGTTGAATTTCCAAGATTCTGAACAAGCTGGGTCTCCGTCAAAGTAACAGAAACCGACCCGAATGTCAACGTAAGCTGCAGTTGGGTATCACAAGGCAATGTGTACACAGTAGTCGCGGATATTGTGTCCTGCCGCGAGGAGCCCGGAATGGCACCATCTACCAGGCAAAAAATTAGGTTCGAGGAAATGTAGAGAAGAAACGGGCCCACATATTGTACGAGCTTCATTTTGAGGAAAGACTAGATCGTTGAACAGTGGATCAACAACAGTCAGTAGCCCTGTATAAGCAGATATATTGACGTTATCGCCTTGGAAATTCCAACTATCCATCTCGACAAAGGAATCCGCATTGACAGTACTGCTGCTGTTCGAGGCTATCAGCGTTTTCCATGTAATATCGCCTTCGTAAGAATTTTCGTCCGGAGCAAGCCAATGCAAGGCCCCGGCGTCATTTGAAGAAGAGGAAGCGTCATTGGGAGAATTCAAGGCCAGGCCATAGGAAAAGTTGGTTTGAGTCGGGTTATTTGCCAGCCAGAATGCCATTGGTGTTTCGTTGAACGATCCTTCGCTACGGGAAGCATTGGTCTTCCAGTAGTGTAGCAGTGAGAAATAACCTTACCGGCTGTTAGTTCCAATTCCCAAAACACCAGATATGTCTGATGAAAAGATAGAGTTTGACTGATTCGCCACGATAACTGGGACAGATCGCGTCAAACACATGATAAATTATATCCTAGATCAAAACATACATGACTGGTCAGTCCATGACCATGAACTCCCATTTTGCAAGTGGAGATTACACGTCTGGTTCATAACTGGCCCAGCAACACCACTATCGAGTACAGACACATTTTGCACCGAAGTTCCCATTTCGATTGAGGAAGGTACTGAATAGCTATTCATCACAGAGCGATCATCAATATTATGAACACAAAGGTGTGCAATGGTCCTCACGTTGGACTGCCCCCGCATGATGAGCATCCTTGCCCCGCAACTGAAGTATATCCAGTACTTGTTGACAGTGCAAAGGCAAAGGATTGATTTTGACTAGAGCTGGTAGGCTATGGAATCGAAGTCATGATTGATTCAGGAATGATAAACAATCAAAACCTACCAAAGAAATGTTCACAGTATAACGGCCGTTGCTATCGAAGTTTAAGGGCACAAACAATGTGACGGGTGGCTGTGGCGTAGAGGATTGTGAAGAGGCGCGTTTGAAGGCAGGGAACTCGAAAGCGACAGCCTCATGCTGTGGGATCAACAAACAGAGATACAAGGAAGAAAGAAGGAGAGACGATAGAGGGATAAGCATGAAAGCAGGAAGGAAGCAAGCACAGCGATATTTTTTGTACAGCCGCCGCACATAAGATTGTCCCAAAACAAATTCTTCGTTGTTGACGAATGTGTATTGATGGAGAAGAGATTTTCAAATTTCCATCAGTGTGAGGTCCATTTGTAGCAAGGTTGTAGGTCCGTTTCGCCCACGTTTGAGAAGGTTTGAGGCGCGGAGTGTTCGGGGGAAGCCAAGACGGAATATGAAATGCGGTCAGTGAAATCTGTGGCAATGCGCATCAGAGACCTAGCCCATCGGGCATGAAAACAAACTATGACCTCCGTATCTTTCTCAACCACTTCGAAATTTTCGATTCTCGCCGCCTGTTTGCCGAAAAATTATTTTGGCAAGAGCCCGTTGAGCCCGACGATCCCCATGAACAGATGGCGAAAATTTAGAAGCCCAAAGACTTATGCAAACACTATACTACAAGCTATTGAACCCACTTCTGTGAGGGAATTACGGGCGTCGGGATGAAACATCGGTCGTGTATAACTAAGTACATACTTACGTCTTTCAGGACAAAGATGAATATCATCTTGTGAACGCAATCAGTACGCTCAAATACAAACAAAGAACCTATCATGATTGGTTTATAGATACATCGTCCAAATCATACCGAATACATATACGCCCTGCTCAACAGCCTAATTACTCCACTGGAACTTGAAACCACCCTGTCCAGGTCCATAGGCTCCTCCGCCAGGGAATCCACCTCCGCTTTGTTGGAAAAAGTGAGCGAAAGGATTTCCGCCGGCCCCTCCGGGGAATGGGTGGCCACCGCCTCCGCTTGGGTCATTAGGATCTTCACCTGCATCGAATCGGGCCCGAAGTTCTGTGATGAGAGGAATGAGTTTGAAATATCTTCAATACCATTTGGGGGATACTCACCAGGATCTAAAAGCACTTCATAAGCTTCATTTACAGCAGCCATCTTGGCTTCCGAGCCTCCTTTATCTGGGTGTGCAGATTTAGCTGCTCTACGGCTAAAATGGGATATAGTACTCATGAAGTGATAGATTGAAATACAGAACTCACAATGCCTTTTTAATTGTCCGGTCATCCGCATTTCTGTCCACACCTAGTACCTTGTAATAATCTTTTCTCCTCCTTTGCTTGACTTTCTTCTTGGCCTGGTTTAACTTGGAGTGAATATCTCGGTTGCTCCGACCGCTAGCCTCAAACGCCTTTTCCAGCAGCCGAATCGCTTCATCCCAATTACCATCTCCACTCGAGGAGCTACCAGCTCCGGAAGTGTCGACATCATCTTCTGTTGAAAGAAGATATTCCGCTCGACCTAAGAAAGCGTCCGTGTCTTCAGAGCACCCGTCCATTGTGAGAAGCATAGAGCACCATTGATCAGCGTTGCGGAGAGCAGTGACGGTACCGATGGCAGTGTATGATTTACAAAGTGCACGAAGTAGGATTTGGCGACGCGGAGAGTGAGTGAAAGGATCAGGCAAAGGGATCGGGGGCTCTTTGGATTTTAAAGACGACTCATATGCATCTTTCCCGAGGAGTTGCTCGCGAGAGGTATGATCCTTCATCGCTTGTTCGTATCGACCCCAAAGATCTTTCTCCTTTCCTTTTCCAGACTCGGTCAATAGATTGACTGCACCTCGCCAGTCCTCTTTCTGCAAAGCTTCTTCCAACTTGGCAAATGATTTTTCCAGTGCCTTCGCTAGGCGATGCAGAGGAAGACAGACTCTGGAATCAGGATCGTAATGCAAACAAGATTTCAGAGGAGCCAAAGCCGCTGCACTGGTTGTGTCCTCTCCTTGAGTAGGAGGCAATAAGAAGTAGGACAGACGCCATATGCGAACCTGGAGCTCCATGGATGCTGATGGCGGAAGAAGTACAGCAAGACGGGTCAAATCACCAACGGATCCCTCGACATCTCCTGCAGCAAGCTGGCATTCCGCTCGCATGACTCGAACCTCGGTCGAATGACTGGCGGTGTCGCGAATGATGCTAGAGCAAGAATCTGCACATGCAGTCCATAATTGAGCCTTCTTCTCCTTTCGAGCTTTTGCTAGCAATTTTTCTGCCTCGTCAATAGACCGAAGGAGTTCCGTAGCAGTTGAATCGATAGTTCGACCTTGGGATGAGAGAGAGGACGTGTACGCATCTAACGATGAGCGAACCAAATCGAACTCGCCTTCCTTGGCGTAGATACGAGCTTTCATAAGATGCGCATTGTCGAATGTGTGTGAAGTGAGTGAGAGGACTTTCTCGAAATCGTCTAATGCCGCGTTATGGCGGGACAGGGAGAAGTAAGCCGTAGCCCGTTTGTAATATAGTAGATAGTCGGTGGGAGATTGTTCTGCGACGGTACAATGGTGTTCAGGAATAATTGATTAGTGATGAGAGATGGACACACCTATTGCTTCTGAATATACTTTCGCCGCATCGTTAAACTGTCCAGTGGACAGCAAAGCATTGGCTCTGTTTATTAGCGGGAGTAGACCAGGAGGATATAAGCCTCCAGTGCCAGAGTCTGCAAGCACGGAAGTGAAGAGTAACACAAACGGGAAAAAAACGGCCAGCGAAGAAGGTATTCTCATCGCGCTGACTGCGGTTATAGAAAAAATCTAGTAAGAATCTGGAAGTCTGAGCGAAGGCGTAAGTTCTGTGACAAGAGAGGGTGATAGAAGGTATCAACGCATGCAGACAGGTGCTCTCACTTCAGAGAAGCAGGTGGACACAGAAAAACAATTTGTACACTTGCCTAAATCGTCACAACAGACGTGTTCGAATCGGCAACCGGCCCGGACTGAGCGAGAAAATGTGACCGTGTCCCAAAACGCGACTTGGTCAACGATTCCTTTAACCCCGCCTTTAACCTCCACCTCCACTGTCCACTATGCCAGGCAGGACTCGACCCGACAGTCAGACTAATACAGAAGATCTCCTTCTGGAAGTCTCCGAGATCTTTGACCAGGTACAGGGTGCCTCGGCAAATCACCAAAAGAACATCGTTGCGCTACACAAAATCTTTGTGGACCTCGCGCAGCTTAGAGGACGAACCAAAGACGGGGATACGATTCTAATTGGCGAAAGGAAATTTGAGCAGGCTATATACAGTGTCCTGCTTCGGTTACTTGAATCAAAGAAGGGTGGACCCGGAGACCGTGTTGTCAAGTTCTTTGGAGGCTTTGTCAAATGTCTCAATGAAAAAGGCAGGTCGCGAATGACACAGATAAGTATGCAGACATCTAATTCTCATCTTATAGCTGGAGAAGACCCTATCGATGAGGATGATATCGATGAATACAACGTCGCGTACACCCCCGCCGCGCGTTTCACCGAGCGCCTGCTGGACAAACTACTTTTCAAAGGCTTCGGTTCTAAAGAGAAAGTTACTCGCTACAGGACTGTCCAACTTTGTTCGGAGCTTGTTTTCAATCTGGGCGAGATAGAGTACGTGTTCTACGGATATCTATAACGTTCAACCCCTAATCCTCACACACTTATAGAAACAGAATCTACTACGAGCTACGCAGCAGGCTTCTGGGCCGTATAAGTGACAAGGAACACAATATTCGCTCACAGGCAGCCATCGCGTTATGCAAATTCCATGGAATTGACGATCCAGAGGAGCTGAAAGAGAACCAATTAGAACCTCTATCCGAAGTACTGTTCGAATCCTTGGCGTATGATCCCCAAGCGTATGTTCTTGATATTCTCATACCGTGACACCTGAATCTCAAGACTTTTATGCAGCGAAGTACGGCGGGCGATACTAGTGAATCTTCCCGTGAACAAGATCACCATCCCTCCCATCCTAGAACGCAGTCAAGATGTAGACGTTACGACACGCAAGTTAGTCTATACTGTTCTTGAAAGGAATGTCACCATTGGCGATGAAGAAGAATTGACAATAGGCTTTGCTCACCCGCGAGCTCTGAGTATGGAACTCCGAGAATCCATTGTTCGGAACGGGCTCGGGGACCGCAATGAGAATGTACGCGTAGCTGCTGCCAAACTCATAGAAAGATGGGTGGAAACTGCTGATATGACTGACAACGGAAAAGCACCTGGCGATGAATCAGGTCTGGTGGGCTTGCTGAAGATGTTTGACCTTCGCACTGACAAGATCATTGGAGATGCCATCATACGCATCTTCGAGTCCAATCCCCACATTCTGAATGGTATCACATTCAACGACACTTATTGGACCTCACTCACTCCTGAAAAAGCATTCCTCGCTCGAACGTGCGTTGAATTCTGTGAAAGTCGCAAAGATGATGCAAGGCTGGAATCAATCCTGCCTGTTGTCACATCATTTGCATTTCGCTTGCAAGAACATTTCAACGACCTTGTCGATAGTATTCGCTCTCTCGATCAGGATGCGTGCAATCTGGATGATGAGGCCCGATACCTTCGACAGGACGAGCTAGATAGCAGAGAATCTGTGGTAATGGAGATGCTTAAAATTGCCATATCGCTGGACTATGGAGACGAGATCGGACGGAGGAAAATGGATTCACTCATTCGTAAGAGACAGCGTTCTTCGCGCCGTGCAGAAACTGATTTTTGTATATCTTCAAGGTGATATGCTAATCCACGACTTTCTACCTGATGATCTAGTGGCGCCTTGCATGGAAGTACTGAGCCGTCTTGCCGATAGTGAACGGGATCTTATCCGCGTAGTCGCTATTGAAATCGTACAAGCTCTACGGGATCCGGGAGATGATGAAGACGAGGACGTAGATGTGGGTTTTTACTGTTTTCAATTGATATTACTCCCCGCTTACGTCTTTGAACGGCAGCAAGACATAGATCCTGATGCAAGCTTTGACTCCGTTGCTCCCACCCTGCCCCCAACTCGTTCGAAGCAGGCGGCCTCTAAAAGCCGTGAAGAGATGTCGGAAGCCGAGAAAGCACATGCAGACAAAATCGATAAACGTTGTTTGCGTATCTGCGAGTCCATGCTCGAACGCGTGAACGGTGTAGGGACTTTCTTTTACATTTGTGGTGTCCCACTAGTAACCATTTTCCTTTGTCAGACCCTGGAAAATAATTCTTCACTGGATGGTATTGTCAAAGAGCTGATTTATCCTGCTGTCCAAAGGAAGGATGGTGACTTAAGAGAACAGGGATTCAGATGCTTAGGTCTCATCAGTTTAATTTCCAAAAATATTGCCAAAATGGCCTTGGCATTCTTCATCAAGCAGATGAAGATTGAACAGAACCCTGAGGAACTGAGGGTCATTGTTATGCAAGCCGTATTTGACACGCTCATGAAGTATGACCAAGGTGTAATGGTGGAACCTCATACTGTCAGTAGTCTGACTCCTGTCCGATATTCCCAATCTCATTGTTGCTAACCCTTAGCCTGCTGCTTGGATCGGCCACTTCACTCAGTTGCTAGAGAGCGATGACTCCAGTGAAGAATTCCGTGCGGTTCTGTGCATGGGATTAGCTAAACTGGCACTGCCTGGTGTGCTTGTTGACGAGAATGTGTGTGTCTGACGTTCAACTTTGGGTGACTTTCGTCGCTGACCCCAAGGTCAGATCATGAAACTGCTCTTAATCGAATACTTTTCGCCCAAGAATGTCAAAAATCAGAAGCTCAAGCAGTGTTTGTCGTTCTTCTTCCAGGCGTACTGCGCCTCGTCCATAGATAATCAAGAAATCATCTCATCAGTACGTGTAAGTCTTGTTCCACGGCACCTGACTACTTATCTCTCCTCTCAGCTTTTCATGCCTGTGTTTTGCGCACTATGTGATGTGGATGATGATGATGAGATGGCCTCCTCAGCTCAAATCGCTGGCATGTTCCTGGATTGGACTCATCCTAACACGCTCTAGTGAGTGGTTCTCCAGTATTATAAACGATCAACAAATTCAAATGACTCTATAATGCAGTGTCGACAAAGAAAAAGAACAGGGAGTTCCTGCCGGTGAATCGAGCTGCTTACAATTCACCATTGCCCGAGACATTGTCAAAGAATTTCTCAACAAAGATTCTAAATTGTTCAGTAAGCTTTCACGTTGCTCAGTTTATTCCCTAACGTGTTCAGTATTTTTCGATTTGCAGAGGATCACAAGAAAGTCCTGTGTCAACAACTACCGAAATTGTATCTCCCAAATGATGTTGATGAGGACACCGTTCGTTATTTGAATCTTTTAATGGATAAGGTTCCCTCCGTAAGTTTTTCCTTCGATTACGATCCAAAGGCTGAGTATCGATCTTATTCTAGTGTCGACCGTTCGCCGACGCCGTCTCGAAGAATGCCTTCGCTAAATTCCAGTCCTCGTTTGTGAAAAAATACGAAAAGCAGCTTGAAGGACTAAGCGCCGCAGAGTATCTATCTCACGAAGAACACCAAGCAGAAGCCCAATTCTTAAACGACATCATACCTCTGGAAGATGAGTTTGCACCACCAGTAAGGCGTGGAAGAAAGCGGTCCGTTGTTACTTCTTACTCATACACGATGGTCCAGTGGGAGCTCATGGTAATATTCAGACGTTCTGGCAGTGTGACCAGCTCCGCCGCTGAAGACGACCCTTCAACTTCAAACAAGACCGCTCGAACCCGAAAGGGCAAAGCCAAGTACGAACTGGGTGATCATATTGATTTACTGCCAGTCTCATAGCGTTTTCATTTTTAGGCGCGCTCGGCTCTCCACTTCCGACGGTAGTGATTCGAATGATAATGATGGCGACGATAGGGATGAAGAACAAGATTTGGCAACGGTTTCCTCTCGGCGTTCCTCTGCCGCGCCTACTCGCGCGATGCCCAAAAGACAAGCGTGAGTCCATCCTTCCATTTCGTATATCACTGCTGTTTCACACTCCAATATCTACAGGACTCGCAAACCACTAGTGGAGGTCATCACTATAAGCTCCGATAGCGAAGAGGAAGAAGATACTCCACGGAATGTTCGAGCCCGTCCCGTCCTCAACGCGAAGCAAGAACTGCGAAGAGATTCAAAAAATGAGCAAGTCTCGCAAGTGAGCGTCGGTCACGATGAAGGTGATTCAGAAGATGAAGATGAAGTCAGTGGCTTACTGGCTGATGTGTAATTTAATTTTGTCCAATAACTTATTCTTATTATCTATGACAAGTTGTATTCGATGATATCTTTGTACTATGTAATATTTTCGCTGATGTACGGATATATTGACAACGCAGATCGCAGGTCGTAGGTTCATGGAGTGAAGGAAAGTCGTGCACTGATACGAGAATGAACTACCTAGATACATGCGCAACTGTCCTTAGTAGATCTTGAGACTCTCAAGAACTTATTAAGACTTGTAATCTACGTCCGTGATTCTATCTACCTTCACGGAAATGACGGTCCCGGGGTCTTCAAGTTCGCTATGACCTCTATCAAACTACCGGACATGTGAGATGTTGTGTATCTGGGAAATGCTGTAAGAAATCGTTGAACTTACATTCTGTGTACCCTTTTGACGAGGGAAGTCATCCATTTCGTGCGAAACGGTACGATGGACAGCAGCAGTAGTCCGAGTTTGTACGAAGTTAGAAGTGGTGATAATACCGCCGTGACCGAGCTCCCTGAGATGATCACGGACGTTGAGAGTTGCCAAAAAGGAGTTTGCATAGACTATAAGCGTCCCTGAATAATCAGAATTCTGAGTGTACGAATATACTAGAAGGGGCTTACGCCGAGTCAGCATGAAATAGAAAGTAAGCTCAATGTTTGTTCCGGGATAAGCAGCGGCCATAGAAAGAACCATGATGGCGCAGACGCTAGAAATAGGCAGAAACCTGATCAGGATCTAAAATACCCCCAATACTTGTGCACCTACCTGGAGACAATGCCGGTTGTAACAGTAAAGATTGTCTATGAGACCACTGGAAGTTTTGACACAAATTACACACAATTAGAATAGCCACACTTACGATGGAACGCAGTAAATGATTCGTCCTGGAAAAAACGGTCAATCATTCCGTCAAATAATATACATAGATGGAATTCATACCTTTTAATCGAAGTTCGTGATTGACGTAAATAAAACACCATCGCACAGGCAATGACAATGTCACAAGTAGCTCCAATGGCATTCACAAGGATCGCATAGTTCTTGTTTATCATAAAGGATGAGAGATCATTCAAGATACAGACCACTTCAACTCACACCCAACACTAATGAGAGATCTGATGCATTGGGAACACCAAACCTGTGGTCTTCGAGTGAGCAGATTTCTTCCGAAGATTAGCTTTCGATGTCTGATACGCACACTCGAGCAACATAATCTGGAGTTAATGTCAGTTTCAGCCCCCGGACTGATCAGTGACACTTACAAAGGAATGCGCCTTCGAATTTAAATTTAGATGTCAGTTTGCATTTGTCTTTGACTTCATAATTGGACACGCTTGGCGCCAACTCACCGAATTGAGCAAGCGATAAGGACCACTAAAGGTTGTCAATAAACCAATAATCTTTGAATCAATGTTCGGGGGAGGGAATTCACTCACGATCGCGCCAGCAATAATGACGTTGTTGCTCACTAATTTTCGGCCATGAGCAGAAAGACGACAGGCTCTTCAACGGACTTACATTTCCACACTCGCCACACATAGAAGCTAATATTTTGATTCAATCGCAATGCTGTGAGCACTACAAGGAACGTCGCACCTCTGTACTATCACAGTCACAACGCCCTTCAACGGAAAAGAAAGACTGATTATCAACAAGCTCGTTGTTCTGTACCTAGATGACAACTCACCGTTGGATATGCCATTCCCTACGTTCTTGGTTCAATTGGCTAGTTCAACGACGATTTAAGATGATCCAACTCACATAGTAGCTCCTTCAAAGAGAGCAAATATTAGTAAAAGCCGTGAGGGAAATCACCAGAACTCATTCCATTCCTGGATTCTCGAGAGTCCGCAAGAGAAGCCTGCCGCTGAGCGCAGGGCAGTTGTACTCACCAAGGAAGCACGTCTAGGGCTGCACTGTTGCCAAAATTCGTGACACAATAATCATACACTGGGAAAATTCGATCATTGTGCATAGTTCGTAAATACGTGTACACTCACTCCAATGGCTGGTGAAAAGCTGGTGCAAGAAGTCAAGTATGACCACAACGACAACCTAATTTGATTGAGAAATTGATTCGGACTTCGACAACTACGAATGAAGATCAGACTGACTGTTGCTCTGAGCCATAATGGATCCGAATGTTCACGTTGCTGTTGAGCGCTGAAGTAAAACCACGTTTGAGACAAAGTCACTGTGGGGATTAACGTTGGTCATTTTTCAAGTTGTGAGTCTATTTCATGGGAAATAATGCATGCCTCCGTTCAAGCTAGAAAAGAAACTGATGAGCTTCAATAATGTTCGCAGATGGAGTACCGTACACAGCTGAAAGGATGAGACCGATGAACAGTGCTCCCAGACTGTTAATGCGCATGAAAAACCACAAGTTGTAATCGAAGAGAGCGCATACGTGTTATCTATATTTGCCTGAACCATTCTGTGTCTTGTCCAGTACGGTTGACCAATATAGATTCTGGGGATTGCGATGGTTCAAGCTGATTCAACCGGGTGTTCAAAATGAGGGTGTGTAGCATTTTGCGACGCCGTCAACGACCTATATATGTGTGCCGATATATGTACTGTACTGTACACCGCTGTACACAGTACGACCGAATAGAATTCCTGATGGAGATTTGTATCAGCGCTTCAGCACTTTGTCGTTGGTGTTGCAGCATAATTCACGCGGCCCGAGATCGCGGAACTACTTCGCAACAAGAGTTTGTTCAAGTTGTAGCTTGTAATCTAACCTTTGACGGTACCAAAAATGTGAACTACATCTCTGCCCGCTTGGAAGCAGCTGGGAGCCTTTGTAGGCTCTGAATTCTATGTAGCGCCCGACTGTATATTCGGGCACCACGCCATATATTCATCTACGTACTTATTGAAATTCTAATTTCTAGGGAAGAGTCACAGTGTAAATCGGATAACCACTTGTTCAGTTCATCTCATTGAATGTTGGCCCTTTGCCCGGTCTCCGCCTGAGGCAACTCATGCCACATGTATTGTACACATGTTCACGTGGAATCCCAGAACCAGTGTTCCTTTTTGGGATCTACTCCTTGCCTTTCTACTTTTCTTCAAACACTCCAGGTCAAGGAATTGGGTCAAGCGATCCTTTTTGTGAATTCTCCCCCTTTGCAATCATTCCCCTCTTCCCAGTCCTTGGGGCAACGACGGGTAGTCATTTGGATAGTGATTGTGTATAGGCTATTGAAGGTCAATATTCGATACTGATGGGAGAGAAAGAACCTGAAAGAGCGGGGACTGTCCGTCACTGTCTGCCACCCTCTGCCACCGTTCTGAACTTTTGATCGATCTACAAACACGCTAATCCTTGTTTGGAATCATATACAAACATTCTACAGAAGCATTCATGATTAACACATGTATTCTGTGTATTCTCAAGCCCACAAATCCAACACTATATATATATATTCAACTTAGGTTTGTTCGAGCGCATACTCTTTTCTTTCTATCAAACCTTCTACATCATCAAATGGTTTACTCTAATTATTTCGTGACTGGCGCTTCTGGACTTCTTGGCTCTCAAATTGTCCAAAAATTACTTGACGCTGGTCATACAGTGCGAGGGTAAATGTCATCTTTTGAACCTCCATATAAGTTCAACCGACCGAAGCTTTACGAACCATATATAGGTCGGCTCGAGGGGAGAAGGTTTCGCAGCTGGAGAAAGTGTTCAGAGGCTACAAAAAGTTTTCGGTAATTGATATCCCCGATCTTTCTACTTCAAACCTCGGTGATGCCTTTGAAGGTATGTTTAACTTCCGGTCCCAGAGTTTTACATTGTTCATGTGAGTAGATATAGAGGTGTTGATACATGTGGCCGCATTCCTGCCTTCTTTTCGAGGCGACATAGAGGTTGTCAAGAGGGTGAATTCGAGGCGCCTTTCCCCGGTTAGAGTCCATACTAATACATTTAAAGTTCTCCACTGAGGGAACAGAAAGGATTCTGGATTCTGCTCGGAAAGCAGGTGTGAAGACAATAATCGTTACCGGATCACAGGTGACTTATAATATCGATGGTCCCATTGGTCCCCAAGGTTGCTAAAGTTTTCCAATGTCGCCGGTATACCAACTGATTTACGCATTTTGATCATGCAGACTGGAGATCCGTCACATTCGAAGATGCTCAGAAAACCACTGAAGCTCAACACTTTGTCGTCTATATAGCTCAGAAAATCATCAGCGAACAGACCATGTTGAATTGGGCTGAAAAGCACCGCGATATTCGGGTGGTTATCAGTGAGCTTGTGACAAATTTCAAGCAGTTGGATTCCCCTAACTTACAGCTCAGTCGATCCGACTTATATTTTCGGTCCCTTCGTCCCCAATTACAAGTATATTGTCAACCATCCCAAGCTCTATGGTCTAGAGAGTTCCAACTATTTTGTTCACTTCCTACTCCGACCTGAAAACAAGGTGTTTGTCGTATACCCTGGCTGGATGGATGTGCGCGATATCGTCGATGCTCATATCAATGCGGTACACAATAAGGCAATTGACGAGCTTGTACCAAAGGACAGACGGTTTATCCTTGGTGCTCCTGAGGATCATGATTGGAAAAAAGTCATCCCTCAAATTATAGAAGCCCGCCCCCACCTTGCAGATCGCTTATGCAGTCCTGAAAAGGCACCTGTCTTCCCCATGCAGGTGACAGATCTCAGTAGGACAGAAAGATACCTTGGAATCAAGGCGGGTTCATACACTTCCTTTAGGAAGTCTATAGTAGATACGATTGATTCTATCTTGGACATCGAGGCTTATTGGAAAGAGCAAGGCATTGAAGACCTCAGCTTACCAAACGAACCTTTATTCAACTGAACCCAAACTAAGTTAAATCCTCCTATTTCTGATTTCCGCAGATGTCGATTACAGCAGATGTACATGTATTCTCTTCCAAGTTGACCAATTTATTCAAAACATTATAACGTTCGTCCACCTCTCGCCTCTCGTGATTCAAGCGATACCGAGCGCACAGTACGGTTTGAGTTGCCAAGTGGAATTCGGAATAGGAAGTTCCGGTGAGTAGGGAGGCTTCGTTTTGTCACTTACTCGTGGTTGGTTGAAGATTGATCAGAGGTACTGAATTAAAAAATGTAGAGCTTGAGGAGCAACCTAAAGCGAATTCCTGAACAGTGAAGACCAGTTCCTTATCATCCTTTCGCAGCGATCGTCGGTGCAGTGACTGTGTCAGTATCGTAAGTAAGCGGGTAACCTCCTGTAACCTTTGGTAGTAATGCTTGAAGTCTATTAGCGGGATGCACCCCTTTGCAAGTTTAAACTTCAAATGTTCAGACTTCTGTCTTCTGAATCTTCCTTTCGTTGCTTTCTCCGTTTCTTTCCAATCGCCGAACAGCGCCGAACTCGGGCCTTCGCTAAATATGCAAAAAAAATCGAACATCACTTTCTTCCGTTAAACTATGTATGTATATAAGTACTTCCTGTGCACTTCTCGGTTGGAATCTCTGGTTCTCTGAAATGTCCTTTTTAGGTGCAATGTTCTTGGAAAATTGTAAACATATGATTTCTCTGTGGGCTCCCCGGGAATTTATGGCAGAGCCGAGTGGGAAACCCCCTCCCGTCCCTGCAAAATGGCAGCCTCAAGGTTCGTCCCCAGATAGTCTCAACTGAATCCTCTTCTTTTGGCCCCCTTGTCGGATTAATGGCAGCGTATACTTTTTCCACCGATGATGGGAAAACATACAAGCGTCGTCTCCATGGCTTCGAAGCCATTTGCAACTCGTATGCGTGAGTTGTGTTCAGGCTCGTCTCGAAGGATAATCTCAGCTAAGCCAGAGAATAGATTGCACGACTTTCTACTGGCATTCACCGGGTCTGTTGAGGTGCAGTTGAGGAATCAATTTGGAACATCTATTCCTGAACAAAAAGTCATCGCCTCCCTTCGCAGTGCTTGGATATTTCTCCGGCATCGAGTTCCGGCGGTAGCGCTCCGCACGACGTACCAGCCTGAAGATGCATCTTGGACGGTGTTATACGATGTACCTAATGGTTCGGACGACATTGACACATGGGTCGCTCAGACGTTGGTTTGGAGAGAGACGAAGGTTGATTGTCTCGAGTATGACCTTGACGAAAAATGGGAGTTCACACATGGCGAATATCCTCTAAGGCTAATAGTATCTCCGATGGAAGTTGCAACAGGCAGATACATGATAAGGTTTGTGTGATAGCTAATGGAACGTGTTGTTTAAACCGCTCATGTTATCTTGAAAGTCTTGCAGGTCCTCATGGAATGATTGATGGTAGAATGTCGATGATTTTACTAAACGACCTGGTTGGCTCCTTGAATGATCAGATCTACGAGACGGCACCTGTGGACTCAACTATCAGATGGGGTGAAGAAACAGCTCGACTAGCGTCCACGGGAGCCATATTAACAGGATTAGATATGGATACCATCCCCGAACCCGCTGTAACTAAAGGGGAGGAATTCGTAAGTGCATATGTGATATCTTATACGGGCTCTCGAATGTTCTTACTTACGATATTTATCCAAGGTTCCATTCTTACCACCATTCGTGGAGAATATAATCGGGACACACGACGTCACGATGCGACTAGTGGAATTTGATAGCGCTCGGACGTCTGCTTTGAGGGAGAAATGCCGCGGAAACCACATTACTGTTACGGTGGCCGTGGATGCTATCTTTGCACTAGCCCACGCAGAGGCGGTACTATTAAACGCGGCCGCTATTGGTGAAGCTCACTATGCTTCTACAATCGATGCCTACACCAAAGCGATTCACTGGTTTATGCCGCTGAGTTGCAAAGATCAGGTTAGTGAGTTGTAGACGTATAAACTTCCGGAAACTCAAAAACTTGTCAAAGCGTCCTTCATGGCCTACATCATCTTCCATCCGTCATCCTGAAGGAACAACTCTTTTCGGAACTGATGGTTACCCCTTGCAAACAAGAATGGAAACTATCCGCAAGGCTGTCGGGTTTTCGGTCGATACCAATTCTTTCAATCCTTGCAAGAAGGAATTCTTTTGGAGTGTCGTTGCAGCAGAAATTGCGGCTGCTCATGCAGCACCCCGCAAAGATCTTGCAGCGTACGTTCAGAGAGAACGCGAAAAACAAGCTATGTGCAAGAGCTTTCATCCTTCGTCAATGATGGTCAGATCGCCAATCTCTTCTTCCATCGGACACCTAGAGGGCCTGGGGCTCTTCACAAAACACACACCGGGCTCATCGAGTCTGACCCAAGTGCATCGAGTACTTTTCCGAGCGCGTCCATTGACGCCGACAATGACCAATATTTTCTGGCAATACGATGGCAAACTGAATTGTTCTTTGTTAGGTGCTGCAAAGTGGAATAGTCCTGCTGAAATGGACGGCATGGAAAAAGCCTTGCGGAAATGGTTTGACCATGTGATAGAATGAATTTATATGGTCGGATAACCAGGATGATTAATTTGTTTGGCTTTGGCCGAGTTTGCTCCTCTTGTCCCCCATTCGTTCCTTCTAGGCTCAATACTTATACTCCCTGTGACGAGCTTGAAAGAAGCAGTTCCAGGATGTACTTGGGAACACCGAGGATAAAATAAATTCAAATTTTATTCAAGAGCGGTCTTTGGGTTTTCGGCAGCCAGAGTTGACAGTGGACTTGATATTGTGTTGAGTGCGTGATGACCGCGTTCTTGTCCAACCGTGTGTTGAAGACGGATTTTCCCTCGTTAGATATTCTTGCATTGAATCATTCTGAGCCAGGCCTTTACAACAAGGAACTGGCGGCACCAGGGCGGCACCTACTTGGATTCACAAGACCTGTAGAATCGTGTAGATACCATCAGGATACCATCGTCCTTCTAGCGGAACGGCGACCTCAGTCAGACTCAGTCCTGCTGTTCGCCCTGAACTTGAATGATCAGGGACCTTCTTCCCCTTGAGCCGATTTTTTAATGAATGCAACATTATAGTCAATCATGTCTTGACATTATGTAGAAGCTGAGGCCTCTTGCATGAGCGTCTAGCTGATTTCAAGCCTTCAAAATTCGGAGAGATACAATAGGATACCATCTGATACAATGTTCAACGGATAGATAGATAGATAGATATGTACGTGGAATGGTAAAATAACACTCAGGCACGCTATTGACAGAAATCCTTCCCTAAGACTATACACGTACAGTATCAGACAGTATCCTCACTCAATCAGGACGAATAAGATGCGGAGTGTCACACCACGCATAAAAGTGCTTGATGTATTTCCGCAGGGGGTGGGAGGGAGAAGGTCACAAACGGCTACATACCAGCGGAGACCAGCGGCTGCAATTTTATTGTGAAGTTGGCAAGTTCGCCCAGAACTAGCAAACGCCCCGAAAAAAAAGCTCGGTATAGTAGGGTATAGTATTCAGAATTGACCGTCAAATACATATTTCCGCTAGTCCAATCATATACAGCGTCGAGGCTATCAGTAAGGATCTTATTGGTGATTCAGGACTAAAGATACATACACTGATACTATGATACTTAGATTCCTGTGCAGCTTTCTCCTGATTTTCTCCAATCTCTGAATTTTCGGCAATCCTTCTATCACCCTGAATGTTACCCTGTGGTCTCCCCCACAATAAATATCAGAATTTTCTGATACATGTAGTAAGTGAAATACAGCGCGTTGTTTCCCTATTTTCTTCCCTGAATGTTTCATTGCCAAGTGGGAAATAAGCATACATTTCCTCCGTGTCCGTCTACTCGATTCCCTACAAATAACCTTCGTCTCCAAACGGCCCTCCGTTTAATTCTTCTTAGTCCTCTGATCAATGGCTGCTTATACCTTCTCCTCCAGCGACGGAAAGACCTACAAGCGTAATCTTCATGGTTTTGAAGCCCTTTGCAACTCTTACGCGTAAGCTGTGTCCTCATTCGCCTTCAGAAAACTCAAATAAGCCCGTGAACAGATTGCATGACTTTTTGTTGGCCCTCACCGGTTCTGCGGAGGTGCAGTTGAGAGATGAATCGGGAATAGCTGTGTCCCAGGATACCTTTGCTTCTTGCCTCCGTGCAGCTTGGATACAGCTTCGACATCGAATTCCAGCGGTAGCACTTCGTACGGTGTACCAGTCTGAGGACGCATCTTGGACGGCTTTATACGATGTACCCGCTGGTTCGGACGATATCGACACATGGGTCGCTCAAACATTGATTTGGCGAGAGACAAAAATTGACTGCCTCGAGCATGACCTCGACGAAAAATGGGAGTTCACGCGTGGTGAATACCCTCTGAGGTTGATAGCATCTCCAGTGGAACTCTCAACGGGAAGATACATGCTAAGGTCGGTGAATTATCTATTCTCTGGTCCTGCCGAGAGCGCTCATGTTGTCGAAGCTTTTCCGGTCCTCATGGGATGTTTGACGGTCGAATGTCCATGATTTTACTCAACGAGTTGGTTGGCTCCTTGAATGACCAGATTTTCAAGACTATGCCTGTGGACTTGGAATCTATTAAATGGGGCGAAGAAACAGCTCGACTTGCGTCTGCTGGATCTGTCCTGACAGGCTTAAATATGGACAGTGTCCCGGAACCTGCTTCAACTCAAACAGAGGAATTCGTAAGCGACGCAAAATTGATTGTTGTATCCTCAGGTCTCAACTCACCTTTTGATACTTCTTTAGGTCCCATTCTTACCCCCATCTGTGGAGAACAAAGTTCGCACCCACGACGTTACAATGCGACATGTGGTATTTGATAACGCTCGGACGACTGCTCTGCGGGAGAAATGTCGCGCACACCACACAACCATTACGATAGCTATGGATGCTATATTTGCAGTGGCACATGTAGAAACGATACTAGCCAACGCAGCTGTTGTTGGTGGAGCTCACTTTGACTCTACAGTCGAGGCCTACACCAATGCAGTCCACTGGTTCATGCCGCTAAGCTGTAAAGATCAGGTCAGCAAATTCTAGACACCTGGAATACTTGAAAGAAAGCTAACAGACCTATCAAAGCGTCCTACTTGGCCCTCATCATCTTCCATCAACCATCCTGAAGGAACGACTCTATTCGGAACCGATGGTTTTCCCTTGCAAGCAAAACTGGAAACCTTCCGCAAGGCTGTTGGCTTCTCAGTCGATACAAAGACCTTCAATTCTTGCGACCAGGAGTCTTTCTGGAGCTCAGTCATACCACACATGGCAGCCACTCATGCAGCGCCTCAGAAAGATCATGCAGCCTACGTTCACAGGGAACGCGAAAAACAAGCCATTTGCAAGAGCTTCAATCCTTCATTGATGATGGTCAAATCTCCGATTGGCTCTTCCATTGGACACCTAGAGGGTCTAGGGCTCTTCACGAAATACGCGCCGGGTTCATCGAGCCCTACCCAAGTTCCACGAGTCCTTTTCCGTGCACATGTCAGCGGCCCAACAATGACCAATCTTTACTGGCAGTACGATGGTAAATTGAATTGCTCCTTGTTAGCCGCCGCGAAGTGGAACAGTCCTTCGGAAATGGACAGGATGGAAAAGACCTTGCGAAAATGGTTCGATATCGCAATCGGGGACAAATCAGAATAGATTTAAGAGATGGGATGTGTATAAGAACCAGATAAAGCGCAGGTCTGAATTCGGCCAGTAGCCTCTTTATTTCTCGACTCGTAGGAGCTTCGCTCTGTTTCACTATCAAATTTGACTATTACGAGTAATCAGGAAACATGTCAGGTACTATGAAGTGTGAAAAAAAAAAGTTCAATCGGATGGATAGAACTACTAACGTGCGGGCGAAAATGTCGGCGAATGTGCAGGTCTTGCGGTGGATCGACTCGAACTAAACAATGTGAGTGGTCGGAGAATTTGAGACCTGGATATATTTCGAGCATTCGGTTCCAAGAAGAACAAAGGAACGAAACAATCACGCACCCCACATTTCCCTGCTTAAATAAATCGGACCATAGATCGTGGCGTATGGTGCACGTCACCTAACTGCCACTACCTGTGCACAAGCGTGGGAGCAGCCTTAAGGAGTAGACGAATCCTGTGTTCCTCTTGTGAAAAGATACTAAATAGATAGATGATGAAACGCTCTAGAGGGATTTTGGAACAAGTTGAATTTCAGAAAAATCATGGGGCCGTTTTTGCCGTTTCCTTTTATGGTAATCTTATGTAATATAATAATTCCCTAATATGGCAATATTTATCTACTGATCCATTGCTCGAGCCAGTGATTCAGGAATGCGACGGTGAGAAGTAAAGCGACGTGAGCTGAACTTCTTTATTTGGGTCACTGCATCTTTAGCCCCCAATCCATCACTGTAAGCATCAATAAATCTCCAAGCCCGATGCTCCCACTTTCGAATTAACTCGATCTTGATTGAAGCCAAGGCCTTTGGCATATTTTCACGCAAGGTCTGAAAGGTATGTTGTCGTGCACGGCCTGCACGAGCACGAGCTGCTGCGGCTTTCTTGGCGTTACGGTTAGCGGATGTCATTTGTAGCGTAAAGATTTGAACATTAATTCTACATTGATTTATTCAGTCGATGCCTGTCTACGCGTAATTCTAGTGTATCCCGCACTGATCCCGCACGTCGTGTCTGATAATGAGCTGGCGATTTTGCCGCTTATGTAAGATTCCCACGCTAGTACACAGGTAGTGGCAGTTAGGTGACGTGCACCATAGATGGAGATAAGTGCACAAAGAAGCTGGAATAAGCAAAGGGTACCCGGGTTAAAAGCTGCGAACTGCTGCGAGACCTCGTTGCATTTCCGGATCCGTTGCTGTTATTTGTATAGAGAGAGATGCGCCTGGTGATAAAAATTTTTAAATGATATGCATCAAAACTTGATCAAAACCACTCCGATCGAGGGAAATCCGGGAAAATCCGGCGTCTAAGAGCTTCTTTCAAAAATACACAGCATGATACCAAGGTCATTACTTCGGCACTCACTTTATCGATCCTGCAAGATGTCTACTTCCGCCTTCATTGTTCCCATCGATCCGAAGGCACCTTCCACCGCTATTCCCAACGTCGACATCGCAAAAACTTGGGCCACAGTTCCACGTGGAGAGAAAGTCGATGTAGGAACGACCAGCATATTCTACGACACTCCTGCAACAAAGATCACTGCTGCTTCATCTCTTGGTGATAACTTCTCTGCCAAAAAGGGTGAAGTGAAGAGAGAACTTGTCCGAAAATCTGTTGGAAGTGCTGTCAAGGCTTTGAAGGTTCTAAATGGATTGAAGGAGGTAACTGTTGACGCGTCAGCGGACCCTCATGCTGCTGGTGAGTACATGGAGTAATCTGAATATATAACTTCTGTTAAACAGTCCTCCCAGCTGTCGCTGCACATCTTGCTTTGTATGATTTCTCCTTGAAGACAAATCCTCCTTCACCATTCAACCCGAACTTGAAGAAACCGATTCCTCCCAAGTTAGAATTCAAGCCCATTGAGAGCTCAAAAGAATGGGATCGAGGAGTCGCATATGCGTACTCACAAAACCTGGCGCGAACCGTGCGTTTCGAGTTGTATTCCTCCATATCCGTCCTGATAGAAACATTCGACCAGCTCATGGAATTACCAGCTAATATGATGACGCCTACTGTGAGCTTCGCTATCTAGTCGTTTTGTGTGACTCTCTGATCCAACTTTCTGAATAGGCTTTCTGTGAACGCGCAAAAGCCGAGTTTGCTGGAATTGAGAACGTCGAAATCTTTGTCCGAGATGAAGGTGTGTATAATAAATATGGACTGCTATGTTGTATTGATTTCCTATGGTGCAGACTGGGCTGCCAGCAAGGGAATGGTGGGTTTCTCTGGAAGAATACCTTTTCTACATCACTGAAGTCCACTGACAGAACACATTCCTATCAGTAACTCACGGCACCAACGAACCAGCCAAATTCTTGGAAATGTCCGACTTTTTATTTGTTCCATCCTTACTTTTTTTAACAACGATTCGTAGTCATTACAAGGGCGCATCTCAAAAGGATGCCCAACCGATCGCGTTCGTTGGAAAAGGTATCACTTTCGACAGTGGAGGGATATCTCTAAAGCCTGGTGAAGTGTGTATTCGTTTGGGCTTTGCCTACTGTTTTTTAATCCTCTGAATCACAGGGCATGAAACTCATGCGTGGCGATATGGGCGGCGCAGCCACGGTAGTCTCAGCGACGCTTGCCATTGCCAAGCTGAAACTCCCGTGAGTACTCCTTTCGAATCGCTATATCACTTACACACATATCTTACGGGAACCTAGAGTCAACCTCGTAACTGTCACCCCGCTGACAGAAAATCTTCCCGGAGTGAGTCTTTCCAGTTGTTGTACGCCAACATACCTAACACAATTAATTGCCAGCCAAGTGCAACCAAACCTGGAGACATGTAAGTATAGATCTTTGTGCTGTTGGAAATATCTTTCACCCACGTCTACTGCAGTGTCTACGCCATGAACGGCAAGTCCGTAGAAGTGGATAACACGGACGCAGAAGGTCGTTTGGTTTTGTCTGGTACGTCCCGAAGTGATGTGCATATCTGGTTTTGCTCAACGAGTGATATGCAGATGCTATCTACTACGCCTCAACAGAATACAAACCACATACTCTCATCGATGTCGCTACACTTACTGGGTAATGATTCATTCGTGTCGCTCGGATGATGACTTCTAACACTACGAATTTTAGTGCAATAGTCATCGCGCTCGGAGAGATCTTTACTGGCGTATACTCGGTACATGTCTTCTTCCTTCTTCTTGACTAATGACCGACCACGAGATGCATAGACTTCCGACGAGTTATGGGAAAAATTGCACACTGCTGGTGAGCAAGAATTTGACCGTTTCTGGCGTATGCCTCTCAGCGAAGACTACGGTGCGCTTTCAAAAATCTGGATGTCGTTTTCCTTCTGTTAATTTTTTTTTGCTCCGTTCTTTATAGGTCCTCAAATCTACTCTTCCAATGCTGATCTATGCAACGTGCGTATCATACACACCTCATTGATATTTCTCCCTGAATTTGTATCTATCAGACTGGAGGAAGACCCGGCGGAAGCTGCACTGCGGCTTTATTCTTGAAAGCTTTCGCACATGGTATCGAAGCCGAGGACGGAAGTAATGCCGAAACAGCGATGAAATGGGCGCATCTTGACATAGCGGGAACGATGGATGCTACCAGGCCCACGCCGTATCAGGAGAAGGGCATGACTGGAAGACCTGTGCGGTATGTGGTATTTTATTTTTGCAGCACATAGCTGATTCGGTCTCTCTCGCAAGGGCTTTGATTGAGTATGTGCGGGGCCTTGCTAGCTGAAGCACAAGACTGCTGTTAGGCTTAAATTTTATATCTGACATATACTTTGGATGGTGATGTGAAATTGGATTGATAAAGATAATGAAGCACTATCCTGTGCATGTTCAAATACATGCACCCAGAAAATCATCAAGAATAGACATATACCTCTCCCGTTCCTCCCAAATTGCCATATGACTGGAATTCTCCATCCTAACCCACTTGACTTTAGCAATCCCATCAAAAAATGGTTGAACAACAAAATCCTGAGCGAGGTCTTTGCGTCCATTGATAATCAAGGTTGGAACAAGGACATGGTGTAGGCGACCAATGCAAGACCAAGTACCGAATTCCCCCCCAAACATCTTCTGAGGGACCGTCGTATCGCATATTTCCTCCTCGCTCGCTGCATAGTCGAGTGATCTCTTGACTTCGTCTGGTACAGGAACACATGTACATCCATACACGGCGTGCAACGAGTTCAGCGCTTCTCGATGTTTTCCCATGCTGGATGGTTGAACAAGCTCGCTGCGCATATCTTCTGGTACCACCGATGCACTTAGCTGCATGACACTCTGGCCCCATAGAGCCATGGAGGCAAGTGAGCTGACTAGGACAAGGTGTTTAAGTCCGGGAGGTTGAACTCGGATAGCGTATTCCACACCAAGAACGCCACCCCAGGAGTGACCAACAATATCGAAGGCGGAGATCTTGAGATGGTTGATAAGGTTAGTCAATTCTGCAACGAAGAGATCGATGGTGATAGCAGGTGCCTCGTCTGGTGTATTCGGAGGAGCGATCCCACGATATGAGACGAAGTGGGAAGAACGGGCAGAGCCAATCTGGTCATAGAAAATAACGGGGATAGAAGAGTTTATGGCAAGATCAATGTGTGGATTCATATAATCATGCGAAAGACCTATGTAGAACAATATGACACTAGGGAACAATGTAGAATGATATAGAAACTTACCAGGGCCTCCATGAAGTGCAATTACAGGCGTGCGGATGCTTTTCTCTAAATCGCCCACAATCTTTACCCAGGTTTTGTATGTTACGCCATTGTAGATGAAGGGAACTTCTTCGACTCTTTCCATGAGCATCGTTGTGGACTACCTTCCTCAACTCAAGGTCTTTATACATAAGGAAGCAACGAACACTGCCTCTGCAAGGTGATATCGGCGGCGCCTGACATCGCCATGATCTTTACATACTTGAAGAGGAAAGACCGGATTGCTGACACAGAGACGGTCAACAGCGGGATTCATCCTGCGGGTGTAAGCGTGGTGAGCAGTGACAAGTGATAAGCACCATTGTCTGGGCACTGGTGCTCAAGGATAGAGAGAACAAATCGTAATTTGCCAATTGTAACAATGACGTGGGAAACATTCTCGATTGCTTGGACCCACAAATCAGCTATGCAGGTCACATACAAAGTTCGAAGAAGACTGAGAAGAGAAGAGCAGGATGCAATGATACACAGGTATTGATGACACTATGGTAGAATGGTTCAAGGTCAAAGCTGTATGTAGCAAATCTGTATTAGGAAAGAGGTTTGTCAGAATATGGCCGCAATTCTCAATTGGTCGTGGCGTCTGTGAAGGGAGTGGTCGCAAAGCCTACAGTGCCAGCTGCGTCTGGATTACCGTTTGGCGTTACAAATGCCGAATAAGTACGTTGTAAGAATGATTGTCCCATTATACAGTCGATAGTGGATGCATCTAAGCAGATATGGATCAGCGTAATCCAATCAAGACTTACTAAGTGATACGCACCATTGCTCCCACTTGAAGCAGTAATCAGGAGGATATCATCCGCTGAGCCTCCAATCTCGGTATTGAATGCACGAGGAAAGAGTTGTGCGTTTGGAGTAAGGTCGAAATGTTGCTAAAAATTGAACGTTCGGATCACATTATTCTCCGAGAAATGTAGAAGCCTACAGTTTCACCGTTGATATCTGTGCCAATGAAAGACAGTGTCGTCAAGTTGCTCAACTGGGCTTCATTAATTGACAAGAGACCGGTGGTGGGATCTAAAGTGGCTCCAATGAGGTCCTGGTAGGTTGTGACGGCGTCTTCTGGAAGCATAAGAAGTGTTGTACCCCTGCCATGCGAGTCCTTCGGTCAATGAAAGAAATAGACGAGCACTCGATACATACGTGTCGACTACACAAGTGGTGGTGTCCATGATAGTAACCCCGCCGAAAGTGGCACTCTGAGATATGGACCAAAATGGCAGTGTCGATCTAAAAACTTAAATCAACGACTCTGTTGAATTTGTAAATGACGAAGAAAACCTACTGGAAGAAGGACATTGGTCCAGTCATCTTCGAGGTATCAACACCACCTGAGGGCAAGCATTATATCATTTAAGCATCAAGCGAGAATTTCAGGAAAGGCATACCAAAAGAGAGCTCGCCATTAACAGGGTCATCTGTAGTAGTTGGTGCAAGAAACACTCCGAGTGTCTCGTTGGAAATTGTCCCCTGCGCAAAGAGGTTGTCCATGACGGTGGGAATAGTCTGTATACCGGGAATTTCAGTAAAATTGACATGTACAAATGAGCAACTGGTCTAAGAACTCGCCGATTCAGCATTATCTAGAAGTGTGCCTTGCGTCAAGTCAACGGGACCGAAGCTATATAGACGATAAGGTGATTTAAAAAAGACTTCGTACGTTCAAGAGACACGCACCCCATGATACCATCGACTCCGTCGAATCCTTCGGACAAAAGTGCATTACCTATGGATTGGTTTTCGACAGCGAGGCCGGGTGTAATGTTTACCGTGTTCGTTGTTTCGTCACCTGAAACCAAGATTCAGGGTCTTCGACAGATAACAACGATTTAGAAACTGACCAAGGACAGCACCAGAGCCGTATGTTACTTCAAATAGATCAAGGCCAAGACCAGGCTGCAAGCGGTTTGCAGGATCGGCCCCAACCTTGACAATTTGTGTCAATCATCCCAGTCAAAAAGATATTTGGATGCAATGGCGACTCACCCAAGTGTTTGAACTGCCAGTATCGACTATTAATGAGACTAAACAATAGGTGGGTCCAGGAAAGAGTGGTTTAAAACACGACGCTGCTCACAGTTCTTTCCGTTCACTACTGGATTAATGGTGAAGGTCACGATCTGGTCGGTAAGACTAGCAGCAGGAGGTGCCAAGGCGGCATGATCCCCAGGGATACCATTGACCTGGGAGTGAGCTTTGCTGAAAGCCTGAAGTCTGGCCTGACCAGCTCTGACCAAGCTGTGGCCGGTAGTGGGAGTATTGACCAGCCTTTGAACCGGAACGATGAAGGGCGAAGGCGAGAGACCTCCAGCTAAGGTCGGAAAAGTAGTAACACATAACGCGAAAAGGGTGGCGAAGAAAGGCATAGATCCCAAAGAGTGAGCTGTAGCCATCGGAGAGAGGGAGTAGCTAGACTCTGTAATAACAGCTATTCGTCAAGCGAGCCAGGGATTTATACTGACCAGGAGCCGGTTTCCCGATGAAGAAACTTGAGCCATAGGACTAAGATTTTCGATGCAAAACAATTTTTGGGCACTCTTGTTTGGATAAGAAGTAAAGATGGAGTTGATATCTGGGTTTCGCAATTATCCCGAGTGGTTTGCTGGAAATAGCGGTCAAAGAAACTATTGGGTCTGTTATGGCACAAGAGCGCGGAAACGTTTGACCAGATTCGTAAGGCTCCGAATCGGCACCCCAGAGTGATATTTTCAGTATTCAAGTGTACTCGCTTGATGGCGACACACGCTAGGACATTTGGAACTGATGTACTTGAAAAATATCCTTGAAACAACCACCGAGCTTCCCCCGATGGACCTTTGGTGAGAACGGCCCGCTGTAAAAGCTAAAAATTTGAGGGAAGATAGATACATTCCGTTAGATGGGGAACTTTGGTCGGACGATAGAGAATCATTGAATCAACTTTGAGGCTAAAGCCAAAATTGTCAGAAATTCCGAGATGACATCATACTATGCTGGGACGCCACGTGATGAGCACTTGGGCGCGCCTATTCTCGGCATGTATTTGCCGCTCAATCGTTCATCCGGCCTTTGAGACCATAGTTCATGTTCCGAACCCCCATCAGCGTCAAGGACTTCGAAGAAACAAAGCGGGCTCTGTCACTGTACGCTATGTTCTGATGAACATGCGCTCAACTCTTGAACACAGTATATAGTTATCCTTCTACTGACTTCTCATCCTCCCAGCTTTCGCTTTTCGCCGGGTGGACCTGGTGGAGTTCAAGGATTTCTCCGACGCCTGTGGGACTAAAGCAACGACGGTTTTCATTGAAAACTCTCTCAGGCCGAAAGATAGAAGCATCCTGTGGAGTGCGCGATTATATCCAGATAAACCCGTCGCAGGCCTGTCACTCTCCCAGCTACTACTGCAGATTGTTGTCGAGCTTGTATCAGCCGAACATGGCGATAACACGTCAGGATTGTCCTTCCCACCAAGCAAAACCACCGAAACGCTACATTCTGTCGGCGCAAGAGACAACTCAAGAAGCAACAATCAGATCACAATACAACGGAATAAAACTGAAGAATTGGCCGTCGCAATATCTTTGTCGGTTGCTACCGATCCCCTTCCACATGTAACGATAAAACCATAGCTCCTTCGAGCCCTTTATTTGTGCTTGAACCAAAGCTTACACAAGGCTAATGGCAGGTGAGTTTGGCTCTCAGTGCTCGTCATTCACACCTTACTAGGGCCATCTCCACATGCATGAGTCTGTCCTCCTGAGGTCTACAAGTGATATGGTTGCTTCACGGTCCTACCACTCAAACCGGTAGGAGAATTCTTTACTGATCTCCTGACATTTACATAGTTGACTTGTATTCACCGTCGCGCTCTACCTATTATAAGTACTTGCCTTGGACTTCCTTTTCTCGCCTCTCTTTTCTTCCCTCACCCATTGTACTAGGTATGCTCCATTAATGTCCTTATTTTCTTGTACATACGTCTCATATTCATCTCTTTTTTTCCCTCACCGGTCACTCCAGCTACACTATTGTCGTTCACCCTCGCTATCTGCGATACCTCGGTTTTCCACCTTGTGTGTTAAGCCCCACTTTTCGGTACTTTCTTGCCATTTCCCTCTTGCACCCTCGAACGACACGGCTTTCCCCTTGCATCCTCGTATGCTATCTTCAACCTAATACAGAAAAATCGCTCTCTGGATCAGTGTCACTGGCTAAAACCAGCCTGTGGGTCAAACCGAAGCGATTGTCCCAGGAATTGAAGACGACAGGAATGATAGTGATTTGCACCATGCACCCGACAGCTTCGTTATGCACAAGCTTCCCAGCGGAGATGTATCATGTTAGGTGTAAAGATCCAGAACAATCCAGGTACCGGGCTCATAACTCGTTATCTTTTTTTCAGAATACACCCCGTTACAGGACGATCATAGAGTATATACATCGGAGACCCAGGCTATATTTTGGGTATATTCTTACTATGGACAATTTTCCTCTTTTTTGGATCATGAAATCTCAAGGGAAAGGAAATATCAGACAGGTTGTAACCTCAACATCTTTCTGTAAATGCCTCATCGCCATCTTATCACTGCTTGAGTGAGATATGTTTCGAAAGATGTAGATTTATGTAGATGTCCCAATATCTTCCGATATAGATCTTCTAGCTCCGAGTCAGCTCATCGAAGAATTTTGTAAGGTGTAACTTAGGTATTCTAGTTGTCATACGTGATTTTGAAGGAAGAAATATGAATTTTATGTATCAATGGACAAAAACAGGGGACCCCGGCAAAGCGTTAGGCGTATAGAAGCACTCTCGATGTATCCTGTGTTGACTCTGGCTTCATTACTTCGCATCACTCATCTGCATCTTGCATCTTCATACTTGCGCTCAAAGCTGACCGGCGCTTGAACCCTTTGCTGCAGATGATCCTCTCGCGTCCCACATCACATCTACGAGGTAATTGCTTACCCCTGATCATGAGGCTCCAAGTCGTACCAGGTATTACCTCTAATCGTGAATTGATCGATTGATTCTTTATCATGCTTTATCATGGCGTTTACGCAGATCCTGCATGTTATGGATACAAGTTAAAACGGACATCCTATTGTTGTCGATGGGATTCCCAAGTTCCTCTTGTTCTTTCAGGTCCAATCTATAAACCAACGCTGGTCGTTGGGATCCTCCTTTGCTAGTCAAAGGTATGATGTTCCGATCTCCTCGTTACGAATCTGCTCACCGTCTACCACAGATCCTTTCTTCAATTTCCACCAAAAATCGTTCCCTCGACTTTGATTAGCTCATATTTTTTTGCCTATCTCTTCCCCAAAAACCCTCATATCATCGCCATCATGCGCTTTCCTCCTTTCGGCTCGAACATCAAAGCCTGCTTGGTCTTCATCCTCGGGGTTCTGTTCATCACGTATGCTACTGCTCGACCGGTGACTGGATTGGTGAAATTGCATTGTCACAATCTCTTCTTCAAACTCTAACTTACAGACTTCCACATCCCTCTAGGAACCCAACTTACTGTCCCGCTCTCAGCTGGTGAAAATTAAAATTTCCTTTCCGGGCGGTACGAAACAATTCCTGGAGGGTGAAGCAGTGACGAATGTCGCGCGAGCCATCAGAAATACACTTGAAGAGTACACTCCCACAGGTCATGAAATTGAAGTCATCTTTCCTATCCCTCTTCGTATCCCTGCCTTCAACAAAGTTAATGAGATTGACTTCCGCATCACCTTAGGTAATGGAGCTACAGGCGCTGGGCTAGTTGAGGCTTTTGGAGAAGAACCTAATTATGAAGAAGGTCCATTTTTGGTGAGGCAGGACGTTCTAGCGCAGCTAATTGCAGGTATGGTCAAAGCGAAACTGTAGGTTAGGGACAGGTTGGGATGGATCGGGTTTGAGCGCTTTGAGCCTCGGGAGTGCGCTAACGAAGGCTTCGGGGTCCCGTTTCCGAGCTCTTTTTAAGCGTTTTGAAGGAGAGGTCGATATAGAATATTTAATTATTACCTGTTTGGTCTTCCTCCTATCATCCTGTCCTCTCCAAATTCTATTCCTCACTCGTTTGCATAGTAGGGTGTCCGATTTCCATTGACGCCGTACTGTTCAGAAAATCTCATGAATTGGAACCAGCTCTTAGCAAATTCAATCTGCATCGTACATGATTTCTCTTTGTTCAAGAACAGCACAGAGCTTGAGCAGTGACATCTGTGTTTTTTCCTCTTTTTTGATAATAAGGATCTTGGGTGTATTCACATGTTGGTTATTATCCCGGTCGCTACATTGAGACCAACAGAACCGATCCGCCGCGTTTGTGTCGAGTTTGATTGACCGCTGTACGAATTTCTTTGTAGGGTGAGGAGAAATAGAGAAATTAAATTTCCTGAAGCTTTTATCTGAGGTCAAGGTCGGAAGCGACGAAGACCTTCGTTGAATATTGGAGTGAACGAACTTGGTTCCAGAAGGAGAAAGAACAATGCATAAAGAGGGGGAATAGTGAAATATGGTCAAAGCTGGAGAATCTAGAGATCAGAAAATTGGTGGGATGAGATCAGGCTCAGTTGGGTCGAAGGTAGTGCAAGTACACACCGATCCGGGTCCTATGGATGCGGCTGCTTCAATGGACTGACCCACCTCGAATTAAGTACAACCTCTCGAGCTTCACAACTTCCTCGGTCTAGACTCGGACCCAGGCTTATCAAAGCCTGCCAAAAAAACCTGGCTTTCTCTACTTGAAATCACCTAAATCATGCGACATATTTCCGGAATTGTGGTGGGAGGGTTAGCAATGATAGATCATCGAAGTGCCCGAATCTCGATGAAACGGGGTAGACGTATGCATTTGAGCCATTGACATGGTGATACGTAGTGGTTTCTTTGAGGCTTCCGAGTCATCGCGTTGCAGGTTTCGTTAAGCGCTTCAGTCATTCCGGGAGCTTGCATCACGCACTTGCACGTACCGATGAAGGGCTTTAGTGGAAGATGATCACGGTCAGAGGAATAAGAGAGGTGTAAAGAGGAAGACGGAGGTAGACGGAGGTGGATCTCTGTGTACGGAGTACCAATCTTTGAATCCGAATGTACTTACTGCGTGCGAGCTTGATATTTTTTCACAAAAGAACTTATCTTTTGGGTCCAAAATCTTGACTTATGTTGTCGTTCACATAGCTCGAGGCTTTGGCAAATCTGTGAAGAGAAGGCCGGCCGAAGGGAAGAAAGGACAGCCGGCCCGTTGGTCGTTTCGTCTTCCTTCGCTCATGAGCATTCAGCAGAAACATGTTCTTGCCCGCTCTCTAGTTTTCAAACAGCTGCCTCCATCTCTAGAGGTCAAACAAGCCTTATCTTGTCTCCCTCATGGTCGCTTTCACGGCATTGTTCCTCGAGGCAAAGACTCACTGGCCATAAAGTTCCTGGACTTCCGCTCGGCAACCCGTTTCACCCAAAAGTTTCGTTTACTGCCGCGTGCACCACTGCTGAAAGATGCTACAATAGAATATGAAGCATCTGGTCCTCTGCCTATCGAAATTCTCACTGCAATTGGACTCAGAAATGCGAGCAGGGTAATTCGCGTTTCTTCCACTATTGCAAAAGATATTCCCGAGAGCTTGATCGACGACTCGAAGAAATGTGGGCCCATTGAGAGCTTCGAGAGCGACAAAAGAAAGGCCGTGATTAATTTCCTGTCTATAGATGCGGCCATCAAGGTACCTGCGAACTTTTCATCTTGAGAGTTTACTCAATTGAACCTCCTTTGTTTTGCTCAGGCTTTAGACATCCTTCGTACCAGCGAAACATATGCGGGATGCCATGTGTACTTTGGATATGATCAAAAATGCGATATACCTATTCCGTATCCTGCTGATTCCAAAACCGACTTGGTCCTGACCGACCTTCCGAAAGGAGCGACCACTAATGAACTTCTTCGACGTCTCCAGAGCGGTTTGCCTGATCTCAAGCGGGAGACCATACGGAGTATCGTCTTTGACGAACCGGGTGCCAAAGCTGTGTGTATATGTACTGAAGCACGAACTCTGTTACTGATTATTTCCTTAGTTCATCAACTTCCTAGAACCTGTTGTTGCTAAGATTGTTTATGAATCCTTCAAACACGCAAAGACATCCACTGGTGGAGTTTCCGTTTCATGGTCTTGGACTGCCCCCAGTCCCATCAGCGCCAGTCTTCGGATGGCAGTTAACGTCGGTGCTTCTCGTACCATGACCATATCCCATCTCGAGAACGTAGAACAAATGAGACGCGTCTTGAAGGTTGCAAAAACGTTTGGAACAGTTGTCAGCCATTCGTATAATCCTTCTAATGAGTAAGTAACCGTGAAATTCCACACTCTGCTTCGACCATGCTGATACTCAACTTCTAGAAAAACTGGCAAAACAGTCAGCATCGAATTTTCCGACATCTTCTCAACCTTCAGAGCCATCGAACGCATCGGGAAAGACATGGCTAGTTATCCTGACTTTGCCAATACGTTTGTCTCCTTTGCCACATCAACTAACCAAGTTAAGCCTATGAAAGTTCTTCGTTCTAAGACTACAAAACCCGAAACATCGCAGGCTCAGGCTACGTCGGAACCATCTTCTCATCCTTCGGAAGCATCGTAGTTTGGAGTGTGTGTTTTGTTTCTATTATTACATGTATTGTTTCAGAAAATAACATTCGTGCGTCGCCCAATGATAACGAAACGTAATACCCTCTCCTATCACCAGTATCATTGCGTCTTCTTCCAATTTTTAAGCCAGCTCAGTAAATCATCAGTAGAACTCTGTTCGGAAGATTTCAACTCAGCAAACAACTTAGTTGTGACTGCTCAAAAAGACACGACCGACCTCAATATACGTTATGTTCTCCTGAATGGTAACCAGTACCTGTGGTACGGTAAGGGCGTATCTTGAAGTGTCCCTTCCGTCCTGTAGCCATGTAGAACATATCAGAACAGATCTACTGGCGAAGACTCAACGGATTACCTCAAAGAATGCTTTTGTGTCTTCCCAATCTTTCTTCGAAGTCAGTGGACTGAATACTCGCTACGAAGAGGTGAGGTACTGGCAGCAGCTAAGAGGACTCAAAAATACCTGTACGAGTCCCGAGATCGAGAACCCGTCCTTGAATTTCTCGTATAACTTTGAAAGGGGTACAAGTTTAAAAGTCGAATTTGAGCCTTCCATACCTGTGTACTCACCACATCGTAATTCTCTTTGAAATGCGCCACAAATTCTCTTTTTATCTTTGGATTTTTCATCAGCTCCAGGACGAAATGTGGTACATCCTGGTCACGGGCTTCCGTGGTCATGTAGTGGATAGTAGATGTGATTGATTGACGGTCGGCCACGCTGCACATTGCCCCTCTGGAAAGAAGCAGAAGGTGAATTTAGAAGGGCTTTCCCACTACACCAAGTATGTCATACATACATTGCCGCAAGCTTTTCTGTGGGCGTTTTTGGATCATCCACAATCCGCTTGATGGCTAAATATTCCTCTTCTCCGCCGAATTCGACGGCCTGAATGGAGAATTCGCATTTGACAAAGGTCTGGAGAGTCAAAGAGGGCCAACGACGCACCGAGGTGTAGATTGGGCCTTGAAGCTCCTCGGGAATGAGGCTGTTATCCCGAGTTGCCTGATATTGCTTGAATCGCTGTCGTAGCTCGTTGACGACTCTATCCATCGAGTGTACACGAATGTATGATATGTAAGTGACATGACCACTCACTCTTCATCTTTCGCCTGACTCGCGTTAATTACAGCACAGGTTCGGAGTAAAGAAGTATCAGGATCTTCATCGGCGGAATACGTATACCCTATCTCAGATACGATGGGCTTGAAGAGAATCTATGAATTGTAGTACATGTCGGAATGTAGTCAGACAATTATAAGGAGAGGTTTTCTTACCCGACGAAATTCATTCAACAGGTCTATGACCTCTGCATGCTCCCACCATATATTGATCAAATTGGATAGTGCAGTTGAAATTGAGGACCAAACATAGTCTAAATTCTCGGAGTTTCAACAGCCTCAAGGGAGAAAAAGGATCATTTCACTCACAGTCTCGGACATCCTTGAATATTGTCAAGAGTTCCAACGCATCGCTCAAGCTCATGAGTTGAGCACCGGCAAGAGCAAACGCATCTTGCACCAGTCCCAGACGATCTCCTGTGTTCAATACCGAATTTGCCTTTGCCGCCTCGATAGCAATTCGCCGAAATCGTTCAGGAGTGTACATCACACGATCTATAAGTTGCATTAAAAACTTGCAATCGCCGTGAATTTGGAACAACGCTTACAATAGCCAAAAGTCCCAGCGTTGAGCTTGAACAATTGCTCGGTATTGACAGCGTAGAAGCTTGATCGCTCTTTCAGGACAACCTTATTGATGCTAGATTTCCCATCGGAGTCGACGGTCAAGAGATTTAATGGGATATTCCTAATTGCGGATGAATATGGTAATACTAGCCGAACTAGATATTTGAGGAGAATCACCATATCGTATTGGTATCGTCAATGGTCCCCTTCTGCAAAAACCTAGCTTGTACAATGTGTATGATCCCTTCAGATTCAGTGACTTTAATGACGGGAAATCCGGGCTGGAGGATTATTTGTGAGTGGCCAGCAAGAGCGGATAGCCAAAATGAACCTTCGAGATATAAGCGTCCATAAAATTAGAGGAATCGAATCCTACGCAAAACATTTAGTCGAGTGCATTGCTTAGATTAATCATAAATCATACCTGTCGCTTCCTCTATACCTTTCCATAAATCGTGAGTGACGCTATTTCCGTAAAGGTTTGACTTCAGATATACGGAAACACCCTTCAGAAAGGCATCGACGCCAACATGATTGGCCAGCATACGGAGAACTGCCAAACGGAGGCAGGAGCGGTGGCGTGAGTACTCGAAAATCGCCTCGAAAAAATTCCAAGACTTACCGGAAGCTGCTTTTGAGTAGGATAATGCGTCGAAAATCTTTCGTGGCCGTCAGTTGAAAGATGAGGAGTAGGAGTACCCAGACCTGCCTGGTTGATCTTATTCGCGTCTGGGCAGTCCACTTCAACCGGATGTGAGGAAAGCTTGTTATCTAACAGCATTGCATCGTTAATGTGGAGAGCAATGAATGCCGCGTCGAGATTCCACTCGGGGAAACCCCTAGGAAAAGAGGAAATGAATATACGGACACAGATGGTTGAAAGGTATCCGGGACCTGTCTACAATATAGTTCAGATTAAAATTCTTCACGAACCATAGAGAGTATCAAGATTACCAGGAATAATCAACTCCCCCATCTTGATCGTACGCGGAGAAAAAATTGAGGACGACGTATATACATGCATAGATACCGAACTGACCAATGTCGCAAAACCTGACACTATGCGGTCAAGGGCAAATTCATTGGTCACAATTCTACTCCACACACCTTCATTCAGATATAGATATGTCCACCACTCCATCGTAGTAATATTCCCAAACCTGGAAAATCAACAACTTAGGATCATGCCTAATATGATAGGAAAAAAAATCAATGAACCACATATGTGCGACCTCATGAAATTGGATATTGACAATGGCCTGTTTCTGCTGTATATTGCTTGCATTCGGGTCCAATAAATAATGGCTGGCTCTTCCTGTAATCAATCCCCAATTCTCCATGGCATAAGCATCCATGTCTTCAATCTAGATGATTTAGAACTAGGTATGATTCGCATCTGCGTACTTGACAACTTACTACCAGTGTATCCAGTTTGGGAAGAGGATATTCAATGTCGAATACTTGTTCATAAACCGGAAGGACTTTTGCTGTCACTCCAAGTGTATATTTTGCTTGATGGATCGAAGAAGGATTCGCTATTCACGTTAAGTGAATGTTTATTGTGGTGCGCTACATAATGCCACATACCATAAACGCGTATGGGACGTGTCTTTCCGCTAATCGGACTCTTGAAAGAGCTCTCAAGGTATTCAAACTGGCCATTAGCAAATGCAACGAGGTAGGTAGACATGAGCGGAGATCTCTCGAAGCGCGTAATCTTCCAGTCACCGATTGATGCTTGTCTCAAAAGTCCATGAACATCGTCTGCGTCTTCATATTGTTCTTCTGAGATTACAGGTGTATTGAAAAGGTTCACGGTATCAGAAGCAGAAACCATTGACATCTCGAACGTTGCCTTGCAAGATGGTTCATCCCAGCATGGAAATGCACGACGAGCAGCTGTTGGCTGCATAGGTCGATCAGTTTATCAAATGACATGCAACGACGAAATATTACAACCGTACCTCGAATTGAGTCACCGTATAAAACTTTTTCTGACCACCGTCTTCCCATGTTCCTTCATAGTAGCCAATCAAGCTCTCGTTCAGCTTGCCCTCGAAGGCGATGAACAGCTTTAGAGAAGAGCCGGCCGTGAAGGTACACGGATAAACAAATGTTGCACGTTGGTCGATCGAGTCTATCGATTGAGAGACGGGCACGAAGGCCTCTTCCTCGCCTGCGACGGTCACAGAAGCATCAGAAAGATGCAATTCCGCTACATTGAGAACAATCTTGGATGTATCTGTCACAACCTTGAGGGCGACCTCCACTGTGCCACGAAATTTGTGCAGTGTAAGATCGGTGAGAAGAGTAAGATCGTAATGAGTGGGAGAAACATCAGTGGGTAAGCGATAGTTCATTGTGGTGAAGAGCGAAGTGATTAGTGATGATTGGCTAGATATTACATCTGCAAAACCTGTTTTTTCGGCTAATTCTCCGAAAGCAGCTGAGAGCGCTTCCCAGCAGCCAAAGCACCCAGAGCAAGGTTGAAATTTTGCTCTCGGTGCTTTGGGTGCTGGAGAGCGCTCTCCAGCCAGTACCCTTGCTCTGGCGAACATACAGGTTTTGCAGATGTAGTATAATATGCATTCGTCTAGTCATCACGAATCATATTGAGATTGCGTTTGCTTGCATGGTTCTCGACACCCGGGACCGACATGCAATATTTGGACACCGTGGCGTATTAGTTGTCCAGATATCATTGGTGTTCAAGAAAATAACTAGAGCTACGATAGAATGCCAGAATAGCAAGATTACTTCAAGTTCAACCCACGAAGGCGAATTAATATGTTCTAATGTGATTGCCTGTCTGCAAATCTGAATCTCTATATGTATTCGGTTCATCATTTTGTACGCCTGACAGACTTGTGAAAAGTAGGTAACAAAATGTATCAAGTGAGAATTTGAACATCGTATGCAAGTGAATCATAAGATTACTGAGTTTTCAAGAAGACGAACACAGAAAATTCGTAAGATGTAGCGTAGTATACGTGAAGGAAACAAAATATAGATGAAAAATCTTTTTCACCAGCAGACGCATGTATCGTTTCCCCCCGACACATGTAAATGTACTGTACATAGAAAGAGACCTTTCCGGGGGGTATCCAAGGTCATATACAATTCACTGAGTGTTTTATTGATTGTTATTATGATGCATGAGAGAATAGGTGCGGGTGTTGACGACGGTGTAGTGGATGGGTATTGCGATTAATAGATAAAGCCAAGAGGCAAAGAGGGCGAGACAAAGGAGTGGAATCATGATTAGTATAGGAAGGAAGGTAGTGAAGGGGCCGTCATACACGGCGACTCAGAATCTCCATCCTAAAAATCCACCTTTTCTCCTCTCTATGCAGCAGTTCTACTAGGGTGCCTAGCCAGAGTTTGACCAGAGGCTTGCATTTGGTGACTGCTGAAACGTGTCAATTCATCGGGCTTGATTGAGACTCGTCCACCGAATCCGACTTTACGCGCCGCACGTCTGATGAACGACACACGGTTAGAGTAAAGCGATTCGTGGATAGATGCGGCACGAGAAGTGGTACGGGTCATGGGAACACCTTCAGACTGGGAAGTGGCACGGGTAGCGGCAGCAGCAGCGGCTTCATGACGTTGACGGAGCGACTTGATGATAGTGTATTTCATCGCGAACTTGATCCAGTCGAGAGGAATGAACCAAACGATGTTCTGGGGAAGTGTGTCAGCAAAAGAACAGGACTCGACGAAAAATGAAGCGTACCCAAACCCAGACAATACCGATCCATCCTCCAGAAATACCATGCATATCAGTGAAGCCCCAGTTGCCATAAGCAGCAATGATCGAGGAAATGAGCTGGGCTACACAGAACGCACCCATGAGAGCGAAAGAAGGACGTTCCATAAAGAAGAATCCATGCGAACGAGTCACGAAAATCAAAGCCTGCGAGATAATGGCAACTTGCAGGTAAACGATGGCGTGGAGTTGTTCATCGTTAGGATCGACGGGAGAAGTGAGCAAAGTGACCCCAAACTTGTTCTGGAAGAAGTTGGACTCCAGGATGATAACGACAAGGATAACACTATGAGATGTCAGATCAGAAGGTTATAATCAAATGATACAAGAGACACTTACGTCGAGAGTGTGAGGTACAGTCCGTAAGCGACGGCGTAGGCGAAAATCTCAGCCAAATCCCAACTGTCCGGAGTGTTCGAAGGCAAGACACGGTCGACGGACAAGGTCATGATAGTACCGTCGTTGAGAAGAGCGATGATAAGGACCATGAACGGAGGGAAATCGAATTGGTAGACCCAAGCGAGGATGGCAAAGCAGACGACGATACGGATGGTAACAGCACAAGCATAAATGGAGTAGTTCCTCATACGCTGGAAGATGATACGGGACCCACGAATAGCGTGCACGATGGTGGAAAGACCAGGCTCAGTAAGGACGATATCAGCAGCACCACGAGCAGCGTCGGTAGCACCCTCGACGGCAATACCAACATTCGCACGGGAAAGAGCTGGAGCATCATTGGCACCATCACCAGTCATAGCGCAAAGGTGGCCAAGACCCTGGAGACGTTTGACAATCTCGTACTTGTGCTCCGGGAAGACACCGGCGAAACCATCAGCATCCATGATCATTTCATCGAGAGTAGCATGCTTGCCACCGGGAGCAGGTCCATCCTTGAGCACTTTGGCAGGGTACATGTGATCACCAAGTCCAAGACGACGACCGGTTTCTTTGGCGATAGCGAGCTGATCACCAGTAACCATCTTGACTTTAACACCGAGAGCAAGAGCATCATCGATTGTCTGCTTGGTGTCCTCACGAGGAGGATCGAAGATGGCGAGGAGACCAATGAGTTCGAAACCGTTACCTTCTGCCTCATGATCGTCGCCGTCAAGCTCCTCATAAGCGACTGCAAGGGCACGAAGACCACGGGTGGCGTATTCTTCTACGTCGGCCTCAAGTTTATTCTCCAGCTCCTCAGTTTTGTTACGAGAGCAGAGTTCGATGATGATACCAGTCATACCCTTCGTAACACGCTTCAGTTTGCCAGAGGATTCTTCTCGATACGTAATTTCGGTACGCTTGTCGACCGGGTTGAAGGGTTTGAAATCGAGGAGTTTGATTCCAGCACGAGCCTTTGAAACGTCACCTAGAGCAGCCACGACAGAGGCATCGATAGCATCCTGATTCTCTGTACGCGAAGCGTAGGCAGCGAAGAGAATGACCTCGTCTGCGGAGAAGGGACCGTAGGTTTTGATGGTGTTTCGGTCGATGGTAAGTTTATTGGTGGTGAGAGTACCGGTTTTGTCGGAACAGAGGATGGTGACACCAGCCAATTCTTCGATTGCGGTGATACGAGTAACAATTGCCTTGTGTTTAGCAAGCTGCTGAGCACCGACGGCGAGAGTGACAGACAAAACAGTGGGCATGGCAATGGGAATACCACCAATTAACAGCACCAGGATGTCGTTCAATCCACGACGGTAGGTGTAGTGGAAGCGAGGGTATAGGACGACAATTTCGAGGATGACGAAGATACCGATCGACACAAGACAGAATGACCCAATTTGAGCAAGGATCTTTTGCAAATGACCGGTGGTATCATCATCTTGCCCAACGAGCGATGCAGCACGACCGAAGAAAGTGTTGGCACCAGTAGAGATAACAACACCCTCTGCTTCACCTTGCTTACACGTGGAGCCACTAACGGTAAAAATTAGATCATGAGAGAATAGAGTTCATAAGAGAAACTTACGAGAAACACTGGTCACCGACCTTCTTAGACTGGGGGAGAGACTCTCCGGTGAGAGCAGCCTGGTCAATGGATACGTTGATTGATTCAGTAAGACGACAGTCTGCTGGGACGATGTCACCAATCTTGAAGGAGACCATATCACCGGGGACGAGCTCGGCAGAATCAATTTCTGACCAGCTACCGTTCCGTTTGACCTTGGCCTTCGGCGCAAGAGAGTCCATAAGAGCTTTCACAGCATTACCAGCATTCCTTTCCTCGTAGAAACCGATGGCAGAGTTGATGAACAGCAGAAGGACGATACCGACGAAATCCTGCCAGTCAGGTGGCTGACCTTCACCGTTAGACAAAGCGATAGCAACAAGTGCGGCGCCCTCCATGACCCATGAAAGAGGATTCCACATAAAACTCAAAAACTGGAAATTTGGGTTGAACAACGGGGACCGATGGAAAAAGCGAGCTAAAACGAACCTGAAGGAACGCGTTCTGTTCTTCACTTTCAAGTTTGTTGGGACCGAAAATTTCCAGACGCCTAGTCGCCTCCTCCTTTGTAAGACCGTTCTCATCACACTGAAGCAGCTTGAAGGCATCGTCCATGACGATGGTCTCTAAATCGACCTTTTCTCTATCATACAGATCCTCAGCCCGAAGTTGGATCTAAGAAGAGAATCGCCGTTTAGTATCCAAGACGGTGCTGTGGAATATTGGTATACGAACAGTGGACATGTCAACATTGGCATCTAACAACAATTTTGGATCGTATCAGAAGATAGCGAGAGCATGACGAGCAAAAACATACGAGTAGGACCCTCCTCTTCGTGACCGAAATCCTTATACTCTCTCTTCTTTTTTTCAGGCTCTTCGGGAGTGCTGGGAGCCGAAGTCGCTGTGGGCTCCTGGGGACCAGGTTCCTTTTCAACGTTTGAAGCCATTTAGTCTATGGGACGGATAAACCGGGAAGGAAATTAAGGGAAGAGTTAAGAGCTAAGCCCTGAACGGACACTGGCGCAGCTGCAGTACGACACTGAAGGAGGAGGTAGTGGTGGTAAGGAGGAAAAAGAGTTGGAGTTGATGCCAATATGTCTGCCTTTTATTCCGTCTAAATTTGAACACGATCAAACACATCAACAAGTGCAAACTGTCCGCAAAGTTCGTTATCCGTTTCCGCGCTGTTTAGTCACTCTTTCCAACATCTTCGGCGTTGCTTTTGTCCGCCCAAAAGCCGATACCTGTATAAACAAATTCCTGTAGCTCGTGCTCTTCACCCATTCGCTCACTGAGCTCTGTACTAGACTTCGGCATTATCGTCCGGCAGTCGGAGTATCTGTGCATATAATCAATTTCAGTCAACATTGTGGCTAAATTTGCCAGCACACGATGTCATACACAATATTCTATTCTATCCGTTTTTCCCTTCGGTCCGGGTGAACTATTGAGCGTTCGTCGCCGTCTACAAGCGTCTACAGCCCTCCTGGTAATGAAAATAATCTCGTACGTTCTGAATAGCCAACCTTTTTTTTTTGCGCAATGCGCATAACGACATTATTGAAACAGCTCATCCGAGGTATTTTAAGGGTTTTATTCCACATTTCTGCAGCGGAATTTCTCCTTCATGATGATTCGCTTAGAAGCGACGCCAAGCAGTTTACTTTCAGAACGTCCCATCTTTGATGTTGTGAGCAGGAACTTCTCACAGCGTCGCTCGAACTGCTACTGCAGATATCATGTTTTGAACATAATTATATGTCAGATTGTCCCCCCTCGGGAGTGCATCATTCTTCCGTTGCCATTCAACCCGAGGTGTTGAAGGCTGCAAGTGAGTAATCGAATCAATCGGAGGAAAGAGAGAAACTGTTGAGATCGAGAGGTGTAATGTCAAGAGCTCCATTGGCCGCTTGGCGAGGTAACATCCATGTGGTATTGCCCGGGTTAGCAGATTTACCACCTCACCAGCATGCTGACTAGAGTGACATGGACACATTACACGTTGACCCGAATTCGCCCTTGTCGATGCGCTGTTTACGCCGTCGCCAGCATGCACAGGCGAGCGATGGGTGCGCATGGTCTCATCATCATGCTTACACGCCAAAAGCGCTCAGATTCACCACAAATCCGAGCAAAAAAAAAAAAAAAACCAAAAATGCCATCGGGTCTAAATATGGAAAGCCTCCGTTCACTCTCCTTTGCCTCCTCGTTCCAAATTTGCAATCTTCCAGTTTCTATGGATTCCAGTTTGATACAATTGATCGTGGAAACGATTGTTAATTGAGTGATTTTGCAAGCCGATCAGTCCAAAATAAACTACATACTCAGAGGTGCTCCACTGTTGAAGCGTCTTACTCCTTTCTACATCTTGGCCTTCTGTAATTGATCTTGGCCGTTGACTATCGGAACAGCTCGATGTGGCGCTGGCCAAGGCTCTCCAAAGCCTTCCAAGACAGACAGACCATCCAAGTGCTCGGCATGAAGTCGCATATTCTGAATGATATTATTCCGTACCCTGAACGTGCAAGTTCCGGCCTTCACTAGCACTCTCCATAGACTATACGAATTATGTACAGCACATATGTAAATGTAGACTTTTGGCAGTCGTGTTCTCCAGTGGAAAATATGGCGCATATACATGTCCAGCACAGCATGGATATTCTATATACATACTCTGTGCAACTCGGGTGCGATGCGACTTAGGATCATTCTCGATTCAAAGGACACCTACGGGATCCCGTATATCTGTCGGCGGGCTCCTTGTTGAGGCCGCCCCGTTTGTCCGATGTGCCATCGGATAAAGCGGAACACAATCTGTCGGTCGTTTCGACCCCAAAGAAGGAACTCGAATATTATGCAGTGATGGCCAAGGTTCAGAAGGCTATTTGGTTCTCTATCTTCTGCATTTGTCCATGAAGTGGGAAAGAAACAGTAAGTTTCAGAATTCGTACAAGCTTCCCCGTGTTCATACGTTTCTCCGATTTATCCGACTCTAGGTTGAATCTCGAAAGGGCGACTCGGAAATTGTCGTAGATATTCAACCAATCGGACAGCGACGATACGCTTGATACGCTTGTGCGGCTCTCAACACCCATTGTGTGATCAACGCTGATCAACGACTCTAAAGTTAGTCTTAGTCTACTCTTCTGCGATCAAGGGAGCTTCACTGGCTTGAGGCATGCTGATCAAAAAGCTCTGAGATCGCGATGAGGGAATCTCGTCGAGGTTGTGACTGGTTGTGAACGTTGATACATGCCAAATGACATTTTCGAAATCAATCTGGTTCTTCCTTACTTGACACGGAAAGTGAAGCCGAGTGTGACTCGAACGTGAAATTCACCAATCTTTAGTCAGTGAATTTTCGGACTGACTCTAAGCCTCCAAGGAGGGCGAGTTGCTGATACAGATAATGGAATCTTGGATCTGAATGCCCTGTATGTTATTCAATTCGAAAACGGGCACCAATACCAATAGCACTTGGTGGTATAAATAAATAGATCAGGTCTACAATTCATCTCGAAGATCGGGTTTTTTCTCATCAGCTTCCTTTTCTGCATCGTCAAGACCGTCGCTCTCAGGGCTCAGGGAAGCAGCTCCTGAAGCCGTTCGTGCGAGAGCGTTAGCATCTGCAGCGGCGATACGAGAGCGAATTTTTCCTTCCTCCGATAATTTGCGAGCGAACTTTGCTATCTCAGAATCGTATTCTTCCCACTCTGGAATTTGTCTGGCACGCGCGAGCTTTGGTTCTTTCTATATGAATTTATTTGAAAATGTTAGATATTGATATCGAACATCGGGAGAGAACAAAATAAATACCGTCAGTGGGTTCTGGCAAAGATCTATCGTTTTTGCTCGATGAAGCCGATCTTTGCTGCCTGCAAGTCGACATGAATTAGTCTGTTCAAATGTTAGCTTGTGAAGACTTACACCAGGTTTCACACTAAGATTCACGCGAGATGTCAATTTCCGTGAAGGTTGAAAGACAAATCAGGAAACCCACCCATAGCCAATCTTCATCCAGTGAAAACTGAAAACGAGTAAGTTTAAGGACATGGCGGACGTGGATGATCATTGACTCACTATTGGAACTTCACGCTGCAGGTTATTCGGTAAATCTGGTACCATACGGGTCAAATAAATTTGGCATAAAGAAAACGCAAATTGGTCACCTTGGTCTAAGTTGGCCAAAGAGTTCGGATCCATGGACAACTGTTGGTAAGAGCCCCGGAGAATATCCTAGTTTGAATGTTAATGGCAGTAGAAGCAATTTTCATGGTGCATTATCACGCACTCCAGCTGCAATCTATAAATGCTAATGATGAGGCCACATCCAAGGCAAAGTTTATGGGAATACATGCCTGACGGAACCGCACTAAGTCCACAACATATAAGGCACTAGTTGCGAGTGTTTGTTAGCGCATAGTATGAACAAAAAACATCAGCGCACCTAATATGATACGGTCTTCCTTGCAAGAAATCTGCCCAGTATCCGGTTTTCCAGAACCTGAAACCTTCCATCGCTTCGTTATCGTCCCCCATTGGAGTATATCCATATGGAGCGCCATGAAGGTCCAAATCGACGAGCTCCTGCAGGTCTGCTCGGACAATCTGGTCAGCGTCAACAAATATGACTTTCTTCAGGTCCATAGGGAAGAGAACGTCCAGGAAAAGAATCTTGTACGCCCAGATGATCCTCTGCTTTTCTTTCTGTGCACGCAGCCACGATGGCCATTTGTAAGTGACGAGTTCATACTTGAAGTTATAAGCCTCGGCCAGATGGGGGATAAATTCCTGTAAATGCAACATCGGCACAATGCACAAAGTTCGGTTTCAGGAGAACAGAACATACCAAGAACGAAGGAGAGAGGAAGTTCTCAATAAACCAGAACTTCACTGTGCTCTTCGTATTTCGTAGAACACTCAAAATCATGATGCCCACGAACCGCTTTATCGTAACTTCATTAGTGTTGTATATTACATTGAATGAATGACATTCTACCTCGTAGAGAAGTCCTGAAGCAACTGTAAAGATGTTAATGTCCGCTTGTTCATCGGCAGTCTCAACGATTCCAGTTTCCTCAGAAGTCCCGAATAAGGATTTCACACTGCACCAAACATTAGAATTTTCCTAGCAAAAATGTAATTGCGTTTACCTGGCAAACATGCTCTCAAAGACACTAGAAGACTCCTCTTCCTCCTCTTCGGCGAGCACGTCCTCCCGTTCCATACCCGGAAGCCTGGAGAACCGGGGATAAAGGGTCTGACCCTCGAAACTAGTGACCGTAATCTCGTTGCCAACTTCATCCACGGACGGACTGTTCCATCCTTCATTCCCCACACTTTCCGTTACAAAGATGTCCCTGCCTCGGCCCTCTCGAATCTCAAGCTTGAAAACCCCAGGTTTCGTCTTGAATTGGAAATATCCAAGGTTGGCTACGACCTGTGTGTCGTCGATTGGCATGGAGCCACTGACAAGCTGTATCTGTACGCCACGCGGAGGGGATTGTGTTGTGGTATCTCGGGCGTGGCCTTCAACAACGATGTAGTCTAGATCGAAGATAGTGTCGACGCTGAAGTCTTCAGGAGCAAGGCTTCCCAATTGGATGTTGTCAAGATCGTACATTGCTTCACGAGGTCGAACGAGCCAAGAAGAGGGCACGTCCATAGCCAACGTGTAAATTGGCTCGAGAGGCAAATTTTCGAATACAGTCTGAGAAGACACTTCCTGCCTGAGCCTCGATCAGTAACCGATAACTTAGAGGCAATATGCATACCCAGTCTCGTCAAACGATAGCGAACTTCGCAGATTATATCTGAAAAACCTTTTCAGGGGAACCTAGCAAAACCGGTGAGGCAAAGTGTACTGAAGGAGTAATACGAAAGCTCACCTCGCCATATTGAGTAGGATTCAGGCGGATTTCTAGGTAGGTGTCGGGAATATGTGATATCCACTAATGACACTATCAGAACAAGCCGGTATCTGTATATTGGAAACTCGCCTGCAAAAGACTAGACCATTTCTGAGCGGTCTCGCTGAGAGGGTCTACTATGACTGCCACCTGATATAAAGCTGTGGAATTGTCGCCAACTTCGAATAACCTTTCAGCATGGTTCCATGAGGTTCACCAAAGTTAATCGTCAAGTTACGGCTCACGTATGCTTGGTTTCTAGCGTCTGATAGTTCCGGTTACGTGGTCTTCGAGGAGCATCGAAGAGGCCGACTTCACTAGGATCTGGCACTTGGATTGCGGAGATGATCGACGAGGCCATTGAGACGATATGAGTAATCGTCGCGCTGGAGAAGAACATTCACAAGAAGCACTTTTTGAGATACCCAGAAAGCTCACACACCGATCAAGACTTTTGAATCCAGGACGAATATCTTCCAATGCCGAGAGGACTGGCTGAATACGTTTCAGTAACTCGTACTCTTGTAAAGCCTGGAAATCAGCCGCCAGAAATTCGTTAGGGATTATTGGCTCAACGATCTATGGAAATTGATTGAGTAAAATAGACAAACGTCGGCGTATCAAATGAATCCACTTACCCGCCCGTTTATCACAATCCCGTTTTGACCTGGCTCAACCCCAATGGAACGAACGAACCACTGACACGCGTCCAAGAAGCCAGATTGCTCATTGGGTTTGTGATTGTCCAGGTGGTCAAGTTTCAGGGCATTTTTTAGCGCCCTGACTGTGGAGAATGGCACTTGTGTGTTCGACTCGTCTACTTCAGATGCGTGTTGACCGCCGTTGAGGGCCTGGAGAAGCTCTTCCGGAGAAGTTTTTGATAACTGCTTGTGGTCTACGAGATGAGCAAAGATAGATGATATGGACACCCCTTGAGAAAATCCTTCGGTCGCAGGATTATGTACAAACCCCAGACGTGCGGTCGAGTTTTTCTCCTACTCCAGACGACTATTAGATTAGATCATAGATAAAGATTACGGCTCACCATAGACAGCAGTGCTTCCTTCACAAAGTCAAGACCATCCTTAGCATTCAAGTCTGCTAAGACAAACAAAGTCATTGGGATAACTTCTGCTTCTGTAGGATATACGAAGGACGATGGTGCGAAAATAGAGCTTGAATCTTTTTGAAGTTCCGGAAGACTGATGATGTCAAGGTTTTCCTTGGAAGGAACGATATATTTGTTCCTTCTTCGTGCAGTTGTCGGGAGATCGAAAAAGTAGCTGGATATTCTCCCATTGTCTTCCTCTGTCAGGTGACCTTCATATATCTGAACGAAATGAGTGAATGTTCTCGATGAATCGACGACATCGGCTGCATACCTCTTCCTGCAAATGCATTAGTTGCCGACTGATTTCTGTTTGCATATTGCGAAGGAAGCTCTAAGAAGCATCTAATGAGAAAACAACAGACACAAGCGCAGCCGGTGGTCAAATACCTCATCAAATGCGAAATGTTTCCCATTGATGAATCCATGCCCGGAAGGAAACACAGATAAAGTGGCACTCAAACGATTAGTGTAGGCTTGCACACCATCTAAGGACTTGAATATAGAATTTGTTCCGGAAACTACGGATTCAAAGTCGACAGACGTTTGGTCGGTTGTTGCACCGGCATTAGCTTCAGCAACCATGAAACCATCGTATTCATGGCGAACATTGGACCATTGGAGAGATCCCTGAGCACCAGGCATAGTAAATGGATGAGCCACCTATGTAAAGGATAAAAGGACTCGTCAGTTTCCCGAAATCGTTTCGACAAAGACAGTTTGAGTACTCGTTTTAAGAAATTCATGGTAATTTTGCGGCCAAAGTTGTTCAACAGAAAGTAGACCAATCTCGCCATTCGAGCACCTAGGAGGAGTCAATCAAACGGATTTATAAAGCAAATCACATAGCTTACCGTCTTCCGTCTCCACAATGGGCACAACACCAAAATGGAATGGGAATCCTCTCTCGATGATACTATGCATAGTCCCGGCGACAAATACTAAATTTGCTGGGCGAGACAAGTCGAGAACGAGAACCACATTGAACAGGTTGAGTTTCAACATGTGGAATTGTCCGGGGTATAGAGGTCGCAATAACTTGTGGGATAATGTCGGCATTCCGAAAACTCATTGGAAGACGTTCGACTTACACCGGTTATTGAGGCACCCCACTGATTATACCTATATTGTTGTTGGAATCAAATATAAATTCATCGGAGCGAGTCGATTCACCTTTTATCTTTCTCAAGATCATTCCACCATATGATAACATCTCCACCTTCAGCCCGGTCACTAGCATCAACTAACCCATCCAAAACATCCTTGCTGTCTTGAGCGGCAGAAAGTATAGGATGAGTAAGTAGTTCTATCGCCTCCCCCCTTTCAAGATCCAAGCCTGTCAACTGCATCATAATACCTCGTTCCTTTTTCAACAACCGCGACAAGCCGAACGCGTTCAGGTCTTTTTCCGCCACCGAAACTCCGTTGATCCACATAGCGTTGGCACCGCCCTGAACCCGCAATTGGTTCTCATGCACCTCCTGTGCAAGGTCTTCATTGACAGAAACACGACGTGCAAGGGTCGTTACGTATTTAGGAAAGTTTTGCGAAAGATGCATGAGGGTGAGAAGAGGATTGGAAGAGTCCATGATGAGTTGGGATGCTTGGAAACCGATGGTATGGAGTTCATCTTCTGTAGGAGGGGTATTGGCATCAGGCGCAGTAGAATTTTCTGGGTAGCCGTCAAGGAGTGAGAATATGGGATCAACGACGGGAGCCTCGACATCCTGATCATCCGAGAGGGAAGGATCGTCCCGTTGTGTCCCAAGGTGTCTATCGTCCAATGCAAGGTAGTCCATCTTTTTCAGGTCAAGAGCAACACTGTATCCGGAAAGATAACTCCGTTTGGATGTGTCAAGATTTTCGGGCGGGACGTGTCTAAGGATGTACTCGATACGATGTTCTGCATGACTTGTCAACCTCATCAAGTACGTATGAAGTTCACGAAAGTTCGGAGAGGCCAATGAGGCATATAGGATCGCGGTGCGTGGTGGAGTTTCTAATCGACTATCTGGAGGTGGATAAATGTGGTCGAATGGTAGAATCTTGGGTCTCGTATAATTTGAACTAAACGTCGTAACTTCAATCACACTGTTGACACTGAACGGAGTCGGTACTCACGAATAGTTTTCCATCGAATCTATCGTATCTAACCCGGCAAGCTGTGCCAACGATTCCACATCACAGACCACAGACCCATACCAGTCTACCCATGACCCGCATTCCTTACGACGCGCAGACTGTTCGACAGTCTCCGTGTAATGATGATAGAACGCCTCGATTTTAGGCGTAGCAGCATGGAGAGCAAGACTCATTTCAACGAAGGCCAGGGCTCCTGATTCTGAGAACAATCCCATATTCTTTGCGACTTCCAGGGAAGACGAATAGATAGCTTCGGGGGCTTCATTTGGTGTGATAATAACCACATCCGGGTCTGTGACACGGTCGAGGAAAGGAAAGAAAGCTTTGGAGTTTTCTAATGAGACGGTTTCACTGAGGAATTATCAGCAATGAGGCAATTATAAGAACAGTAAGCTGTACGCACATAATTTCTACTAGAAATGGCGGCGCAGGCCATGAAGTTCTGAGAGAGACCTTGACCGGGGGACTTGCCACAGCATACCTGCTGAGGCAAAGAACAAAGGGCAAGAGCAAGAGCATATTTCCGAGATACTCAAGCAGGCATTCGATAACAGGTGCAAAAAAACCGATGAGCCACGAAGCAGACACGTCTGCACAGAGATTCAGAAAGCCAATCAAGCGCCCGATTTAGAGCCACGTGCCAAAGGCGCTTAAATAAAGTGATAATCGGTTCCGCAAAAATTTGCTGAGTAAACTCTTGGTCTGAAAACTTGGTTACTAACAATCATGGAATTTGTTCCTGCGCCTGCAGTCCATCGTGTCCTCTGCGCTGATTGTGGTATGTGCTGCTCCAAGCTGGCCCTTCCGATCGATTCTTGATTTTTTTATTAGGTACTCCGATTGTACCCAACTCTGCCAATTTATGCGTCGCTTGCTTGCGAAATACGTATGTTATCCCGACTTGGATTGAGTCCAGAAGGAATGCTGATCAATCCGTAGGGTCGACATCACAGAGGGGATCCCCAAGCAAGGTTCGATATATCACTCCAGATATTTTTACATCATTCAATCCTGATTGTTGTTTCTTAGCTTCCGTCTCATTCTGCAGGAACTGCGAACGATTTCTTGCGCCTCCGCAAGCTTGGGTTCTCGCAAGACCTGAATCATCTGAGCTTCTTGCATTGTGTCTGAAGAAGCTGAAAGGATTACCCAAAGTACGGTTAACGGAGGCGCATTTCATATGGACAGAGCCACATTCGAAACGATTGCGGGTATCGCTGACGATCCAGAAAGAGGTACGTGTTCTTGCCTATCTTTCCTCTTGCATCTCACTCATCGACCATCACCATCAGGTGCTTACCAACACAATCCTAGAACAAACCTTTGAAATAGAATACTTGGTGCAACACGGCCAGTGCCCCGATTGCGCAAAACTTGCAGCTAAAAATACTTGGAAAGCGCTGGTTCAAGTTCGACAAAAGGTTCCACATAAACGAACATTTCTATTCCTCGAACAGCTAATTCTGAAGCACGGTGCACAAAAAGACACGATCTCGGTGAAGGAAGTTAAGGATGGGCTGGACTTCTTTTACAGTCAACGGAGTCATGCGATCAAAATGGTAGAATTCCTAACGGGTGTTGTCCCAGTCCGGTATGACCACTCGTCCGCTACTTTATTCACAAAAACTAAATCCGCTCTAGATCCAAGGCCTCGGAGCAACTCCTTTCATCGGATACACACAGCAATACCGCCAACTTCAAATATACCTATTCTGTCGAGATCATGCCCATATGCAAAGATGATTTGGTCTGCATACCTCCAAAACAAGCACGGCAGCTTGGAAATATCAGTCCCCTTACCGTCTGTACCCGAGTCGGCAGTTCTATCCAACTACTCGATCCTGCAACTCTACAGACATGCGAAATCACATCTGCTATCTATTGGCGGAACGAATTCAACTCGCTAGCCACCGTGACAGATCTCGTCGAATTCACTGTTCTCGATGTCGAAGCGGATGGTCGATCGCGGGGTAAATTCGTTTTGGCAGATGCCCAAGTCGCTTTGGCAGGGGCTTTCCGATCCGGTGCGGGCCAGGACGAAGACTCCATGGACTACGAGAGCGCTGGTTATACGAATCAAATATATCACACACGAACACATCTCGGTGGAATTCTTCAACCAGGGGACACTGCTCTAGGCTACTTCCTAACGAACTCCAACTACAATTCGGACGATTTTGCTTCGCTGCCTGCAGAGCGGATACCTGACATTATGCTCGTTAAGAAAACATATCCGAACCGGCGGAAGAAGAACAAATCAAGAGGCTGGAAGCTCAGGAGTATCGGGAAAGAGGCTGGCGAAGAGGGTGAGACGGGCAGTGGCCGTGGTGTCGTCGGACGGCTAGGTGGTCGCGATCAAAAGAAGGTTGAAGAGGACTACGAACATTTCCTTCGTGATCTTGAGGAAGATCCAGAGATGAGAAGTGCCGTTAATCTCTACAAATCGACAGATGTGAACATGAAAACGGAGACAAAGAGGGGACCTAAGAAACCCCAATTTGCGATGGATGTCGATGAAACTCCTCGACAGATTGAAGAAGAGGAAGAGGAAGAGGCGGATTTCCCTGAGATACAGCTGGATGAGTTGCTGGAGGGCTTCGATGAGATGACACTAGGGGAAGGGCGAGAGGAAGTAGTAGAGGCAACATAGCCTGCTTGTTTGTCCGTAGAATCTACCGTGATAATACTATGAGTTATTCTGCTCGTCGCTGACTGTTTTTAGGCAGCCATTTTCAATCGCATGGTAACAATAACAAAAAGTTCACAGTTTTTGATCACCGAAGTGCCTTAGAATGACTATAATCCAGTAAGTTCCTTCTTGGACACTTATCACCCGCTGTTGGGCCGCTCTTTTAATATCCCCCTCTGTCAGACTAAGGTATTCACCTCACACGACGGCCGGGCCGAGCCTAAGTTCGTGTAATCATATTGCAACCTAAGTTGCAGCGGCAGTTCAGCTTTGTGATCCTTATGAACAGGATCCCAACCCATATAGACAGATCAATGTACATTTATGGTATGGGTAGGATCCTGGATCACTGAACTCTACATCTGCTTTCGCAGCTGCCCGTCACCGCTTATAACCTACATAGTCCCTATTTGGTACAGTATATCACGCTTTGACTTGTGAACAATTAACGCGTAAGCGCTTGAGCGCTAATTAACCGGTGAGACTCGACTGAGACTGAGACTATTTACTGCCATGCCGCGTTCATTCCTTGTGAATTCACCCATCCAACTCAAAATAGATTTCCAATGCTCGCAGATCCGCAATTTTACCCGAGAAAAACTCGCGTCGAAGGTGCCATGAATCGTAACCTATTGAAACTAGTGATCAGCTCTGGATCGACAAAGTTTGGGTACAGATCTAAATATCAGAAACTCCCTCTTCTTCTTATCCATGATTCGCTCTACCGGAACTCACGCTGTCGTTCTCAATTGCACTTCTCGATACGTCTAGGACTGAGGTGATAGACTCACTATCTACATGTCTTGCAACGTCCAATGTACACTGTCCTTCTTAGCTCAGTTGGTAGAGCGCGTCACTAGTATGGATATTATCCACTATGACGAGGTCAGTCGTTCAAGTCGGCTAGAAGGAACTATCAAGATCATTTTTTACAAGTAATAAACTACTCTTTCCAGTCCAAAGACGTGATCATTGTTCATGTTGTAACATCGCGAAGACAAGAGCAAACCGGAGCGGGTGGGTTCGCAACAGATCGACGTTGATGAAAACATTTTAACGTTTTAATGGAAGTTCATGGCTAAGCTACAACTTTCGATTCGGTATGTGAATGAAAAATAAACTTATCAGCCCTCGCCGCGTAGCGGATATACCGTTGATACATAGTACAGACAGATCTATGTATTAATGCAGACCCAAGCATAATGATGATTTTTTCCCACCTAGTTGGTTCTAGTTGGTTGTAGCATTCGTATAGGCAGTCGGGGCAAACCCTACTCTAGAGTTGGTGTTATCGAAAACCGAGAAATATCTCTCCAGGAACACGTAACCATTGATGAAATTGAGGTCCTCAACTGGATCTGTAATAAAAACAAAGGTACAATTTATCAGACACTCATCATTTCAACGAGGAAAAAAAATTGGAAGCGTAAATACCAGTAGCAACTGCAGCAAGATAAATTTTGCCCCCCTCTCCTCCAATATTTGCGTTCAACGTCCTGGGCCAAATTTGGGCATTTGCCGGCAGTGGAAAATCAGTCTTTCAATCGAAATATCAGTCCAAGATCGAGTCAGTCTTCACAAGCAACAAAACTTACACCGCCAATAGTGAAAACCAAGTCATCGAGTGCATCATATTGCTCCTCGGTGATTTCGTAGAGTCCTGTGGCCTCATCAAATATTCCACCAGTAGAGTTAATATATGCATTGAAGGCGTCGGTAGGCATGTAATTCAAAGTCGTTCCTGTGTCAACAACGCCGACTGCGCTCGCCATGATCTCGATACCACTGTATGAGATGGACTGTGTGATTCCCCAGTAATCCGTCTCCTTCGGTCTAACCAAGATACAGTCAGGGTTTAAGTCTGAGTGTTCACCTTTTTAGCACGACTCACGTATAAGTTATTTGGCCAGTGTACTTAGAGCTGCCTTCCACGTCTGCAAAAAAAATACCCAAGTTGGGTGTCATTATCAACAAAAACGGAAGCACCTTAGTACTAAGAAGACCTACCACCAAATATCAATTCTCCCTCTGGCTCGTCCTCGGCACCGGTGGTAGGGACGAAGGCAATGCCAACAACTTCAGTGGAGATGACACCTTCACTGAACAGGTTGTCGCTCACTGTCGGCACTGTGGTCACTGGGGCCTAAATAAAACACGACAGGCGCAATTTATGATCAACAGTGTGGCTATGAGTTCAAAGGAACATACCAGGTCACCGAGGATGGTACCATCGGTTAAGGCGACAGGGCCAATACTGAGAAGCATGAATTATGAACTTGTCAGTGAAAATAGTGTAGTACGTGAATTCAGAGGACGAATTACCCCAAAATCCCATCCATAGATGTAAATCCTAGATGGATAGTTAACGACGAACGGCAGGCTAGACATGAAGAAGAACCTTGTTGGAAATCAGCAACTCCAATTGACTGATTTTTAATGATCAGATCGTTTGAGAGCGCTACTGTATCATAGTATTCGTACCCTAAATTAGAAAATCATAATACAGGGTAAAATTAGATCAGAACTTGCATAAGAATGATAGACGGGGTACCAAAGAAATATCCGGAGCCATAGTCGACGATGACAATGTCGTCTGTCCACACGCTACTGGATGAGGGGACATACGCATAGCTAGAGTTGGCGCCGATCTAACGAAATTGGACGTCAAATTCTTCAACGTGAAAGAAATTTTGAAAGACTTACCCAAGTGTTTGAACTTCCGGTATCAACAAGCAAATGGACTGAGGGATCATCGGCATGTGCATGCAAGAGGTAGGGGGACTACTTACAGGTCTGATTATCAGTGCCCACAGTGATCTCTGCGATGTATGTGATGATCTCGTTCACGACAGGCACTTCCTGTCTTTTCGTGGAGGAAACACGCTTTGACGCAGCACGATCACGGAAGGACTGAGCTCGGGAGCGGCCTGTATTGACAAGATTATGCCCGCTCGTTACATTGACGAATTTTCGAATGGGAACAGATAGGCCAGGTGTTTGGGTTGGAGCGAGAGGAGACGCGGTAACACCGAAAAGAAGCGAGCAAACGATGATGAATGGGTAAATCATGATAATTGCTGTTCAGCAGGGACCTAAGGAAAAGGATGGGCGAAAACTCCGTGCTTCTATCGCCGCCATAGTACTCAACCCCAATCTTTTATACCTGTTCCAGGACAGGCCTTCGATGGGGTCTTTGCTGGACAAATGATGTTCTTACAGCAGAGGGGGTTATCTGATAAGAGCAATGATTATAATTTCCATTCATTTGCAGCATAAATTCCGGTACGAACGCCCAAGTCTTGCGTGTTCACTAGTCATCGGATTGAACGAAAATAGACCAACTGGCACAAAGCTATCTGCGATTGTTGGAAGATAAGGACAGGAGTTGTACTGTCTTGGCCTCGGGAGGGCCGAGTCTCAATTCCTAGTTCGGCGTAGTGGTAGAAAGTGGTACTGGTTGAAGGAACTAGAAGGAAGATGTTCGGCATTATTGGGTTATGTCCGCTTCCGAAAGTCATGAGGGGAATCTAGAATTATCATGACATTGTCGGTAGAGTCCGAATGTGTTCGAAACGTATGCATTTTGCCTGTTGTTCGTTCCTTACTGGCAAGCACCATATGCATACTATGTAGTGGCCAAGGCCGAAAAATCCGACGACGACGGAAGAGAATGGACTGAGTATCTTCTTCGTAGCTAGGCTGCTTGTTGGGTCTACCACTGATACCGTCAAAAAGGGCAATCTTCCTTGTCAGCCAGTAGATAAACAGCATATGTAATTAATTGCGAAATATATTCTGCTTCCTTGTAGGCAGATGCTACTGATTAGACGTTGATCACACGCGCTGAACACCCGCCACACACCCCAACAGCAGTGCATCAACCTTACCCCCGGTCTCCTTCTCAATCCATGCATCTAGAGTGGAAAACAGCTTCAACGCCAGACCCGGTTCCTTCACACTCTTCCCTTCAAGGATACCTTTCTTACCAGGCCACATCCCCTCCTCTTCAAGCCCAATGAAGTTGACCAGAATCTCTCCGGCTCCAACGTGTGAGTCGGAGTTGGTTGCTTTAGAATTAGAAGTGGGTGGCGAAGGGATTTTGATGACAAGATCGATAGACCACGTATCGGATCCATAATACGAAGCCTCCTTGACATGGTGCCGTGTGTATTCATTCGGTGGTTCATCATCCAAGTTCCACTCGAGTACATGCGCGTCAAATGCGATAACTTTACAGATAATAAGGCGTAAAATCAGGCAAATGCATGGTAGGAAAACAAAAGTAGCTCACCAGTCCATATCAATCCCGGATGCCATATAACCAGCTTCAAGCTCCTTGTACCCGCCTCGACGTCAACGACGTCGTCGAGCGCGGAAATTGTGAATCCAGATCCACGGTTTTGGCCTGACTTTAAAGACCACGGAGAAACATAGCTAACATCGACGGACAGCGGGATTTTGTACGGTGTTAGAAACTAGAAACACAAAGATAATTTAGAGAAAAGACAAGAAGAATTGAACGACAGAATAATTACCAATGAAAACGGGAACATAGGATCCCAGTCTGAATTGTACCAATCCATACGAATAGGTTCCGGAACTGGTATTCCTGCCACCACGGTCGAAGCATTATCAGATATCGAAGGTTCAGGTATGGCAGGAGCACTGAATTCCTTCGCAACCTCATACACCAGATGTTCGAAATTAGGCGCGCCATCTGAAGTTGATAGGTGAAGGTGATGTTCTCCAGTGGTTATCTGGAAATAATTCAAGATAATGTACAACAGAGGAGGGATCTACTGACATTCTCAGTCCTCATCACATACACCCGCTTTTGATGCATAGAATCAAAAGGTTCTCTAACACTGAACACTGCAATTGGAATAGCTGTCACCAAAACCATGGCCAGAATCATTCTATTCAACACCCTAGTGTTCGAATTTTGGAACCTCCAAACAAAAGGGACGAAAAGCGGACATCCAAGCGCCCCAACAATGGATACGATAGTAGCAATTAGGTTATCTGCTGGTGCATCGGCGCCAATACGGCCTGTGAGTGGTACGAAAACCTCGAGCGTGAGGTAGGCGCTGGAGGTGCCGATGAAAAGGGGTATGAAGGAGGATATTGCGTATGTCACAAGCGACACTCGCTCGGTACGAACACTAACAAGACCCAAAAGCGCAGTAACTGCCAATCCGACCCAAATACTCGTAGCGTTAAGAAAAAAGAGAGCAGCAGACCCAATACCAAGTAATTGGATGAGGACTGCGAGGAAGGATTGAATGAGGAGAGTGGCGTGGTATGCTTGCAATTCCGTTACTGCGGTGAAAGGGTATTGAGAAATGAGGGCGCCTAAAGGTAGAATAGGTTAAAGCTACTGCTTCGGGGTAGGTACAAAAGCGATCGTACCCAATATTGCCGCGGGGCCATAAAGGACCATCGCCGAATATTCACTTCTAAACCAACTCAGAGGTTTGCCAAGTATGAATCTCATCACAAGAGCAATGGCGTTGGTACCTAGTAGGGAACCAACAAACGCAAAAAGGACCGCAAGAATGGGTTTGCCTAGGGTAGTAAGGGAGCCTAACCGGGACGGTGACCTTGCCGTTGCAGTAACCAAAATTATCGCGTCCACTAGCAATATCGCATAGATTATTCTTGCCGTCGAAAAGCTATACATCCAAAACTTCCCAAACAAAGCAAAGTACACCGTAGATGGTTTAGTAAAGCCTCCAGTCAAACTTGAAATTGAGGGAGAATTGATCGGAGGCGATGATAGGTGGAGCAGGAGGGCAAGTGTATTTTCGGCAAAATTCTAGCAGGAGATACAATCAAGGGGGGGAGATTGAGAATTAGCCAACTGACCTGAGCTACACCAGGCTGAATATTTTCCACTACATCCTTGCGCATATGATACAGATAACTGTTTCCAACTATCGCCATCTGCAATCGCAAGTCCATAAAACCTCTCGAATAAACAAACTGAGCTCACATCCAGCCCAGTGACACCGAGATACTGCTGGAACTGTCGAAAATCCGTATCTGAGAGGATGATACCTGAGCTGAATACATCATTGGCAACGACTGTGCCGAAAGGCCTTGGAACGTGCGAGTAAGCCTCGATCATTTCTTTTGACGTGGCTTGGAAAAGAAGATCGCGTCCCGTCGTTCCAGCAGCTAGATAAAGATGATGAGATTTGCGAGAGATGGAGCGGGAGGACGGCACACCTTCTAAGTTGATTACCGCGCGCACTCTGTGCAGAAATCAAAGAACGGAACGAAATGAATGGAATTATACGCGTACGTATGTGCAACCTCATGTTGTGTTGAAAATAAATGACTTCCGTCTTGTAACGACTCTTCTGCGTTATTGAATACTGGCAAGAGTAGTCAGCTTCTTCGACTCGATATCCAAGCTAGTCCCCTACTCACAGAAGATTACTGCATGCCTCGGCTCCCAGTCCTTGCTTTCTATCAAGACTCTAATTGCCTCCAGCATGATTCCAACACAAATTGCGTCGTCAGCCGCTCCAGGTGTAGGCAACGTTGAGTCCAAATGGGCATTTACAAGCACGGAATGCTCCTTGCTTGCCTCTGTCCCATTTGACAGCCGAACGATAATATTTCCCAAGTTGACATAAGTTTTGTACAACCTTGCACCCATCATATCGAAACGATGCGACCCAGAGCCTTTCTGATGCCAAATTTCACATTCAAGATGTCGACGCGAGCTCCTTTTGACCATGTCGTCGCAGTCATTCTTTATTTTTGTTACTTGGTCCCATAACCAGTCCTCTCCAAGAGCATGTTCGCGAGTTCCAGGAGTTCGAAAGCCAATGTCTTCTGACAGAATTCGGGAGACTTCTAAGATGCGGGATTCAGATATTTGAGGGGAGTTGGTTACAGGATCATATCTGGAGGCAGTGGGTCAGCGAACATAGATGCAGAAACCCGAAAATACTGACTGTTCATGTAAAGGCTCCGGTAAGTCTAAAGTTCAAATTTCATGACAATATATCTAGTAGTGTGCCTTTTGAATTTCTACTCACAAGTATGCTCTTTATACGAGTACAGCGGTGCACCAATAAGTATTGGAGATAAAAGTATTAGCGAGGAAAAAAAGCCGAATCTCTGTCGACTCGCGTTCGACGTCATTGAGCCGAGAGCCTGACCAGAATTAGCGCCCGTTTATTGGCGAGGTGGCTTTAGCGCGCCAATCATGTTCTCCCAAATTCAATTTCCCGCACACTCCCAAATGTAGCAAGTGTTATTTGAGTGTTATAGCTACAGTATTTATCTGTGGGCCTGTGGCAGAGCTTTCTACGGTTTTCTATCGTCATTTGTTCTTCAAAACATCAGCGTACGTTGGTTTTTCAGTATCGCTCGGCTCGTAAATCTCTTCCCACTCTTCCCATTGCTCTTCTAGACAAACCTCCTCATCATCCAAAAATATGACCTGGCGCACACCTTTCACAACCTCATACTCTTTTGCGATTCCTAAGTTGCAGCAATGTACAATTTTCATTTTAGCATCTGGACTCACGTATAGAAGAGAACTGCAAATAATCACCTTTGGACTTTGCCGGTCTGGCAATATCGAGAAGGGATATGGTGTGCATCCTTTCGCTTGTCGGGTTGCTGCGTCTGTCGTCGTTCATACAACATTCCTCTTCGTTCATGTCGTAGGCCTCGGGCCCGCCGCAGAATGACTCGAACCCATCAACACGCTCTGGACAGAGAAATGAATCTGATTTCCACTGCATGCCATCCATCCGACCAGGATTTCTGCGTGTCGTCCCGGACACCCTTGGTACTGGTAAGCACGAAAGGCTGATTTTGGCAGCATCGCTGCGGGACATGCCAGCTTCTATACAGGTCCTTTTCAACTAATACCAGGTAGTCATCCGAATCATAAATCCTGATCATCCATGTAGACAAGAAACTTGGAGCCCACCTTCTTTGCGACCCGATGATTAAATTTAATCTGTGACCTGGTCATTGTGTTTTGCTATCAGTTATTATGGAAAAGTGGGCGGCTGTCTTGTTAATCTCGGTTTATAACTTCGCAATTATGACTCGGTAGAGTCGAAATGAGTAGGGTTTGAGTCAATGGTTGACAATTGGTCAGAAACATTCGCGTTGCACGATATGTTGCAACTCATGATTGAATATTGAATCTTCGCTAGTCACAACTATACGTTGCCGGTGCCGCGTCGCAGTACTTACCCGGACAACTTCATTTAACATCCTGAAGGCCTGAAGAGTCAAATTTCTGATTCACGAGTCACGGTACATAGTCGCAAGCTTGGCAAGAATGGGGATCCCAGAAATGAAGAGCTAAAATTGAGACGATCTATAGTATATACACAAGGAAGTAGGGATAGTCAAGGTAGAAACGTGGTAAGCGATACACCCGCGATACATACGAAGTTCGAAGAGCAGGTTAGACGATACAAGATTATGCAAACGTAATATATACAGAAGCTGGGAGGGTATTTTCCTTTTGTTTTATGGGTTGTCCGTGTTATCATGTTATGAATCCGTTACAACAAGAGCTTTAGGTCGCGCATCCTCTGGGGGTTTCTTTTATGCTGTCCTCTACGAGACTCGGTCGGATACGTGCATGGTAAATTCCGCCTAGAACACTGGCTGAGAAGGAGGGGACACGAGTCAGAAAAAATCTTTGGCGACACAGTGGTAGATGACAACCTCACTTACTTGCAACTCATGGTTGGACTTCCTGGGTCGGGTTTACTGCAAGCTATCTTGCGTTCGCGGCAGAAATGGCACGCCAGAGTCTGCTTCTTTGGCGTTTCCCTACGTGGTGGTGGTGGATTCAGCGCCGGGTTAGCCATTAATCGGGTGTTACGCTGGTAGAAAGAATTCATAGACCGGCGATCCTGGAGACGAGGATATCCGACGCTAATATCCTGTGTGCCAGAAGCATGGCCCATTCCACCGCTGTCGCCGACGAATGACTGGGCTCCCCACTGAGGTTGAGCGCCAATGACATCGTTGGATGTGAGCGAGGAGGGAGCGTATGCATCAGGGAGAAAAAAACCCGAGGCGATTGGAGGTTCGGAATAAATAGTGGAGGAGGGTGTAAAGTCGTTGGCATCAAGTCGTGGAGAGACTGGAGGAAGTCGCAGTTCATGATCCGGATATGGATACTCTCCCGACATAAGTTGTGAAGGGGATAAGTGATGCGGCATGCGTTCGAGATCTTGCGACGGGTCGATGAAGTGCTGAAGGACAATCAATCCCAAATCTTGTCGATGAAAGAGTGACTCACTAAATCGTGGACAGCACTAGTGTGCATATATCCATATATGTTCGAATTATGGGGAGTCCCGGTATTCATAGTGACCTGAAAGAAGTCTGTAGCAGGCGCACGATAGGTAGCACCTATTGTTGAAGCGATAGGATGATTGTTTTCGGGGTTAGAAGATTGTCCTGAAGAGCAAATCACATTATGATTAAATATTGGATTTTCAGTGTCGTAATGGTCAGAGACGTAATCGTCTTGGGGACGCGATAAATATTCAGAGCGATTCGCAGTCATATGAGATATGACACCGAAGTTACCAACGGGGAACTAAAGAAAAGAGGTTATCAGCTCGAGGGGATCGCTAACTGAAGAGTACGCAGATGACAATCACCTCGCCAAGCAAGTGATTTATTGGAAGTTCTAAAAGCAGATCAGTAGAAGCGGAGAAGCCGACAAAAAAAAATCATACGGTGCTCTTCCGAGTTAGGCAGTCTTGACGCAGCGCCGCCATGTACGGTTTCAAGTCCAGCAGTATCGAGATTGGCATGGTCATGGTAAGTCCGTTTCCGCATTTCAGCATGCTCTAATGCTGGTGCGCCATTTGGGAGAACTTGATTAACAAGGCTTCCTGCTGGGGATGAAAATTCGGCAGGGGGAGTCATAGCCTAATTTTCAAATACAAGGAGAGAGAATAAAGCAAACTAACTGGTAAACACAGACGCAATATATGTATGTGCATCTGGAGGGGTCAGCAAGAGTTTCTGATCTCTACCGCGACCATCACGCAGAGGACCCACAGACTCACATTGAACAAGTCGTATATAAAACTCCTTGTGTAAGTAGATGGAAACGATCCTAGTAGATCCGCAAATCTTGACGGTACTACGGTCTAACATCATCAAAAGCACTCTGCAAATGGGGCCATTTCCTTCATTTTTGCTCCGTTGCGGATGCCGTATTCACTAGACGAAGCAACCAGAGATAATCCTCGGGTGTCTGCATGCTTGGGGCGGTACAGTTGTAGAAGAATGGAATATCGAAGGCCTCGTTAGTAGTCCGCGTGCCCCCACCAACATCAGGAATATGTTGATCTATCTGGCATCCTCGCAACCAGGACTCGTAGTGTAAAGTTGCCCTTGTGCCGGTTATAGTGTTCTTTGATACAAGCAACATTGCATTGCCCAAAAAGGAGGTACAGCCTGTCATTGTTAACACGCATTGATTTCTTTGGCTACCAGAATATGTATATTATTACTCCCCGCGGCGAGGTTTCCTAATATCGAAGATGCAGACAGACATACTATTATTTGCGTATACATAACTCGTACGATGGTACATAAAGTGCTGGTAGTTGTTGTGGTATATAGATTTCTGTATTCGGAACTCCTTTTCTCGGTCGAGGATTCGAGGAATGAGAAAGCCTAAGAATGTTAAAATTAGACTCTTGTGGGCTAACGCCTGTCATTGAGTCGATGATAGATCATATCGGGAAAGATGTTCTCAAATGTCATAATATGTTGAAGCGCGAGAAGCAAGTTCGAGCATGCACTCATTTGCGAAAGGGTTCTAGAGGGGTGTAGGACTTACTTAGTATGAACTCCACTACTCTAACGCTCACTACCTGATTCAATTGAGCTCGGACAATCGAACCACCGCTTCAAATGATCAACCTGATTCAAGGAGGCCGCAGTCACGATTTCCGAGTCAACCACGGGCCTTGACATTCTTTTCAGAACTTGGCAAAAAATATAATATTTGTAGTTTCTCGCTGAACGAAATCGCCAACTCGGTCCCAAAGCACTTTCCGGAATTCTGGGGTTGAATTGTACTGTTTGTAAGGAGAACTCGAGATAGGTAGGCTTCTTCCAGTTGATAGATCTCCTTTTGATATTGATAATATTAGACACGGATTCGGAGATGCATGTCTGAATTCTGGAGTATGGATATTTGAATGACGAGGTACGCGATGATTAGCGGGTGAAACAAGGGGTAAGTAAAAATGAGCAGTGCTAAAACGCGAACAACATGATGAAAACATAGCGACACAAAATGCAAAAAGACGAAAGAAAACATTGACAGAATTCAAAGGAACGACTAAAGAAAGGCGAAAGCGCTACAAAGACAGTTAGAATGACAGTTTACGTTACCTGAGTCCTTTATGCGCTTCTATGGCGGCAGCTTGGGCTTCAATGTATTTTTTGGTATCGTCCTTCCCAGCCCATTCACCCCCATCAGCTTCCCCATAACCATATATCATTCCCCAGACCACCAAATCCACCTCCCTCTTCACAAGGAGATTCCGTAATCGTTCACACATTTCCTCCTTAGTCTCACCTGTGAAAATTTTAACTGGGGCGGCCTCGGCTCCAACCGTAGCCAGCCGTTTGTTCGCGACTTCGGCGTGCGCCTCGAGATTGCGCTGCAGTGCCGCCGCAGAAAGCCTTGAACACAAGGCGGGCGATGTAATCAAAGGCGGCTGGGGGTACAGAAGGTAAATATTAGGAATGTCTAGAAGGAACGTCAGTTAGAGGTTAGCCTTTTGGCTCGATGCGACAGACCATCGATGTACGACTCGCACGCCTCCGGTATTTCTACGTCAACGATTCTGTCCTCCCTTTGAATGAGTTTGGCCATAAGACGTAACCCAGGCATTGCCACACTCGTGCCAACGAGTCCTAGAAAATTTAACTTGGAGTTGATACACAAATTGAGAGCCGGCACGGCGTCGTCCGTGACGCAAGGATTGTCAGACAAATCGAGGCGAGTAAGAGTGAGCTTCAGCGCGATAAGGTGAAATACTCTGTGCAACGATGGAACATTTAAGCAGAGACGGAAAACAAGGCAAGATGGTTACCCTTCGTCACCAACACCAGTGTTCTTCAATCCAAGTACCGCAAGCTTCGGCAGTCCAATCAGTTTAACGAGATCCATATCCAGAACTGGGGTATTATTAAAAGAAAGCTCAGAGAGAAAAAGGAAGCTGTGTGGTCGAGTGAAAACTAAAGTAAGATATGTATTAGCAAAGCAGCGCCGAAAAAAAGATCGTACTTACCATTCCAAACAGTTCTCCCACCAATATTCAAACCGCCTTCCTCTGAAAGAGATGGTCCCAGATCGAGACGGGTTACTTCGGACGTGCGAAAAACGTTGATGATACGCTCATTCAGGAGCCCTTGATCGATGTCAATTTCTGGCGATTTGCACACACACATGCACATACCTTCAGCGGCAAGGAGGTCGGCTGCAGCTTGATGAGGCCCGTCTTTCGCCTTTTGCGTCATCCTGTGCTCGTTATTTAGGTGGCTACCATTTCCTGCAGTTGCGATTTGCCCCAGCGTCTCCAACCTATTGCCTAGTTTAATACCTGGCATCATCCTGTCTAACCTCTGTATAAGGATCTGGAATCCCCTAGGCGTTTCCGTGCCAATGCGAGGACCGTAGACCGATTCTTAAAAGAGATTTATAGAATCAACATTTGAAAGTCGACATCAAACTAACCTTCCAACTCCTGCAAACGACGTTTCATTTGCGCAGCATCCATGTTATCTTCTTTGGTTTTGAAATCCACACGAGTACCTTTGTCTGGGGAATTGCCGACCCTGTAATTGAGTTTTCTCCCACGTTCAATGCCTTTCAGGTCTTCCGGTTCGAGGTCGAGCGAACGATCTGATGTTGAATTTTCATTGCATTCTGAGTCGGTGTTGGTGTTAGAATTTGGGGAAAAACTACGCGGAGAATGCACACCTATTTTCGTAAAATCAGATGTGAATGACCGGGTAGACGTGAACGGGTTCTTCAAGAGCTCTGGAAATGCTTCTTCGAGGCTGCGTTTCGTCTTTTTCAGCACGGGAGCCTCGATCTTGACTTGCTGAAAATGGGCGTTGAAATTAGATTGAGGTTTCCTGATGTTGTCTTCAACTTGCTCAGTCGGTTCGGATTTGATTTGGTAACCTAAGCCAGGCGGTAGCGGAGGTGTGATAGGAGATGGAGTTTCATTGAGGGAGGTTTCACTGCTAACGTCGGTGAAGGGAAGGGACAGGGTAGATGCTGATGATGAAGAAAGTAGGTCATCCGTCGGAATTTTGGGAAGCGAGATAGAGATGGAATGAAGATTTGGAGAATGACCGCGTCTAGAGACTGGGGTCACAAGCTTGGCTTCGAGAAGAGATTGAGCAGCGCGGTCCTTACGCGTTTTGCGAACCGGTCGTCGTGCAGGAGTACCATAGTCGTAGCAATCACTTGTAGAGACCTTTGACAGCGACAAGGACGATGTTTCTTTGAAGCCCTGGTTTTCCTTTTCTTTCTGCATTGCGATAGCGACTTGAGCTAGCATCTTGGAAAAGGAAGAGACGATGATCTTCTTCTCCTTCGTCCCCTTGAATATCATCGATTTTTCCTTCTTCCTGAGCTTTCTGATCCCTCCGCCGGTCGTAATCGATTTGAGATATTTTGAAGCAGATTCTGCAGGACAATACAACGGATTTTCCATGTCGATCATGGGTTGAGCTGGTATTTCGGAGGCGATAGAGGTCATTTCAAGAGGAAACGTTGGACGTCTAGAATGTCTGGTAGAGAGAGAAGAGAGAAAAGTTGAGGATGGAGCGGAAACTTTGAGGCGAAAATGGGTTGGTGATGGTGGTTTGTAGCGAAGAATAAGATTGTTTAAATTAGGAGCATATCGGGATATTCTTGCACCGATTGCTCCCATAAATAATTATTACCAAAGCGCATACAAGATCATGATACCGTGAAGAGTCATAAATGCATAAATGCAAAACAACAAGAGTGCTAAATAGATTCATAATATTAAGAATCTTGGGCAGCTACAGTGACAATGGTGTTGATAGATTGGAAGATGAAAGCAACAGAGGAGAGGGTCAAAACATTGAGGCAGAAGGTTACAAACGTCAAAAAGATAGCAAAAGTCAGGCTCTACAAGTGAAGCGATATAAACCTGAGTGGGTTATATGTAAATGTGATAGTACACCAAAAGCAGTGATAAGATATGAGAGGATGAGACAAAAGCAGAAAAAGCGACACCTCCATCAGTAAGTAGACATAAATGAGGATATATAGAAAGGTTGTACAGTGGGTAACGTGGCATGGTGTTAAGGAAGGTGTGAAGGTGTGAGTGTGAATAGGGAGGATGGGCACTGAAGTCTGAAATGGGTTGCATAGGTTCTCATGCGGAAGCCTCGTCCTTTAATCCATCCGTTGTCGAATGTTTTGCATCGGACTCTGCTGGTAGTAACGTGGCCTCGTCGACAGTGTCCTGATCGACTCTAGTTCTTTGTTTCATCTCTGCAACTGGCGTCTCCGATGACAGTGACACTTGTTTAGAAGCATCTTCAGCATTTTCGTCCACAGTGTGTGCTGGAGGCGTGGAGGCAGTCGACGAAGTATCGTCAAGCTCTCCAGAAACCTCTTCAGGCAGAGGCACTGTTTCTGGAGCAACAACGGTCTCATCGTTAGAATCGTCGCTGGTCGTAGCCACTTCCGCCTCATCACTGTGTTCCGCTGTCTGTTTGTCCTCGAGGTCAACTTCCTTCACACCTTCCGTGACCTCCTTGACGCCTTCCAAGTCGACCTGAGATGTGTTTCCTGTCTCCTCCTCGACAGATGTAGCGACTGTTGGTGATTCTAGGGAGGTCTGCGGCGTGTCACCCCTATGCTTCTTCGACCGAGATTGTTCCTCCTTATCTTCAGCAAGATCCCGCTCAGTTGAGCTCAGCCGTCGCTTACGGCCTACTTTCGGTGCATTCGACGTGGCTGTTGTTCAGATCCAATGTAAGAGCATCACAGATACGCAAAGAAAATTTTGATAGTCCAGAATAGATCAGTGGAAAGGAAACGAAGAGACAGCAAATCCGAGTCAGCAAATCATCAGAGATTCTAGAAGTGGTTCACGCACCATCATCATCCCAAGGCCTATCTGGACGCGGTAGAACGGAGTTCGATATACGTCTGAATAGCCCAAACATGATTGACGCGTTAACCTTTTACACTGGGAGCGAGTCTACCACAAAGAAGGATGTGGGGTTCGAAGAGTTTAAAATTCGCGCCGTTGAGATCCGTTTGGTAATTCAAAACGTGACTGACACACGTGCCTCTCATCTCGGGACGGATCAATGCCATTCTGGGCAGCCGCCAACCGGCTTCGCTAATGTTCATTGTACAATGTCAATTGAATCAGAAACTGAGATGCACTTCGGACACATATACCAGGCATATACTATGTACTTCACAACCAGAGGTTACTACTTCATTTGCTCAATTTTCACTGGAAATCCGAGAGAGCCAAATGTACAGAATCGTTCCTCTGCATGGATAGGTTAATCGCCGTCCCATTATATCTCACCCTCGCAAACGTGCCCAGAGTGCTAGTAAGGGTGGCCCAAGAAAGAAATCCTGCGGACCAGGCGATATCGAGCGTGAATCCACCTCTGGCCCGGAACCCAGACACTGATCCATGTGTCCAAGATTGAGGTATTGCTGGTAAAAGATGTATCTCCCCATTGTGACTTTGCAGAATCATCTCTGCCACAGCGTTGGTTCCACCTGGAGCGTAACCAATTTAACAATCAGAATACTGGGAAAGTAAAAGCCAAGGAAACGAACCGAAGTTTCCGTCAATCTGGAAAACACTGTTAATAGACCACAGGTTATCGTACGAATAACGAGAAATCAGACGCGTCATGTAGTAATACGCTGTTTCCCCTTGTAGAAGTCTCGCGAATAAGTTTGCCCTCCAAGCAGTAGGCCATCCCGAGCTTGAGTCGCCTCGAAGAAGAAGCGATACATTGGCAGCATGGGCAAGGGTCTCATTGAACCTGGGGTCAATCTGCGCTCCCGGAAAGAGCCCATATAACTGACTGATGTGGGTAAAAGGACTATTCAGAAGCCATTGAATGATACTTCGCACAATATGCATAAAGCACAAACCCATTTGAATCATAATCTCGCGCCCATTCCTGGATTTGACCCAGGGAACCAATTCGGAAAGGTATCAGTCGATCTTTCAATGTGGACAAATTTGCTGCGAATTCGCTGTCGACTCCGAGGATGGTTGCAAACTCGACTGTGTGATTAAATAGATCTCGCAGAAGGCTGCAAAAAAAAGGTTATCTATGGGAGGAACATTCAACAAGCTAATCAGCAACACCCACGAATTATCGATCGTAGAACCTATCCATTTTAGGAGTTGGAAATGAGTTAAATGCCGAGTAACTGTAAGAAAAACTGACTGACCATAAGTCAACGAGACGTTCGTATCGTTATAATTCCCAATCCCATGTTCAGGACTCATACTTGGATTAGGCACAATGTATCCGTTAGGCTCCACATCCAGCGGTGCTTCAACCAAGAAATCCATGTAAAATTCCGACAAACCTTTCATCAAAGGATATGCCGTATTCTTCAAAAAGGACGACTGAGGATCCGGATTGAATGCATAGTGCTCGTACATGTGCTGCAAAAGCCAAGCGGGCGCGTAGGGCCAAAAGCCGTAGAAGGCAGCATCGATAGGGGCAGAATCGCGCCAAATGCCAGTATTATGATGACATACCCAACCTCGGCTGATATTGTACGTTTCCAACGCGTCAATTTTTCCCCGTTCAGCGACTTCGGAAATCATAGACCATAGTGGATCAAGAGTTTCTGCTACATTGAGAGGTTCGGCGAACCAGCTGTTCATCTATGCAAGCGGAATTTAGCATCTTTAAAACGGATAAGGAGACCTAAGCATTACAAACCTGCTGGTTGATGTTGACGGTGTGCTTGCTACGAAAATAGCTGGGCTCCTGACTTATCTTCAACAAAAAACAATCATACCTTCCCCAATCTGGACTGAGAACCTGGTTCCATATTCCTTGCAAATTCGAAGGTTCTGTGTTTCGAGACGACGCGATGCCAAGATATCTTCCATATTGCGCGTACAAAGCGAAGATATCCTGATCCGCATCTGGGCCATCTTCTAGGTTCTTGCGAATATTGGTTGGTAAAAATGTGTTGGAAGAAGGTTCTCCTAAAGATATGCGTATTGAAAATTTATCATGGAAGGGAAGGAATGTAAGAAAAAGACAAAATAATGAGATGACATTGTCACGTAAACATGACTCAAAAAAGCTTAATACCCAATGATATGTTCACTCTTCCAAATAACGCAGAGTGATCTTCGACGTGAGCTTTCAGCATGGCATCGAAAGTTTTCCCCTGAACATTCGCTAGGGTCTGAGTAACCTTCTCGTTGGGATCTGCAGACAAATCATCGTATCGAACATAATTCGTGTCGATGGCTATAACAATGAGCGCTTCGTCTGCATTCGATATAGACAATGCTGGTTTGACATCTGACGTTGCGTGGACCTCAGCCATGGTCCCAGAAACGGTGAACTCCGCTTTGACCATAAAATTGATGGAACCCGGGAGTCCATACATGGATGTTCCTTGACCAGTCATCGCCAAATTTCCTCCACTCGCAGAGAATGTCTGTAGAGCGAATTTCTAAGGTGAAACACGCCGCTTGTGACAAACCATATTTACCGGTATACTCATGGGCGTCTCAAAAGACGCATCGAAGGAGACAGACTGGGTTGCATTGGCCGACATAAGAATGACGATGACATTATCGGGGTGACTGGCAAATGCCGTTCGTGTATACTGGACTCCCTCGTAGACGTAGGTTGTAGTAGATACAGCAGTGGCCAAATCTAACGAGTGGTTATAACCACTGATTACTCCAGAATGCGACGTTGCGAGTGACATATTACCAGCCGCTAAGAGTCAGTATGTGTTATATTCAGTCTGAGAACCACGAAAAGACATAACACACTTTGGTAGACTTGTTGACTGATAGGCGTCGCCATGCATTCCGCATCTGCAGTTGCCTGCGCATTAAAGAGATCATCTTGCCTAAAGCCCCATTATTGGTAAACACACCAAGCTCAACGCACTCTCAGACTGAGTATATGTTACGCACCAAACGTACTGCCGAAATGCAGAAAGGTTTGTCGAACAATTCCTGTTATTCGGGTCGTTAAGTGATCCAGACCAGATACGATCCTGTGTTGATCATCAGTGAGCTATCTATCACACATTTTGGACACGTACCTCGTTCAGAATGATCACCTCTTCGGGAATCTGGCCTAATACCTGTGCGCCCAATCGACCGTTCCCCAGAGGAATCACTGTTCAGCAAAACACGCGGATTCATGAAAATTGATAGTATAAGGCACTGATTTCAAGTACCGTTTGTGCTATTGAACCACATAATGGTTCCCTACACTTTTACTCGGTCGAGGGTTCTTTGGAAGACAAGGGAACTCTTACAGCTTGAGCTTGTAGCGCAAGCGCCATCAGGAACAAGTTTGCTCTTGTGAACATGGGTAGGATTGGATCGAGGTTTAGCGTTGAACGTTGAGCTTCATATGATTCTTGCGTACTGAGTTTTTCCGATTCTAAGGCGTCCCGTACCGCGACTCCGCGACCACATTCATACCACCGGGTTTTGAGAGGGTACAACACTAAGAGCGAAGAAGGCGTACCATGCACATGACCTTCCGAAAACTCATGTGGGAGCACCATGTGGTCCAAACTCATGATTGAAAGCATAAGAACCAGGGTTTTCATTAGGCGAAGGTAAACAGATTTGTCTTCGTAGTTAGGACACGAACCCCGAGGATGAACCCGGTACTCCCCACTGATAATGAGCCAGCATAGTACATGGCAGGCCTATAAGCAACAATCCCCGCGCCGGATCCCCCATAGGCATCAAGTAGCCATCCAGCAACGGGCGCACCCTTGAGTCGAGTCAATGACGCTAACTTCCGATTCAGGCAGTAAGCACTTACCAAGAGATAGCCAGCGGCCCATCCGGTTAGGACCATAGAAAACACAGTCGTCACTCGTATTGGACCATACATATGAGCTACGACGCTTGGTATCGTGCTAAAGAAACCACCGTTGCCAAAGCCATTTAGGATAGCGAAAATGATTAACGGAGCCTAGAGATATTCAGTTCATTTCAGCTGAATAATCACCACTACTATCACTCTTACCAAAGAGCTTGAGACCGGCCAAATGGCCAACAAACTCAAAGCACTAAGAATCAAAGCGAGAGACAGACTCGTGATCGGACCACAAACATCACACAGAGCCCCAAAGCTCACCCGGCCCAAGGCAGATGAGACATTGAATACAGCTAGGAGAACGGACCCAACTGAAGCTGCTTCGCCGAGAGAGTTTGTGTACAAGGGAAGGAAGAACGGTGGAACCAGTAAAGGGAATGTCCCGATAGCAGATCCTAGCGCCAACATAACAAAGCGCGGATCCAGAAAAAGAGACCTGGAAGATGAAACGGAAAATTGAGACTATGCCTTCAAATTTGTTCATGACAGTAAACTGACCATTCAATTGTGGCCGTGGATCTCCTCAAACGATCTTTTAAGAAACAACATGCAGGAAAAGTAAGAGCTATTACGGAAGCTCCTATGATACGAAAAGTCCAGGCAACACCAACGCGACGAATAAGCGCACTCTGAGCAACGCTCAAAATGGCACCACCAACTGTAAATGATCAGGGTCGAAATCGTGTGGACAGAGTTATTTCACTAACTTCCTGCAGCTCCGTATACGGCGCCGTTAGCAAGGCCTCGTTTTTGTCTAAAATATTGCGAAGGAAGGGTGGAACATAACTTCAAAGGTAGTGAGTATATCGGCATGCGAGGTGATCCAAGGACACTACCATGAAGCTCATGCTAGTTCCGAGACCAACAATTATCCCATTCGTCACAAAAAGCCCGCCAACGTTCTTCGAGGATGCGGAACTGAGAATTTGACCTCCTCCCATGAGAAGGCATGATAAGAAACCGGCATTTCTGGCACCGATCCAGCGAATAAGACGACCCATAAATATAGCCCCGAAAGCAATGAACGAGACGCCTAGTGATCCGATGAAGGCGAGCGTTGAATTTGGGGCGATACTTTCAGCAGCCAACTGGGCTTGTATCACACCCCAGGAATAGAAACCTCCAACAGCGAAGAACCTAAAGGAGTCCTGTGATTAGAGGCAGATTTGGGGATTCAAAAATGTGCACACATTATCATGCTGCAAGAAGCCACTACAACCCATCCATAACCACCTTCAGGCATTTCATCGGTATGGTTCATGAGAACTTCATTGGATACTGGCGAAGGTGAATGAGGAGAATCATTGTTGTCATGTAATTCTGCAAGTTGAATGGTGTGGGACATGGCAAGTAATTTTTTGAAAAAAGTAGACCCGGCGACTACGAACCTCAACTCTGAGTCAGAATGGGGATTCCGCCGGACATCCGTTGAAGTGCTATATATCCGTAAGGACGATTTTCGTAATGAATGTTGAATTTCTGCTGAGGTGCTGAATTGATTCTAATCGACGAATGTTTGAGCATGCATCGTGTGTTTTCTGACCAACGTCGAAGCAGCTGACTCAATTCTGGATCTAAGTTCGCGTACTGTCACGACGCGTTGAGTGACAGTGTCACAGTGACGGTTTAATCTCGAACTGTCATGGTTTCTTCGTCTAAAGTTCCAGCTCAGAAAAGATATTCTCGTATATCGATAGCTCCGACTACCTCGAAAGCTCTCCCTCAATGTACACCTTATCTTATGCCGTTCCATATCGACTATACTGGGCCAGCACCGGTGTCGACTTACTTTCGCGTTGAGGACGCGAAGACACACGTTGGAAGCCCAGAATTCTCCAAGGACGCCTCTCGTACAGAAACTGCTGAGGCTTCTGCAGGAAGCTCTGGCTCCGGACTGGATGTGGCTCAGTCTCCACACGAACACAATGGCATTGATACTATCTCGTCCGTAGAACAAAGAATGAGATCTCCTGAGACCTCTACATCAAATCCCGTTCCGGATGGCCACCCCCGCTACATTTCTACATTCCGGGGCCGGACAGTACAAGGACTAGAAGTTGACCTTCCGGAAGGATATACAGGAATTCTTTTTCGTTCTGGCGATGAAGCGGGGGAGGCAAAGAACACTGGGAAGGGCAAAGGTGTCGCAAATGGAAAAGGGAAAGTGGCAGCAGTTCAACAAAATCAGAGAAGAACTACGCGTCGTTCAACAAGGTCACGAGTTGCCGACGACGACGAAGTAATGGATACTGATGCCGAAGATGAGGCGGAAGAAGCCTCTGAAAGTGCCTTAGATCTTTTTGCCTCTTCACAATTCAAGTCATTCTTGTTGTGGCATCCGGATATTCCTGTGGACACAGGGAAAGACGAGTATATGTCTTCGATCGGAGAATGGATAAAAATTGCAAGCGTGGTGCGTTTCTGCGCCATTGTGACTATCTAGCTTAGTACTCATTTATGCTGTTCAGCTTCATCAAGTGCCCAGTGTTATTACATAGCTTGAATCCTGAATATACCATTTCTCTGATACCATGTTTTCAATAATGTGTTCCCGTAACCATGAAGTTCGAAGTGCAAGTTCAGTCATTATCATAAGTTATATATACACAAGGGCTGTTCTACAAGAAGACATCGTAAATATACACAGACAGTGAAAGTCCCCAGTTTCGTGAGGTTATGGATACAAAGTTTAGGAACAAGATACAAGTAGAGTGTCCTCGGGTGTCCGCTATGTTGTCTATGTCAATATGTATGCAGGCGTGGCGAGCGTCCAGCAGGAGACGACAGAAACAGAAACGTCAGTCGATACGACGGCCGCCTTGGAGCAAAACCGCCGCCAACACGGTTGGGGACAAAAGACCATTCCGGATGGCAATTGGCGACATCTCTAGCCTGATGATTCCTTGTTCCTTGCATAGCCTCGCCAAACAGTCAGCAGAGGAGCTGTTCACTTTATACATCTGTAAAAGAATTCTAAGTCCATAACAAATTTTGAGATCAACTTTTACATACGCAGATCGTATTGTCGCGAGCGACCCAGGCATATTGCTCCCCACCAAAAGTCATGATCCTGAATCTAGGAAGCCCCGTCAGTCCCAGGGAATTATCGATACTAATGATAAAGAGCGTACCTTCTATCGCGAGAGAGCTGAAGAAAATCGGAAGCGTATTGTTTCTTCAAGGTTCCGCGAATCTCAACCTCCGCACCACGGCTATTCCATTCAATGAGGACGACGCTTTGTCCTCCGACAGTCCTAAAGTTAGTGTAGCCTGGTATCCATGAGTCGGTCGTGATGTAGTATTGCGGTTGGCCGTCTGCTTTCGTGAGAGTACAACTCAGGATGTTGGGGTTCATTGATGTGAAATATAGCATTTGGAAGTCGGATGTGGTGGAGTCAGGGGCAGGAAGCGCGCCATAGAGAGACGAGCGTGCGTCACCGCCGTAAGCCCATGCAGAGAAGAAAGGGTTGGTAGACATCCTTGAGTGAAGTGGTTCGAGTACTAGACAATAGGGTGAATAGATGGATGGTTGAATATTGGTCAAGTCGGGATTGCTCCGCCAGAATTTATAGAAAGAGGAATGAGCTTTGGGATCCGATAAAACACATTTGTTTACTGGTTGAGATTCTTGAAATTGAATACCATAATTGAAAAAAGGAGGAATACAGGCTTAAATTTCGTTGGGCTGATGTTGAACGCGTAGAGGTCGGGCACCTCGGAAAACGTAGAATACTGGAGAAGGGACTGCTCCCTATCTGGGAACAAGGGAAATCGAGTATGGATCGAGAATAAGCAAGGGTCATAGATCTGGGACAGTGCAATTTTAGTCGGCGCATTGTAAAGCGGTGTTGAGCGATGGCCACAATTAAGCGAGCAGGGCAGATGGTAAGGGATCCTCAGCACGAATTCCTCCAGCCGTGAAACGCGCCACATCGCGAAGGCGAAAATTTTTTAAGATATTCCGACTCCGTGTCAGCTTCCCCAAGGTCTTAGTAGTTGTAAGGAAGATAGAGCGGGGTCTCAGCAAACAAAACGCACAAAAGGATCGTGCTTCTTTGATATCGGGCCTTAGCAAACCGCAGTGATACTCCAACACTGGAAGAACATACATCGAGCTCGAGGTTGATGAGGATAACCGAGTGTTGATCAATTTCCAAATGAATCATGATGACAGCACGTGCAGCTCAATATATCAATACTCGTACTCTTTTCCTCGCAGAACCTCGGAGGATTTTCCCGGCCCATAACCATTCTATTAACTGAATTACACAGTCAGTAGTCATAGAATCAACAGTCTGTGTCATCTTCAACTTGGGAACAATACTTACAAGATGGGTGGTAGGAACAAAAGCTAACAAAAGGGCAACCAAGTTTTCAGTGTCGGAAGCCTCGGAATCCAGCTGAATCCAGGTTGTGAATCGTAGATGCCCGGAAGCCATTGTCCATAGACGAAGACCAGAGAAAGACTTATGAGAGTCATATCTGTGTATGATCAATGGTCGTGATGCTTTCTTGAGCTGTGTTTCGGCGGGGTTCAATTGGATGCAGTGTGCACTGCTGTATGCACGAGAAACACTACGTACAAGCACTATCAGATTTGTATAGAACAATCTGAAATAAATCATAGTAAGTTTTAGTAAACTGATGTAAAGTAGATAATCGCAACAGTGCTGTTGTGTCATTAATTATTGCTCTTAAGATCTTCGCTCCTCGAGTACCAGCCAAAGATTTTAATCTGCAACTTTCTCGTCAGGCTCCATAGTCCCATTCAGCTCAGAGATGTGTTTCCTTCGCATGAACCACTGGAAGAAAGGCAGAGTGATACAAGATATCGCGGTCCAGGCAATCAAGACCCCAAAATTGAGTCCAACTAGTAGCGCATAGGTTAATATCTGAAATAGATCAAGAACATTCGAGGGCGAATCACTGACGATTGTTTTTGGTGCCGAAGAGAATGGTTCGCACAGCGCAGGAGATGTTATAAAACGGGAAGGCGTAGCCGTATCGATATATACCAGGTAATACATCGATAGGTAAGAAGCACACAGACACATTGCCTGTGATGGAGAAATGCGTCAGCCCCGATAACCACGAAGAGAAAAGACAAAGGAATCAACGCACTGATGATGAGTAGGATCATAAAAAATGGTACACCTTTCATTGTCATTAAGGTGAGCATTGCTTCCAGGGCTAATCCAACGGAAAGCATGCCCGCCCAGTTCAGCATCCAAAATAGAACGAACCCTGCTGCGCCGAACCTTCGGTAGTATTCAGCAAGGGAATCTACAAGACCATCAAGGAGAAAACTTACTTGCGTGAAAAATCGACCTGGAACGCTCGACTGAGCAGTGAGTAAAATAGTGAGAGAAATAAATATGTAACAAAAGAGGACAATAAGCGAAGGCGGATGATAGAAGCTGTCGTCAGATGCGTTTCCAATCCAGACATCAACCGTGCGGAAAGACTGATATTCTGAGAAAGCAACCTGAGCAAGCAGAGTCAATCGTGTTGAAAAACGAAAACGTACGACAATGAAGAAAGATAAGATGAGAGTATAAATCAACCCGACATAGGTCATAGCAGTAGCGCTGCAATGGACTTATCAGTGTGAATTCCAATCCTTGGAGAGAATTCTTACACAGGGATATCGAAAGGTTTGAGATCGTTAACAACGAAGCTGATGGGCTGCGTGATAATCTGCGGCGCACGCGCAAGCAAATTCGTCAAATTGGAGGATGAACTTGAAGAAGCTAGGTTGGTGGCATAGCTTTGAGCGAATTTCTGGGATGCAGATAAGAGGACCGCTTGTACGGTGGGTAATAAGACGGCATTGCTAAAGATCATGTTGAACATATGTATAATGCAGAGATAGAAACCTACGTACTATCCATTTTCGCTACGGGCTTGGTTCCCGTACACAGTGATAGCAGACGATCCATTGTAAGAGGAATCGAAAGAAGCCACGGCAGATTGAAGATTTGAGGTAGCATTTGCGTTGACTACCCGTCGAAATCAGTGAGATATATAATTCTGTGATGAAAGATTTGTACATACCAACAACAGCAATCCATGTTTTTTGTTCCACTACGTCATTTCCGACCTCGCTGGGACCTGCGAAGTTTGACGACGGAACTTGGCTCCAAGTAATCTTTCCTGACGCAGAAGATGCTTCCAAAGCTTGAACAACCGCGTTTCCAATGGTAGATTGGTCGAAATCCTGGCTTGAACGGTTAACATGTGGTACCAATGAGCCACCAGGTGCTTACCACGATCCAACCCTGCAAGGGATGCTCCGGCGATTTCCATAGCGCACCCCAGTATATTGAGAATATTGCGAACATTGCGACCGTAAGAGCTACTGTCCCGCCGATAAGTGTCTTGAAGTAGATACTCCGTGCAACTTTTAGGTTGCTGTCCGTAAATGATGCAGAGAAAGGAGGGATACTGGGATGTGATTGCGAATGACTGGTCATATTGGATGTGGCTGCAAGTTTGGGAGCAGAGGGAGATTCGTTGTGTAGGGTGTCGTGGTCGCTCATCAGTGACTATGAGGAATTGGGGGAGAGGTATTCGGTCCAAAGACATTGACATTGTTTTATACTAGCCTGTCAAGCGCACCGTTTTGGTAAAAATCGCGCGATCACCTAAGCTTCTGCCAAAATTGATTCCGTTTTTCCAGTTCGTCAAGCATAATTACGATTGAGATCGAGGCGATGGCTAATCACCAGGCAGCCGCTTCGTTCCAATCTCGACGACTCTCGAGAAATTTAGGCCGACTCGGCAGTGCCCTGAAACAGCGGCAGCCCCCTGAAGAAAGCGCATTCTGCAACTGGCTTCAGGATAAATAACAAGCAAGTGACGATGTTAACGCTGTAATGTGGAAGAGCGGATGCACGGATCTAAATGAATAACCGCCTACCACACCTTTCCAACGGTGCCAATGTTGGAACTGGTTCTGGAGTCTGGATTTCTGAACCTGGGTATTTATTAATATTGTTCGTCGTTTCCTTGTGTGTTAAATGCCGAGATGACAAACTCAACGTCGCAGCACACTCGCAGTGCCTCCTGGTTATTGAGACACCCGCCAGGTCTGGGGCTGGAGCAGTATGGAAGAAAGAAAAAGGGGAGCATGATATACATTGGAACTTAGTGTAAATACTTACAGTCGAGTCATGACACAAAGTTACTAGGATATCCAATTTTCGCCAACCCTCTTACCAGACTCTACACAATCGCCTAAACTGACCCCTCTGACGCCAGCCCCAATTACCTCCAGTCTACCGGACCAAACACCCTTTGCCAGGGTGACCTTCAGTTCCTCCATCCGCTCTAAATGACCAGGTGTAGGCGTAGGGATACAATCAACATGGCGGTGGGTCCGTGTGTATATCGGGTCAGGCAGCACCTTTAGAAAATCATCAGGAGCCGTGAGATGAACGGAGAGCTGCTTCAAGACAGCATCCAAATCGGTATGCGAAGGGGTGATAGGATTAGGACCACCCATCATCACTGTCATTTTCGTGAAATTGCCTGCATCTGAATCCTGCGCTGAGAGAGCACACGAGTCAAAGACAGTTCCAAGGATGCCGGGGTTGTCGAGCGTGTACCCTGACGGTGGGCGAGGGATGAGATATCCGAATCCGGCAGGGTGTAAGCGAGGCTGTGTTTGTGGAAAGATGAGGTTGAGGACGACGACCGAGGATGAGGGATTCGCCGTAAGATGAGGAAGTGATGATGTTGGGGACAAGAGGTTATTGAGCACAGGAAGCGGCAAAGCGGATACGATGTGTGTGGGGTTGACCTTTTGTCCACTAGCCAGGTGGACCTATCCAAAAGCATCAAAATCACCGCCTTTTCGTTGAAAATAAAAGACTTACCTCCAATAAACCATTCTCCGCCACTCCAAGTGAACTTATGGGGGTATCACACAGTATTTCCACATTGGGTTGATTCTGTAGGCGGGTTGCTAGCGCGCCCGTAAGTGTGCCTATACCGTCTGTGAATGAGTACACTGAAACATTCTTCATAATGTCGGGTATATCGCCAACATCGTAATCTTTTCGGGGACTTGCAGTATCTGGCAAAAGGGCCCCTCGTACCACGCTGCCCCAACCTCGATCCTCCATAGCCCACAATGATGGAAAGGCAGCGCGCACACTCAGTTGTCGGGAATCAGCAGCATAGATACCGTGCACTAAAGCGCTGCCAAATGTGCGAGCAAAAATAGGACCAAAACGGCGGGTCATGAAACTGTCCACGGATTCATCAGTTATACCGCTGGGTCTATTTCTTCGTTTCACAGGCTCTTTCAAGACGTGCGGAAGTAACATTGTCCGCATGGGAGGAGAAAATACCGATGTCAAAGTGTTTGGTAGAGTGATAAGCCCTTGCGTTTCGGGGATTTGAAGGTATCGGTTCTTCGTTGCTGATGAGGTAACTGGCGTTGTTATTATTGATGTTTTGAGTCCAAGGAGATGTATCTGACCTCAGTAAATAGCCCATATATTCAGGACCTTTATCGTGCGCACCAGTTCCAGTACTGATTTCGCGTTCGGTCTTAGCGTTCGAGGACCAGATTCCAGTAGAATGTCAGCAGTATGACCGCTTCCGTCGCGAACTTGAACCCTCTCACTGGAGATCCATCCTCCAAGCCGATGCGTTTTTTCCACCAAGGTAATCAGTGCTTCAGGATAGCGACGCGAAAGGTGGAAAGCGGATGAAAGTCCAGAAAGACCACCACCCAATACAACGATATGGCGGTTCATTGAGGTGAAAGAACGTCACGCGTGATCTTCCAGGCGCCACGTGGCGCTGTTCTTGACACGCTCATTGACTTTGACTTCTTCATCCTTGCACAGTTTCCTGTATCATTTATGGCTCGCTCAAAGAAAGTCGAAAATGGACATACAGCCAGATCATTAAGTCCAGCAGCTCCGTCTTCACCTGACAGACCAACTGGCCCTCTGAGCATCATCATCGCTCCCGAAGACCGCGAAGTTATAAAAGTCAACAATGCGAATGTCACAGAACTAAAAAATGCCTGCGATGATGCAGTGAAACGTGTAAGTTTTATCTTCGAGCTCTTGGAATGTATTCTCAACTGCATTTCAGTACCTTTCCCGCCCAGAACTATTCAACCAAATTCATCTCCATACAGACGTCCGATTGGGTTTGGGATGGGCAAGTGTTTTCGTCGCTGGAGGCACAGCGTTCTACGGATATAAATTTGATTTTGAGAAATCAAAGCCGGTCGTATGGGTGGGGCTGATACTGTATGTTTGGATCAGGTCCCCGTTCAAACTGCAGACGTTGACTTTTTTCAGTTATTTCTTCTTGACACTCGTGCAATCTCTCTATGCATACTTCATCGAGGGTGAGATCGTTTACATGGGCAAGCGTAAGACGTTTTCTCGACGAGTACGTGCTTCAATTTTGCGTGATTTTGTCGCACGAGACCTCGATTTACGTTCCTTTTTGCAGATCGTTTCTGAGAGGATAACGCTGACATCACGAACGACCCCTGCCAAGGCTTCGACTCCACCCTCTTACAACCTCTCCATCTCATATGTACGCTCTGCCAGCAACGGAAAGTCTCTGCTTGCCAAGGGTAAAACTCAGAGAGTGGAAGGTTATAATGCCTTTTTTGACGAGGAGGGTACTATGGACCAAGAACGGTTCGAGAAGTGGGTCGGAGAACTTGTCGAGGAAGCAATGGAAGGAAAACAGTCATGATAAATTCCGTTTCTTCCTCTTTTGGGACTTCGTGTTATGGTGAGTTCTTCGTACATTTTCCGCTGACCCTTCTTGCTCATACTGTATCTCTCAGCTTGAACGATATGATACAGTGTATTCATCCGTTTGCTATATTGATTTTCTTGCAGACGCATTGTCCTGTTGTACGAACGATCCTTTATTTGCTGCACCATATATAACTATTTCCCAATCAACTTAGCCTATGTGAATGAACCTCATTAAATGCAATCGAAATTCGGAACATCATTGGATACCTGGGAGTCCTTGAATCGAGAAGATGTACGATATTTTAGATTTCGAGATGGTGTCAACTGCCGGCGCTTAAAAAGTGCAGACATTCGCAAGTACGCCAAGGCCAAATGGTCATTGTTGGGTTACAGCAGTCGGTCCATTACAATTCGTGGCACTCAACCATCAGTGAAGTACATATTCAAAGACCGAAGAAAGCTTTTAATTTCTGCTTCCTTGGCTTCTCAGCCTCTTCAAGAACGTGTCTCTTGTGTTCCAACCGCTTGATCCTATCGGCCATCCTCTGCAATGACTCTGCGTCTGCACCCTCCTTCTTCATTGTTTCCTGACGAAGCTTCAACAGACGAATTGCAGAAGTAATGTAGCCAATGAAGCTCCCAGACAGAGCGAGCTGGTTGTACTTTTCGCAAAGTTCGGAAAGCTGTTTCTCAAGATCGACGATCTCCTTCTCGAGGGCAATGATGTTCTTCTCCACGCCCTCCATCACTATGGCTATCCGGTCTGCCTCCGTTTTAGCCTCATCATAACGCCTTTTCGCATCCTCGTCGACTACCTTGCCTGACTTTATTCTCTTCACCCACTTGGAGCGATAATGTTGGTGGTCTTCGGCCAGGTGATGACAGATGGTACAGACACGTTTAAGACCAGTGCCGGTTGAGTTGTAAAATGCGCTGCAGTTGCTACCAAGAGTCGCACGATCGAGAGTAAACCCGACACCGCAGCCTTCGTGACAGTTGCTGTAACAGTTCCCGGCCACACAGAGCGTGTTATGCTCGGAACCAGTATTCTCGTGCTCGAAGAATGGAGTGTTAATAATCTCCTCGTACTTTTCGTTGATTTTCTTTCCCTATAAACGTCAAAGGGCAAGTTCTGGTGTCATAGTCAAAAACCAAAAGTTGCAAATTACGAACCTGCTCCTGGGCAGCTTTATCCGATTGAAGTTTTTTGAGTCCGTTGCGTGTTATTTCCGTCTGGTCCATGCGTGCGATAACATTGGATATGGCAGCTTCGATATCGGTCGACATGATGTAGAGATCATAGATGCTGTTCGTCGGCTGAACCTTGCACTTGTCCAAGAACTGGAAGACCTGACCAAGCATCTTCAGAGCCTTAGTATAGCTCCGATGTACACCCTCGTCCATCTCCTGCAAAATCTCTTCATCAACTGTTGGAGGATCCTGCGCGAGCTTCTCTTGGTACTTAGTCCATTGTGCAAACGGATTGTTAATAGACCATATCTTGGCCTTCCTGAGCTCCTCAGGAAGTGACTTTCGTTCAAAATTGAACGACGTGGGGTCAGAGACCATGGTGAAGATGAAAGCGATGTTGTCGACGATAGAGTTGGGAAACATGCCAGAGATGGTCGTTAACGCGTATTCAGTCGCAGCACCTAGTCGAGCAAGAGTCCCGTTGGCAAGGATGATTACGGCGTCGATGACTTCGAAATGCTTTTTGACAGCATTGGCGATGGCGGCTTTATGTTCATTATCCATGTCGATCCCGCGAGTGTCAGCGAGTCCGGGAGTATCAAGGATATTGACCTCGTTTCCATTGGCGCATGGAATGGTGTAGAACTCGGGAACGTTGGTCTGACTACCAGACGAAGAGCCACCTCGCTCGCTTTTGGCTTGATGGGTGGCCTTGAAGTCCTCTAATTTGATCCCCGCGCAGACGTTCGCAAGCAAGTCTAACATGGCGGTCTTTCCGACACCAGTTTCACCGATGAGGACCAGATTGATTGTGCGCTTGACCCAAGGGGGTTGGATGGTCATTGGCCTAGTGGTCGGAGTTCTGTAAACAAACAATTATTGGATGGACTCGAGGATTGGAGTATCGAGACGACTTACACTCCCGATTTACCACCAGCAACAGTAGCATCCGTATCGGGCGCAATGGAAGCGCCAGTCGGTCTATGAAGGGGGATGAGGAAAGCAATCGGGGGAGTCTGTAAGGTTTCGAACGTACTTGAGAGTGACTGATTGAGACATGAGTAAGGATATGGAATCGACGATTAGCTGACTATAATCGCCGATGTGCTTCAAGGCTGCTTCTTAAAGGCTCAACTTTTGGAGTCTTATTTAATTTCCAAGTCCGTATCTTACCCCACAGGGCGCCTGTCAATCCGTTGATAGGTTCTGTGGCTCTGTAGACTGTCGATGAAAATTTGCCGATCTGTCGCTTGTGGGTCGGTAAATTATCTTCTGCGCCTAAGTATTTCCATCAGGCCCCTCCAATTATTGGAAAGAGTTTACGGAATGAACAATAGAAGTTCCATCGACCAAGCAAGAGGCAAGGAACATTAAAGTGAGATTTGAAGTTCCGATTCAGGCCATGAATGTTTTTTTCTAAGTTAGAATGATGTGACATATGGACTTCCTTTCTGCACCAAAGTGAATACGAGGGCTCCGACGAGAATGCACTGTGAGCATAAGGATGTGCAAAGTCATCTGTCGTTGCGTGGAGTCTCCTGGAGCTGTGGATAGATTCAGGAGTATGCATCGTTCACATGGACAGCCTATGTTCCCTCCGTAGTCGTTTCTGGAGTGTTGAGGCTAGATCAGGCATGTGCAAGCATAGCATTCGATATAGAGGAGCTAAGTAAATGCAGAGACCTGACATGGACAATGCAATTATTACTGTCGTAGTCAAATAGTTAGTACTATTGATCACTCAAAAAGGAACAACGGCGCACTAGCTCGCACTGGGCGTATATACTTCGTTCCTGGCAGGACCTGACTTGTATATTTCTTTCAAGTCGGAAATGTACTTTCGCCGTTACTTGGGTAAGACTTCAAGTCATTAAGCTATACACTGTATCGTACGGCGTAAGCGAACGTCGAAGTCTGCAAGGAGAAAGCGCGGAGGTCCAGGCTTCAACGTTCGAAAATCTAATCTAATCTCATGATATCGGCAAACTGCTGGTCAAGTTTTCCCTCAGCTACTATGTATGCTACTTGGTTCGTTAAACCTTGCTTCGCTCTTGAAACTGGACCTCGAGTGCAATGATAATCCCCGCAGCTTGCATAATCCTGCTCCTCTTCCGCGTTGACCAATTATCCATTCCAGGTTAGATCGATAAGAGTACAAAGGTCAGCAGAAATGGAACCTGGATAATGTGATTGACAGTGACAGCCCCGCAAGCGGTCTTTTATTTTTGTACGCGTCTTGTGAGGAGCCTTCCGCTTCCCTGACTCTGAATCGAAAACAGAGATCCATATTTGGAGCCTGCCGAGTCCTAAATCCAACCTGATGTGACTGTGCGAGGAATTGGACGCGGTTAAAAGCCAGCCGCAGACGGACAATGTATTTCACTTACCTTCCACTCGAAATTTTTTGTGGAAACGCTCCGCCTAAGAGGTAAGTTCTTGTGCCATTTGACCACTGGGAGACTCTGACCGGTGCTCCTTAGAGTTACATCCATTTTAAACAACTCTGAACATCTTACGTCGCTCAGTAAGTACTCGCCAGTTGACGATCCCGTTCATTTCTGACCGTGCTATGTCGTAGGATGGGAATTCGATCAGAAGAAATGGACCTTCCTGCTTTGGGAAGACCCGCCTTCCTGGGTCAACTGTACAACGCTACCTCCGAGCGTCTCATGAACGAGCAGCTCTTCGCTGAGGATGTGGTGAAGAGGGTACAAGTTGTTCCCAATCCATCAAACAGCCTTAAGTTTAAGGACATTAAGACCATCTCGGACCGTGCCAACGCATTGGATATCACAGCCGAGCTTTCGGTCAGTATCCTGAGCGGCATGATCGATTTGAAGGGTTCCGGCCAATACCTCGATACCAGCAAGTCCAATGTCTCTTCCCGTGAGGTCTCGATGATCTGCACCACCCGTAAAAATTTAAAGAGGTTGGATTTGAAGGGCAGCGATAGGATCACAATCGACACCTACAACCGGGCAGTCGAGCACCAAGCCACTCACGTTGTCACCGGTATCATCTACGGCGGCACCCTAGTTACCAACGTCGTTGAAAAGGCCTCTTCCTCTGAATCGCAGACCAAAATTCATGGCGAGTTCTCGGCTTCCCTTATGAAGAACATGGCGTCGAAGTTCTCTGCAGAGGGTAAGGCGTCGGTCGACAGCGACAAAACTTGCAAGGACGTTCTCGAGAGCCGTGATTTCGACTTTTACGGTGACTACTCCGCCTCTGACCGTCCCAATGCTATCACCATTGGCGATCTGTTCGAGCTTGCGAAGCAGTGGCCAACAATTATTGGCGATGGTGTTCCCTGCCAGATCACTGTCACACCCCTGAGTAACTTTGTGGACGGGTCTATCGAGGCGAAGATTATCCATGAGCTCGAGAGCGACGAGCTAGCTGCCATCCTCACTGCCTATGACGAGATTTACCGTCTTGCCGGGAGAAGGACTCGGATTCAGGCTGCACTTGAAGCTGGAAACGGGGGTCTCGGCGCGTGCTGCTCAACTTTTGCGGCGGCCTGCAAAAAACGCAAGCTCGTCACCGATGGTATTCTCGGACGTTCTCGACAGGCACTTGCGAAATATCTCATTGCTTTCCGCCGAGGTGGAGCCGAAGAAGTTGGAAAAACTACGATCGAGTTTGTGGATGCAGCCAAGGTGGGTTTAGACGACCATTTGAAGGAATGTCAGCAGGACGAGTCCATCCTAGGACTGCTGCAGAGTATTCAGGATCTTGCTGCTGCCCATGGCGCCCCGCTAGAAACCCTCAACGGACTTCGTCATCGTATGACTCGCGCCAATCGTGGAACGCTTGGCGTTGTCCTTATTCCTCCCTCACCCAATCTCGACGGTGCTATCAACACGTACGAGGTTCTAGTCGCTAACATCAAACGCTGGAGAGCAGATGAAGACAAGAAAGATACTGATGAGGATGGAAAACCCAAGGAGACGGTCTTCATCTCCTTCTACTGTGACCCTACACTGCTTCCAGAATTTCGGAACTTGGAAGGGAAAAAAGGCGTATTGACGAAGGCGCTTGTTGAATTCGAAAAGAGTCAAAGTCCTCGTTTCATTCACTACGGTGTGCTACCCACCGGTCTTACCAGCATACAGAAGCAGATCGACTGGTCTCTCCTCAACGACGAAGGTTGGGCATTCATTCATAACGACCAGGAATCTTACGACTACATCGGCGAAGTTAGTGGTGGAAAGCGACATGGCAGAGGTACTGCGACATATGCTAATAAATCGACATATTCTGGTGATTGGTGGCACGGTCGTAGGCATGGAGAAGGCGAGCTCGTCGAAAAGACGCGAAAACTGACCGGTGTCTTCATTAATGATCAGTATTGGGCCGACGGTGTTGTCGTCGACATCACCATCCTCAGTCACCATGTCGCTTTCGGAGCGGCGAGGATTCCGCTGCGCAAAGGAGACGCTGGCACTTCCCATGTTCGTATGATTGGTACTATGCTTGAATGGAAGGAGGGCGAAGAGCACAATCTGGTCGTTGAAGGCAAAGGGGGTCAGAAGTTAGAGATGATCACGGTGGGAAAATTGATTAGGCATGACCAGGATGAGATGTTCAACAAGAACTGGCCACTTGAGGAAGGTGTTGAGATCAAAGTGGAGAAAAGGTCTTAAATTTGATAATATCGTACAATGTTGTACAGTAATGAAATGTACTTTATATCTCCTTTGCATGTCTCCTGCAACCATACTCAAATTACACTACTTAAGGTGACTAGGATGGGTTTCTATGGGTTTTTGGAAACCCGCGCTGATGGCGGGAACACTAAAAAGGAACTCACGAGAGGGCCAGATACTAGGAACCAAATATGATTGGTAGGCAGGAAGAGAGAAGGAGAGAAAGAGAAGGTACAATCGAGAGTAGTCTAAAGCCAACGTAAGATGGTGGTAAGGTCTCTAGATGTATCTAATGAAGAAGGAAGGTCTATATAGTGTGATGTCACAAGTGTGACTGTATGCAGTAAGTAAGCGGTACGTTTACAGTTTTCTTCTCAATGCGCAAAATTTTCTATTTTTGGAAGGAAGATTGTATGGTATAGAGATGAATACATTACAAATAAAATATTAACAAGAAACGGTACGAATATATAAATGTCTGAGAAATGCAAGATAAATTTCGATGATTTTCAGTCAATGGACCGTCCAGATTGCAGCAGCACGGTCGCAACCACACAGCACTCGAGTAAACTTTCCCGAATGGCAGTAGAAGTGATCTCTAATGTAACCCCTCCGTCAGCCCGACTTAATCTAGCATAAAGCTCGGGGGTGGTCGTCCCATAAGTATAGAGCTAAATGCGAATGTCAATTTCAGTGGCTCCGAAAGGTGCTCAGCAGAGATGCTCACCCCTACATACTCATCTTGTGGGACCCATACAAAAGTGCGATCGTGCGCATTCATAAACCGATATCTGTTGGAGGCGCATGAGATAAATCAACGTCAGAAATACACGATGACTTACTTTCCATCTGTCGACAACTGCAGCCACGAAGCGACGAACTGCTTGCGAATGATATCGCGGACTTCGACGACAACACCAGAAGATCCTCTCCATTCTAGGACGGCGATACTCTTGCCCTCGCGGTTTTGAACGAGCGTGAAATTCTGGGATGGGGTGTTATTAAGGACTCGAAAGTAAGTGTTCGAACTGGGCCCAAGTACAGTGCAGTCTAGAATATTGGGATTGAATGCAGTAAATTGGAATTTATGAGTAGAGGGGCCTGTGGACTGTGAAGAAAATGGAAGGGCTCCAAAGATGGAAGGTGCAGGACCATTTCCACCACTAGAGTCGCCCCATCCAGCTTGAGCGTAGGGGTTGAGATTCATGATAGAAAGCCTGCAACACAATGATTCAACTCTCACTCTGGTAGCTTGTCTTTATACTCGTCGAAGAGTCATCCGGGCCACCGTCGCAAAGAAAAGGGTTACATCGAAGCGCTTTGAAGTGCATTGCACTTTCGGCGGGGTAAGACTCGATTGGGAACTTGCTACCTTCGAGGGTTGAGGAGTGCAGTACAATTGTGCCTGTACCATCTTCCTCCTATTAGATACGAGTAGACGCTCGACATTCACCTTTGAGCAATTGCACATTGATACTAATAGAAATAAGCGATGCTGTCCCGAGGTAGCAAAGCGCTAATTTGAATCATACCAGGCCTTCTCGGTACAGCCAGAAGCTCGGTAGTGCTGGATTCATAGGTATCCAGGTCTCTTCGACCTTCTACCTTTACGCATATCCAAAAGGGAAAAAGACCTACACCTCCTCGGACATATAGTCATTAGTACTAGTATCGTCCGGTCAAACTTAATTCTCTCCACCGACTTTGGCCTTGGAAATCTAAAACGCGCGAGGTATAAAAATAGTCGTAAACGCGACTCCAAAAGTCGATTCTTATCCTCGTAATGTCATACTCACTCACAATGAGAAACTCATCCAGGATTACATGGGAAAAAAGCTGTGTGCGTTCAGGTATGGATGTTCTGAGCCGATTCTAAGTTTTGGATCTGCGCAAGTCATCAAATTCATTATCTCCATTGAGGCTATGTCGATCTTTACTTAGCGTTGAATATGGGCCAATAGTCGCGGAGCTGTGTGAGCTCTAAGAGTCCGAGTAATAATTATTGTCGACACAGGTCTGTTGGAAGAAGCTGAGCAATACCGACTGCTCATCCGATATTTGGAAAGGAAAAGGAAAAACCGACACAATCCCATTGAGGAACAGCCCTGACCCGCCCTAAATATACAAGATATTATCTTTATGTTAAGTGGAAGCCGAAACACTCGCATGAAGAAACTGATTTAACTAGTAAAAATATCCGGAAGGGTCTCCTCCACAAGTCCTCGATGAGACGAGAAAATATTGCAAACATAAATTGAAAGAGGCGGTCGAGGGAGACCCGGGACGGACCACAGATGTCCGGGTCCGAGACTTGTCCAGTGGTTCCTCAACGATATATAGTTTCCACCGTATCCAAGCAACATTGCTGAGCACAGGCAGTCTTTATCCTTTGAGACTACTTGTCGGCGGCGTCGGATATCCTGACGTTCAGCATTCCGTTTAGCATCGGGCTTCGACTGAGAGATCGCAAGATACACAAAGAAAACCTAAGTCGATACAGGTTGACTCGGAGGTGTATTTCATGTGCAACGACGTCTTCAGTCACTGTCGATAGTCAATCTAGCCGGAGTCGAACGAGGATTACAAGTCTAGAGCCTGGGGGCAGCGGTTTCGTTGGTCGAGGTATATGAACCTCGAGGACGTGAATGGAATGGATGATCAGATGATAAGCAAACATTTGTCCCGGCTCAGAGTCTTGACAATGACATCTTGATACGTCCATAAAAGCGGCTCTCCATGTCGTGTACCAAACCCGGCTGCCCAATTGGAATGGTCAGTGAGAATAGGAGCGATATATATAGGAGATACTCAGCTGGAACGGATTTCGAATCCAAGCCGCAGAAGTATTGCTAGGTATTTCTAGTAAGTCGGAAGTAAAATCAGTGAGATCTGGAACGATGCTATGGTACCGGAATGAGTGTTACAAGCGTCTCCAGACTCTTAAGCCAGGAATGAAATGATGAATACAATTGCTATAGAATTATACACGTCGATTTGGCGGATTAAAAAAACAAAGGAATGAGTACATAGCACGAGGGGGACCAAAAGTTAAGAGGCAGCTGAAGGACCAGTAGCCATCTCCGTGTCCACATTCTCAGTTTCCCCAGGATCTAACCAGCTCTCCTCGACCGTCGCCTTAACTCTCCTCACATATTCCTTCATATTTTCCCTGTAGAGCTGTGCAGCTTCGGCGTTTGCAGGACTATTCGGATTCGGATCATGTAGGAGACTTTGAATGGACGTGAGGATAGCAGCCACATCGTACGTTGGTGACCAGCGATTTTGAAGGATATCTAAGCAAAGCTCGCCGTTGGCGTAGACGTTAGGATGGAACATTCTCGATAAGAACTTGACGGTGGGAGGTTTATTGGGGTATGATTCATCGAATGTCAGCACGAGCTTGAAAGTGCCATCTTCGAATGGTGTGTCCGCTGGAAGGAGAGAATATTGTATGAGTAGAAGATAGTACAAGGAAAGGTCACGACGCACCTGGACCGAAGATTACTGCATTCCACAGCATGATATTATCGGGGCATGGACTGCCAGAAATCCCACCTGGCGGGTCCGAAGAAAGCCGCTTGAAATCTCGGATGAGTCGTCGTTTACAAGGATTAGACTATATGAAAAGGTCAATTAATGCGAGGTTCAATATAGATTTGAACAAACCATGACAATTGAGAGGAAAGGGAGAAAGTGGTACTGAAGAGAAAACGCAAGCGATAGATTAGTAATTGCTGTGAGCGCATTGTCAACAACAAACTTTGCCACTTTGCCACTATCCTCTACTGTATATTCCACGCACTCGAAGGCTCAGCTGGAGTCCGAGTTTCTCATCGCCTGCCTCGCTTATGCTTATGATCACTATGACCAATAATGCGTTGGGGAAGTGTCCGCGACCATCAACGTTTCAGCAAATTTACGGCGCGAAATATCCTGTTCACTCGAAAGCCGGCGCCCCTCGCACATATAGAAAGGGTTCATCCTCCGCGTTCAATAACACGAAGCATTGCACTCTCAACAATAATTAGAAGAGGGTTCTCTTTCGTATCCAAAGCGACACCGATACTCCTCTGCATATCAATTGGACAAATTCCTTGTATCCCAAACACCAGGAGTATCGAAGACCTACCATCTAGTTCAAAAGCACACATTATATTTGAGATAAACTCTGAACTCCAGCCTGTATCAAGATTCCCCCCCAATTATGCTTAGGTACGTTCTGCATTTTTATACCCAATCTTCTGCAAGCCTGCGCTTTCCGTTTCCGCAAATTGTTGAAGTCCACCTTTATTCGTGGACTGAGCCATGTAATATACTTTCCTTTCCCTTTCCCTTTGTCACTGTCCTCGTCGCTACTGTTACTGTTGTCGTATTCTCTATCCCGCGACGGGTTCTGCATGGTTTCCTCGCCTAGCCTTTTGATATTGTTCATCCTTGCTCGACTTCCTTCTGGCTAATTGGTTCAAAATTCACGAAGAATTCTCGTACACTGAAAAGAGTGATATAGCTCTTCGGAGTGCGGGAAACTATTTCCATCTTGAGCTGCCCGAATTCGCCGACCGTCAAGTTGAATGCTGTTCGTATCTTAGACTTCGTCAAACCATTATCTGGGGTCAAGGTACTCAACATCAGACAAAATGCATCCTTCACGTTTGATCTTCCACCACCATTATGGTTCTTTGTAGCCATAGAATCGCTCTCCCAGTGCGTATTTTTCATGAATAAATTTCTTACTGCAATATTGACGGTGTTCACAGGGCTCTCCTTCCACTTGTGCCCTCGATACCGCAATCGTACCCTTGCCTTCGTTTCTACTTACTATAGCCCTCCTGCCACTATTCTTTTGCTTGAAGAAGAAATTCACAGAAAACGTCATTCGGCTTCCGTATCCCTACTGGCTCCATAATGTCTACCTCGTCCTGGTCTTGGCAGCTTTTGCAATGACAATTTTGGAGATGACTCGACTTTCTGCTCAGGATCTAGGTGTTGGGTTACTGCCGGTGACACCTATCGCGTTGTCTATTGTCATGGTCGTGTTATGGGTAGAACGACGGGGTCGTACACGGTTCATGTCTGTGGTGAGTTGTCCGCCCCTCATCTAGCTCTCGGTTTTTGACCTATCATCTATCCCTCTCAGACATTCTGCTTGTATTGGCTATTCCTTGCCGCCGTGGAGACAGTGAAGGTTGTCAGATTGAATGTCCTTGATGAAACCATCCCGAACAAAGCATCATCACCAGAGTATCCTGCCTCCGATCAGCTACTTGACAACGCTGTTATGGTTCGTGTCCTCATCTGTTGATATCAAAGATCGTTCTTGACATGCTGTTCTTAGGTCGCATTATATTGGCTTTTCTTCATTTTTGAGCTCTACACTAGCTTAAGGATGCGTGAAGTCAATAAAACGCAACCTTATATTCTACACGACCTACCGTAGACCCGTCAAAAGCGCCATCAAAACGTCATGTCCGTATTAATATTGTCTGTTATAACATATATAGGTTTCTATCGGTGTATCAGTATTTATTCCGTTGAAATCTGTTCAATCACAAGCGTACGCAACTCTTTTTACATCTGGTCTCCGTCAACGACTCAACGCGCGAGGCAATAAGCACCCCGGACCGCTTGTTGGAACATCAAGGGATTTCGAAGTCGCGATTTCTTCTTCCAACCCCAATCATGTTCCTCAATCATGTTCCCTATCGAGCACGAGAACATATCACGTTATGAAAACGCAAGCTACAAATATGCTTTCGATGTTGCGCCCTTGAGTACTTGAGTGCTCTTCCTGCCATGAAGTTGATCAGTCTGACTGTATTGCCGCTCTGGGCGTGGATCCTCTCCCTTACTTTGCAAGGAACTTCTGGTCAATCGTCTCTCAAGACTTTCAGTCCTGATCTTCAGTTCGATAACTATACCCTGATTCTCAAAGGTCAACGGATATTCCTTCAGTGAGTTTGTATAACTTCGAGCACGATCTGAGAAAACTCCTTCCCCCTGCATAGTTCCGGCGAATTTCACACATTCAGGCTTCCTGTACCTTCGCTTTGGCCTGATATCCTTGACAAATTCAAAGCGGCAGGATTCAACGCGATCAGTGTTTACGTGCATATGGGATTGGTCAATCCTTCTCCAGGCGTAATGGATTTCGACGGATATAGGTCCCTCAGCGCTCTATATGAAGCAGCAAGGCTGGCAGGACTTTGGATTGTCCTCCGTCCAGGTATTTGAACTTTGTCTTCTATGATTCCAAACTCTCAATTGACGATCACCAGGTCCTGTGCGTTTTCTACTCCCCGTGCTATACAGTATAAATGAGACTTTGGTCAGTATATCAACGGGGAAACCACTGCAGGAGGTCTTCCTCATTGGGTAACCTCTCAAGTCAAAAGCGAGCTCAGGACTACTGCAGCTGATTGGAATGCCGCGTGGACACCTTATATCCAAGCCATAATTGGGCAAACCAACCAAAGTCAGATCTCGAACGGAGGTCCAGTGATTGCGATTCAAATAGGTATTTGTATTGAATTGATCATGGAGTTTTTTCCTTGAACAAGCCATGTTAGATAATGAATATGATCAGGAAGAGGGAGGACCGTATTTCGCTGAGATAGAGGCCTTGTACCGAGATCCTAGCAGCGGGATCGAAGTCCCGCTGACGCATAATGATCCTGGTATGCTGGATGCATTTATCAATGGGACGGTATGTTGCTCTTGATCAACGCTCCTCTCAGAATTGTCTCACAGCATCCTTGTTGATAGGGAGCAGTCGACTTGTACGGGTAAGTCGTACTGCTATGCCCCCTGGTAACAACAGCATTATACTTTTTACGCTTTGTAGTATGGATGCATATCCTCAAGGTCTCGTTGCCTCGAATCTTTCGATCTGGAACCCTATTGAAATGGGCTATCATACTTACCACGAGGAAGCGAACCCTTCGCAGCCGTGGTACAGTCCAGGTGCGCACTGCGAAATCATCACCGTGAACCGTGCCGGCCAGGATTGCTGATTGATGTATTGTAGAATTTCAGAGTGGTGCGTTCGACGGATGGGGTCCTGATGCTACAGGTATGCATTCTTATCATACTCATAAATGGTATTGAGAGAAAAGCAACTTATTCGTTTTACTGACAAAATATCTTGACAGGTTACGAAGATTGGCGAGCGGTAACTGACGCAGATTTCGTATCTGTCTTTTATCTGCATACCTGGGCAAGCAACGCGAAGCTCGTCAACTACTATATGTTGTATGGTGGAACATCGTGGGGAGCACTTCCATATCCGTATGTCTGGTCATATGCTTTGGAAGAATCTATCTCAACCTAATTATTCTTAGTGGGGTACGTGGTTGTTAGTGATTCTCCAAATGAGTATTCATTGCAGGTATGAATCAAGGTGTATACTTCATATGATTATGGCGCAGCGGTTCGTTTGTTGTTCTATGAACTCCCCGGTTTTTTAGCAATTGTTTTGTGTAGATCACTGAAGCGAGAACCCTCACCCGAAAGTACACCGAACTCAAACTCCAGGGAATATTTCTTCGAAGCTCGCCGGAATTCTATAAAACCGACTGGATAGGAACATCCTCCGGCAACCTCACCGAAGGCGCGATCATCCCATCTAGTCTTCCAACCTCTCCCGCTTTTGTGACTTTGTTGAGAAACCTTGACACCGGTGCAGGTTTTTGGATCGTTCGCCAAAACGATTCGACCTCTTTGTGAGCCCATCTCGATATTTTGTAGTCGAACCTCGATTTTTCCTTTCTGAGCTCCTAACTAGGGCGTCGTCCTCTTTCAAGCTCAATGTTACCACTGCTGGCAATCAAAAGCTGACAATTCCTATCGTGGCTTCGTCTATCAATCTTGACGGGAGAGAATCAAAAGTGATCGCCACTGATTATGCGTTTGGGTCGCGCTCTCGAGCCCTGTACTCGACTGCATTAATCTTTTTTAGTGGTTCCATTGACGGGATCGACGTCTTGTTTCTCTACGGAGATTCTGACCAGGAACACGAAGTAGCCCTCAACCTGACAGGAAGCGCTAATCGTACCGTCCAAGATCACACTCATGTTCAAATTACCTCGGATGGCATTCCCTCGACAACGATCATAACCGTGAAATCAGGCTTTCAGGGATTCATACCTCTATATGAGTCGGACACTCAATTGATACTGTTCGCAGACAAAGACACTGTTTCTGATTTTTGGGCGCCAACAGTTGCTTCAGACAATCTGACAGATCCTTTCGCCAAGTATTGGTCCATTGGGACAAATGAAACCGTTTTGGTAGGGGGTCCTTACCTCGTCAGATCTGCTGTGATCAGTGGCACAGAACTGGCACTCAAAGGGGATCTAAACGCTACCAATACAGAACATATGCCACTGACGGTCATTGCATCGAGTACTATAAAATCGTTGACTTGGAATGGAGAAAACGTTTCTCTGGAGCTGACTACAAACGAGTCGATGATACGGACAGGAAAACTTAGCAGCACCAAGATATCGATTCAAGTTCCAGATCTTGAAGCACTGGAATGGAAATTCAACAACAGCCTCCCAGAGGTTCACACCAACTTCGATGATTCAAATTGGGCCATAGCAAATCATACCACAACCAACATTCCGTTTCCTATGTATTATGGGGATGGGAGAATTTTATATGGATGTGATTATGGTTTGTACGTCGGGATACTGCTTTTCTTTCTACCAGTGGCTAATTCGGTTTTAGCTGCGAAAATGTCGTCCTTTGGCGAGGCCACTTCAACGCAAGTGGGTCGGAGAAGAGTGTGAATCTTTCGATCAACGGCGGGGCGGGTATGCCACAAAGTTTCTGATTATTCTCAACGTTCTTGACAGTAATATGCACGTTTTCCCCAGCATTTGCTGCCAGCGTTTGGCTGAATGACCGCTTCCTGAATACATCCTTTGGGAAGCAAGTCCATTCTACCATCTAGGACATTTCTCATACTCACACTCATACTCACACATCAGCTCTACGAACAACGCGAATGTGATTGAAGAGACCGACGAAATTTTTGATCTTCCTACCGATGCTCTGTTGACAGGTCAAGATAACGTTATCACAGTAGTACAGGTGAACTCAAAACCAAAATCCTGTCCCATTATATCCATACTTATCATCATTTTAAACGAGGACAATATGGGTATCAACGAAGCGAAACGTAGGTCGTATTACCTTGAAGATCAAACTAGACAATTGCTCATCAGAGTCGGAAGCCATAAATGATGACGCCAAAAGTCCGCGGGGTATTCGTGGATTTCAGCTCAATACCGGTAACTTCACAGAATGGAGGGTGCAAGGCAAAGTTGGCGGTTACGTCAAGTAAACCGTTTCGATCAGCGTTCCTTCATAATTCTCATTGTTTCTCTGGACAGTTATCGAGATAAAGTTCGTGGAGTGCTGAACGAAGGCGGGCTTTTTGGAGAGCGACACGGGTGGCATCTGCCAGGTTTTGACACATCTTCGTGGGCATCACGAAAGCTTTCCACTGGAAATCCCTCTTCAGAGGCGGGAATAGGATTTTTCGTTGCCTCGTTCAATTTGAGTATGCCCCAGGGCTATGATATACCCATGTCATTCACCTTTTCGGAACCACTGGGGCAGCCATATCGGGTTCGTCCGTAGATTTGAACAAAATACCTGAATTAAATGATGAACTGATTCGTGAATGAAGGCATACATGTTTATCAATGGATGGATGATGGGCAAGAGAGTAGCCAACCTGGGGTGAGTTGTTGACATTATGGAATATGGTTCCTGACTGAATAAACATTGCAGCCCTCAATCGAAGTTCCCAGTACACGAAGGCATACTAGATTATCACGGAAAAAAGTCAATTCTCTTCTTTGTAAATTGTTGGCAAGTAAATAGATCGCTGACCACGTCTATAGTACCGTGGCTGTTGCTCTGTGGTCTATGACACCGAATGCGACCGTTGCTCTTCAGCTCCAGCTGGTCATTGATGGAATTTTCAAAGGAGGGGTGAATGTAGCAGTAAACAATCCTTCCTGATCTTCCGAATTAATAGAAGGGAGATGAGAGGAGATGAGCAATGTAGATTCGGCCGCGAGGCTAATGTTTTCCGGGCGCTTAGTTTTACCCGCATCCTAACCTTCTACCATGACTGATTGGAAAACTCGGTGTGCACGACGAAAACAATCGCAATTAGACTCAATTCCAAGGGAATGGTTAATCGAAGCTCCTCCGGCCAATCAAATGAATGTGATGCAAATTCCTAGAGATAGTGCATTGTTGTCGATTCGTGAGCTGGAGATAACTGAAACGGTCGATGTTGAGGTTATCTTGCAAAAACTGGCTTCTACTGAGTGGTCTTCAGTAGAGGTCACTACAGCTTTCTATAAGCGTGCTATCATAGCGCAACAGCTGGTAGGTTGCTTACCTTTGTGAACCTGCGCAGAGTTACTCACGGCATGAGCCTCGACACCGTCAGACAAATTGTTTGACCGAAATTTTTGTCGAGAAGGCTTTGCAGCGCGCGAAGGAGTTAGACGATATTCTCCAAGCAACTGGCAAGGTCTCTGGCCCTCTTCATGGTTTACCTATTTCTCTCAAAGGTACACTGATGGTAGTTGTCAACGCTATCAATACTTCTCATCAAAATTTCAGATCAGTTCACGATGAAGGGACTCGAGACGATCATGGGTAATTCTATTTATCGCTATCTTAATGATTAAGAGTCTGGGCTCATATTCTACTCAAGGATATGTTGGCTGGATTGGCCGATATGCTGATTCAGATTGTGTTCTTGTCGAAATCCTCTATGAATGTGGAGCAGTGCCCTTTGTACGCACAAACGTCCCGCAGACTTTAATGGTATTTTTTTTGTCTTTGTCTGTGGTTTGGCTTGGCTTAACTTTCTTCGGGCAGTGGGGGGAAACATACAATCATGTATTTGGGCGTACTGTCAATCCCTATAACAGGTATCTCACCGCTGGAGGGTCATCCGGCGGAGAAGGTAGAAGTTGCCTCACTTTGAATCGAGTGATCTTCATGCGTTTGATTCTATAAGGTGCCCTTTTGGCCATAAAGGGAAGTCCTCTGGGTGTCGGCACTGATATTGGAGGGTATGTTGATATCAGGTTGATATTCATCGATACTGTCCTCCATTCAATGACATTTGTGCTTGGCACAGATCTCTCCGTATTCCCAGTGCATTCTGTGGTCTATACTCTCCGGCCTTCCTATGAGCGACTTCCCTATTGCGGTGCGGTCAATGCTCTTGAAGGACAAGAATCTATATCTTCGGTCCTAGGCCCAATGGCCAATTCAATGTCGGGAGTCAAAGTGTTCACGAAAGCAATAATTGATGCAAAACCTTGGTTGAAAGATCCTCTTGCTGTCAGGAAGGACTGGTCAGATAAAGAATACGGGCTCGTATATCATGGAGGAGGGGAAAGGTTGTGTTTTGGAATCATGTGGGACAATGGTATGCACGATTTACTGCGGAAATTTCGGCTTTACATAAATGGTCTTTGGATCCAACAGGCGTGGTTAGACCTCACCCGCCTCTTCATCGAGCGATGTTGATCACAAAGCGCGCGCTAGAAGCTGCTGGACATATAGGTATCTAGTATAATTCATTCTTCGAAAGTATTTAATGATGTAACACCACATAGTGCTAGATTGGGAGCCCCATCGCCATCTTGAAATTTACAAAAACTCTGTTTGTCAACCTGAATTACTGGTCCGCCTCAATTTGAACTTATCTAGAATCATGTAGGAGACAATATTCGTCGCAGATGGTGGCGAAGATTATCGAGTCTCATGTGAATTGTCTGGAGAGCCGCTTATCCAATCGATGCTGCCCGATGAAGGCGCCCACGAAACAGCACTTGAAGAGCCATATGTCAAGAGACTAGTGGGACCTCCCTACCACCGGAACACGTACGAAGTGAGCGCCAGTCTTTTTCTGAATACATTTGGGCATCATCAATACACCTACAGCTTTGGAACTTGCATAAGGAGAAGAGAGAACTGCGTAAATCACACCTTGATCACTGGGAAGCAACAATCAGCAGGACTGGTACTGGGCGCCCAATCGACGCGATCATTTCCCCCGCCGTAGCTTATGCAGCGGTACCTCATGGCTTGAACACGTATGGTTTTCCTTTCTAAACGCATCATCAGTACATTTGGGACTCAAAGACTTGACATTTAAATAGGGATTCATTCTACACCACTCTGTGCAATGCGATGGACTATGCGACATCGGTTTTCCCAGTCACCTTTGTAGATGCAACCTTGGATCATAGACATCCCCCCCACGAGTTTTACAACCATGAAGATGAAGCGATATACAATCTTTGTACGCTTTTCTTTCTATATCTTCCGCACCTTCAGTGACAGTTAAAATCATTTGCAGACAATTCGGGTTTGTTTGATGGCTGTCCTGTTGGTTTGCAACTAATCGGAAGAACTCAAGAAGAGGAGGCAGTCATTGCTATGACTGAAATCGTCGACCGTGCGCTTAGGCGGTTCGAGAAGTTTCATGCATAATCCAACATACCTATCAACATGTGAATGTCTTTAGTACTATGTAACACTGCAAGCTCTTGAGTTTCACCAAATTTCATAAGTATAAATCGCTACTATCATGACTGACCGATGATTACGGTAAAAACTTGGTAAGGTAATATGATGATACATTACTAGATGCCTGGCTTCAAGCTGCATGGTTTAGAATATGCGATTGAAATTCTTCTGGTTCTATCACGAGATCACCTTGACTTCGACAAGCAGACAAGGTCTCGTGTGTGTAAGGAAGTATCTGATCTACGAAGAATTCGCGCTCCAAGTCCGAACCAGCTAAACATTGCACTTCAATCTTGTTTGAGACTTCATCGCGTTCCCATTTCTGCACATATAGAATGAGTAACAGCAGATATATAGTACAGATTGAAATAAATTGACCGACGTACCAGAATTCTCGCAGGAATCCATACCCGCATCAAGGATTCCTCATGTACTGTTCGTTCTAATAAGGCGAATACGTAGTTCTGAAATGGGGTAATGAGTGGCCACGAATAGCGAAAAGAATCGATTACTAACCAAACGTTCTCGTTGTTTGAAGTATACTTCAGGAGATGCTAATAAAGGAGAAGGAGCAGAGCAGCAGGCGGGCCATATTTCGTAGAGAAAGGGCAGGTGTGCAGAAATGGCGAGTCCATTGGTGCACATCGATTGTACTATGTATCTTTTTGCAAAACTCCCAATCTGAAAGCGGATGAATCATAGGTTGAACCATTGAACGTTTGAACCTCTGCACGTACATATCCTCGTACTACGTCAATTGCAACCACTGTGCCATGTATCCACTCCGTCCAACGCAGGGCGTGCTCTTGAAAATTCCGAACTAAAACATGCTCATCTATCTGTCGTATTTAAACTGTGTAAGGGACATCCGGATAATCATGGGCAAGAACGATTCTACTCACCTCAAAATTAATCTCGTTTGCTCCATTCAAATTGCAAGCTCGAACACCGAGCGGAGGTAAAGTTCGAGAGTAAAAGTTGGATCTAGGTGTGAAGAGCTGAAGCTTGGAATTTTCCTCTGTCTCCCCTGAAACATCGCCATTGGCTCCTGCATCTTGGATTTTTGGTTGCGAACGACGAGCAGGTTTCTGGACCATCGAAAACAGGTTTTGAAAGCAGAATTCTGCAGCTTTGAGGTTGTATGGCGATCACAAACACTACGGAAAGTGAGAAGTTTACTCCTTGTTTTAGATTTAAATGGTATGTGCAAAGTGCGTTGGGGTTCAGAGCTTAGGTTGATTCGCGGCGGTGGAAGGATGCACAGTGCATTTGCATTTATATGTATCAAGCGATGGGATTTGAGTCATAGATTTTAACCGCCTCTTCGCCACAAATGTGTTGTAATGACAACGCATGGTTCGTCCTTTGTTAGAGGGTGTTGTAAAGGAGAAGAGGATAGTGGAAGCTTGCCAGGGTCACTGACAAGCAACACTAAAGAGAAAAACTCACGGAACGACGAGCAAACAGGCAGGAGTTCTCGATTGGAGGGATCAGGGATATGTGAGTATGTAGCGAGAGATGGTGGTGGTACCAAGTCAAGTAACAGTATCGTAGCTACAGTATATATATATCTATAGTGAGACCTATGACGATGCGACGCGTCTGCGCGTCATTGGTAGGAATGCACGTGGTCGTGCTTCCACTCTCCCCGCCTCTAAAACGCGAAGCGGTGGAAAAAAAAATAAGGAAAACAACCCAACCCAAAAAATTTTGTAGGTAATATAAGTACGGAACCCGCACCTAGTCCCTTGGACGCCGTGCGTAATGGTAGAAGGAGAAGTGACCAAGCCTATCCCTCGGCTAAACCTTCCCAGATGTCCAGGGCTTCGCATTCTTGTAGTGACTTCCCAGGTTCCCAGGAGTCGAATTCGGGCCCGTATCCTTGCCAGCGGACCAGGTAGCGCCGTCCGCGACCAACCTTACGTTCGTCCAAGATTTTGTCCACATGCAATTCAACTAAGCCGTCCGCCGTAACAATAGGCCCCGGCCGAGGAAATTCACGATTGGGGAAGAGCGATGGGTCATTGTCGTAGTAAGCTTTCAGTTCGTCAGCATGAAAAGTGGGGAAGATGTTGAGATGGGCAGGTAGGTCCAAGGTGTAGGCCGAGAACTGTGGGTGAATGTCAGTAATGGTGTAAGGGCCATCGTAACGAGGGAAAAATTTAGCAGCTCTTTTATCCCCCTTCCGTTTGTATTCGTTTTTACGGTGTTTAGTTTTCAGCAATACACGATCACCAATCTTGAAACCAGGGTCAGCGCGACGGTGACGGTTATGGGAGCGCACCTGATCCAATTTAGATGATAGAAGGCAATCCTGTGCTTCCAGGACGTCCACCTGGATGTCCTTGAGGAAATTGTGAGCATCAAATTCAAACTCCGTGGAGCTGTTCGGTAGTCGGGGAATTAGAGGAGGAATGAGGCGAGGGGAGAAGCCGGAACGTAGCTGGAAACCAGACATTCCGATAGACGAGTTGACGGTGTTCATAATCTGGAAACGGATGCGAGGTAGGGCACGTTTCCAGCCCTTTTGATTTCGTTCGACGTGGTAGCGGAGCATCTGTACCACAGTCTTATTGCTTCGTTCACTGGCGCCGTCAGATTCAGGGTGATAAGAGGTAGACATGCGCAGGCGGACGCCAGATAGAGACCGTAAGGCCTCCCAGAATTTTGACACGAAAAGGTGGTCACGGTCACAGACGATGTCTTCAGGTAAACCATTTTCGCAGTACCAATGGTCGAAGAAGAGTTGTGCACAGTCGGCAGCAGATAAGTCCGTGCGGCAGGGGATGATTCGTAAGTCGGCACCCAACCGGTCGGTGATCGTGAGGATGCAGTTGGAACCACTGTCCTCAGGTAGAGGGCCAACAAAGTCCATTGCAACGGAGGAGAATCGATGTTCCGGCACGGGTAGAGGATGCAGAGGGCCAACCTTCTTCTGGGTTGTGGATTTGTTACGTTGGCATTCGTCGCAGGCCGGGACGTAGGCTTTCTCGAGGTCACGTCGCATGTGAGGCCAATAGTAAGATTCACGCAAGGCCGCGTACGATTTGTCGAACCCAAAGTGTCCTAGGTTGTCATGAGCGAGGCGGAAGAGTTCTTCCCGGATATGGCCTGTGCGTGGAATAATCAATCGTTCCCCGATGTACCATAGTTTTGACCCGAGTTCCTTTCGGACTAAGGGCATGCTAGCCGCCATCGAGGGTAGATCCTTGCACCAAGGGTCAGTGGAGTAGCCGTCCCGAATTTCCTGTAGGAGCGTAGCATCACTGGTGATTTCGAGTGTGGCAGCAATCAAGGGTAGGGCAGGTTCGAAATGAGGAGAATTCGCCAAGGCTCGGGCACCGGACCAAGGTGAATCTTCGAGTACACAAAGGATCGGGAGATCCAGATCATCATCGGAGTCCGCACAGTAGGCGTACGGGTGTTGGGAAGCGAGAATAGCATCCGCGGATGAAACGGGAGCAGAATACAGATCTGTGCGTCGGGACAGTGCGTCGGCCACTGAGTTCTGATCACCGCTCACGTAGACGATCTTGCAGTCAAATTGTGAGAAGAACTCCATCCAGCGAGCCTGGCGGCGGGACAGGTCAGGCTGTGTGTGGAAGTTTTCAAGTGTACGATGGTCGGTCATAATTACAAACGGAACACCCAGGAGATCTACTCGCCACTTCTTTAGTGCACGAATAATTGCAAGCATCTCTTTCTCGTGGACAGGGTAGTTGAGTTCGGCACCTTTGAAGGTAGAAGAATCAAAACTGACTGGTCGCGCGGATTCCCATGAGGTGCCGAAGCTCAGGACAGCGCCCGAGCATTTGTCACTGGCATCGGTGGTGACAAAGATCTTATGCGTGTCGAGAAGATCGAGATCGATGACTGTCAGGCATTCGCAGCTTGCAACAAGGACCTTAATAGCTTCGAATGCTCGGTCATGACGTGCTTCCCAGGGGAGGTTGTCCTTGTCTATATCATTAGCAGTTAAGCGGGTTAAGATTTCAGTAAGTTCGGCTAATCGAGGTAGAAATGCGGCCACATAGCGTACTAAGCCAAGAAAGGCTCGCAGTTCCTTTACAGTCCTAGGTGTGGGCCAGTCCATAATTCGGTCCACTTTCTTGTCGTCAGGTGAAATTCCGTCCTTGGAGATGGAATGACCGAGGAAGTGCACGTTGAAAGTGAATAAATCACATTTATTTGGGTTGCAATACAGACGCGCCGAACGCAGGGCAAGGAGAACCTTTTCGACGTTGATAATGTGTTCTTCAACCGACTTAGACCAAATAATGATGTCGTCGACGTAGACATAGCAAATTTTTCCAATAAGATGGCGTAAGGCAGATGTAACACGACGTTGGTGAATGGCAGGTGAGTTCTTCAGCCCTTGAGGCATGACAGTCCATTCGTATAGTCCAAATGGCGTAGTGATGGCTGTAAGTTTTATGCTGTCTTCGTCCATCCTGGTCTGGAAGAAAGAGTCCGTCATGTCAATCTTACCCCAGATTTGGCCCTTGGCACAATCGGCGAGGATGTCGTCAATGCGAGGCAGGGGATGAGCATCCGTTACGGTGTTGTCATTTAGTTGGCGGTAGTCAGCCACCCAGCGCGGTAGTGCATTAGGGTCTGATTTTGGTATTACGAAGGAAGGAGAGGCGTAGGGAGAGTCAGATGGACGTATTTTCCCGCTATCGAGGTGTTTTTGAATGAGTGTCTGCCAAGCAGCGCGAAATTTCCGAGGGCAGCGGTAAGAACGCGAGCTTATTGATTTGGATGCGTCAACCAGCTGGATTTTCGCAGTCACTGAAGCGGGTAAATCGTCGACGTGAGGAATAGGTTCGAAGATTGCGTGGTACTTTTCTCTCAGACGCGATTCGTGTCCTTTCAGGGTTTCCAGGGTAGCCAGATGTTCGATCCGGGAGCGGATAGAAGCAATTACTTCAGAAGATGTGGGAGTAGACGAGACAGAGGAGGGTGGACACCTAGGACGAATGGATGCACATTTTTCCTTAAGTTCAACGAGCAACTTCCGACGGTGTTCCTTTGCTCGATTCCCTAATTTCACCAACGAATCGCGAATTTTCTCGACGGACTTCGTTTTGAATGCAAATTTATGGGACACAGGTGTATTATTCAACAAATCAAAGCCCGAGGGCTTATGGGTACAGGAACGTGATGCGTAGTCTATTACAATATTGTTATGGGTTAACCAGGGAAGACCGAGAAGAAGCTGAGTACACAAGTTTGGAGCGATGATGAAAGGAACATTGCGGGAGGTAAAAGAACCGTCGACGGAGCTGACTTTGAGCTGAACATATTCAGTCAGAGGTGCAATGGATTGGTTAGAGCCAGATTGAAATGCCGCACATACAGTTTCAGGCTTCTTTAGTATGCGACGTGATAATCCCAGTCGGCAAACTAAATCTGGGTGAATTAAAGCCAAGTGAGCACCATTGTCAATTAGCGAGTTAACGATAATGGGGAACGGAGATTTAGGACCAGCCACATGGCACTTCCATCGAAGGTGTGAAACGCGGAAAGGGCCACTTACCTCCTCTTCGGAGTCAGTGCCATCACCCAGTACTGCGCTAGGCATGATGGAGGCAACAACACCGTCGTCGCCATCATCAGCCACACCAATGGCAGCGATGGGCCCGGTTCGCGCTTTCTTGTTGGTTTCCACGGTGCCTCGCAACTTGCGAGCAGTATCGACGTCGGACGCGTTGAGTTCCTTGTATCCATTCCCATTAGGCAAAGGGAATTCATGTTCAGAGCTAGAGGTACGACATTTGACAAAGAAGGATCTGCATTTGAAGCAGCCATCGTTTTCGCTCAGTAGTCGCCTTTCATTTGTAGTGAGGGGAGGCAAACGACCGTTTTGTCCAGTGTTTCCATTAGTGGTACGACGATTCTGAGTGTTCGCAGCAGCGGAAGGTGCAAGAGGAGTGGTAGCACGAGAGTTGGGGCGGGAGCGAATCATGTGCTCTGCCATTTGTCGAGCAATAACCAGTTGGCGATGACGACCGTGGTCAAGAACTTGGAAAGCACGTGTGAACGTGTGGAAGTCCTTGGAATGAATTCCATGTAGCGGGTTACCAGCATGGTCGTCAACTTCTTTGTTGTAAGCTTCACGCAGTCCGGTGTCAGCCGCGTCGATTAGCATCATTTGCAAGTTCTCCTCTGATTGGAAACGAGGAGTACCTTGTAGAAGGTTGTTGAGAACCATCAGTTGTACAGCAAGGTCCGAGATGGAAGTCTGTAAGTCGTCAGGCATCCTGACAGCACGCATCTTACGGAACGTGGAGTCTTGCCAGTCAGGATCGAGAACGCGATTACGGACGACAACAAAGAATTCGTCGAAGGATAGTTTCGTGAAATCCTCGCGATTTTGGTCAATCCAGTTGGAAACTCTCGGGTCTTCCCATACGTTCAGGCAGCGAAGAGTGTAGTCGCTCGGGGCGAGCTTACGGTTGTTGGTGAGAAAGATTCGCAGGTCTCGTTTAGCGGCTTCGAGAGTCTCAACGGTGATCTTTCCACAGGACATGTTACCAGGCATCCCATTGCCAGATTTATTCCATTTGGCATAAGTGACAGTTTCGTCAAGTGCGGAGGAGAATACTGCAGGCATTGCGATATGGGTTGTAGCGAGAGACAAATAATATTCGGAGTCAGAGTCAGAGTCGGAATCGGATGAGACTGGAGACAAGGGTTGATATGCAGGAATTGGAACTTGGTAGAAACCGTGGTTGATATCGAGTTCGCGACTGAGCGACAAATCAGAATCAAAGAACGGAAGTTCTGAGAGTGTTCGAGTAGCGTCTGCGAGCAGGGCGCTGCGATAACGAGTAAGAATCTGGGGTGTGTTGTTTGAAGCCACAGTGAACTGGAGGGACATGGTGACACGTCAGCTTCAGTTAGACGGGTATGGGACAGGTACAGGTGACAAGGTGACAAGGTGACAGGTAGGGTGTGTCAAAATAGACAACAACCGGGAACAGAACCGATTAAGCAGGATATATGCGTGTTTCCAAACAACTCGGTAAAGGCGAGGAATGTTAGGTGGGACAGGGTATATGTAGGTCAACAAGAAGTTGATAATGACGAGGTAAATGGATAATGGTGAAGAGCGAGGTCGAAGAAAAAAAAAGGCAAGAGCGGGAGAAATATATGGGAGGTGGCGAAAAAATTTTGGTGTCTTTTAAGACTCGAGGACCAAAGCGATGTTTAAAAAAAAGTGGAAGCTTGCCAGGGTCACTGACAAGCAACACTAAAGAGAAAAACTCACGGAACGACGAGCAAACAGGCAGGAGTTCTCGATTGGAGGGATCAGGGATATGTGAGTATGTAGCGAGAGATGGTGGTGGTACCAAGTCAAGTAACAGTATCGTAGCTACAGTATATATATATCTATAGTGAGACCTATGACGATGCGACGCGTCTGCGCGTCATTGGTAGGAATGCACGTGGTCGTGCTTCCAGATAGATGCCACCCACTTTCTCGATCTAGCGCAAGGGGTATATCCGATACAATCGCGACTTGGCGACTAAATATTGTGCGTGTCTGTTAGTGAGCTTATATTTTTACCAGACGCATCGGGAATGGCAAAGCCGTGTTGATATCCCGTCCTGTGTTTTGTGGGCGTTCTTGATAAGGCAGGGGGTCCGATCTGGGCGAAAATTAAGCCACAAGGCCGCGAGCGACAAGAATCTATTAAGATTATACTCCTATTCGCTGAGCTGTTACAGATTTGGATTCAAGCTGCAGTCGATTGCAGTTGATAAGGTTCAAGTGAAAAATCTCGTAAATGGAACTTCATCGTCGTCTCTCGAATTGCTCCATCGCCTTTTGTGTTGAACATAAGCCAAAATCTGAAAGAGCATACACTATACCTCTGCAAAAATCTGCATACATGTTGAATTGTACTTGATATATCATTGTCAGGCTTTGCAAAATGGCAAATTTCAGGACTCCATTACTCATGTTACTCTATGTCGTTTGCTTATAAACGAAGAAGAGACTCGGGTGAGAAAATACTTGTACAGAATGAAGTTGGTGCAGTGCGACGAAATGGTATACATAGATTGGCTAGCCTAAAAGGGTGATCATGAGACTAGGTCAGAAAGGATTCGACGGCAACTTGACTCGTACTGGTACTGCGCACCTTTCCCTCCACAACTTGCTGAGGTTGCTTCAATCATGTTGTTACTCCACTCTTCTGGTAACAAACTGTAACAAACCAAGGTCCAACATCAATCCAAACAAGAGTCAGACATGACAAATCCAGCTAGAAGCATCAACAGGAACAGAATGTGGACCGGACACTTGAGCGAAGTGGCATTCAATGTCATTGGAGCGGATTTCAGTCAAAGACGCTCCATAAGATCGAAGAACGCTGAAGAACGAGCTTGGAAACAGTTGGAACTTGGAAACACAGAGGTGGAGATCGCGATCACATGATTGTCTGCCTCACGACTACCACGTGGATCATTGACCACTGAAGTTGAATTCTGGGTTGACGTTGTTCCTGCGTTGTTCGACCTTTATTCCCTTTCCGCTCGACAAGATCAAGGCGTTAGGCCTTTGAAACACTAGCGCTCTCTAATGTCTGCACAGATCTATCCAATACAAACATATAAACCTTCCAGGGTTCCAGCTAAACGTTTTCCTCTTGCAAACGCTGCCAATCAGCAGTTGCCACCCACAGCAACAACGCCTCAGAAAGTTCATGCAAAACCGAAACAACCTACTTCGCCACCTCTTCAACGACAAAATACAAAGGCAACCCCGCCCTCACCTCCGAGTATCATTAGAGATAATCATGGCTATTTTCAATTCCACCGAGTTGGGTTCTTGGGCGAGGTATGGTTTGTTCCTATTGATGCAGGGTGAAGACGAGTTTATTCTTTCTCTAGGGAGGCTTTGCTCGTGTCTATGAAGCTGAAGACTTCAGAGGAACCAGAGTAGCATGCAAGGTGGTAACGAGGTCCTCGTTGACAACAAAGAAAACGAAGACGAAGGTATGTCTACCGAGTTTAACCCGAATGTTTCTGCTTGACACTCCCTTCATAGCTGTATGCTGAGATTAGGATTCACAAATCACTCAGTCATCCCAATATTGTCGCCTTCCAAGAGTGTTTCGAAGGCGATGACAACGTCTACATGATTCTTGAACTGTGTACGAGCGGCTCCCTTATGGATATGTTGCGTCGCCGTCGACGACTAAGCGAAGCCGAAACTCGCTTTTTTCTGGTGCAAATAATCGGTGCTTGTCACTACATGCATATACATCAGGTTATTCACCGCGACCTTAAGTTGGGGAACATATTCCTTGATGGGAAGATGAACATCAAAGTCGGTGACTTCGGACTTGCAGCTTTGATTGAAAATCCTGGAGAAAGGAAGAAGACCATTTGTGGGACGCCCAACTATATCGCTCCTGAAGTCCTCTTCGACACTGCGAACGGGCATAGTTTTGAGGTGGATACTTGGTCTATCGGTGTGATCCTTTACACACTAGTCATTGGTAGACCACCTTTTCAGACGAAAGATGTGAAAGCTATATACAAGTAGTGTTTCTCTGCCATTTCGGAATATTCCAACGATTGACTATCTTTGTTTGACAGACGTATACGTGACAACGCATATGAATTTCCAACTGAACGGCCTATTTCTCAAGCGTCTCAGCAACTTATTCAATCAATTCTTGCTCCCAAGCCACAAGAGCGGCCTGCTCTTCTAGACGTAGTTCACGACGATTTCTTCACCAAAGGAGCATTTCCACCTCACATCCCTACCTCCGCCCATGACGTTGTGCCAGATTTCCGAGCTATAACTAGGAGTGCCAGCGAAGCGAACTTTCGTCGTGTGCGACGCGCGGCACTCCTCGACCCGGACCAGATCACTAGCATTGCGGTTCCCTATGTTTCTGAAGATTTAGCTATTTCTAGCGCAGCCTCCGATGCTCCTACACGAAGCGTCACTGCTGCTATAGCTCAACAAGAAAAAGAGTTCCAAAAAGCCGTCCAACCAGGCTCTCCGATCTCTGCGCTACTGAGCTCAGCTAAGCGCCCTTTGCTCAGAAGTACGGGTCCTCCAGGTGCGCCAGGCAATGGTGTAACAAAGGAGTCCCCATTGTTCAGGAAATTACAAGCCGTGTCGACCTCAAATCCACCCAATCCTTCGCCTTTAAGACAAAGTTCCGCAACGGGCTCATCCCGTCCCGTTGCTGCGCACACGGTAAATCGTGGCCTGGAACATATTGCGGAAGAGGACGATAGGAATGACGAGCTGGGGAGAAAGAGAAAGAATCAGACGAAAGAGCTAGAAGCGCAGAAGGCTAGAATTGTCGCACAGATGGCTCCAGTGAGAGAGGAAGAAAGATATGAAGCAGGTGCTCAAGATCGTTACGAAGATCCTCAACCAGAAAGAAAGGAAATCAAAAGATCAAGCGTTAGAGAAGTTAAAGAGAACCGTTTCCCAGGTCAGATGTCACGATGTGATTGAATTTGGAAGTCTTTGACTGACAGTATCGTTCGTGAATAGTTCCTTCTGCTCCCATCCCAGAGCTCAAAGCCCAATTAGCTGGGTTTGATGCAGCGGCTCATGTGCTCACCCTTGCATTCGAGTCCAAAGCGGTGGGTCAAGTCTTTCGGGACCCCCGTGAAGATCCACGTATTCCCCTACCTGAAGAGAAGGTGTTTATTGTGTCTTGGGTGGACTATTGCAACAAATATGGAATGGGATATGCCCTCACCGACGGAAGTGTCGGAGTTCACTTCAACGATAGCTCCAGCATTGTCTTGAGTGCGGACAAGCAGTGAGTTCAACTTGTCGTTTTCGTGGAATTATCCTGACAGAAATGATGTCAAGCCACTTTGATGTGATCTCATCGCGGCGAAATGGGACTGTATTTGTTAGGAAATCCTTCACCGTCGAAGAGTACCCTGAGGAATTGCAAACGAAGGTGTACCTGCTAAAGCACTTCGAACGATATATAATGGACCGTCTCTACGGCGAATATGACTATACTTTCGAAGACACCGAAAAAACCAAGGGAATGATATGGGTGCAAAACTATCTTCGAATGAAGCAAGTCATCGTCTTCAAATTGAGTCACGACGTTCTTCAGGTACGCTTTATAATATCAATTACTGCAGACGATTTCTTCTCATACTTTTCCAGTTCAATTTCTATGATCACTCTAAAATCATTCTCTCCTCCTCCGGCCTCGTCGTGACTCACATTGACAAGAACAGTGTACTCACTCGTTGGCTTCTTTCGGATATCATGCACAACGCTTTGCGTGCGGCTTCGTCGACCTCAACTGCCAACCCGGATACCGTTAAGTTCAACCAGAAGCTTGTTGACAAACTCAAATACTGCAAAGAAGTCCTTGTCAGCATTCAAACGGCCAAAACTAGCGGAAGTGATGCCACTCCTACCTCCAATATCCCTGGTTCGACTGTTGGTAATTCTGTGGGCTTACCAGACAAAGCTTTGAAAGCTTCACTGAGATAACGATAAATTTTGATTCTTTCATGGTCAAGTGTGGATTATATTTTTTCACTGTCTTGGGAACGGCGTTAGGTCGTCGAAGCGGCAATAGGTCGTTTCAGCCATTGACACCTGGACTTACCACCCCTCTGTACTTCATCCTCCTGCATCCCTTTCATGTCTGCATTATATACCATTAGCACGAATGTATTTCCGTCGTACTTATTGGATGAGTTATAAAAACAAAGATTTTTAACAAGTTTCTTGTAGGAATATGTACTACGTCGGAATCGAATACCAGGCTTGAGCGGAGCTTGAGGCCTTGGGCCTTGAGCTTGAGGATGAAGCTGAAGATCGAATCGCCGTTGATTGGTAATCAATCCAAAAGTTGCAGTGCCGGCGCCGAGACCCTCGCTTCTTCGACGTTGACCATTTGCCATTCCTTTTGCGACCACCATCTGTCTCGCCCGCTGTCGTTTGTCGAACCAACTCGAGTCCATTTAAACTCTCCTTCGCTTCCTCTTTCTCTTCTAATACGCAGATTCGCACAAAGAAACGCACACTACCGTCTTCCCCGCACTCTTCAGTTCACTTTTCTTCGTAGCTAAAACCGCCATGTTACTGCCGAAAAGGATTTCATCCCGTGGAAGAGCTCTTATTAGCTTGGTCCTTGTCTGCATCTTCTCACAAGTATCATGTGTGTATCTGGCGATTCATAAATCGTGCAAGAGCTAACGAATTCTCCCATCTTAGCATACTTTATCATAAATGAGCCGGATTCCTCGTCGCAGTGGTCAAATGGCGCTTCAAATTTAATTTCGTGGACAAAAGGGCTTGAAGATGGAATCGACGCTTTTGACGTTGAGCTTGCTCGTCTCACTGACGACGGTCTGATCTTTGTTGCAAGAGATGGTCTGTTTTCAGTCCTTATTGCTCTAAATACTACTGAAGAATCTCGACTCTAGTACCATGCGCAAAGGGCGATACTTCAGCGTTGAACATTTACCTACAAGATGTCCCCGCAGCAAACGACTACTTCCTCCTTTTCCTTAACTCGACACCTGGCACAATGTACGCTACCTCGAGCCGGTTCACGATCCTCGATTCATCAACATCGGCCAACGCTTCCCAACCATCCACAAACCCTTCAGCCGCGACGGTCACAGTGAGCGGATCTCCCAACCCGACACAGCTGTTCGCTACGACCTTTGCGCTGGCGAACGGCTCCCCAGTGCTAATCTCTGATATGGGCTATATTGCAGTCGGCTTAGGATCGGCGCTATTTAGCTGCCTATTGGGTGCTGCTTGGACGCTGTGGTAGGACGTCGCCGGTCATTGGGGGACGTGGTCATGCTACTTTTGTGTATCACTCTCTATCGGACACAGAATACGTGTATTGGAGCTAGTTTAGAGAAATAAGGTTGGACACTGGATAGGTCATGTGCTTTTGGAGGGTTAAGAAGAAGCTACAAACAAGAGGAATCGTCTGTAACGTTGATTTTGCTCCGCGAAAATTTCTCATGAAGGGTCCTCCACTTGGTCTCAGTTGATGAAGGTATTCTTCATCTCAATCTCATTGGCTGTATGGTATATTTTTCCATTTTACTTTGCCCTTATGTCGTTCCTGTTCATTCATACATCGGTCTTACACTCAACTTCTCTATGGCGAGGTTCGCTTGGATTTCTCTGCATCGGTTGGAATCATTTCTTGCTTTCTGGTGTCGTTCACTTTTCACATATTCGCTCCACCATCATTCTAATTCCTTCTACCCCTTGACGAATAATCAACACAGGAAATACATGGCTTCACCTGCATAGACTTTGACCACCTTCACTCATTTTTTTTCCCAGACGTCTTCTATCTTCTAGTGCCGTTTGCGCTCGTTCTATTTTCGATTTGCTTTGGTTCTTGTTTCTATATTTAACGGATGATTTAATTTCCCTTATGATATATTACCCTATACAACCTGTACTGTTTCCCTTGCATGTTTACGCATCCGTTATCGCAGCTACAACGAGTAATTCGGGCATCAGGCTCGGCAACGATGGCATCGGTCTATTTAGCCCGGAAGCTTGAACACTTGTCACTTGAAGGTATGCTCTAATAAGCTTTATCCAATGGACTGAGACGGATCCAGGGATCAAGTTCCTATCAATTGGCTATGGTCAACTTTTGTCGTTATGGCGCTCTTTTTATATCAGTCTCTGTACATGGCAAGAGCGATGATATCCGAATCCGGAATTGATTCTTAGATTTCAACACAACCGCCAATTCGTATTCAAGACCACATATTTTTCTCAAGTATTCTAACTCTCGCATACAAACTCCCACAAACTGGCGGCTATTCATAATGTCCGCATGTGGGAAGACCGCTGGTGGACGAAGAATTGTTCTATGTACTATGGATCTGGACTCGGAATAGAGGAGCATAAAAGAGGGTTCATTCATAGTGATACTCTTCAACCTGCAGGTCAAGTTCCTCCGACATAATACCCACTCTTTGCTGGTCAAAGATTGAACAAGCCCTTCTCTTTGAATCTATCACAACCATCTACTCCCACACTCCGTCAAATCAGTTTTCATTATGCGCCTCATCAGTATTTCAGCTATTTATATCATTCTCCAGGGATTTATCCTTACTGTTTGTGCAGCGCCAGTGAGTCAGATCTCCTAGCCGGAACATTTGAGGTTCACTTACTGATATTGATGGCCTATTCTTCCAATCTAGGTCAACAATTACTCGGACGTGAACACTACTTCCACAAATACCTTGCAAGCTCGCAATTACGAGAACCGACGCACCATCAAGAATTCCAGTGCCCTTGAAGAGCTCAAGGGGCAGGGGCTCAGCAACACCGTCACTCCATCCGATCCTTCCCAGGATACCTCTTCCCCTCCAGCGACATCTACTTCTTCTCGCGAAGAGCGGCGTTCTATAAAGGAAAAAGTCCACAACGCCCTCGAAGCACTCAAGGGTAATACTCCCAGCTCGGGAAGTAGCAGTAATCCTTCGCCTGATTCTTCTCCGGACACTTCCTCGTCCGCCACACCCCCGGAGAGGAGATCAAGGTCTCGTTACGAAAACGGTCGTTCTATCATGGAGAAACTCACTCATGTCGTCGAAGCTCTGAAAGGACAGGGTTCCACCGCCGTGGACAGTAGTAGTACTTCACCTGATCCTACCCAGTCATCCTCTCCAGGGAAGAGGTCTTTCTCCGATGGCAAAGAGAGTCGTTCTATCAAGGAAAAACTCTCCAATGCCCTCGCAGCACTCAAAGGACAGACCCCCAGCTCGGGAGATAGCAGCACCAGTACTGCATCCGAACCTTCCGATACCTCATCTCCCTCTCCAACGAGAAGATCTCTCTCCCGACGTCTCATGCTTGCTGTAGCTGTGACAGTGTCTGAAGGCGAGGCTCTCACACCATTTGTATCTCCGTCTCAAATTGCAGTCCGAGATGTCATCCGCGAGCTTCTTGAAGCCGCAGCCCCCTCGCTAGCACTTGGGACTCACTGGAGATTGGATTGGGAGAACATCCCCTCCCCGAAAGCTGATGCCAAGTCGCGGATTGAGTTCTCAATGACCGGGCCAGAGAAATGTGGTGGGACGTGTACTGCATGGGTGGAAGAGAAGAAGCATGAAATCAAGGATCATAGTGGCAAAGTCATTTACCCCTGAAGTTCGCTAGCATGAATAAAAAAATTGGGATTTACCAAGTCCTCAGTTGCATCATGAGTTCCTGTTAGAATAGACGTAGTGCGGTGTATGGGGCCGGGGAGGAGAAGAGATCACATAGCTTTTGACGGGAGCAGTCGATTTTTTCTGCGAATTAATTGACGTGTTTGCTTTTTGGGTGTACGTAGTGCGCGCACGGGATCGGGACAATGAAGAGTATTCATCAAGACAATCAAATCATGAGCACAGGCTGCACAGTACAGCGATGAGGAATCAAATGACGCATTTGCAAACTGTCCGCGGTTATATGCGTAAATCCACACGTAATAAATTTAGGAAAGTTCATACAAACCAAAGCAAAAGTCCGTCATATACTGTATAGATCGTAATGACTCTTCAAAGAAACGCGACTGAAGAAGCACCAAAAATCATCCCACTAACTACCACTGTGAGCAATCCAACGCCAAGTCCCTTGTCAGATAATGAAGCATTGGAGGAAGCCGAGGTCGAGCTGGAGGAAGTGGAGGTCGTGGTCTGACCACTGGAGCTTGTTGTAGACACTGCAGTAATCGTGGATTGTGAATTCCCAGATGTACTTGCAACCACACCCGCACCACTGGGCAACGTCCCAGTAGAGATCGGAAAGATTTGAGTGATCACGTCTCCACTGAGCGTTCGCGTCGAGGTGGATCCATCGTCAAGAACTTCCTCTTCGACGCATTCGCCACTGGCGGAGGCCGTAAAATGGCAATCGAGACCTCCGCCGAGTTGCGTTGAACCGGCAGCAGTGGTGGTGGGAAAATTGGATTGAACCCATCCAGAGGCAGAGACAACGACAGTTTCTGTGAAAAGTAAAAAAAAAATGTGTAGGATAGATTAAAGAGGACTCTTGGCTCACCTATAGCCGTCGTAGTGACAGTCGTTAGTATGATCGCGCCACTGGTAGACACGAGTCCGGAGGCAGTAACAACATTTTCCAAGATAAACGTGGTTTCGGAGCCATCACTAGCAGTCCCGATAGGTTGCGCCCACTCTGTCCCTACCACGGTGTTGGATTCGCCGGCGGGAAGGAATTCGAAAAGGCTAACGCTAGCTTGTTGAGGAAGGGCACAGATAGAGCCTGGAGAAAGTAGGAATTATAAGTATTCAATATCCAATACCTCGTACAAATTCTACACACCGAATCTCAAAGCCAATCCCAAAAAAATCATCACAACATTGCTTCCAGCCTGAGTCAACATCATAGCTACAGTACCTGTTAACTCTGTGCGCCAAAACCAGCGCAAATTAGTTGACGAGGATGAGAAAGGAAGCTAGACGAGTAGGAAGAAAGAAAAGAACCACTGACAATGATAATAATGGAAACTTGTGGTTTCGTTATGTATAGGATGCGAAATGAATTATTTGCGACGTGCATGATGACCATCAAGAGGCGAGTGAGATTCAGATCGCGGGTACATTCTCACGACCCCCCCCCCCCCCCCCCAATGAATAGAGAGCCCAGGCAGAGTCTATCGGCTGCTGGCGGCAGCAGCATTGTGCCGAAGACCGGCGAACTGTATTGTAGCTTAGTGTAGCACGCTCTAAAATCTCAGTTACTTGCAGTTAACAGTCAGTCAGCTATAACTGTATCCCCTCTACTAATTTGGAGCGCGTGATTACACCCCTCGACTCGCACATTCATGCCCAGCAATCCACTGATTTGAGTGCGTGCTTACGCACCTCGACTTTCACATTTCTTCTCAGCAATGCAACTTTAACTCTGTGCATAATGTTTATACAACCGTCAATACAACTCCTGACACGCCAAATAATGTCTATAACAATCTGAAAGAGTGGGTAGATGGCGATATCCGCTTTGTTCAATGCCCGCGCTGCCTTAAGCCTATAAATCATGGATCGAACAAACTATCATTCGCTCAACTCAAAACACATTGGAGCACTAAATGTCTATCGCCTTGTGAGTGTTTGATCACAACCCATAATCTTCTTGCTGATGTCTTTATGCTTCAGATAATTCCAACAGTAATCAAAGCTCTAATCCTTTATCTGCATGCACAGGTGTCACCTTCCCCTGGAAGTTAGGCAGCCCGTTTTCCACTTATCCATTTGGGATCCATTCTGCGCAGTCCGACTTCGATCCAGGCTATGTGTTTGCAGCGGCTAATGAAGAAAGATCAACAGTCACTCTCCGATCGTACTCCTGTAGTATGCATGTTCAAACAGAATGGACGTGCTGTCTGCACTGTGGCAGCCTTCAGAGCAAAGTCGATGTGGTCCATGATAAAGCTCGTCAATCACCTGGAAAGAAGAAGACTGTCTCACTGAGCATTCATCAGATTCAGGAACGCCTAACTCAGACGAGTACAGTTCTCAATAAAGCAAAACTCACAGTAAGTGCGAAGAAAATGGTAACATCGGACTATATCTAATTTTTGATTTGTAGCAGTTACACAGCTCTCGCGACTCTAGTAATCATCTTGAACTACTTGAAAAGTACCGGAGTCTCCATGCATACATTGCTGCCAACAAAGTACCCGCGCTCAACCGAATTTTCTATATTGCGAATAAAGAAGGATGGTCAGTTGATAAGTTGGCCAAGAAGATGAAAGATGCAGTTGATGGAAGCTACTACCCAAAATCCTACTCCGAATACGAGAGAGACCTTGCTGTCCTGCTATACGAAATCGGTGGTGGAGCTACTTTATACGCTCTCAACCACTCCCCTCTTTCACTCCCATCTCGATTTACAATTTCTCGCCAGCGTCAAAGTTTTTCACTTCAAGAATCCACGGCGGGACTACGAATCACCGAGATTTTACAAAATATCAAGACGGTATTTGAAGGGTATGCTCCGGGTGTAGGTCGTCGAGGTATAAACCTCAGTCAAGATGAGACCGCCAGTGAAAACCGGCTATGTTGGTGCCCTTCTACGGATAAGGTCTTCGGTCTCTGTGAGCATGCCAAACGTCTTGGGGATCTCAGACTGGGAAAGGATATGAAATCAGTGGAAAAGATTGTGCGGGCCGTTCGCGTTGAGAAGGATATTCACATTGCGCAGGAGATTAGCGTTGCGGCATTTTCGCTTTACGACGAAAATTTCTATGGTGCCCGACCTGTGCTCATCATGCCGACTTGCAAGAAAGGTGATTGGAAGTTAGCTGCGATGCAAAATGCGGTCCTCCTTGCGGCATGGAAGTTTTCACCATTTGGGGCTGCAGCACATGGTGATATTTGGTCATTAAGCTCAGATGGTGACCCGAAGCGGCGTCCTGCCCTTTACCTTGTCACTATGGTGCGACAGGTGCAGCCCAGCGACATATTGTTCAATTGGCTTGGAAAATTACCTGGATTGAATCTTTTGTGTGGACCCAACTTCGAGACACCGTCTTTCGATCCAAAGCACGACATTAAGCGTACGTTAACTATTCCATCTTCGATTCAAATTCGCTAATGATTTATGTGTAGGTTGTTGTACTCTGCTTTCGTCTATTGACGGCATGGTTGTGAATGGTGTCATTATTAACAAATCGATTCTTGGTCTCTGGTTCCAGCGTTTGGAAGGACATGACTGGACAGAAATTGACATCGAAAATGTTTTCAACTTTGGTGATCACCAAGATGTTCCTCGAGCGTTCACGCTGCTCTGCCTCGTAGCTGATCTTCGAGAACTCGATGATAGTGACCTGGATCCATCTGAGATTCATACATTTCGCTCGCTCAAACTACTTGGAAAGCTTTTCGCCTATCTTGTAGAACCTTTTCTTCTCCTGGATCTCTCTCTCTTCAGTCAGATGAAACGACTAGTCAAATTCGCTTACCTGGCATTTGCCCTCTACGTGAAACATGGTCAGTCCTTCATGACACCGCAGCTATATGGCGACATCCAAGCAATGATCAAGAATGCTATTTTTCTTGTTGCTCACACGAAGAGCCTTGATCCTTTGCTAAAAGTCTTGGTCGCACTCTTGGGTGATGATGTTCTGGAGGTACTGTTTGGACGGACACGGATGCTAGGTAGCCATGATCCAAATTGTGATGTCTTGCAATTTGGTCAGCGAGTTGAGTCCGCCTTGCGAGCAGACAAGATTTTCACAAAATATCCCGAACTTGAACAGAAGCCTCGCCGGCTCATGACACGTCGAATGGGATCTAGTGACCACCACACCCCACGATACTTTACTGGCGATCTGACTGCTGGTTCGTGTGATTTGGATAAGGTTTTTGCAGAGGCAGAGACAGAAGTGTTAGAAGATCTAGCTTGTGCTGGATATGAACTGGTTCCTGGAAAGACATTTAGCTTTCGTGAGCTGTTCGCTCAAGAGGATTGTGATTTGCAGCGTCCTGTTGGTGGACGTTATCCCGGACTTTCCACAGCTGTTGACCGTTCAATCTCTGAAGCTTCCGAGCTTGTATCAGCAACATCCGATAATGCTGAATCCCTCGGCTCCGCATCTGGGAACTCGGAAGAGCTACAGTCGATCCTCAAGATTCTCAAAGTCGATGCGGCTGCAATGTTAGAAGAAGAGAGAAAAGAGGATGAGCTGGCTGCCTCAAGTGCCCAAGAGTCACACTCGAACTCGGCTCAGCGTCCATCACCTTTCTTTTACCCTGATCCAGACAAACCGAAATTGCGGATCTCCAAACGTACGGCTCTTCGTGAGCAGATGAACCCGGGGTTTGATTTGAACAATGGAAAAAGTCACGACCGTCTTTTACGTGTCCGATATTTTGCTGAAGGCAAGGATTGGGACACAAAAGCTGTTGCAACTGATATTGACAACGACAACTCCTTCAAAGTTGGCTCGATATTCACAACGCTCATCTATATTCCTGATAAAAAACTTGTTTCTCTTGCAATCCTTCACTGCACATCCATCCGCAGCAAAGGGGCTTGTACGCATGCACCTATTGACGAAATCCCTCTCTCCGAATCAAGATACAATCTCGGAGGTCAGGTGTTGGACCTTCTCCCATTCTTCGATGGAAAAGAGCTACATTGGGACTGGACGACGTTGTCGATTGAATTAGAGACAGGAAAACCAAAGAAGAAGGCGAAAAATAATAACCATGGACTAGTACCAGTACTGAACAGGAATCTTCGCATCGAGGTCAATGGCAGCTTAACATATCCTTTCCGTCGGAACTCATTTGAAGAACTTCCGTTTGATCAACTCCCTCCAGAGACGAAAACCCATTTCGGCAGTCAAAGATCAACTTGGCGCTTTCCTGATTCTTTACTATCATCCTCATTCTCAACTCTTTCTCAGCGTCTTATTGATAACCGCGATCTCCTTGACCTTATGCCCGTTCACTGCATTAGTCGCGGTGTCTTCCCATACTCATTCAAATCAGGACCAACATCTCGTGCGTACCATTTCTATTCCATGTATTGATTCTCTGATCTGACAGCAATCGTAGCGTGTTTTTACGCATCTTCATCTCTTCCAAAACCCTCGTCAAACACTGATCAAAAGTCATGTTCAGTCTGCCAAAAGATGGTCAAAATCGCAGAACTATACTCTCATATGGCAAAACATATATTACAGAAACGTCGTGGTCTCCCCGGAACTGAAGCTTATATTGTTCGTTTCGATTTCTTAACAATGACTGATCTAACAAACTCCTTAGATTGATCCCAACTATCCCTGTGGCTTCTGTGGTCAACCGTGTTCGTCAGCGAGCTGTTCTGTGCAGATTGACAAAGGTTATGTGCAGTCGCATTGCCCATGTGCTTATCGTGTCCAAATTTGGCGTGCTGCTACAATGAGCATCAAGAATCCCGCGACAAATGTACCGCTTACTTGTCCTTTTTCAGCCTGCCGAGAAGTCCATTGGAAGTATAATATGAAAAAACATCTTCTAGATCGACATCCAGGCTGGAAAAACCACATTTCATCTGCGGTTGTTGCGGAATTCGAGCCTAAGTTTACGATTTCACGAGAAGAGGAGTTGGCATTGGGTATACCAGATGACAAGATTGGCGTAGATGCAACCACAGTTACCCAAATAGTGAATCCGCCCCAACCTCAAACACCATTCAAGCGTTCATATAAAAGGCCGGAGCCCCCCACAGATAGTGTGACACCAGGACGAACACATACACAGAAGCTAAATTTGCCCCGGACAAATGCTATTCCGTTGTCGCATGAAGCAGGCCTTGCGAGAACAGATTCAAGACATACATCGGATGTTTCACTCTTTTTCACTACTTGAACCAATAAATATGGCTTCTGAACTGTATTTGATTAGTTGGCTCATGAAATATATGATATCAACAACAAGTGAATGCGAAATAGGTGTTTTATGAAGATTCTACGCTATTCTACGGTCGTTCTACGGCCTCTCAAGCCGCTACCAGATGCCGTGCACTCGGCTGAGCTTTCGGCTGATCTCATCATAGAAGTTTCTGGGCCTTAGGGTCTTTCGCGTGGCAACATAAGTACCCGCGATCTGAATCTCACTCGCCTCTTGATGACCATAGTGCCCGGAGCGCTGATGCTGTGTACGCAGTGTAATAGATCGACATGGAGTACATATGTATTCGCGCTACTTACCTTTAGGCTCCTTTAGGTAGTGGGTATTGTAGCACTTCAATTTCAGAATTTCTTCATCCGCCAAATAGGGAGATTTTCCCTCTGTGGTGTATGATTATGTAATACATGTGCTGCTTTTCGCTATTCCTCTTTCATGTTGCTTTACAAGCGCTGGCCAACCTCGCCTCGCAGGCAAAGACAACACCATCTATCAGTCTATCATCTCAAGAAGTCTTATCCATGCTGCAAGTCTCGGCGAATGGCGCAGTAATTCCGTCTGTGCTAAGCATTGTCACCGTCAATATCCTCGACTTCTTCCTCTGTCCTTCCAATGGTATGTAATCTACCCGGTCGTCTCCAATTTGAACTTGAATGCTGAGCGCTGAACTGCGAAGCTTAATATCCAGATGAGTAATCGTTACCCTTTCAAGTTTTGATTCTTCCCAGCCGTCATGATACTTGTTTGTATATACATTGTACAGGCACTCACCCCATGGCCAATCCTAATATCTTTTTCGAAGGTAATCTGTATTGAGATTGCTTTACTCTGGTTATACATAGTGTTCTCCGACTTGGCCGTGGAACACTTCAATTCCATGCGTAGATAATGCGTGGTTTCATGCATATGAAATATATTCATACCACCTCTTTGCATTCTTCTTGTCGTCTTAGTGGGATTCTACATACCAAGCTCAGACTAGGCTCCATGCAAAGTTATATCAAGTGGTTGCAGTCATTTGTAGGAATACACGCCTGCTGGCAGAGAATGTTTCTATTTGTGGATCTCTCGATAGAGATATTAAAGAGATTGTAGCTCTCCAAGATTATTTGCAGTAACTGTCCCAGCTACTTGACTTCGTATTACTATCCAAAATGTGTAGGTGGATTGTATACGTCGGCGAGTACGATTCTTCCTCTGATATTATTCCATCACATCTTTAACAAATCCCTCCAGACAGCCCCTTCTGCTTGAAGATTTACTCGTCAAACCCAAACATTCCGTGTGTTTTATGTTTTGAGTGTATCCATAAACATGATTGAGCTCTGCGTCAACAGATAGTCAAACAGTGCCATTCTTTCCATTGAGTACCTCTTGACGGATGCTGATATATAGCATTTTAGAGTCAATATCCGTTTCCTCCCCGGGTTATACTATGGATTAGAAGACGGCGACAAGGCAGAGTTGGAGATGCGTTAGTTTTGTTCACACTGAATCTTGTTGTACTTCTTCTGATATCGACCTAGAGGCGGCGTGGATTAATGTCCACGGCTTCGGAGTAGGATGGTACACTGACACACTCACAGAATTCGACCCCTCCGTCAAAGGCATGCAGCCCGCCCAGTTCAGGACTATTGCCCCTATTTCTACCGATCTTGCGTTTAGCCAACTTTGCGCACATACCGCATCCAAATGCACCCTGGCCCATATCAGAGATGCTAGCTTTCCACCCGTTGTCGAAGTTAACAATCATCCATTCATCTTTGGCAAATACGCTTTCATGCACAATGGTAGTGTCAATAATTTCGCAAAAATCGTAGGCCGTTCTCAAGTATTGAGATTAACTTATTAATCTTTCCATTCAGCGGTTCGACGTGATGAAAAGAATATCTGAATTGCAAAACACTGTACAGACCGAAGCCTTCGTATCGTCCGTTCCGAATTCCAACTACGTTTTCAATATCCGGGGAAACACCGACACCGAACATTTGGCTACCTTGTACTTTGCCCACCTTGATGTCATTAGAGCTGGGATCCTGTCAGCGATTCGACGAGCACGGGATATCTCCACTTTCAACTTCCCACATGGCTTTCAGACTGGTCAGCAACCGCCTCCTTTACACGGAGGCTCTGGTATCACGATTCCCTTCAACTTTGATTCGACTGATTCGTTACTACTTGCGCTTATCAACACTATCACCGATATCCACGCAATTCAACGTCGATATCAAGTCGGTCCGTTCACACCTGGTCCGTTTCCTCCTGGCAAGAATTTTGCTGGTAATAAATTGAACCTCTGCATCAGTTTGTTTTCACTGTCATTTTCAATTGGGACTGTATATCTGATGACTTCTCCTCTGCAGCTGACGGCGGAAACCAGATGCTCGTTTGTCGCTGGAGGGACGCAAAGGACGGTTTTCCTCCGAGTCTTTATCTTTCGCTCACCGCTGGCCAGAAGCTCAATAGGAAATATTCTCCGGTTTTGCCTGATCCTCAGGATTCAGAGAAGGTTGTCGACCCGACTGTCAAAATTGACTCTGTCAAGGAATTGGTAAAGAGATACCGGAAACTGCCCCCCACTGAACAAGGTTTGTGTAATTTCCTTCATCTACTTATAACAGACTTATAATGAACGGTCTTCCGACCATCATCTAGGACGTCATGTTATTGTTGGCTCAGAGCCTTGCAGTAAGTCTATTTTCCAAAATTTGGAGGACGCTGAACATGATATATTATCGCTAATTGGATAAATTTCTAGCTGAATTCGTCGACGATTGGGGTCTCTTTGATCAGAACCAGTGTGTGATCGTCGATAAACACCACAAATTGAGGATCCTCAATTTGGCGAAATTCTTCCAAGGTGGTCGTGAGCACGAATTCGAAAAATATCACTTCAGCGATGTCTTCAACCAAATAAACTCCGTTGGAAGGACCGCTTCTGCGCCGGTTATTGGAGTTCCAGCACACTCTATCGATCTGCCTACGTCCAAGTCTGATGCCTACGAAGTTGAATTGGATTTGTGATAGTCTCTGTTTTCTGCGTTTCTCGGTAAGTGGGTAGGTAGCGTAGGTATCACAATATATGGAGAATGTAAAATATTTATACATAGTGTTCTGATTCACCGTGGCACATCGAAATATATACGAGGACTTGGACCGTGAGAGTCTTAAACTACTTACCATCAACTTTTGGTGATTGCAGTACATGAATCCACCACATAAGTTATACACCTCAAAATCCCAGAGCCACAGCATCTATGCCTTAAATCGATAGGAGTCTCTCTGTCCTGGCTCTCCTTCAACTTTGTTCGGCGATCTTTCTTCCTGATAGGAAGTCCACGCAGCGGCTGTAGGGGAGACGTTGGTAGGATCTCGTGACTGTTATGGTTCAATTCTGCTCTCGTATGTGGATCAATCCTCCTCCGCCTATGACCTTGGCTGGCATCCTGATCCATCGATGCCCAGTGTCCTGCATTCTCCCAGGAGCGCTTTTGACCGCCCCTGTTTGGAGGTGAACGATATTTGGTCTGGGATACTTTGAGCGTAGTGCGCTCTACTTCGTTCCAGAATGTGTCCTGCCTTGGCAGGGGCTTGAACATGGTGGGCTCTGTTTGGCTTGGAGGCAGCGGCGGAGAGGGATCCATTTTGTTCAGCGGCCTTGGTATTGCGCTAGAAATATCCGGAGGATCGGTGAACGCTCTCGAAATATTCTCCATTATAACACTTGGATGTGGCTGCTGCTGAGGGACAGGAAACGTCGATTGGTATTGATGCTGAATCGGGGCAGTTGGCTGATAAGCCGGAGAAGAAGCTGGAGCATGTGCAAAAGCTTGTACAGGTGCGCTTTGATAAATCCAATGACCCGCGAAGGCCGCCTGGGCTGGCGGCGGACTGAATACTGGCGCATTACTGGGGCCCGTTGATGGTGTGTTTTGACTTTCCGTATCCATGTTCATGATCTTATTGTCTTCATTTGTATCGTAGGCTCTAATATCACATGCATCGACCATGGTGACCGAGGCGCATTTCTGCAGAGATTGCGTCTGTTGTACAAAGGCACCCCCAAAATTCGTGGGCTGATCTTCAATGACAATGCTCATGTCCGATTCTGACTTCGCCAGCGCGCGCGTCCTAGAAGCGGTAATAGGAACGTCGACACTCATCATCGAATCAGTCTTTACCAGAGGACCTCCGTATTTCGGTGCCGGCAACACCACGTCGTCTACACTCATCGCCGAGGCTGATTTCGCCAGCGGTTTATGAACGAACGTAGGTCCACTAGGCTGGACAACGGGAGACTCGTCTTCATAATCGGCCAGATTCCCGTCATCTGGAGTTGATCTGGGAAACGACCTAATTGTATTCGCTATATCATTCGGAGCATTGGATCCCTGGGACGTCGAAACACTGTATGGTGCTCCTGATGTCTCTGACGATGAAGGATCAGCGCTAGATGTGGCATTTGCGAGGATTCTTTCATCTGGGAATGCGTCTGACCGACCAAGTCGAGTACGTCGGACTCCAATCTGATATGGTGAATTGGAATACCTCGACGAAAAGTCCCGAATGTGGCGCCTATGAACTAAGGTCTCAGTGCCCTTCGTGGCTTGAGCTGCTCTGCTTGACCCCGATACAAATTTTGGTGCTATACGTGATGCCAATGATCGTTGTCCCGAAGAAATACCCCTCTGCGAATAATGCGAAGTGGAATCCTCCTCGATGTCGTATCGCGTCTTCCGATTGAAATTCCGGTTTCTCCCCTTCTTTCTCAAGTTCGCTAGTTCTACCTTTTCACTCTGAAGAGTCGGGTCAAGCGAATCTCTCCTCCCTCTATGTCCCCTTGCTGTAACAGGTCGAGGAAAATCCGATCTGGGCTGGCCGGCTGTGGAGGTATGAGCTCTTACAGTTTGACCTGGTAATCGCTCTTCGCGAGCGCCGTGGCGTTGAGCAAGAGTAAGTTCAGTAGGAGGGTTTTCAAGTTCATCAGTCACCGGTGTAAGCAAAAATTGGGAAGGTGCCTTTGTTTTTACTTGTACCGAAGTACTCGAGCTGCTTGATTCGTTGCGCCTCGATGGGACAACTTCACTAGTACTTGAAACTAGCGCCGCCTTTGCTATTGATTGATTGTCCGATCTCAAGATCCTTGGCTGACTGCGAACACCATTGTGGGACTTAGGTGAAGCAATATTTCCAACAATCAGCGAAGCGTTCCCTTCGCTCTCGGATGGATTCAGGATGATCTGAACTTCCTCTAAATCATCGTCATTCTCTTCTTCTTCTTTCTCCTCCTCCTCCTTCTCCGTTTCTTCTTCGTCTGCTTCTTCCCCCTTGTCTTCTTCAGATTTTGCCGCTGGTGGTATTCTACTACCAGCACGACGGAGACTGTTCAACGCGGGAATTTTGATAGTGAGCCTAGAAATCCCAATCAATTCAGTGGTATATATGCGAGACGAATGGGTACTATACGGACGGGGCTACTATGAGATTGTTAAACAGCCCAGCTATATCACTGATGCTGCTACTTGTTTTATTTTTCAAATTTGATGGGTTGCTCATGACGGAGTTCTTTGGACTTTTGCTCAATAGGGTAAGTAATGGGGGGAAAGGTTACAATGGGTTAACAATGTGCCCTAGTCTGACTTGGTCTGACATCTTTAAATATGGAGACTAGCTAGTGCTGAGAAAGCTGTTTGTCGAATACAAGGGAGTTGTGGGCGATATTTGATCCAAAACAAAAAATAGAACGAGAACGGCACAACGGTTGTGATGGTTGTTGTAAGTTTTTTGTCTTGTATGTACATATCATTTGATTGCAACAAAAATTGGACATGGAAAATCATATCAAACTCAAACCAGGGGGCATTCCTCGAGTGTATCTATCTGTCTATCTTAGGTTGGTTTTTACGACTGTGACTAGTACAGCTTCTGGCACTAATGCGCAACTCTCCACAATTCATTGGCTACTTACTATTGTATACATTCTAGTCATACAAACACTGGCGTAAGGACAAACTTGTTAATCACATCTCCGAGAAGCTTCACGTCTTTATCAAACTTTCTTCAAGTCCAGCTCAGCCTCGAAAGCCTCACACTTGGAATCAGGCAGATCGATGGGTTGCGTTGGAACTCCAATCACCGGTGTAGGAGCATTGCTCTCGGAGTTGGAAATTTGGTCGAAGACGTTGTCGAAGTGGTACCTCTTAAATTCATGCTCACGGCCTTCTCGGAAGAATTTCGCCAGATTGATGATCTTCAACTTGTGGTTTTCATCGACAATAACGCATTGGTTCTGATCGAAGAGACCCCAATCATCGACATATTCAGCTATCAGACAGTTGGTCAGCAATGAAGGTAGTATTCGAAGTGTTGGGTGGATGCTTACTGCAAGGTTCGGAGCCAACGATGACATGTCGCCCTGAGAAAAGAAGAATTAGTATGAGATTCATCGATCAATAAATGATACAAACCTTGTTGACTGGGAGGGAGGTCCTGGTATCTCTGTACCAGTTCTCTGACTGAATCGATCTTGACATCTGTGTTGTTGATGTCCTCTGAAATCTTGGGACTAGGAAGAACAGGGAAATATTTCCTGTTCAGCTTCTCGCCAGCGGTGAGCGAAAGGTAAAGGCTGGGCGGGAAACCTTCCTTCGCGTCCCTCCAGCGACACACAAGCATCTGATTTCCGCTGTCGGCTATATTCACAAGATAATCAGCTTTGATACGACAACGAAGGAGGGCAGTAAAGGCGAACTTATGCAGAGGTTCAGTTTATTTCCAGCACGGACATTGCCAGGAGTGAAAGGGCCGGTCTTGTGACGACGCTGAATTTTGTGAAGATCAGCAATGGTGTTGACAAGAGCAAGTAGCAGTGCATCAGTCGAGTCAGTGTCGAAGGGAATCTCGAAACCACCAGGACCCCGCCTGGACCTGATCCCTGCTTTGATGAGATCGAGGTGAGCGAAGTAAAGGGTCGCCAAATGCTCAGTGTCAGTGTTTCCTCGAATGTTGAACACGTAGTTGGAATTCGGGACAGAGGATGCCAAGGCGAGTGTTTGCACTGTCGCTTGCAGTTCGGCTATTCTCCGCATCACGTCGAATCGCTATAAATGAAGAGTTATATCGAATCATCGAAAGCACGAAAAGAAACATACAATGGGAGCGAAATCAGCGACGCTTCCGTTGTGCATGAACGCATATTTCCCAAATATGAAAGGATGGTTGTTTACTTCCACGACGGGAGGGAAACTGGCATCTCTGATGTGAGCCAGCGTGCATTTGGATGCGGTATGAGCACAAAGCTGGCTAAATGCAAGATCGGTAGAAATCGGGGCAATAGTCCTAAACTGAGCGGGTTGCATGCCTTTGACGGAGGGGTCGAATTCTGCGAGGGTGTCGGTATACCAACCCACCCCGAAGCCGTGAACATTAATCCACGTAGCCTCTGCGTCGATACGGATATCAGAAAGAAGTTGACTGACATTAGGAAATAAAACTTACGTATCTCCAACTCTGCTTTGTCGTCGTCTTCCAATCCGTAGTATAGTCCGGGAAGGAAACGGTTATTGACTCTGAAAGACTTAGTGTCAGGAATTAATTGGGAATTAATGAGATATACATACTGTTTTACGATCTATGAAGCATTGGTAGATATGAGCACTGATCGTGAGCTGGAAACGTTCAAACATACCGAGTGATCTGGCCTGACCAGTAAATCCTCGAGCATAAGACTCTGCCTGAAGCATCGTGTTAAAACAAGAAGATACGACGATAGGAAAAGAGTAGACGCACTCGCCAACATATACAATCCATCGACACATTTTTAAAAGAGTCGCAGGATCTGTAAACACGGAAAAAGATGATTGGGGTAATCACTGCATGATCATCTCGAGTCCCCGTCCTTTAAATACCCCAGCAGACTAACATGTTAGTACGTGTTAAGTGAGATCCTCATACCACCTCAGACCCTTGTTCAAAGTCTTCACCCCAGTGTGACAGTGGCGCCTGACAGGGAACGTCAATATAGTTCTGGAATTCGCGGTCAAGGAATATGGCACGAGGGTAGGTGCAGGCAGGGGACAAGATGAATGGAAGGGCAAGATGAATGAGTGCATCGATGGATAATAGATAGGATACAAAACACGCTGACTTCCAGGATGTTTCTGAAGCGAAAACAAAACGCGGTGGTACAGGTTGGCACCCAGAATTTAATATCGATTCAGAAGCGTGCTGGATGCTACGTACATAGACTTAACCAGATTTAGGAACCTTCCTTGCTTCTAGTTCTCTATGTAGGAAATTATTGCCTGTCAGCCTATGTCAGCTGCAGAAAACAAAAGCCAGGGACAAGAGATCGCAAGAAAGCGACCTCCGAGTCCTGGGCGTTCTTAGGCCCTAGATTTGCAATTGCCGAAGGGGAAATCGTATAGGAGCTGGCGCCCATAAGCAGCTAGAGGATAAGCATGGAAGGTAGCAGAAAGTGAAGGAGTTAGGTGCGGCTGCGCGGAGGACCTTATGAACGGGATTGGCATCTATCGAAATTTACTACGGCCGATGACAGTTGAATCATCCACGACCGCAAGTATAAGTTCCCCTTTTCCCTCCAGGAAATCAAAGCATGTTTTGATGCTCAAGGTGCCAAGTAGTCGAAGAAATTACTAGATGCTCGAGACCCACGAGGAGCTAATAAAGAAGACCGCCGCAAAGTTTACGTTGACTACCATGTTATGTGTATTCAACAGAGGTTGAATCGTTGAAGAGGTTTGAAATTTGAAGACGCGTACACAGGCGGCATTGAAGACGCGTCGGAACTTTCACACGTCCTATTTATTTATTCGCACTCATCCCAGACCTTCAAGCTTTAAGCTTTAAGCTCCAGCTTCAATCCTGGTCTATTTTGAGAATTTGCCTTGAAATGCTCAGATGTATATGGAGCCGTAACTTTCGTCCATCGCTGCTGCGAAATTTGGGCGTGAGGAACTCCCTAAATACTTACTACTTCCATTCCTCAACTTTCCGACAAGCTTCTCCTCCTCCACGATATATTCGATTCTCTTCCCCGAATCCCAATCCAGGGCCAGGGCGGGGAAATGGAAAAAACTTCTTTGAGGATCGAGCATGGCCGGTGAAAGTTGGTGCAGGACTTGCTGGTGTGGGTGTAATTTATTATGTCTCCTGGTCTGTCACCTGTTGTATCCAGTGATTTGCGTACATATCCCAGTCTTACATGATTCTTTACTCTTCACTCTTTGTCGAACAGTTTAGAACAAGTTCCTGAAACTGGTCGCTGGAGGTTCATCTCTGTCTCCCCAAAAACTGAAGTTCAAGTTGGGCAGTTCGCACTCCAACAAACATTGGCTCAATTTCAAGGTCGAATATTACCAGATGAACACCCAGTGACGATGCATGTCAAGAGAGTCGTGCAAACTGTTCTTGACGCGTCGCAATTGGGAGTTGTCAGAGGTTACTCTCAGCCCCAACCGCACTTCTCCAGCAACGATTTTGCTGACGATGATACTTGGTCTTCTTCTTCGTCTTCCTCATCGATCAAGTCTTCTCCGGCAACTATTGCATCAGCTGGTAAAGAATGGACTGTCATCGTTGTTGATGATCGCAAGATTGTTAATGCTGCCGCAACGCCTGGGGCCGTGATTGTCTTTACGGGAATTTTACCTATCTGCAAGGATGAGCAGGGCTTGGCTGCTGTTTTGTCGCATGGTATGTGTTTGATCCCCAAATGGTTTGAAATTTCCCAATCGTTTTCTTAGAAATCGGCCACGTTGTTGCGCGTCATGCAGCCGAGCGACTCTCTTCCCAAACTATTGCTACTGCGTTAACTCTTTTTCTTTCCGCATTGGGACTAGATTTCGGAATCAGCGCATTATTGAATAAGCTCCTGCTCGAGCTTCCCAACTCGAGACTGCAAGAGAGGGAAGCTGATTTAATCGGGTTGCGGCTGATGTCGAAGGCTTGCTATGACCCCAAAGCCTCCCCAGCGTGCGTCCGCAATTGATTCCTCTCTTCCATTGATAAACTAAGTTATCCTCCATAGAATGTTCACTCGTTTAGGTCAACTACAGTCCCAAGCATCGCGCGGAGGTTTCAGTTCACCAGAGTTTTTCAACACCCACCCATCGTCCGAATCGAGAGTGAGAGAAATTGAATCACATCTAGGAGAGGGTTACGCCCTTATTGCTGCAAACCCTGCGTGTGCGGAGCTGCAGGAGCGAGTTCAAGCGTTCAAAGAGAGTGTAAGGTTGAAGAATGCATTTGATCTTGGGCCACGGCTTGGTCAAAGTCATAACCATATACATGATGAGGAAGAGGTGTGGAGGTAGTCAATTTTCCGGAGTACTTTTATAACATGGACAGTAGACCACTCTAGTTTGCATGAACTACCTCAGTGTATTGTACAAGTATTGTACGATTTTGGGGAAATCCCGCTTTAGAAGGATGAAAATTCTAGCCGCTTTGAATAATGATATGTAGTAGTAGTGATATTTTCCGTTCGTTAGATACAATACACTGAGCTCGCTCTGGAATCCACGTAAAAAGTACTATCGGTACCTACACGAAATTACACCAAACATTCCCCCACTGATCTTGCGCTTGCCCCGGTATACCCAATCCCTGTTGATTTGGCTCAGCACCGTCGATATACCCCACCCCATAGCTCTGATTCGCATTAAACCTTGCCAACGGACACGCGAACCCCAGAAAATTAGGACATGCTCTATCAGCTGCTTGGCATGTTTCGATGCATGGCATCAGCACGGAATATGACATGTTCAACGAAGAAAACGTAGGATTTCGCGGGACGGAAGATGTGGTTTGTGCTTGCAGGGCAGAGGTAGGAGAGGGTAGACCTGCTGAAGAGGTTCCTACAGACGAGGAGCTTGTGGCTGTAGTTGTAGAAGGACTTTGCTCGCCGCATCTAGGAAAGCTGACAGAACAAAGCCAGCGAAAGTACGCTCGCTGACAGTCTGCGCAGGTTTGCAGTGGTGAATAATAATCTCTCCCACATGCTTGCGTAGTAAGCGTTGTGGTAAAGTTGGTAAAGTATGTGGTGAGTGTGTCGGATATCGTTGATGGAAGGTTGGTGGAGTCGTATATGGATAATTCAGAGTTGTCCGGAGGAGGAAGTGGAATGGCATATGTTACACCGGGGCAATAGGGAAGGAAAGCGGCCAAGGGACAAGCGAATACAGCTGTTCAAGGGTAGTCAGATGAGTAAAGTGAACGTAGAAGGATTGTCGGTTACCGGACTTGGTCACAAAATACATCGGACCACTGAGCTTTTGGCTATCCTGAATGACATACGCAGTATAATTGGTCTGTGGCGAAAGACCTGCCATTAACCACTGTGTCCGCCAGCCATCCTCATCTCTCAGCCACAGACTTTCATTGGCGATATTCCCAGAGGATGATTGTGAAGCCATCATGCAAGCAGTTTGTGGTAAGCTGGTCAAAGTTTGAGATGATGTAGGCGCTATTAGCAGAGTGAAGTTTGGAGACGAATCAGGTGGTGAAGGGGATGCTAACGATGGGCCAGGAAGTGTGTAATTTGGATAAGAAGGGTCTATGAATATAGGCGGGTCAAATGGAGGTGAAAAGAGCAACGCTTGGTTGGATGTCGTGTCGCCTAATAACGGAAAAGTAGCCAGTACCTCGTGCATTGGCCCTACGTAAATTACGAATTAATTCGCCAGGGGATTTACTAGATCACTAACCACTATCTGAAGCAGCAATCTCAAATGAGAAATCGTCTGAAAGGGTTCCATCTATAGCCAAAACTCCTCCGTCCAGGAAAGAAGCCGAAAAGGTGCCCAGCCCTTGATTTACTATAATCTCATATACATTTGTCCCTCCATCGGGCCCAGGATCATCCACTGTGGTGCTGTTGGTAACAAAGAAACGCGTTGAGACAGTTTCTGAGGAGCAGTAAGCAACTGTAATCGTTAAATTCTGCGCAGCTGGCAGGGAAAAAGATGGAGGAGAGGGAATATCTTGGGTGTTGAGGGAAAGGATTGCATTCAATGAGAGCGAAGCGGTGGCCGCTTGGATGAGGGCAGCATTAACAAGGCATAATAGCGTCTCTGGAAGCATTTACAGTACAAGGTCAAAGTGAAATTGCTTTGTGGCTGCTCCGAAGCTCCGACCGAATGCCGTAATACGTAGCGCTACGGACATTGCCGGGAACATAAGTATCATTCTCGGTCGATCATTTTTTGATACTGTTCATTCCTCACGACCATATATCTTAACGACATTGTATTTTTGTTATACCTGTGCTTCGGATTCTTCATATATTTCCTTCAATTACGACCGGTTCCACTTCATTCGACTGCGGCGCAGCGCTGCGAAATACTTCGACCTTGAATCATTTAAAATTCAAGCTGGCAAAACGCAGTCTGTATAAGATTGCTAGTCATCGTAGCAAGTTTCAATGGTAATGGAGATAGGGCTTGTAAACGACTCGTACGTCTCTTTGCGCTTCTTTCTCTTAAAATTGGTGTTGAACGTTGATCCAATAGAATATGGCGTATTTCTGGTGAGTATTTTGGCTTTATCTATGTACCTTGACATTGTGAGATAAACCCTACTGGGCACCTAGTTCTCCGTAGCCAAAATTTACACCAGCTGCTTCACCGTCGAAGTAGCAATAATTTGAACGGCTGGAGACCGCTAGTCACGATTTCCGTTGACCCTCATTTGGGGCATAATCATTGCGAAATCCACGAGACAACCTTAGGAAGCGACGGACAGAACCCGAATTCCAAGACGGGGCTAGATATGTGTGTAATTCCATCCATTCTCCTCTGATTGATGTTAATATAATCACTCTAACTTTCTAGTGAAAGTCCTCGTCCCAATACCAAACTTTTATTCGAAGTCGTTCACTTCCCGCAAGCTGCTAAAAAGAAGGCCCGAAGGCTGAACAAAACCGTTCTAGGGTCTTGTGTGTATGAGATGGGTGAATTGGTCAGGCTAGCGAAGGAACAGGAACGTGGCTCTAGTATGTCCTTCCTTGTCGGTCTTGTTATCCACGTTACTTACAGGCACTTTTGGGCCTCCAGAGCAGCCCATCTCCATAAGCCTCAAACCCTTAGGATCGGGACCTCGAGCAAAATACATGAAACGCCTGCGGAGAGATAGTACAAGCAGTACTACTGCTGATAAGGGATTCTCCAAAATCGGCTCCGCAGGACCTAGTCTACAGATCAAAGTTATCCCTCCTAAGGGTAACCCGCTTACACTTGCAGGATCATCCAAATACCTTGGTCTTTCTTCGTGTGAAGAGGAAAGTGAAGAGGATGAAGATGCCACCGATGAGAACGAGGAAACAGAATCGCTCATTTTGAGCCTAGGCTCTTCGAAAACTCTCAATGACGAAGGTCCTCACCGAGAACCTTCTCCCGAGTCTGGTCTTCGAAGACGCCGCCGTGGTCGTATTCGTCGTCGCGTTTTCACAGGCTACGCTTGCGACTCCGGAGACGAAATCGAGGAAGAGGAGAAATGGATTTCGGAATCTGCTTCCGAGACTGCATCAGAGGCAGAGGCAGAGGCGGACGTCATGTTGAAAGAAGCCGGCGAATATGGCAGTGACTCTCCAAATCCAAATCCGAGCTCAGAGTGGTCTCCGTGGCCTTGGTTCAACCATGTAGCTCCGATTCTGGGCGTTTTAGGTATGGCACAGCCTAACCCAGGTATATTGCCCAGTTACCGGGACAGCTTGGAAGATGATCACAAGCATCAGGCAGAGGTGGAGATGGTGGAGATGGAAGCTCATCAAACAGATGTTGATACAAGTCTGATTGATGAGGAAGAGATTTGGGAATGGGAATGGTGGGAGCGCCTGTTATGCCTTTTTACAATCTATCGGGAACTCAGAATTGCGGAATACGAGGAAACTCGGTTGGGTAATTCTTCCTTGGTGGAACTTGGTTCGAACACGAGTCCAAGGCTTTCCGGCGCAAGTTTGAGTTCCTTGTCTGCGGGGTTAGGTGACGCAGAAGGGAGCTATCTCTCACTAAAATTTAGTATGTATGATAAGATTTATCAGCGGCTTCAGGTTGAGTGGACATACATTGGTACATTACTGCTTGGATTAGCTGCGTAAGTATATTTCTCTCTCGTACTCTACAAGTGAATCCTCATTCATTCTACTTCTTCGACACAGTATCGACGCCGCAATCTTTGCTATATCACCTTCCTCGTCTTCGCCTTCCTTCTCTGATGTCGCTTCTGGCGCAAAAGCTGCCGACTTGGCATCGTCATCATCCTTGTTCCCTGTTGACTCTTACGCTAGAGAGGCAGTAAGTCTCAGTACAATATCCACTGCGTTGGGTCTGTTATGCGACGCATATTTTCTAATGATCTATGCTTGGGGTGATGTTAGCACGTTCGTTGTGAGTATCGTGGTATTGTCCAAACCTTTTGGACACTACTGAAACTTATTTCTTTGTAGAACCGTGCACGTCCTTCCTTGCCTTCTTCTTCTCATGTTGATTCTTCTCCCTTTACCCCTTCATCATCCCCCCAAATCGAACAACCCACACCTCCATATCATTCATCCCAATCATGGGGCTATTTTGCTCTCTCCTCCCGGATCCCCGCAATGTGTTCGGTCCTCTCCATCCTCTTCATCGGCGCATTTCTTCTCATTGTCGCATCAGAAGCCGCGCCGCCCGCTGGTCTCTGGTTTTTGGGTGTGCTGGTCGGCATGGGAATGTGGATGCAGTATGTTGTCAGGTTCGGAAAGGTTGTTGGGAGAGGCATTCGAGGTGTCGGTCGAGGCGTGAGAAGTGGTGTAATGTCGGCAGGAAGTAGCGCGAGGTGGGCAGGAAAGAAAGTCCGAGGTTTGTTTGTTAGGAGTGATGATCTCAGTGGGATGGGGTCTGGACATGATGTTCCAGGGGCGAATCTGAATTCAGGCAAAGGGAAAAGATCAGTAATTCGACCGTTACCTGTGAAAATACGGCCTGAGGGACGAGGCCGTGGTTGAGGGCATAGGCTTTACCAACGTTATCTATTGTCCACTGCGTTTCATATTGCACATCTCATATTACAACCTGATTACAACTGAGCGAAATGTGCACGAGCAATGCCATAGTCAGCCATGTCCCGAATAGATAATTATCATGAGTATAATTGTACAGAGACTATCCAACATTGCCTTGAATATAATTACAAGTACAACAGTAGTAGTACAACACAAGTACATGAGGAATAGCAAATGTGAACAAAGGTTGCATACTATGATAGAGCTCCTTCAGCGACATGTATATGTGCCGACGAGTCCCAAGCTTCACATGCAACTCCAATCACCAAGTTCTGTTGAACACCGTCTTCGTCCCCTTTTTCTGTTCTCGGCCGACTGGGCATCTCAATCACTACGGCGACCTGCATAACAGTAACATCGTTTTGTGTGTTTGTCGGTTTGGAGACACCTTTCCCATTTCTCTTCTCGTTCCCAACGCCATTATTAGAACTCAAGTTAAGAGAGGTGGCGGGTATCCATGCAGGGAGGGATAAGCCATGTAATGCGTGAGGATTTTGCGAAGGGAGACGGATTGGTGGTAGCCCGGGTGATGATGGTGGAGGCAGAGGTCGTGTAGTGTCATGACATGGATGGATTGATGCGGACGAGATCGTGAGTGTCTGAGCGGTTAGCGGCTGTAAAAAATGAGAAAAGGTTATCAGTTATATGTAGCACAAAGCCAGAAACAAAGTCCGAAAGAGATATAGTGCGTACCTGTACTGAAAGCCAAAAAGTATCACTATCACTCTTCATAAACCGCGGTTCGAATAAGGCAGGCACGTCCGAAGAATCAAGTTGCCCTTCGAGGCCAATAACAGATCCAGAGTCCCATTGTCCCCAGGCTAATAAAGCTCTCCTTCGCGCCATGTTTCTCCTTGTACCAAACCCACAGCAAATAAAGAAGGCCAAGAGGACGATGAATGTGATGAGGAAACCAAAGAAATAGCTAGCTCCTTTAGAAGGAATTCCAGCATTGTTATCTGACGGGGATGAAGACGAAGATGCTGTGGAGGCAGAGGCCGTTGAAGTTGACGAGCTGCTTGCCGATGAAGATGAAGTGAAACCTAAAGCCATGTCAAGTTTCGTGATTCTTGTGTACTTCTCTTCTTGCGTCTTCTTTCGTGTGTGAGGAACAAGCGGGAAAGAATTTGCGATAATGGAGGAACCTCCGGAACCTGTACTTTTTGGTCTAGAGCGCCCAACAAAGTCGGTATGGGATTATGTCAGCGAACTTCTTCCGAACGTACTGCATTGCCCTTTTCAGCTTTTATACCAGGTCTATATGGCTAGATACGGCTGTTCATTAATTGAGGCAGTCACTCATGAATTACGGGAAACCTGACAAGTTACAACTACCTGGACCCCTACTCAACCGAGTCAGACTCACCACTCCTGCAAACTTCCATCCTCCCCACGCCAAAGCGGGTTCCTCCAGGGCGCATGCTTCACATAAATCTCACTCGCCTTCCGCACATGGTCTTCGTCTATCTCAACTCCGATTCCGGTTCCTACGTGGGTGAACGAGCAGGTTAGGACTCGGTTGAAAATATACTAAGATTAGTGGCTGGAAGACTAGCGTCGATCCTCGAAGAGAAGTAACAATAGGGCCGACCCTCCACAGCACATAGATTGATTTCCGTGATCGAGACACATACCTTGCAAAGCAGCGATGTATCCGTCCTTGACGGCAAACACTTCCGGATTGACCATGTAGGTGTGAAGGTCCGCTTCAATTCCTAGTGCCTCACCCGCGGCAATGTTGTAATGCATCTTCAGGCAAGGGAATGACCAAAAACATAAGCAGATACATATGTGGTGGGTGGACAATCACTGACCTTCCAGCTCATTTCTTGGATTACAACTGAATGATCATATTAATCAACGAACAAACATAACGAACGGTCCAAAATTTCGCTGCTCACAGTTTGGAGCTGAGATTGCCACTTGCATACACGCAGCAAGTGCAATAGGGCCTAATGGACAATGTGGCGCAAGAGCGACATCGTAGGTCTCTGTGTAGCTGGCGATTCGATGCAGTTCGCTGATCCCGCCGCAGTGTGATACCTGTATTAGGAAAATACTGTTATTCAAAGCCAAGGGATTTTACTCGAACAAGCTAATTTACGTCAGGTTGTGCAATGTCAATCGCTCGTCGTTCCAGGTAGGGCCTAAAATCCCAACGTGTGAAAAGTCGTTCACCAAGGGCGATAGGAGTCGAGATCACGTTGGATAGGTCGGCGATTTCTTCCGGCTGAGTTGGAAGAAGGGGCTCTGTGCAACCAAGTTGAAGATATTGAAGACATCGGATCGATGCCTTTGATGTCTGTTTTCGGGCTCACCTTCAATGAACATTGGATGCAAAGGCTCCAGAAGCTTAGCAAGCTGTTTGGCCATGCCCTTGTGTAATCTACCGTGGAAGTCAACTCCAACGTCGAGTCCGGTGGATCTGGGTAAGCGCCATTAGGGCATATAGTCACCGCATAGGGGAAATTGTAGTTCCAAGACGCACCTAACTTGTTTGACACGCTCGACAGTAGCTTCAAGTAATTCGGGGGAATCAATCCAAGATATAGCGTCTGCGAAACTGTTTTCAGTAATTGGTTTCAAGAAAGTAGAGCAGTTGTATGTATGAGTAGAGCATGGTACAATCACTGCTTTCAAAGCCATAACACTGTCTGGCGTATGCCTTTTCTTTTCTCAGATCCTTACCAGTTCCGTTCATCTTCACCGCAGTGAACCCTTGGGCCTTGCGCTCTACTGCGGCGCTCACCACTGCACTAGGGTGATCTCCTCCGATCCAGCCATATACTTTGATTCGATCCCGAACCTTGCCTCCCAGTAACTGCCATACCGGAACTCCCAACCTCTTACCCTTAATGTCCCAGAGTGCAATATCGAGACCGGAAAGAGCACTCTGCGAGAATAAGATCAATGTCTTGAGTACTACCCGAGATCGCTAGCAGGATGAAAGTACCATGAGAACCGGGCCTCCGCGATAAAACCTCCCCATATAAGCGGTTTGCCATATATCCTGGATGTTATCGGCTACAGCACCGATGAAACGTTCGCGGAGATCGTCGAAAGCGCCTTCAATAGCCTCAGTGTGGCCTTCCAATGTACTTTCGCCCCAGCCAACGATGTTATCAGATGTTTTGACTTTGACGAAAACCCAACGTGGGGGAACGCGGAAGGTCTATAGGTGGTAGGATTAGTAAAATAACGATAGCCTTTGGACAAGGGCTTGCCTCAATGTCCGTGATAGTGTTCGAGGTCATGTCGATGGATAAAACGTCAGTAGAGCCACATGAATTCGAAAACGTGAGATAGAAAGTCTCGTGTTGTATTTGCGCGTTGTAAGAGGCAGATTTTACTATATTTCTCCGGCGATCTTTGAACCTATACTTGAGAATCACGCTGATATATGCAGATGAGATACAAAGATGAGATGCAGTTTTATTTCAATCGTGGTGGTAGAAAGAAAAGACAGAACCGACCGGCTCATTGTGCCGGTCAAAAACTTCTTTCTCACCTTCTGTCACCTCGTTGAAGAGAACAACAAATTGAAGGAGTTCTCTAGTTCATTATGGCCGACGCTGGTAAGACCATGCGCATGATCTTTGCTGTTGTACTCACCAAATTTCCTTTTGCTTACCTTTCTCAGGATTCTTCAAAGGTACTTCAGCCGACCAAGACAGGCGTTTCTCCGACAAGGAGCTCAAGCTTCTAAAATCCATGAAGTTTCCTCCAGAATTTGACAAGAAGGTAAGCTCAATGGGCTTTGTGTCGACATCAACTCAGGGCAAGTACAGGTCGATATGCGTAAAGTCAATTTGACTGTTATTAGACCATGGATAGCAAAAAAAGTCGTAGAGCTTGTTGGCTTTGAGGATGAAGTCGTTGTTGAGTATGCTATGGGTCTTTTGGAAGACAAGCAGGAACCTGTGAGCACCTAGAATTTATATTTTGTGACACTGTATAATGTCATTTTCTATTTTGTTTTGTAGACTCCTGATCCGAAAAAGATGCAAATAAATTTAACTGGATTCCTGACAAAAGATACGCCTGCGTTCATGACTGCACTCTGGAACTTGCTCCTTGAAGCCCAATCAGATATGACTGGTGTTCCTCGGACTTTTGTCGAAGAAAAGAAGGAAGAACTGAGACGAGCGCGGGAACGAGATGGGCGTGCCATTGATGAAAGAGATCGTAGAGCCAGGCTGGACGAGATCCGGGACGAAGATCGCGGTGAACGCGGTGGCCGTGGAGGTAGAGGTAGGGGCCGTGGTCGCGGTCGCGGTCGTGGACGAGGAGGCTTTGAAGATGACCGTGGTGGTCGAACTCGAGATAGTGGCTGGGGAAGTCGTCGAAGCCCTCGACGTCGTTTCTCTCGGTCTCCACCCCCTCGACGAAGATCGCCCACTCCGCCATCTTCTGCTGGCTCACGCTCACCCCCTCGAAGATATCGCTCACCTCCTCGTAGAAGGTCTCCTTCCCGCTCGCGATCTCCTACACCTCCGCGTCGATCCCTCAAGCGTCGTTCGCCCTCCCGCTCTGTCTCCAGGTCGCCTGCGCCTCCTCGTCGCCGGAACCGATCGCATTCTATGACTCCTCCTGCACGTAATAAACGATATAGGGACAGTCGTAGCCCCCCTGCTCGTAGGAGACGAATATCCCGAGGACCTTCTACTTCTCGCTCGCCGAGCAGGTCGAGGTCTCCAGCTCGTGGCCATGTGAAGCGCAGAAGAAGTGTCAGTCCTCCTAGACGCAAAGCAAATCCTTCCAGGTCCCCACCTCGTCGCGAGAGTCCTCATAAGTCCGACAGAAATGCAAGGAGATACACTCGGAGTCCCAGTCGAAGCAGTCGGAGCAGCAGTCGTACACCTCGCCGCGAATCCCCTGCCGCAGAGCGTATGGATGTTGATCGTAAAGGAGGCGGTGCAGAATTAAAGATCAAAGGACAGGCGGATGCTGAGAGGAGAAGAGCCAAGCCAAATAGTGATGAGGTGTGTCTTTTTATGACTTTCTATAAGAACTTGTCTGATGCTGAGCATCAAATGAGGAATAGGACTCGAAACCCAGGCCGTCTCAAGCTGATTTAGCACAACGAGAGAACGAGCTCAAAGAGCGTGCATTACGCAACAAAGTTGTCCGTACTCGGAAAGGTAGTGCCGCCGCTTGATAATAGACTGAAAAGGCTGAGTGCTCTTCCCTTGGGACTGTTTGTCCATATTCGCCGATTCCGATTTCAGAAAAAAACACTTCTCTTCATTCTTAGGTCTCTTGTCTCATATCACTTACACCGTTATCTTGGATCACTCGTCGCCGATGAACGATACATCGCTGGTGTATCTGTTTTCCGTTGTTATACAGCATGATTGCTTCAGAGTTTATAGATTCTACCGGTATAGTTTCTATTCACCTCGATCCATGTACTTGCTGTTGATTTGTTTTTTCTACCAACCCTCGCCCTGAATGTTTAATGCCATACCAATAATCTTACCTGACGTGCCCCAAGTGATATCTTCAAACGGTCTATCAGTCCTACTGCATGACAATAGAATGAAATGGAACGGCAACGGACTCAGTGACGTCTCTTCAGCCCTAAAGCTATTCATCGGGACAATCCCGGCTGGTTCTTGTCCGGTGTTTCCAAGGACGAACCCCCTCGTGCTCCACACTCTTTTTCCGAGTTGGCACTTTCTCTGCTAGATATTTCCCGACTATTGAAGCTTGTCGCGTCCTTGTGATTTTATTTCGGTGCTCAGATCAGAGCTGTATGAATCAAGGTAGTTGTCGATTGGCAGTTTCTCCGCTATCGCAGGATATTATAATTTGATTTCATACACTCGATGAAAATACGGATAAATATTTGGGTCTTTGACCAGGAATGTTTAACATGGTCCGCTGTAGGGTGAGAAGTACTGCCCGGCGGGTGTTTAAAATGCCAAGTTTCTAGTCAAGCAGAAACTGGTGCACATCGCCTCTACTACTATACTCTAGTTTTTTGGATTTCTGAGCAGTGAATAAGTATGTACTACTCGCTCATCGCAGCAGCGTGTTTTGTTGCGTCGGCTTCGGCCCACGCTACCTTCCAAGACCTTTGGATTAATGGAGTCGATGCAGGTAGCTCTTGTGTGCGTCTTCCTCTCAGTAATAATCCTGGTGAGAGAAATGTTTTTTACACCCCTCCCACATTATTGATCGTCATCTTTCGCCGCCAACAGTAACGGATGTCACGTCGGATGTAAGCGCCTTTCCTGCACAACAAAGCTATAGATTTGAATCGGTTGCTTGTATTTCTAGGATTTAACTTGCAATGTTACCCCTACGCCATCTTCCGGCGTATGCCCGGTAATGCGTACGCCTTTCCACTACATTGTAGTATGCTTCACTTCCCAACCTGATACATTCTACAATAGCTGGGGATCAAGTCACTGTTGAGATGCATCAGCAACCAGCAGACCGTTCTTGCGCTAACCAGGCAATTGGTGGAGATCACTATGGGCCTATCAATGTAATTGACTTCTAGGATGGCTCCTCCTGGTGCTGACTAGATTGCATTTCCCCTCCGAAGATTTATCTCGCACCAGTTGACGACGCGACAACCGCAGATGGACCAAGTGCCTCTTGGTTTAAAATTTCAGAGATTGGTCTCCCGTCTGACAATCCCGATTACTGGGGTACCGGTAAGTCAGAAGAGCTCTTATTGCAAGTGTTGATTCGTTTCTGATGCCTGATTGTAATCTCAGAGGTTCTCAATGTAAGTTGGTTTCCTTTAAGTTTGTTCGAGGTCTTATTAATGATTGGATACACAGGATAACTGCGGACATTACACATTCACCATTCCTTCCGATATCAAACCAGGAAACTATCTTCTCCGTGCAGAAGTCATCGGTGAGTGGTTCCCAGTGCATTTGGAGTAGGTCGGGATCTAATAATGATGGAAAGCTCTTCACGTTGCATCTTCTGTTGGAGGCGCACAGTTAGTACTTTCATGAATTCCGAACGTTAAACTTACTAACGCCACGTACTGTAGATTCTACATGTCCTGTTACCAAATCAACGTTCGTCGACTTTCAATGTTAGTTTCCCGTAAGGTGGTGTTCATTGGTGTAACTAGATTGGTGGCACCGGAACCGCCAGCCCTTCTGGTGTCAGTATTCCTGGAGCTTACAGTGCTACAGACCCGGGTATGCTTCCATGAATGTCTATAATGACATCTTGGAAATCTCATTGTGACTGGTCCTAGGTATCCTCATCAACATCTACCAACAACTCGACACTTACGAAAGTGAGCTTGCTTCCATCTTATTCCTCAGTAACTTGTTCATTTCTGGCCACAGTTCCTGGACCCTCGCCGTACGGCACCACTTCTCCGACCGTTGCTTCCACCCCCTGGCCTACCACAGCGACATGGGATACCGCTCTCCAGCCATCCACCGTTCCGACTGTAGTCCCGACTTCAATTCCTGGAGGCGTGCCCGCTAGCAGTACTGATGGTAGTGGTACCATATCTCCTACTACAGTTCCTACTACGGTGACGACCGTCGCTCCTACTACGACGGTCACCCCGACGACTTCTGCTCCTACTAGTACTTCTGTGGCGTCTGGTGCTTATGGCCAATGCGGAGGTAAGCCGTTGGCGCTCGATCCTGATCTGAACAGTGGCTGACTCTGGTTTTTTTAACGTAGGTATCGGCTGGACTGGTCCTAGTGCTTGTGTAGTTGGATTCTCGTGCGTTGTCACCAACGCCTGTAAGTGCCTTCTTCCTCTCGAACGACCTTTGCATGACTAACGCGATTGATAAAGACTACTCTCAATGTGTTCCTTCCTGAATACTCAGCGGCAGCAGGTTCTCGACGAAGTTGTGTACCTATATTACAATGTAAATTCGCGAATCAATGAAGTAAAATGTGTTGAAGTAGTTACAAGGACCATTACCCAAGTCGAATTGGATCCAACGATATCTTGTGGAATACATTATATGAATAGGAGGACCAATTAGGCCTTATAATTACATGTTGTTCAAAAGGCTCGTTGCACGACTAACGCTCAACTGTGAGTATGCAAACTGCCTGTCCAATTGTATAGTCCAATGCTACAAGTGCATAATTTGTGAAAGTTGTGCCCTAGGCTACGTCCTTGTTCCGCATCCAACGCTTGTTATGTTCAGGAATCGTGCCAGAGACAATCACAACGACTGCAATGTCTTCGACTTCTAGGGGCATCGCAATGGTGGAAGGAGCCAGTCTACAGAACTATTTGATATTTGATTAACGGTCTTCGTCAGAGCACTGCTAGGAAAGTTCCCCTCTATATTCCTCGCTAAGACGTCCGAATATCATTTGTCCAGCTGTGGAACGCGTTCCATTTCGTATAAATCCTCACCAGTATTGTGATCTCTCACGACACATTGCAATTCGGATTGATGCACCTCGAGGATATTGGTGGCTTGTTCTTCGGATTTGGGGTCGGAACGATTCGAAGGGAGAGAATGTCAGGTAGAGCCAGTCACAGGAAAACTTGAAGTGAGTAGGAAAAGAACAACGAACCCATTGATAATTTCTAGATTTTGCAAGAGAAACACATACACTGGACGGAACGCTGAGGGGGGTCTCTTTGATAGTCAGGATACAGACACGCTAATAGATTTTTGTCAGAGAAAAACCGGTGGTCACTTAAGGCTATTCAAGGCAAATGTTGCGAAGTTGAAACATGCGCAGCTGTTGCCCCGAGCTATGAAGGCGATATTTAGGACTTGGGGGCGATACTACGCAAAACGTTGAGGTTTTCGAAATTGAGTTCATCGAGGTTCATCAAGTTCTTTGAAGTTTGCCCTGCTTTCGGAGTACCACATTGATTACATAAGCTGTCCGCTACTTCCTCGAATTTCTTTCATTTTCAGCAGTGGTCATGGCTCGACTTTCCCCAGTCTTCTTCTCCTTTGTACTTACTACAACTTTACTCCTACTAGCAGACCCTGCTTCCGCGGTCAAGTTTCAAATTCAAGCTTACCGGTATCCCCAGTCGAAATGCATATGGAACCCTATACATAATAACGCTCTAATCATCGTCACTGCGAACGTCGGACCTGGTGAAGGACAGCAGGTGGATGTGGAGATTGTGGACTCGAGTCCTCAGAAGAATGTATATCTGAGTAAAAAGAATATCAACGGGGAGACACGATTGGCTGTCACGTCTCATGCTGAGGGCGAAGTCGGTGTTTGTTTCAAGAATACTCTGGATAGCAGTACGTAGTATTGTATTTGCACTTTTCTGTTTTGCTCAAGTGAATGTTTTGCTAGGTTATCCGTCTGAAAAGGCTTCAAAGGCTGCACGTATCATTGACTTGGACGTCGACATTGGCGCTGATGCTGTAGATTACAAGTACGTATATATCTCCTACTTACTCGTTGAACTTTGCGGCTGATAAACCCCCAGTGCAATTGCGAACCAAGAATCACTCTCGGGCTTAGAAACGGAAATGCGCAAGCTAGAAGGCATAGTGAAAGAAATCGTGGATGAGATGGCGTATCTCAAAAAGCGAGAACTACGTTTCACGGATACCAACAGTGCGTTATGAACTCTCCTGCTCAAATAATGATATATTGAAGCATTTTACTGCAGTGTCCACCAACAACCGTGTACAAAACTTTGCCTGGTTCACCATACTATCCCTTGCTGGTCTGGGCGCGTGGCAAATAATGCACTTGCGTTCCTTCTTTAAGCGCAAGTATCTTATCGACTGAGAGGCATTACTGGTGTTGTGTATGAAACCTATGATACTTCTGTACGATATCTCATAATGGGAAAGCGTGCTAATGGACTAGAACGCAATAATACCTCCTCTCCGAGAGTTCCTAACCCTAGGCAACGGAAACATCGGAAAGTAGACGTGTTTACCTCTAAGAATATTTGGTTCCCTGTTAAATGGTGCGATGCTAACGCTGTAAAAGGGCTTAAGGAGTCTAGTAGAATTCATGGAACATTCATTTTGACTGGTCTTGTCCTCGTTGGATCAAGCCTACTCCTACTATTACGCCGTCCGACAGAATATCCGCAGTCTTTTGGCCTTCCTTCGCCTTTGCTTCAGCTTGACGGATAAATTCGTCTTGAATAGCCTTTGCGCGTGCAGCCTACGGAGAACCAAGCGGGTGACGTTTGGAAGCAGAGGTACGAGTGGGAGGAGGATAATGAAGAGGGGAAATGTATCTATGAGTTCGCTGTTTGATATCAGCAAAACAGAACGCACCTCCTTGGTATGGTGTAAACATTCTAGATAATCATCACCTTGAGGACGACAGTCAGTGGGAAAATCTGCGTTGGCGTAACACTGAAATCCATGCGCAAGTTAGAGCGAGCAATCATCGATTTCGCTTAGAGTTATTGACCTTCTGGAATTCCTGCCAATACGCAAAGCATCGGGAGCGTCCTAGAAAGCAAATATTCACATCTGAATAGGACCACCAGTTTTGAGTTGAATTCACCTCCTCCCCAGCCATAACCTGACTATGAGAGGCAAACGGAATTACAGTGTGAGTAATGAATTTGCAGTTGGAAACTCGAGTGAACGTACTGCCATGTTGTCGTTCGAAAGAAAGAAGCAATATTGCCGCCCAGGTGACGCCCGCCGGACTGTGTGAAGTATGTCCCAGTCAGGATCTCATCCATTCTCATCCATCTTCAACGTTCCAAGGCTGCGGAACATAATTGACACTGCGTGAATTCGACTAGAGAAACTTCGACAAAATTTTTCCAAAGTTCCTTCACAATTCCGGTCCAAATAATAATCGTACAATTTACAAGACAAACATCATTTTATACAATTTTCGAGGTAAGTACTCGTCTTCAGCAGAGCCTTGGAAGTGGTCCCATTCCGTCCTCGCTCAGAAACCAACATTGATGGAACTTGTGCCAGGGGTGTAACAGAATCCATCATCCAAACGCACTCCACAGGTCGAAAGCTGGTTGCAACTACCTCCACATCCACCGCGGTCACAAAATCCCACATTATTCGTGGCCGAGAGACAGTTAGTGTTCGGAGCGTTAAGACAAGTGGCACCGCCGTTATAGACGGTGCACGCGCCTCCGCATACGTCTTGCGTTCTGACGCTGCAATAGACAACCATAGTGTCCTCGGTGATTCGTTTGGTGATGGGTTCACCAATAAAGGTGAGGTTGGCCTCTGTGGTCGCGATCCATTCAAGGATTTTGTCCTTGGTGACCTGTCAGTTATCTTTGCGTGAGCATTTTCTATGAGCCTGAGCGTTCTAGAGACTAGTACTAACAATTTCACCATTCCTCAGTTGAACCTAGACAAACCAGTGGTCAGTGATGCAACAAGTGAAATACAGTGAGCTCAAGCCATACCGCAACAGCATTGACACTGTTTACAAGGGAGATAGCAGTGACAATGGCACTGGTAAGAGTGAGGTACTTGAACTGCATGGCGGTGCTGATGGTTTTGTTTGCTCGATGAGACTTGGCCTTTATAGGGTTCTCCTTTCGAGTTCTAAACTCGAATTTTCTGCAGGAGATGAAAATTCATGCATCGGATTTGTGTTTGTATGCCGCCAAGACATAATTTTCCGACCTTGGTATTGTGCTTGGTACTTACAGGTATGGCAGATGCCATTTGCATAGTAATTGCCACCTTGATGCCATTGCTGAATGTGCCGAGGCAATGTGCATGATGGGTTCTCCCTTGAAACCAGGATGAAAACTCAATGCTGCCAAATTTTTGGAAAGGAGAAGGACATGTATGCTGATGGTTTAATTTATGTCTTTGTGTCGGGTAATTTCAAGATTGCTTGCCACCTGTGTTGGCTGAGTACTGCTGGATTTGGCTTACAGCATGAACCTGTGTATGCCAAGCTGCCTTCAATTCCTTTGAAACTTTAACCCCATTTTATGCATCTATGAGATTTCCTGCAAGTTACTTGTCAAGAGCTTTCATCCGTAAGCACCTATCTTTTTTGCCTACATAGTAACACTTAGTAACATCGGCAATATTAATGCACTAATCCAACTGCTGTTCACATTCTCTTGTTAATATTTTGATCTCAATGTGTTTATTCCACTGGAGAGGTATATTAGTTGCCCTTGGTTTGAAAAAATGCAATTATCGATCCTTGAGTTTGATAAGTGATACAAAAATACTAGTTGAACAGATCTAATTGTCATAAAGTACGCAGCCCCTATCATTTTCCCTTTCTCACCGTCTCGACGCCTTTACTTGTACAATACATCATCCCATCGCTGTCAATCTCCATCGATTACTGATCTATCTATTACTGATCCACCTGACCCACCTGCTCTTTCTATCGGCTTCCGCCTCCTTCCTTGCCCCTGAACTGTACAGTATTACATCGTTGTTTCTCGCAGACTAGATTATGTATATATAGCCAACCCTCCACAGCCTGGTCCCTTATCTTGACCTCTCTGTCATTATCTGGGACCAGGTATGTGCTTACTTATTATTACCTATGACTACGATACTCAATATATCTCTGTCATTATCTGGGACCAGTTCGCCTCCGCTCCGCTTAGTCGCTCCGCCTCACTCACCTGCTTAGTCGCTCCGCCTCACTGCCTGGCTTAGTCACCCCGCTTCCTGCTCCGCTAGTCACTCCGCCTCTGCCGCTTCGTGACATTAGGTCAAGATCCATTACTGCACTGACAGCCTACCGATAAGGTTGTCCTTGCAGGATCCGTAGACACCACGTCTTCCCCAGTCCCGCCCGATTCTGAAACACCTGCTGCCAGTATAGACTGCTCCACACTCCCGCACGCACTTGACCCCAGAGACCAAGCTCACGCCCACAACAACAACGATACTTGGCGCGATTGCCAGTCTCAACCTTGCCCCAACGCCCTTTCGAACTCGATCCGAGAGCCACTCACTGTGAGCAATATAACCTTCCTGCCAATTCCCCAACCCCGACTGCCTACTCCCATCATGTCGACTCCTGTCCCGCCTGCCCCAAATACCTCTGCTGAGGATCTCATGGCTCAGCTCATCAGACAAGTAGCCAGCCTTGCTACAGCCATGGAGGAACGCTCATCCTCCAAGTCAAGCATGAACAAACCCGAGGTCTTCAAGGGTAAAGATGGTGCTGAAGCTCGTCGCTTCATGGCTCAGTTCCAAAATTGGGCGTCAGAACAACCGGATCTCGCCAAGAGCCAAGTTAAACTTATCAAGTCCGCCCTGGGCTTCTTCACAGAAAGTGCTGGAGATTGGGCAACTCCCCATCTGTTACACTTCAGTGCAGAGAATCCCCCTTTCGGAGGAAACTGGGATACGTTCTTGAAGGAATTTAGCCAGCGGTTTGAACCAATGGACCCAGGTATGGAAGCCCATAGCGAGATCAAGAACCTCAGACAAAGTAAAGGGCAGACAGTTGCAGAATTTGCCCAGAAGTTCAAGGATATCGGAGATCGGACTGAAATGTCTGATATTGATTTACGGGAACGCTTCTTCACCGCCTTACTTCCGGAGATCCGACAACACCTTATCATCGTAAACATCGCCCAAGGAATCGCTCCGACTTTGAAAGAGGCAATCAAACGAGCCATATCGGTGGATGTCTACCTGCATGATCCCACCATGACCGGCCGAAACACCGGACACGCTCCTGCACACACTGCTCACATTACCCCTGCCGACCCTCACGCCATGGACATTGATGCTACTCATACCAGCACTGGGAATAGCAGGGAGGCCTTCCTTGCCCGTATGCGCGGACGATGTTTTGGTTGTGGAGCTCAAGGCCATGTTAAGCAGAATTGCCCACACAAGGAGACTACCTGCCGATACTGTGGACGCCGGGGACACCTAGAATCCGTCTGTCAGGACAAGTTCATGGGACTTAGTCGCGACCGTGGCCGACGCCAACAGCCTCGCCGTCAGCAGATCTCAGCCACGGCGGCACCATTTACCTTATTCCCAAACGAATCAGTTCAGATTGCCGCCTCAATCCCAACACCTGTCGCTGGACCTGCTATACCGAGCCCCGCTAATCAGGACTTCTCCACCCAAATTGGACAAATAAGGGAATTGTTGGACCGTGCTAATGCCATGTCTCCTCCGTCCTCTGGTTTTCAGCAGGGTTTTTAAAGAGGGTACCCGCTCCGGCTGCACCGAGAGTACCCCATAATCAGTTTACTATGTTCGCTACCTCTTCGTATGACTCGCTCCCATCATGTACAATATCATCTATTTGGGAATTAAATTCCAGCTCCCCACATTTCCGAATTCATGCGAAACTGAGAGGAAGGAACCATAGTATAACAACCGCAGCCATGGTAGACTGTGGAGCTACCGCCCTGTTTTTAAACCAAGACTTTGCCACCAGAAATCACGTAACCTGCGCACCCCTCCATAAACCAATCGATGTATTCAATATTGATGGTACACCTAACCGAGCCGGGCGAATCACCCACTTTGCACGCTTAGCACTCACAGTGGATAACCAGGAGCGATGGATGGATTTCCTGATCACAAACTTAGGAGGAGAGGATATTATTCTCGGACTCCCCTGGTTACGGAAGGTAAATCCAGAGATTGACTGGGAGAAGGGACGACTTTCAGTAAAGCCACCCCGGGTACATATAGAGGAAGTAGAAGATGAGCAGACTTCACACCCTCACCTAGTGGCGTCTACTACCGATAGTCCAATCCAGGAACTCCTGAACGAAGGATCCCAACGCGAACCCAATCACACTGAGGCAGACCTAGAGGAGAATGAAATCATAACAGCAACGGAGGAATCCCCAATACACCGAATACGAGCCAATCACAAAACGCGTCGGGCATGGGTGAAAGCGGGGATATTGGAAGAACAAACAGAGGAAGTATGGTGCTCAGCAGGGTTCACATATTCTCAACAACTAGCAGAGGAGGCTAACCGCGATAAACCCATTAAAACCTTTGAGGAGATGGTCCCTGAGCAGTACCGAGACTTCAAGAAGGTTTTCTCTGAATCTGCCTCTGAGCGATTACCTGCCCATCAGCCCTGGGATCACGCTATCGATCTTGTACCCGGAGCACCAGCAACCATGCGGACAAAGATCTACCCAATGTCCTTGAACGAGCAGGAGGAACTCGACCGCTTTCTAGAAGAAAACCTACGGAAAGGCTACATCGTTCCCTCGAAGTCACCCATCTCATCTCCAGTCTTCTTCGTGAAGAAGAAGGATGGGAAACTCCGTTTCGTACAGGACTACCGGAAACTGAATGAGTATACTGTGAAGAACCGATACCCTCTCCCATTAGTTGCTGATATCATTAGCCGGCTTCAGGGAGCGCGATATTTCACCAAGTTTGACGTTCGCTGGGGCTACAATAATGTGCGGATTAAGAAGGGGCATGAATGGAAGGGCGCATTTGCAACAACTCGGGGCTTGTTCGAGCCTAAGGTTATGTTCTTCGGTCTCACGAATTCCCCTGCCACATTCCAAGCACTTATGAATGCGATATTTGCTGATCTCATTGCAGCTGGCAAGGTGGCAGTCTACCTAGACGACATCCTCATATTCAGTAACGACCTCAAGGAACACCGACAAGTGGTACGGGAAGTATTAACGCGACTAGAAAAGCACGACCTCTATTTGCGCCCAGAGAAGTGTGAATTTGAACAGCAACAGATCGAATACCTGGGACTTATCATTTCAGAAGGGGAGGTGAGAATGGATCCGGTCAAAGTAGCGGCTGTTCGTGACTGGCCAGTCCCTACCAACCTCCGGGAACTGCGAGGATTTTTGGGGTTTGCAAACTTCTACCGGCGCTTTATCCGAAATTTTGCAAGAATAGCTCGACCTTTGAACGACCTAACCAAGAAGGATACCACCTTTAACTGGACTGGTACACAACAGGAGGCATTTGACACCCTTCGAGAGGCCTTCATCTCCGCACCAATCCTTGCTCTATGGGCGCCAGATCGGCCCACTCGAATTGAGGTAGACGCATCAGGCTTTGCTACGGGAGGCGCCCTCATGCAGAAGCTGTTAAGATCATGTACACCGAGTAACCGTGCCAAAGCTACAAGGTGCCTAAGTGCGGAAGACGAGTGGGACAGTAGTGAAGTTATTAACAACACCGCCGTTACGCCGTTAGTCCCCGGAGAGCGAGAGTAGAGAGAGAGGAGCTAAGTAGCAGCCAGGTCGGAGCGGCGGTATCGCCGATGACGAGGAGCGGACCAGAGGACGTTAAAGTCCTAAGGTCAAGGAGGACGTATTTCAAGGCGTTGAGCCAGAAGACTTAGAGAAGAGCTAAGTTGAGAAGGGAGATCTAAGTTGATCTAAGTTGATAATTAAACTGAGGAACTACAGTAGCGTACAGGCAGTATTTATATCTACGGAACGGCGCATCGGTGCGGAGCGCCAGACTAACTACTAGGAGCTATACGAGTAGTACCTGCAGGGTAGAGTAAAAGACAATAAGGAGAGACTAGAACGAAAGAGTAAAAGACAATAATGAGAGACTAGGACGAAAGGATATGTGTAGCGAGAAAGAACAATAGGGAGAGATTACAATAAGAGCAGATCTTCGGAGTACCGAGCGGCGGAATGGAGGCCCGCGGCATGGACTTGACAGTATCCCCCTCTTAGGCTTGAGCCCTCGAAAGCCATTAATACCGGGAGTTGGTTAGTCACCAAAGAAAAATTTTAAAGGCCGTCAGCATCGGGGATTTGGCCCATCAGTCAGCAGGAAAATTTTCGAAAGCCGTTGGTACCGGGAATTGGCGTTAGTCATCAGTGAAAATTTTCGGTTCACCGTACACCAAGTACAATTCGAAGGAAAATTTTCGCTGGTCCGTGCGCAGTTTTGCCGTATAAAAGGCCCCGAGTTTCGCCGATAAGACCCAAGTTTCCAAAATCTTCTAAGTCAAAAGATGTCCGCTAGCCGCACTACTACAACCACTATTTCTGCTACTGCCGGCCCTTCGCGGTCGCGCCCCGTTCCACCGCCACCACCACCACCACCATCCGACTCCGCCGCTCAAGAGGAGGAGGACCTCGAGGACGAAGACGAGGACGAAATTATCAGGAGGGCGCATGCACGAGTGGAGCGGGTGAGAGCGAGGAAGGCGGCGGAGGCCGCTAGGAAGAAAGCTGAGGAGGAGGCTGCA